GCTTAGCATAGCTATCAGGCATAGAAATATGCGCGAACCGGTCACTGCAAAACGGAATGTTAGTCCGAGTGAAACAAGTGTTTGAAAAGAAATGTGTCCATAAAAATATAAAAAAAACTCTTTCACATTCGCGCTGTGCCTTCTAGGGAATTTATTTAACTACTTAAAATCATTCATTTACTTAAAAACGGAAATTAAGCATTTATTTCGAATTATATATTTTTTTAAATCGACACTTTATTATTGTTGAATTTTGGTGAAATAAAACAATTCAAGTTCTCCTGTTTAAATATTCTTGCGTTTTGATGCAGATGGTTTTTCGAATGTTTGTTTCATGCCACCGGCTCTTTCGTTGTGGAATTTCGAGTTGTTGGCTGTTTCGCTGTACCATGCTGAATTAAAATCGGTTGTATCTTGATCAACCAAATGCGTATACTTTGTGCGTCCACATCGTCCAAAGTTTTTCACTTGCATCACCTTTGGTAAAATCGTTTTATCGAAATGATCCTCCAATGTGGCCTGGGCAAAATCTCTTTTGAATACTTCGTCATCTTTGTCCAAGAAGAATGCACCACGATGATAGTATTTCTGTAAGAACTTGTATTTGCCTTTTTCTGCTCTGTTGGTGACTTCACGTGGATTGACACGAGCCTCTTGTCGTCGTTCCTCTTCGGTGAGATTTCGAATACGATCGATTTCGGTTTTCTCTTTCTCCAATCTGAAATTAAATAACACATTAATATCGAATCGATATCAAGTTGATGCAATATGAAATTCAATAAACTTACTGTTCTTTCTCTTCGCGATCACGTTTGATTCGCTTCAGTTCACGAAGTTTCCATGCTTCATATTCAACTTCATCATTTTCATCATCTGTGCACACATCATCGATGCTCGCCTCATTTGTATCCGGCTATAAAAAAAGAGATAACATTGATTACTATTATTTTTACTTTCACGTTCAAAGGTGAATGTAACGAGATATGTGTACCTTGGCCTTATCAATATCCTTCTTCACGCTGTCTTCGACCATCCGTAATGTTTGTCGCCGTCGTTCTTTGGCCAAGCGCTTTTCTTCGTATTCCAATTGTTTTTGTCGCTGGGCTTCCTTCTCTTTTTCAGCAATGGTGGCCCGATCTTTTTTACTAACAAACAATGGTTTCAGTCGCGGTTCATTCTCTTCTTCACTTTCTGATTCTTCTTCGTATGATGAACTCTCCGATTCGGATGATTCCGATTGTTTTTCTTCCTCTTTTGCCAGTACCTCTTCGTCTTTTCTTTGTTGTAACATTTTATTTTTGAGCCGTTGTCGTCGTTTCTCAATTTCTGTGTCACTCAATTCCAAATCTGATCCACTATCATCCAATTCAATTCGACGCTTTCGTTCAATTTCCACGGTGTACTGTGTTCGATCATCATTATCGGATGCAACGTCAGCATCGCTTTGTATCTCGTCATCTTCTTGAATCACTTCTGGCTCTTGGATGCGACGCTCTCTGATACGACGCATACGACGTTCTCGATCTAGATCATCTTCGTCATTACTATCTCGATCTGAATCAGATCCACCACGTCGTGCTAATCGTCTCAACCGTGGATCGTCGGCTCCATCGTCACTGCGATACGAATCATCATTTTTAGATGTTTCAGTGTCACGTTTACGTGATTGATCAAAATTCTCGTCGCCACGGTTTGCAAAATTTCTTTGTGCCCTTCGATCGATGAAATCTTCGACTTCACTCTCTTCATCGGACGAATTGTATCGGGCGTATTCAGGTCGTTTACCTGATATATATCGCTGGACTTTTACTTTTTGCATGGACACCTCACCTATAAATCAAAAGAAAAAATGAAACAATGTGTCATTTCAATCAAGAAGAATCAAATTCAGTATATTTTGACTTTAGTGCCAATTTTTACCTTTTTCATTACGAACTGGAATGGCCCCAGCCGTACTTTGGATACTATACTGTGCGTTCGACATTCTCTAGTCAATATGCAACAAAATTTAGCAAATGTATTTGAAAAAATATTAGATCGACACCCAACTGAGACACTTTTTTGGTAAAAGAACTGAAGATACTCTTTGTTGAAAGTAAATATGCTGCTTTTATATATTTGACAACCTAATTTCTCATTAGTAGCTGTCAAATGCGACGTTTTGTTAATATCGGTGAACATTTTTCGAACTATTGATAAGATGCAACTTCACACTGCTCATGTATGCTGTCGCTGTGCTCTTTTTTCGGTTAGGGTTACATTCTGCTATTCTCATTGACAATACACATTCACAAAGATGCGTGCATTTTTTTTAACATTCGAGTCAAACACATGATTGTAAATAAAAAAAATACAGTTTTTTTCTACTCTTTTTTTTTTTAACTCAAACATCAAACACATTCGCATTGACTTAGCTGATGTTCGAAACTTTTGACGTTTCGAATATACGATTTGCATTCGGTGGCATACAAACGCAGGTAAAGCGCATAAAATCAAACGGCAAACCAAGTGGTTCAGCCAAAGAAAATATATGTTTGTTTCGTATTTTTTGTAACTCCGTCGAAACCGGAATTTTAAAATAAAATTCATGACAGGTAAACAATTCGTCACATTTTGTGATGTTAATATTTTTCTATAAAATCCAAATAGAAGCGACGTGCAGGAGATATGAAATAGTCCCGCATCATAAACTGCAAACTGGCGAAAAATTTCATAATGGTTTCAACCAGAGGAACAAAATATAAGTTTGCTGTTGGTGAAAGAGTGTTATGTTATGAGCCCGACCCGAGCAAGGCCAAAGTCTTATACGATTCCAAAGTGAGTATTGGATAAATTATTACCAACAACTTAATTTTGTTTCTTTATTCTTTGTTGCTTACATCTGTCGATTTACTGAATATTTTAGGTCGTTGAAATCATCGAAGAGAAAGATAAAAAAGGTCGACGTTCTATTGAATATTTAATACACTTTCAAGGTGAATTGCACGCTTTGAAATCAAATAATTTCATCAATTTATTAAAAAATGATTCTTTTTGTTCTTTAAAAGGTTGGAATTCGTCATGGGACCGTAGATGTCAAGAAGATTTTGTTTTAAAAGATACCGATAAAAATCGACAATTGCAGCGTGATTTGGCTGAAAAATCTCAATTACAAATGTATCATATATATTATTATATATGTTTTAATCGAAAAAAAAAAAGAATTCTCTCATATCATATGCATATATTACATGGTATTTATACTTCTCTGAATTTATACTTGTTTGAATAACAGCGGTGCCTATTTGTATCGAAAAGAGCGAAAAATTCGCAAAGGAAGCAGTAGTAATATTGATCCCAAAACACCATTCCGACCATCATCGGACGACGGGAGTTCTTGTTGTAGCTCAACACCTGGTAACGTTGTACAAGAAGAAATTCCGGAAAACATGTCAAGTAAGCGATGTCTATTTCATACGTTGCCATTTGATTCCATACAATTTCGTTTTCTATGATTTAGACAAAGATGATGCCGAGCAACCAGAGGCTGAAGAATCGTGCAGCAGTAGCTCAGCCGAGAGTACACCCGAAGAACAGAATCGTGTTGCCCTTCAAATCAGCGAATATTTAAAACGATTCTTAGAATATGATTTCACCATGATTAATCAGCATAAAAAGCTTTTAAATTTACCTGCCAAAATTTCGGTGATAGCAATTTTGGAGAATTTCGTAAAATATCATTCCATTAAAGCGATTTGTGCGCCGAACGGTAACGAAGGCGGTCCCCGACGAAGAAACAGTGCAGCCAAAACTGAAAAACGCGAAAAAGACTATGACAAATTAAAAGCAAGGTAGAGAAACACTAATTTTCTCGATTTCAACACACAGTTCCATTAAATCCATTCGTATGTATTTTTAGCATTAATCTTCGGAAAGAGACGGCCGATGGTTTACGCATTTACTTTAATTTCTTAATCAAAGACTACCTATTATACAAACCGGAAAGGGAACAAGCTGCAATGCTGTTGTCAGATGAATACCTCAACAACTTTACCTATGTTGGCTCAGAGAAAATGTAATGTCATGATTTTACCTTGAATTTAAAGTAAATAATATGATCGACATCAATTCCTACAATTCATCTTTCCCAGATCTCTTGATGCTGTATTTGCATTTAAACAAGGCACACAAAACATACCGGAAAATTCCGAAGCCCATCAGTCATCGAACACAAGTGAATCGACCAGTGAAGGGCCAACAAATAAACGACGTTTGAGATCTCACAAAACCGAAGAGGATGAAATTATATTGGATTTAGGTGCAGTGTCACTGCATACGGCTGAAGTAAATAGCACAAATTCATCCGATTCAGGTGCAACATCACAAGCAAATCAATTATCGTCGCTAAATCTATTGCGACAACTATTACCTATGAATATGGCAGTTCCAGTAAGAACGCGTGAACTATTGCAAGACATTCTTTCGTGGCAACTTTTACCATCCGATTCATCAGCTGAACCATCTCATATTTACGGAGCAGTGCATTTAAGTCGGTTATTTGTGAAATTGCCAGAATTTTTGAATGCTTCTTCAATGCCAGACGATAAAATTAAATTATTGCTTACATATATTGCCAGCTTCATGGAGTAAGTTCAATTTTTTCTTATTTATTAAAAAAAAAAATCATTTTCTTTGGAAAAATATCACAATTTTTAATTTCGTGTATTTTGTATAGATTTTTTGAAACGCAAAAAGAATGGTTTACAGAGGATCAGTATAAGTCTGCCATCAAAGTTGAAGAACTCAGCTCGAGCGCCCCATCACCGCTTACAAATGTCACCGACTAATCATAATTGTGAAGATATATTTTATTTTTTAATTTGTGCCAGTAATTGTAATTTGTAATTAGTTATTCCGAATCTCAAATCATTGTTGCATGAACAATAATCGTAATAGAAATAAAAAAAAAACTGTCTGATGCGTGAAAACAATATTTATTTGACAATAACAATGGATATAAAAGACGTAAAGAAACACAATCGATCAACATTTATTTGTACAATTAACGACCATACGGGACTCCATAATATGGACCGATGCCATAGTTATAACCGTAATAACCGCCGCCACCTATGCGTATTTGAATATTTCAAATTAATAAAAAAAAAACTGTGACATGATACATTAATTGTATTCTATATTACCGCCATATGCACCAATTCCACCAAAGCCACCGTAGCATAATCCTGGTCTTCCGACAGCTGGGGGTTTCCCACCGAATGGTGGATATCCATTGGGATAACCTCCTCCACCAAATTGGTATTCGAACCCGTGAGTGTTTGTCTCTTTGTATAAAAATAAATTATCATTGATACTTTGAATTCAATTCGAAAATTGATATAAAACCTGTATATTGTCCACCGCCAAAGAGACCAGACACCATTGAAAAAAGAAAATCAAAGCATTCCAACATTGTTCAATTCGATTTTGAATATTGTAGATACTCGATTGTTTCAAGCATGTATGATGCTATTGGCAAACTAAATTTGTTTGTTTTCATCGTCGTTCTATTTTGCTCAAAGTTTTTGTGTATATCATCCACAAAAACCACAAAAAATGCTCCAATTATTCGCCTAATTAACCAACAGATGGTTTGTTCGATTCGTAAATGTAGGTGATGTTAACGGATAATTATTTTCAGATCAAAATTATTACCAATGACCGTGAATCTTTGCTTTTATCCTACAATTTTTTTTCATTTTCTTAAATCTTTGTCAATATGACGTTAATTATTCATTAAATTCAATTTATTGTTTTTAAGACGCACATATGATAAAAAAAAACATCTTCAATTGCAAATGTATTGTGTGTGTTTCATATGTGTGTCTTTATTTTAGATAAGAATGGAGACATGTATATGTAAAACACCTGTTGTAAATTCGAAAACAACCATATCATCTGTGCATGTAATTGTATTCGGTGCGTCAACGTTTATCTCTTCAATTATTTCTTTAATAACTTCTCGGATAGCATGAGATTCTTCTCTGTGATTAGTTGATTTTTATCTTTCACCCAGATCGGTAGCTTTTTGACTAATTAAACTACTTCACTAAATGGAAATTATAGTTAGATAAATTCAATAAAAGTGAATTGATCTTTCTAGATAATAAAAATTGGTGTATTTTTGATATTAATCATGTATGCATTGATATTATTTTTGCTACCGCTATCGACGGTATTCGGTCAAGCAGTGATTCATGCACCATATCAAGTAAGTTAAATTTTATGATGGATACATGGGATTCCTTTTCTTAAAAATACAAAATCAAATTTGGAAAACAAGCGCAAGATTTTGTTCTAAATGTCAATGTCGGTTGTTTATACATGAGAATCATAGTAGACCCGTTTTTTTCAAAATCATTCACTTATTTCCCAAAAAAAAAAATAATCAATAAAAAACGAAATGCGTACGTTGAATACGAATGATTTACATTGCGATAAGAATAAAGATGAACATTGTGTTAAGCAATGATCATGTGCCGTATGTTTGCGAACAATGATAAATTTAAATGTTTTTCTTCGTATTATTGTTGTTTGTGAAATGATCTAATTGTGTAAATAAATTTCAGGTTGGGATTTATCGTTTTGACAATTACAATCCAAGTTTTGGAGCAAAAAACTTTCCAATATGCTCAGCAGCAATAATTCATCCATTATTTTGTCTGACTACAGCAGATTGTGTTCATGCCCGTATCGTTGTTCACAACATTGTGTAATTATAAATAATAATTTATACGAATTACCTTCAAAATCAAATTTTTTGTTTGTTTGTTTTTTTCGTGTGCAGTCAACCGTATCCACCAAAGTCGATCTACATAAAATCGGGGAATTTTTCAGAAATTCGTGAAAATATCAAATATGTTAAGGATATTTACATTCATCCGGAATTTAATAGTACGACATTGAACAATGATATTGCATTGATACAGGTATTTATCGCAAATGAGTGGAAGCGAAAGAAAAACAGTCGATGTAACCTAATTTTGAATAATACTTAGGTCGAGGCTGCGTTTCAATTCATTCATCCGTACAGTGAACGTTGGGTTCAATTGCCAGACATTTTCACAAATTATAATAAATGTATATATAGCGTAAATAAACCAAATATGGGGGTAATGTACTATCTTTTTCTCCATCGATTATGAGTGGATTTTATTAGCAATTTAAATTTAATATTTAGCAAAATGATCTATATCCATTCGGTGAAGTCAGACAAACAACTGTCGTGAATAATTCGATATGCCATGGAAATCTGTCGAGTTTTCTGCCTCAAAATAATACCAACAAAATGTGTTCGTTCTATCAATTTGATCATTCGTTCATGTGCCAAGTACCTGAAAGTCAATTGAGTCTGAACCGTGATCGTGGAACACCTCTGATCTGCGACAACACATTGGCCGGCTTAATGTCGGCTATTATACCAACAAACATAACAAATTCCACAGATACATGTACGAAAACATTGAGAACTTATGCTTATTATACAAGGGTAGCTCGCTTTGAAAAATGGGTTAGTAGACATCTGAATACGTTTACGTTCTTTAGATTAATTTTTCTTCCTTTTTCTTTTATTCTCCAGATTCGTAGCATGATGAATAATTCGCCGGAACATATGCCTGATGGAAAACCAATTCCGATTATTCCAATTTCACCACCATATCAAAGTATGTTTCCAAAGCAAAATATGAATGGAATTATTTCGAGGCCACATTTATTATATGATATTGATAATTTCAGATAATCTCACCGCGTCAAAACCTGGCAAAAATGCCGCTACAAATAATGGTCCGAACTTTATCGTGATGATTTTTATCACATGGTTACTGATCCATAAATTTTCAGCAATCTAGTTTAGTCATTTACAAGGTGAGAAAAAATAATAGATGAAAAAAAAGTTGTGTCATTGTGACGATTATTAGATAAAAATCAAATGTAAATAGTAGTAGAGATATAAAAATTACAAAATAAACCGCATGAACAAATCACATTGCTGTTTTGAATTTGCTTATCGAGAGGGAAAAAACTGTATTTGTACTTGAAACATTGTTTGCAAAAGAAATCTGGAGTCTCCCGTTGCTTGACATGAATTCTATTTAAATCTCTTTGATAATGTATGAATTTTAATTTGAAAACATGAAAACCCACAAAAGTTACTTGAAAATGTTTACAGGTTTTTGTAGATGTTAAATGACATCTTTCAATTTATCAACATAACCTCAACGATTTTGAGGTGTACGGTTCAAATAGTTCATTTTCATAACAAGATCTTTGTAAATATTACAAAAAAAAATCAATTAAGATGACAGACACTAGTCAAACAAAATCAGCTCAAAACGAATCTACGCCAAACGAATCAAAATCAGGTGAACAAAAGAGTGGACAAGAGTCTGAATGGGCGAAACGACTTTTAAAATCAGCTTTCTTCAATACGAGCGGTGAAAATAAATGGGGCTACGATTTGTATCCCGAGCGCAAAAAAAACTTCGAGCTCTCACTTTTCAAGGCTGTAACAATGGAACAAGGACGTGAATCATACGATAAAGTGAGGTGCGAAAAGAATGTTTTCTTTTGCGCTCAAAAAAGTCCACTGGTTAAAACGATGATGGGTGCATTGAGATCAGCTGGCTGGTAGGATGATGCAATTGTGCAAAATGTTCATGTAATTTTCGCCCAACTAAATTCTTTTACATTTGATGATATAGCCCATTTGATTTGACAAGACACATATCATGTGAAACTTGCGATGAATCGGTGACTGGCGGCTATGATCCGGAAACCAATCAAATCGTAATATGTCAAAATACAGCGAGAGACCGTGGATTTGTACAGGGCATCCTAACACATGAAATGATCCACATGTTTGACTACTGTTTGAATAATTTGGACTTCAAAAACGTTGAACATTTAGCATGTACAGAAATTCGAGCAGCTAATTTGGCGCATTGCAGTTTTTTGGGTGCGTACATGCAAGATGATGCCGACTTTTTTAATATCCGAAAAAAACATCAGGTACAAACAACAACGAAATAATGTGATTTGCTAACAATATTTAAAATAAATATTATTATTCGACAGGATTGTGTTAAAACAAAAGCACTTTACTCAGTATTGGCTGTTCGACGGGATCTATCAAAGGCTGAAGCCATCAAAATTATAGAGAAAGTGTTTCCAAAGTGCTATGCGGATTTAGAACCAATTGGACGGAGAATAAGATCAGGCAGCGCTGATCCAGAGCACGCTTATGCAGAATCAAAATATTATGGCTATTATTGATACAATTGCATTTTGTGGTTTATTGTTGGCTTTATTGATATTTAATATATGCACATCAAGTGATTAAAGCTAATAAATTAGTGAATTTTGTGCAAAAACTGTATATATCATTTGTACGTTTCCCATGGAAATTGTGTTCAGGTACAAAGCGTTTCAAGACATTTCAGCCGTCTCGTCATAGGCATCGTCATCACTTTCTGGAATATTTTAATGTATTTTTTGAGTTTATTGATTTTTGAAATAACAATTTGAATTTTCTTACTCGGAAATATCAACCCCATAACAATGTCGAATATAAACGGAAGAATATCACAGTTCTCCATTCTTATTTGTGAATTTTCTGTGTTTAAATAAAGATACAATACCCGAGTGACACACCTGAGCTTATTGAATTCAATTCGGCAACTAAATATTTCGTGTTTCCAAATAGGCTTTGACTCTAGTCATACTCTTGTAATTACGTTTAAATGGTTTAATTATTTAAATGATTATTACTCTTTTACGCACGGTGACCGTCCGAAAAAATATTTTACATCATTAATTGTTCAGTGATTACAAGTGAAAAAAGTCATTAAAAAATGTTGGTTTTCTCATCTGCTAATTGTGATGCCAAAACTAAATTGTATGAGCCAAGGTGTCAGCAAAACTTTTTCCGATTCAGAAAAGTAGAATGTATGCTTAGATATTTTTAGTTTTGCCAAATGATTTATAGGCGAAAATTGTTCGAGTAGTAGCTTTGAATGATTTTTCTTGCTTTAGAAGTAAATGGACGACATATCTGATTTTACTGGATGGTTGTGGACTGCGAGGATTACATCTGATCTAGATAATATATTTGGATTTTGTCATTTGGATATTTCAGATCATCTGGATAACGTTAGGCGATGATACGGAGTGAAAACAATAGGAGTGATTGTTATAGTTATGGCAGTATTTTTATACCTATAACAATCACTACAATTGTTTTCACTCCGTATCATCGCACAACGTCATCCAGATGAGCTGAAATATCCAGATGAAAAAATACAAATATATTGTCTGATCTGATTAGCACGCGTAGTGGCCCAAAAAAAGTTTTTGGTATCGAGATGCCAAATCCAGATCTCGAAAATACTCCGGGTCTTGAATTCAATTGATTTTATCCATAAAACAACAACAACATACTCTACAGGCGGCAACATTAATCTTTCATTGGGGATAATTTTGTACACTCAACACACACAAAAGACACTCAACCTCAATGTGAGACGATTTGACTCTTTAAATGAAAAAGGCGACAAAATAAACCGTAGAGTAAAAAGAGCACATACGGTCCTCAGAACCAAAACAGCGTACAAATTTAAAATACGTCGGAAAAATCCCTATTAGAAAAATGCATATTGCACAAACATCGTTCTTTCGTAAGGGGTGTAGAATAGAACTTTTATACTACACATACATTTTACATGTATTTGTTGCCTTTGTGATAATTTTGACAATTAAATTTCATTCAATTGTTTGGTTCGCAATCCATTTAGATTTTAGTTTACGTTTCTTTTGTTGTTTGTGTGTAACTCATCGTCATATCAATGAAAAAAATTGCAAGCGAATACATATTTAAATGTCAAATACATTAAAATGGAACAATTTGCAATTTATCAACGAAAAAACCAAAAACCATGGTGAATTTATTGCAAAATTAGCATTAGTTTTTTTCGGTTTTTATATTTTTTGTGCAAAAATCTAATTGAGTTCAACAAATGCCACCATCAATCATATTGGAGCAAAACAGCTTTGTTTTGAATACCGAACACTTTTAACGTATGTGCATTTTAATATCAAACCGAATGAAAGTCCGTTTCGTTTGCGGAATTGAAGAATACCAAAATTGAACTATTTGAATTTGTGTGTTTTTTATCGCTTCCTTTGTGTTTTATCTATAGCAATAACATTATTAACTAGCAATCATTCTATTGTCACGTCTAGTGTTTGTTGTGTAATTGTGGAATTGTTTTTTACATGTAATTACAATCAATTGCGTGATAATATTCAACTGCTATACTACCAAATTTGCCTTTGATATATCGTGCTTATCATCATATTCTGGCCTATTCTATGACTGCTTTTCTCCTACGCTAAACTGTTTTTTGTTGCACAGCTCAATATTTATCAATATGACTAAAAATATTTATCTAAAAAGATAAGTTATGTCATAATTCATTCGTACGGATTTTGATTTGGCGTTAAATATTATCACATTTTTGTTTTGGTTATCATTTCAAGCAAGCACCATATCCGAGTAATTCCACTAGCTTTTAGATATCACTATAAAATCCGGTACATTGTAAACATAGTAATACAGAAATGTTTTTTTTTCTTTCGCAGACAAAATAGTGCGACATGGGAAGTCTAAATGAAATGAGCGGTATGTACAATAAAAAATCATGTGATTTAGTCATTGATAGTTTCGTTGAGTATCATAAATTATTCAAAATGAATTATTGTAATTGAATTTCAGGTGTTCGCAATATAACCAGTCGTCGATCTCTGGCTCCATTGTTAGTTGGTATACTAGTTGGATTTTTAGTAGCAACAGTTTTTATATCGACCGAGCCAAAACCATTATGGCTAAGTTTTTCGGGTAAAAAAGTTGTCGATTTACGTGATCCTCATAATGGCGGCGATCTGGCCGATGCCGAAGGACCGGAAAAGGATGTCGGCTTTCATTCGAACCATGAAGGTGCTCACGCTCACGAAAATAAAACGATTGCTCAACAACTATACAATGACGTTCGTATTTTGTGTTGGATCATGACGAGTCCAAACAACCATCAAAAGAAAGCCCGTCATGTAAAACGAACGTGGGGCAGTCGCTGCAATCGAATTCTATTCATGAGCTCAACTGAAGGTAACATTTTAAAACAATATTTTTGGTGGAATTTTCCAAAACGATCAATCATAATATTACAATTCGTTATAAAAAAAATATTCTTGTTCATTTAGATCCCGAATTAGACTCAGTGGCTTTACCGGTGAAAGAAGGTCGCAACAATTTATGGGCGAAAACCAAAGAAGCATTCAAGTATATTTATAAGCACCACATGGATGACGCAGATTGGTTTTTAAAAGGTTAGATAAATTCGATATTTGTTTTAAGAATTTACAATTTTTTGTCTTTATTTCAAATTATGACGTATTTCTTATCTTAGCAACTCTTTGTATTAAAACTAAGCCATTTTTATTATAAAAATTTATTCTTTGGTCTTTGTTCATAGCTGATGATGACACATATGTTATTGTTGAAAATTTAAGATACATGCTGTATCCATATTCGCCGCAGTTTCCAATTTATCTCGGCTGCAAGTTTAAGCCATTCGTAAAACAGGTAATATAATGACTAAAGTATTTCTTTGTTGGATCCAATTCAAAATGACAATCTTTTTTCAGGGTTATATGTCGGGCGGTGCCGGGTACGTTTTATCAAAGGAAGCAGTTAAGCGATTCGTTGAACAGGGCATTCCAAATAAAGATAAATGCAAGCAATCGGCCGATGGCGCCGAAGACGTTGAAATTGGTACTTTCCATACAAATTGTAGGAAGCTCAACAATTATAATCTAACATTTTTTTTTAATTTCTATAAATAGGTAAATGCCTCGAGAAAGTCAATGTTTTTGCTGGTGATTCTCGTGACAATCTTGGTCGTGGGCGTTTCTTTCCCTTCGTGCCGGAGCATCATCTAATTCCAGGCCATGTAGACAAGAGTTTTTGGTATTGGAAATACATTTTCTATGAAACGGATGAGGTACTTTACGTTTGTATTTCGATATATTAAATACTGAAGCGAATATTTAGCTGACATACGCTATTTGGTATAATTTCAATTTTGTGACATTGACTGTGTTTGCAGTAATGATTATTTTCGACATTTAAAATAGAATACATTCAAATTTGTCGTTCCAATTTGATGACACGATCAATAAATGTATATCAGCTGCTCTGATCATATAATGTCTGTATATTTTATAATTCTTTTTGCCTCTTTCTTTCGTATAGGGTTTGGACTGTTGTTCCGACAATGCGGTTTCATTTCACTACGTATCACCAAATCAAATGTACGTGTTAGACTATTTAATCTATCACATGCGACCATATGGAATAGTCACGAATTCTCAGCCCTTACCAGGTTAGATGAAAATGATATTTTTTCAAGAGCTGGTCAAATTTCATTTATTTATTTCATTTTTTATCAGAAAAACTGTTATTTTCGGACATAACTGGTGGCGAACAAATACCAATCACAAACGACAGCAATAATTAATAACAAATTCGAATGAGAAAGAAATTCTGTTACAAAATGCATACCAAAGTATATTAATTTTAGGCAATCATTGATGAAAACTCATTCATACACGATACACTTACATTTAAGATGCCGAATTGAACGATTGATATTGAGTGTGGGTACTTCAAAAAAAAGTGCAGTGAGACGTATCATAAAAAATACTGAAAGGAATTGAGCAATAAATTGAATATTTTTTTTTGCTATACAAGAATCTCTATGCCATAAAATCATGTAAAGATTTGAAAACGGTTTGAGTCGAAATAAATAAGCAGGAGGTTTTAAGAAAAAATAGACAATATTTGATGTATTTTATTTTTGTTTATCTTTGTGTCAAATCTATTTGATTTCAATTCTTCCACCGAAAGATTTTATTCAAAATAACACAGCTGTCACATTCAATGTGTCCCTATCGGAGTCTTTTGACAAATGTGTCAACAATACAACGTGCTCTATGACAGCTTCTCACATGTTATTTTGATCGGATCGCAAATAGTTGTTTTTTTTTTTTTCGCTAATTCAATATAAAAAAATCGCTGGTAAAATGATAAAAAAAGAAGATAAAATCAAAGGTCCACTGCAAAGGGCGCTGCAAGTCTTTGAAACAAATACAAAATCACCAACCGATTATCTAAAGTAAGTCTTTACATTTTTGTTTTAAATCTTTCGACCATCAAAACGTCATAATTTCGGAATCATTTTCAGGGAGCAGAAAGAGTTTGCCGAGAAAAATCGTCTATTATTGAAGTCATTATTTGATTATGCAAAAGCATCGGGACCACATTTTCAATCAAAAACATTGCCAGACGAAATTTTCGTCGAACATATGGATGAAGAGCAGATATGGCAACAGTTAGAAATGCAAAATGATTCATTTTGGGAGAAATGTATGAGCGAAACTTGCCGATTGTTGTCGTTGAATGAAAATAAATTGACATTTAAAGTGAATTATCCCGGCCAAGAGCATGCGACACAGGAGAATGGAAACGAAGCAAATGAGGTGGAAGAATCGGATGGCTATGGTGATAGTGTTCAAAATGAGTCCGGCGAAGAAGTTGAAGATAAAGAAGACGAAGAAGATGAGGAGGAAGGCGATGAAGACGAAGAATCTGTTGGTGACAGCGATGTGGATGGCGAAACAGACGAAGATTCGACTGTTAAAGCATCCAAAACCAAAGCCGCTGTGGATGATGATCAATTTGTTGATGACCAGTTTTTCAAAATTAGTGAGATGGAGGCATTTCTTGACAACGAAGATAAAAAAGAGCTCGATCGATTGAATGGCAAACGACCTAAACAAGGAGACTCAGAAGATGAAATTGATTATTTCGACTCGTTGTCCGATGCTGAAGACAGTGACGATGAAACAGAAATTGGTGCAAAAGGAAAAGATATGATGTTTGCTGACTTTTTCGATGCAGAAGATCAGGGCAAGGTCGAAACACCAGAAGAGATAAGGCAACGTAGGCGAGCCGAAAAAGAGGAGAAAAATCGTCGCAAGAAACAACAAATGAAAGAAGATTTGGGTTTGGATGACAGTGAAGCTGAAAATAGTGAAACCGATGGAAATCTACTCGAACAAGAAGAAAGCGATCACAATGAAAGCGACGATGATGAGGTTGAAAAGTCTGAATTCGATTTGCGACAGCAGCGATTGAAGAAACGTATCGAAGAATTGGAAGAGAAAGCATTGGGCGAAAAACCATGGCAATTGAAAGGTGAAATAACCTCATCAACACGGCCAAAGAACTCTTTGCTTGAAGAAGTATTGGAATTCGATTCAGTTGCCCGTCCACCGCCGCTAATTACCGAAGAGACAACTCTGTGCTTGGAAGAAATTATCAAACGTCGCATTAAATCGAAAGCATGGGATGACGTTGAGAGAAAAATCAAACCAATCAATGACCAGCAAGATTTTCGAAAGAGCTTAGTTCTACAACAGGAAAAAAGCAAAGAGTCCCTGGCACAAATTTACGAAAAAGATTATTTGGAAAAAGTGCATAAGCTAAACAATCTGGACGATGACACGAAGACCGATGAACCACCGGAACATAAGGATATTCGCAAAGCAATGAAAGATTTATTCATCAAATTAGATGCTCTATCAAATTTCCATTTTACATCGAAGCCGGTAGCGGCCGAGGCTAGAATTATAACAAATATTCCGGCAATTGAAATGGAAGAAGTGGCACCAGTTGCCATTAGTGATGCCACATTGCTGGCGCCAGAAGAAGTCCGAACACGACCGGTTGGTGATGAAATTGGTAAAACGGAGAGAACAGATACCGATAAAAAACGCGAACGTCGCAAGAAGAAAAACAAGCAAAAACTGATGAAACAACGTAATGATAAACGGGTCGAAGAAAAGGTAAAGCAAGGCATCAAGGTTACAACGAAGGAAAAACAACAACAGTTATTGAATCAAGTAACCAAGAGCAGGAATGTTATTAAGGTAATTCTTAGCATTGACAGTGAATTATGGACAGCATTTTGAGTGCAAAGTACAAGTTTGCTCCGGCATTTTTGTACACAATTTTTCTCACGTTGTTTATTGCACGAAAATCGAGGTTATTCACCTTTTTGATTTCGGTTTTTACAGTGCTGATGCAACAAAAACGCTTCTTTACTGATTTTCTCGATTAAGCGTCAATTCATCGAAAAATAATGAAAAAAAAACTTTTTTGAAAAAATCATCTATCCCTGTTTAATGTATATTTTATTTTTAATTTGTACAGGGCAAGAGCTCAACGAATGACGAGAACAAAGCGTTAAAATCGTCGAAATCATTCTTCACCCAATTGCAGGACAATATCTCATCAACGGTTAAATCAAAGTCATTGGGTAAAAAGAAGTCAAGAGGCGATCTGACAAAAGATGAATCAAGTGCCAAGAGATTTAAATTGTAGATGAACTCATCAAATAAATCAATTTCAAAATAAAATAAAATTATATGCACAATTTTAGCAGGAGTTCGGGTTTGATTTTTTAAAGCAAACAATTACAATAACGAAAATAGCTTGAAGAATTCAATTATTCTGTTTCTACTTTAAGAGTAAGACTAACAAATCCATTCACTCATTCATTCATTCTGGTTTTTTTATGAGCGGATATTAAATACAGTGGGATGTTTTAGCCGACCAAAAGCGGTTCTGCCACCTCTTCTTTTTTTATATTCTTTGTTCCTTTTCATTGTCGAAGTCAATTGCTGAACACATTGCGATGACAATTCACATTCGAATAATTAATTAATTCGCTGTGAATATATTTGAGACTTGAATTGCGTGATCGTTATTGTATGCCGCGACACCAGCGAAGTAGTTAAAATACAGATTCGTGATGGAGGAATAACAATTTTCAAGAAGCGGCTAAATCTAGCGTGCCATAGAACGATTGCGAAAAGATATATTGACGTAATACTAGCGGAATTTATCGTCATCACTTCTTTTGACACACATCGGCCGTTTATATTTCAATATCAAATGATGTGCGGATCGTCAAATGATTTTAAACGATCAGCGTGCTCAAAAGTCGTGGGTACATAAATCAGTTTAGGTAAAAATGTAATCGATTCCAACGTGAAATAAATGATAATTGGCATCACTTGTTAATGTAGAGAGATTGACGTGACTTGTGTCATCTCGCATTACTCAACAACAAACAACATGCGGTCGTAATAAATTCCAGTTTAAAAAATGTTATGCGGTTTTCGTTTTTACTACAGCTGTATAAGTCCGCTTGAATTGTTGACCAATAATGATGCTATTACACAGGTGCTCAGTGCTCACTTATACAGTACGACTGATTACTTCGATATATCCTTAAATTTTTTGTTGTTCAATTAATAATTTAAATTTTAATTGCAAGTTGATTATCATCAATTTATCGTCAGGATTGCTTGGAGTTAGTTTCATATCAATTCTTCCCGAAATCATTGTATCTGAAATCATTTTGTTTACATTTGAATAATAAAGGGAAAAAAATGTCTGAATGATACAATGGTGTGATTGACCTCCGAATAAAAAAAAAGTGTCCACGCCATTGAATCAATGAGGAATTCAAAAACCGCATTTTATTCAATTTATGACTAAATGACTTCGAACCAAGACTTGCTTGGAACGGTCAAAGATTTATTAAGTTTTACTCGGTTCAATAAAATGTTCCGCATTGTTTACGAAAACAACAGAGATTGAAACACAATTAGCGCAAATCATTGTTTGATCTTTGCCAACAAAAAGTCATCCAACCTAGTTCAAGTCAAAATGTTATATCCAAAGCTGCGAGCCACTTACATGCGGATAGTGGGACTTAATCGGTGTTATTTATCTTGAATGTTTTTCTTCACGGATTGTTAACGAGCGACGTTGATTGAACCGATGATAAAGAACGTGATTGCCCTGCTTTATAATTGATGTAAGCTTTAATTCCAAAATATGTACCGAAATTTAATCAAAGATTTTTGTAATCGTGTCATCATCATTCGTCTTCAGTTCAAAACAAACAGGTTTCTGTATGACTTAAGTCAATTGAATTTTTTTATGCATAGAGCATTGTTGTATAGCCAAACAAGAACACGTCTTACACCGACGACAACAACAACTGATCGCGAAAATCGAACACATTATTTCAAAATATTGAAGAATACACACTCACACGCGGCTCATCATCACATTTTGAGTGAATTATTTTTTTTTAAATACATCATCAACTTCCAATACACGCAAACCGTGTTATTCACTTTTATTTTCACTGTGTGAATACACGCTATTTATTACCACCAATGAGCTCAGGTATACTGTGTTTGTGTGTCCACATTAACTTGTGCACACGGTAATTCCCTCTTTTTCGTCGTGTTTTTTAACTCCATCTCGCTCGCATAAAACTCGAAAGAAGAGGTACATTTGTAACTGTATTAAAGAAGTAATGGTATACAATAACTCAGTTATACAAGTCTCGTTTGGTGAAACGGTTGTTTTTGTGCTCTTCCATCTCGAACCAACTGAACTGAGTGTTTTCGTCTCTTCTCATAGTACTTTCATATATGCATAATTCGGGCTAATTGAAATTCAGTTTGTGAAGTGAAATCAAATGCGGGGCAATCGAATTACATAAAAGTTATTTCAAGTAAAATTTTGCTGTTAAATCGATGCCATTGGAATTGAGCTGTAAATTAAACCAAACGAGATCATTTAAATAGAGAAAAGTGATTCATTTAGAGAAGAAAAAACACCATACACACAAAATTATGAAGCAAACATAAAGGTGCATCATTGCATACCATATCAAAATCAAACAGAGAATCAAACAGAGACTACAGCTGCAAATCAATACACTGACCGGAGATGCTGTGCACACATACAATCATCAAATAATGTATGTGATTTGCTGTCTTCTTTAAACAAACGTATGCGTTACTATACTGTTGATTTTTTACAACAACAACAAAACACACACACACACATTTTGTGGTAAAAATCAAAAGTGAGAAAATTTGAAACCAACCACAGAAACATTCAAATTCCAAGGTGGACAGACAGATGAAATCTATATCATATAGTTGAGAGAAACACAAAACATCGACATTAACAATACATATCGAAATTTGTACAATAACAATAGTAGAGAATTAGCGGTGGACGTGCTAATAAGTAAAACAATAGCGATCAGGTTACAAGAAAACCACAACAGTCAAAAATTGTGTTCAATTGTTTGGTGATGTGAGAGTTATTTTGTGTGAGTATGAGTGGTGTCTGAGTGTGATAAAGAAAAACATTGTGTGCATGAAATAGAAATACAATGAAACGTGTATAAAAAGTGAATTTGATTGTTGAGTTGCATGGGCGCGAAAGCGAGAGTAAAAAGTCACTATCATAAATCATCGTAACGAGAAAAAAGAAAACACTACAGTGAAATATCACATTGACATCGAACGAATGCCGTCGACGAACGTCGGTACATTGAAAAATGCAATTTGACTACTTGTGATTTGTTCGTTTCATATTTCATTCGTCTTTTTTTTTAAGTATAAACAATTCAATTTTTTGTATTTCGTTTACTTGTCGTTCAATGATTTAATACAGCTAAATGTAAGTGCAATTCTCCAAATTAAAAGACGCAAACATTTATTACACGGATATATTCAATGTTGTTCCGTTGCAATTTTTCGATTCGTTTGTTTTTTTTTTTTTAATTGGATTTTCAAATGACATTTTCAATGGTCAAATTAATTTGTTGAATTATTGCGTTCTGTTGTTACGATTTGTGCGTACGGTATTTCGTAATAATGATTTTGTTTTTTTTTTTCGCGTACAATTCAGCCAGTTAATTGAGGGTCTCTCCTAAACAAGTATTAAATAAATTTATGACAAATATGGAAAAAGTGAGATTTCTCAAAGTTAAAGTATTTGATTTATTGATTTCGAAGATCCGACACTCCATGTAGTTTGCACACCATTTTTTATTATATATTGTGAATCAATTAATTTCAATCACAATTAAAATCAATATCAAATTCATCGTTGGGATCAAACGGCATAAAACAAGTAGTGAATTAATAATATTCATTATTTATCGCTTTCGAATTATTTTATTCATTGAAGAAAAGAGCATGCACTGTACGCGATCTCGATATCGTGCACCTAATTAGTTTGTGTTCAGCAGTAAAACAAAGTAGCGATTTTTTTCTATCAGTTCAGAGGGTAGTTGTGTGTCGTACTGTCGTACGTGGTGATTTTCGTGATTTTTGTTTTAAATTTTAGATTAAATTTCATACAGTAAGTATAAACCTTATTATTATGAACATGCCTTTTTTGTTTCCTTACAGTTTGCAAAAATTGCTGTTACCGCACGTTTCATCCGATGCATGTGTAAGTCGATTTCATCACTTTTTTCCATTTCTTCTTCTTACGTTCGTTTTGTTTTCATTATCACATGGTGCATATTATTTTGCGTAATTTCATTACCGTATTTTTTGCTAAAAACTCGCCGAATTCCGAAACACGTGATAAAAATTCATGATAATCATAATTGCAAACATAGTGGACTAGAATTACAAAATCAGTCGTTTTGGATGCGTAACTTTAAAATATTAACGTTTTTCTTTTTGAAATCGTCATTCTTTTGGGATTTCTACCTGCAAAAAATGTCGGAGTGAATAATCATGGATTTTTTGTATGAAACGAAAACTGTATTTTCATGGAAACATTAGATGCATGTGTAAAATTCTGTATCAAGATCAAATTGCTCATTGCCAATTCGTACATAAATTACACATTTTACGCGCACGCACATCGCATAAAATTACAACTAAATGTCGCTCCGATTTACAAGTGTCTCCAAAGTTTTTTTTTTGTTGAGCCGTCGGAAATTACATTTATGATTTGTTTGCTACCCAGTCTATATATATATATTTAAATCGATCAAATTCCACTGTTTTCGCTTCAAAAACATACGTTAGTCCAGCTCCGTCTGAAATACAGTCACACAATTAGCATTGACATTAAACACAGCATAAAAAGACCGTATGAAAGAAAAAACGCAAAAATTTTTGTGTTTTAAATAAAAATCAAAACTGGCTTAACACAATGAAAAAAGTGGAAATATCAGACAAGGAATTGATCAAATACTTAGAAGTTGATCATTGTTATTAAATAGATATATTGGCTAGATTGGAGAGATGATTATGCAATCTGTCTACATTTTGTTATTTAATTTATTCCGTGATTTTCATCACGAATTCAATCGTTGATAAAACAGAGATAGAGAAACAAAAAACGATTAGTTTGGAATGTCGATGTATTGATTTGTTTGTATGTTTATTGAATCATTTGATTTCTCCAAATTGAAAACTTAATCGACGATGAACTTGAAAATATTGACGCCAATGTTTTTCTCATTCATTCAGCGCATTGACTTCTTGCGAGTTGGTGGAAAAAACTTAGTAAAACAAAAATCAATCTAAGCGTTCGATGGTAAAAACTTGCTTACCATTTGCTACTATAACCGATCAAGTGTAAACTTCTCCGTCTCTACGTGATTTGGTTAGCGTATTTTTTGTGCTATGCGTCATTATTTGTCTTTATTGTCTCATACCTTGATTCTGTTTTTTTTTCGGTTTGGCGTTTGCAATTTTTCTTCACCTTGTACACACATACAATCATTTCACGTAATGGACCGTAGAAATTATTATTTTCAAGATGATTTCCACTTATTGTTTGTACTTCGGAAATATTTTATTAAAACAATTTGCACATTTGCGCATTTAGTTCAGTGTGCCAAACACATTTATTATAGTAGGTCGATGGTCTCAATGACCGCACAATCTTTCTTCATTCATATATGAACTTTAGATCGTCTCGTTTGCAGATTGATCTAAACAAAAGTTAACACGGTAATGTTCAGGTATGACCAGCGTATTCCATTAATTATAAAATGATGTGATCATCAACAGGATGTTAAAATGTGTTTCTTTTTCATATTTAAGTTAATTCAAAATTAAGTCAAAGAGAGTCGTGCATGGTCGTTTTTTATGATATGATCAACTATCGTTCGAATGTTAAAGAACATTTTAATTGGATAAGCAAGATTCCACAGTATGTAAGGAGATTGGTTTAAACACTGTAAAAATTGCAACAACGAAATATTTCTTTGTTGCGAGTCGCACTTCGCCTTTTATTCGTTTTCATCCACAAACTAAGTTTACGGAAGCAATTAATTGGACGTCTGACTTTCCCATGTGTAGTAGCTCTCATGATATTAAACCTGTAATTAGTTTCAATTCGCTCACAAAAAAATAGTAGAATGAAAAACGTCAAAGAAAATTTAAGTTGTTCGTGAAATGATCGAGATTGTATGCAATGTGTAGAAAAAAGAAGTCGTGACAATTATGATATGTTTAGTCGTAAATCGATTGTCATGTGTGTTGCTTGCACACGCAAACGTCGATAGTTTTAAACGGAAATTGCTTCGATGATATTCCGCTTCTCAGCTTCAGACTGATCTACTGTACGCAAATTCGGTTTCATTTTCAATTTGATCTTTGATTGATCCAGTAACATTCGAATATAATCTCACATACGGACGTGTACTGCGCACTTTTATGGTATTTTGTGATTGTGTAACAAACATTACCGTGATTTTTCGATAATCATTTTTTGATCATGAAATCATACACAAGAAAAGAGAAAGTTAATTTTTTTATTAATGTGTTTCTTTTTTCTTTGCTATTGCTCTCGACAGAAAGGATACTCCTCAGTTGATTTAAAGTGATTTGTTACGTATATCAACGAAAATAGTATCGGCAGCATTTGAAAAAGTGAGAGAGAATGGGATGGTACGATTTATTTCATAGCAGTGATGGACCAACACTCTATACGATATCAAATCGCACCTCGGTTACCTATGACGTGTCCATTGTCGCCGTATGCATTCTCTTTGCAACTTTATTTTGTGCATTTATCATCATATTTCCGGGCGTTAGAAAACAAGTAAGTTTGTAAAATATGTGCTCGTTGTGTCGACACGGCGATAAAACTGCAGTTATATCAGAATTTATACCGCAGAACCATGCAGTTCTTTTTTATTCATCGATTAAATTCGTGTCGATGTAAAACCAGTTTTTTTGTTGTTGATTAACAAAAATCGCTTTTTTCTCTTTTTTTTTCATTGCCATACTTGTCTGGCGTCACAGAGATTTTCAACATTTTTAACGGTTACCTTAAGTTTGTTCGTCGGTCTAGTCATTTTGGGTGAGTCAACGTGAATTCAATTGAACATATTGACGCAAAAATTAGCATTTTATTGGAAATTTTATTCTGATTCCATTTTCTCTTCTTACATATGAAGTCACCCGTCTTGGTTCAGCATGGCATGTTTCGTCAACGCACATCGTAGCACCATATCGATCATTTTCGCGTGAAAAAATACCCGGAACGATTGGCGCCTACATTGGTTTAATGCATTTGAATGTCACCTTGAAAGGTATGCTGTTGTTCACTTCAAAACTAACGCAGAGACGGTCATTATCGTTCTTGAACTTGTTTCACATTATTATTATGATTTTTGTTTTTTAAATTCGTATAGCGCTACCAGTTGGAAATTGGACAGTTCGAGACATTGATTTTAATGAGCAATTTCGTTGGGATGCAGCACTGGACATGCAAAATTCATATCACATGGCTCTAAAACGTGGTTTACCGTATCCAATTTTAACCGTGGCAGAGTACTTCAGTTTGGGTCGAGAAGGTTTTGCATGGGGCGGACAATATAGAGCAGCTGGTTATTTTGCCAGCATTATGCTATGGGCATCACTTGCATCGTGGCTTTTAATGAATTTACTATTGGTGGCTGTGCCAAGGTGAGTGTGTCTGCCTATTTGAATTCAATGTGTCTTCGAGTGTCTTTGGCGGAATATTTATTCGGGATTTTATTTTATTTATTTTCGTAGATACGGAGCATACACAAAAATTGTTACCGGTTTATTATTAATTAGTACAAATCTAGGTTATTCATGGCTTGTGCCAAAGCCTCAGCTCGTCATTATCATGGAAGGTGGACGTTTGACATTTCACTATGGTTGGTGTTTTTGGTTGATTTTAGTAGCGGGCATTTTGTGTTTGTTCGTCGGTACGGTTATATCCGGGATTGATTTGGTATGGCCGCACACATTTTCAACCATTGTGGAAGTGTATTTTGATACCCCGTACGATCGACACGTAATTCTAGAGGTAAATTTAAAATTATTTAATTTAAAAAAATACCAATTATTATACCTATACAACATATAAATGAAGTCAATAATTTTTAAATAAATATTCAGGAATCACATGACGTACGATATCAAAAACGAAACAGCCGGGCGCTTGATGAAAGTTTGGGCCATAAAATATTAAGACGTCTATCGTCGAAGACACGAGACATGAACAGCGGTGCAGGCAATACTAGCAGTGGCATCGATAATCGAGCATATCAACGAGATGCACCAAACTCACCGTGGGATTACACACATCGACCGCGACCACTACATCAGCCGTTGCATCGAACAATATCAGAAGACTCGACTACTTCGATGCAAATGGAAATGCAACCGATTCAAAAAATGGTTCTCTCACGGAAAATACCGTAAGTTGTCGATCAAATAACATATGTCCATAAAGTCTTGACAGTAAATTCAGATGTTTGCCATTTGAACAACAAACATACAATATTAAATTCTTTTTTATTGGTATAAACCTTTATTAATGGGCTACGAATAGCACATTCACCTTACACTGAACAGGCCATTGTCTTCGATTTTTCTCAGTATGCGTCGAACCTTCAAAATCATGCTTTGGCGGACCAATATGTCGATTTCTTTCAACTTTCTCTCGAACCTTCCCGCTAATTGTTGCTTGTTTCAAGTATTTTGGACCTTCGCCTATAACTTACATCCAAAAACAGACGAGAAATAATTAATTTGGTGTCTTTTTGTGAAGTTAAACAGATGGTCCTTTTTTCACGGAAATGTCATATTTTAAGAAGTGAGCCATTATTGTGGTTTTTTCTGCTTGCAAACCAAAATTTTGTGTTAAATCAGATAGTTCTCAATGAATTCTATCGATTTCAACAACAATTGGTTGATAATGGAGCATGCAATGGAGGTTTTACCTTACGTTTCAGCACCAAATTCTCGAATATTGGATCTAAAACACCTTCCAAACTTAAATACCCAATTTTTGACACCCTATTGAATTTTTTCATTACTTATTTTGCTGATTCCTAATGACCGGGTCTAAATCTATTGTTTTGGTTCAAATTTTGATGTGCTGTAACCATAAAAATCACCAAAAACGAATTTTTGCTTGACCAACCCGGTTTTCGGTACTTGATGACAATTTCGGAGGGTTGGAGCATTTAAATAGGGAATACGACCGTACTTTTTGCTTTCTCTAGAATCTTTGTCCTCATACTAAGTCCATGAAACACAATATATGGTTCGTAGGCAGATGGGTTCATCTTTAGACACATGCGAAATTTGTTTTGAACTTAGCCGCCACAACCATTTGAGACACTTTTTCGTAAATCCAATTTGTACGTCTCCGCGAATGGATGTATTTCATCGAATTGAGTTTGATAGTAGTCCCGAGGTACTGATAAACGTGCCGTGTGCATTGGTTGATATTTTTGATTTTGTTTATGTGGCGCAATAAACGCCTGAATTTACTGTCAAGACTTTATGGACATATGTTATGTGCAATGTGCATTCTGCAATGCATGACTAGTGTGGAAGACTAATGAATTTGTATTTTTTTAATAGGCAACCCATTGCAGAGCAACACACTGTGGATATGAATTGGTGAACGTAAATCTATTTACTCAATTCAAAGTCAAGTTCAACGTTAAAGAGAGAAAGAGAACTGAGTGTTTGATGAAAACGGAAACATAATTTTAATTTTAATTTAATCATTTTTATTAATTTAATAAAAAGAAACCTTTTCCATTCGTTTTTGTTTTTTGTTTTGTGTTTTTTTTAATTACTTTAAGGCGAAAAGAATGTAATTTCATGAAATTTGCCATCTTCAAGGGTAACAGTTGCACTAATCAAGTGAAAGGCTTTATAGAAGGCATCAGGATGGCTGTCAGCACATTCAAATTCAATTAAATTCTTATCTCCATTTCGGGCATTGGATCTGATGGGGCCGAGTTTAGGTTGACGATTGGATTGCCCAAGAGAATACAGACGATATTGCTTAAATTATAAATTAAATGTTTTAATATAGATCATTTTTATTGCACATAACATTTATTTACCATAAAAAGATTAACGGCGCTTTGCTGCCCACCATCAACTGTTTCTCCGGTTGTAAGAGTTATTTTAAGAAGAAACCCAGCATTTCTGAAACTGAATTATACATCGGTACTATATCCATTATTTTTGAGGTTTGCTAACAATAATATTGGAAGTATAAATTAAAACGTAAGGATTTTTCACTGAAATTGGGCATTTATTTCAAGAGGATGGTACACATTTTTATATTCAAAGTATTGTCCATCGCTAGCCACTACTTTTTCCCATTTTCCGTGCCAAAAGAATGATTGTTGTTTTGAACGAAACCACGCCCCGACCCAATCTCCAAAGAAGTGAAGCGTTTGCCTGCCAATTCGTTTTGCATCGTTCGAAACAAGTAGTAATCAGAAGGAGCAATGTCTGGTTAATACGGCGGGTGGGGTAAGACTTCCCACTTAGTTGTTTCCAAATATTATTTGACGACATTTGCAACATGTGGCCGAGCATTGCCATCAAGAAGAATTAACCGGTTGTGATTTTCCCTCCATTCTTTCCGATCTTTGTCCAATGCTCGCTTCAATTGCATCAGTTGTAGTCGATAGTGATCTCCTGTGACTGTTTCACCTGGTTCCCTTTTGATCCCACCAAACACAGAGCATTACCTTCCGGCAATAAATATCTTGCTTTGATTGCGATGGTCCTGGTTCGCCGCGTCGAACGTATGATTTTTTTCGCTTTGGGTTATCGTAGTGGATCCACTTTTTATCGCCCGTAACAATTCGATCCAAAAATGACTTGCTTTTTTGTCTTGCGAGCAGCATTTCACAGATGGTTAAACGCCTTTCAACATCTCTCGGTTTCAATTCGTGCGGCAACTAGTTTCCATATTTTTGGATGAACCCTAATGCTTTTAAACTTTGTGAAATGGTTGCTTGAGTAACTCCCAATAATTTAGCGAGTTCTTCTTGCGTTTGGCATGGATCTTCATCGAGTAACAATTCCAATTCTTCATCTTCAAATTTTTTCGGCTGGCCTGGACGCTCTTTGTCTTCCGTGTCAAAATCACCACTTCTGAATCTTCCAAACCATTTTTCACATACACTTATTGAAATTGAATAATTGGGATACGTTTCCGACAACAAACGATGACATTCAGCAGCACTTTTCTCTTGATTAAAGTACAAAAGCATTGCTTCCCGCAAATTCTGTTTTGTTGGAACGTAATTCGACATTTTAATCGCAATAAAAAACTTGTGTGTGCAGAATTGTTTTCACTTTGACAGATCGAATTTAGTAGATTTTTTGACGCTCTTTAAGATACATCAGCTTTCACTGTCCAAACAATTGCATGTGTGATAGATATGAAGTTAGATACGAATCCTTACGTTTTAATTTATACTTCCAATATATGCACTGAAATCTTACATTTGAACTGTCACATTCTCTGCAAATTTACACAATTTGAGAATATAACGTTTTGAATAATGTAACTATCAAAAATTGCGAAATGGAGACGCCCGGACATTTTTAAATAAACAAAAGATCGAGCATCCAAATTTAATAGACTTTTTTCAATCGCTTTACTATTTCAAATTGGTAATAATATGAAAATATTTGATGATTTTTTTTATTTATTTATTTATTATTATTAAATGAACAATTCTCAAATTTATCCTTCAATTGAACGCTCCAGAATAAAAACAACGTACTGAATGGTTGTTATATCAAAGCGGAACAGGGCGTTTTTTTTTTATATAGAATTGTTGTTGCATTACAAAGAAAATATGATAGAACATGGCTATTTTTATATATTTTATGTTTTCATTTAAAAAACGAATATCAAAAATTCAAAAAAAAAAAACTCTTCACACAGGGTTCGATATTTCTATCTCTCTTCTCTCGGTTAAGAAAAAGATCATCACGATCGATTGAAAAGTGGAGAAAATATGGTCATTTTACCAAAAATGCCGAAAAAACTGAAAATTGGTCGAATGATGTGTTTGTATTTTTGGATTTTGTCCGTACCATCTTTTAAATTACGTGAAATGATTTTTTATCGGAAGTAAATGGAAAATTACGCAAACTTCTTTTACATTTTTCTTAAATTTGTTGCGTAAGTGATTTACGAACATTTTTGGTGGGCACTTTTTTAGTTTTTTATCAATCGGACATTTTTCTGGTCATCTGCAAGGCATTTTAATGATTTATATGTCGTAGGAAAGGTGTGAGACTCACCTTTCTGAATCTGAAGTCAGAATTGATTTTTTTTTTTAATGTCCACCAGGTGGCGTGTTATGTGGCATTTTCACTTGATCCAAATTTTAAAAAAATTGCGTAGAAAAAATCAAAAAACTAGGCGTTTTTTTGGGGAATAAATATGTGATGTTTTGGTGTATGTGTCATATCTGGGAAAATTCGTTTTAAAAAAAATCGCATCCCGAAGTTGAAATTATTTTCGGCAATTTTTAAATTTTTTCGGCCATTTTTGATCACAGGTAGACGGGTTGTTTTCAATAGAATCACGGCAATTCGTGACTTATTGGAAAGATATTTGGCTCCTCTTAACGAAGCAACAAAGAAATTTTGAAAAAAAAAATCAGTGAAAAAGGTTAGATTAGTATGACTAGGCCTCGAAAAATGGGGAAAATCGATGAAAATCAAAGTTAGTCGTCATTTATCTCCACAGCAATGAAACGACAACAACAATAACACATAATTTTACTGTCAAAATTTTGATGTCAAATGGTGTCGACATTGGTGACGGTATTTTGAAACAGACTGTGTAATCCATATTCATCGTGTATGATCGTATGTAAAGTTCTATACTTGATCTAGTTCACATTGACGGTTCAAATCGTTTATGTCCACTAGCGTAGACATGCACTGTGTGTTTCTTCTGTTACATGTACGTTGTAATGGACAAGTATAGTAACATGGCGTCGTTCAAATAAATTTAAAAATCCGTCACTCGTGTCGACACCATTTAGCACGGTAGTAGGGATTTCATTGTTGTGGATGATCCATCATTTTGGGAAGCGTTACCGTTGTCCCATGACTTTTACATTGCCTTTTTGCCGTTGTCCCATGACTTTTACATTGCATCGCGTCACAGTGACCTGCTATTCAGTACAGCTCGCTGAATGCAACTGAAAAAAATGTAGCATTTGCCAAATGGCAAGCCTAATGGGATGAATTTATTGAAGATTTGACCAATTGCCAAAACAAAAATGAATAAAAATATATTTGCTACTTGCACAGAATTCTCGTACTTTTGAAATAAAAGTTATAACCAAATACATTTGGCATAACGCCCAAATCAATTATGTTTTGTTGGTCTGTATTCACTTATTGGATGCGACATCTGTGTTAAAACTGTTGTTAAAATTCTTGTTAAAGTTCATTTAGTTATATCCAGTTCTTTGTCTTTATTTTGAAAAGAGAAAAAGTACAAATTTCGGGTAAAATTATAATTTTACAAAGCCAAATAAATGGAAAAAAAAAGTAATAAATAGAGACTGCTATTTAGAAACAGAGACTGTTTCTCAGAACATTATTTGTGAGGAGGAGCGCTCTTTAGAGCCAGTAGGTGCTACTGCAAAGGACAAACGTAACTTTTAATACTTTGCTCCTCACTGAGAAGGAGCTGGGCTCCTCAGAGCGCTCCTCCTTACATATATTGCTCTGCGAAACAGTCTCTGTTTAGAATTCAAATTGAGAACTTGTGTAGTACATTTTGCGAATGTTTTTCACATTAAAATCTATATTATTATTTTTCAGTTTGACATCGATTTTGAAAATTACAACAGGTCTATTTTGATGTTGAATTCATTCAAGAAAATAATTGAAAATAGTATTTGATGTCAAGCCCATTTCAGTTTAATTCCATTAAAACTAAATTTAAATCTATCTGCACTGGTGGAAGTGGACAATAAGCCTTTATTTGCCGATGAATTGCAGAAAATATGTTCGTTTATTCCTTCGTTGCATGTGTATTTCCAGTCCCAATTATTTCCTATCACAGGCCGTTGAGGTGAATCGATGTTCAGCAATGAATACCACGACGAGAAAAACGACGATGTCCATGTTGTTGTATTCGGTTGTTCTTTCTCATTCACTGGTTCGGAAGGTTTATTCAGTCTATCTAGGGCTAGATTTAATATTACGTCTAAATCAGATTCACTGGAATTTTCGGTTGATTCGCTAGGTTCATTCGTGGCCAGAGGCATGTTTGCCGTTCCAATTCTTTGCGTTAAGCTCGAATTTCTGATAGGTAAATTGGCTGATGAATGTGTTGTACTGGTTGGTGCATTCAAATATGTGCCCGGTATTTGACTAACTAAAAATACACTGGCAACCATTGTTGCAACTAAAACAGTGTAGCTTAAACTCATAACCAATATCGACTGTATCAATTGTTTGGCCACATGTGCGGATGGCATTATGCTACTCATTTCCAAGTATGTAAAAAATCCACGTTTCATTCCCTGCTGTTGTGCCAATATTATTTCCAGCGATTTAACTTTGTTAAAGAATTCTTCATTCGAGACATACACCTTCCAATCGATTGCATTTAAAAACGACAATTCCATTTCGAGCAAATTATCCGGGGTCATGTTCGCACATTCGGACCAATTCACGTATGGCGCCTCATCATCATGTCCACTGTAAAATTTTGTCGCTACCATCTAAGAAAGTGGAAGAGGAAAAAATATTTTATCAAAATTCAACGCACATTTATCTCTTCAAAGATTCATTGCATACCATTGAAACTAAAAACAATTCAGTCGGTGTTACGTGTTTTGTATATGCGGGGTCTGCATCCTTTAAACGTTCCAAATAGATCATAGCCAATATGAGTGAACATGGTGTAGAGCGTAAATTGCCAACGGTCGAGTAATTTAAACGATTCAACGAATAGCCATCATGTGTTTCGGAAAATGTATCAGCAATATAGTCGGACAATGGGATTGACATTTTGGCTTTGTTGTCACTGTAATATAGAGATTTTTGAACGCGCGTCAAAAATTCACCGTGTGACATCACCTGCAAACAAACAAACAAACAAATCGGTTATAATCGGGATATTGCACGATATATACATATATATTATTATACTGCACGAAATCATTAAATTTAATCTCCCAAAGACTAGAGATAACGCGTCAACGGTTAATCAAATGAAAAAAAAAAAATGTCTGAAAGTAATGAAAAAACAACAACAGCGTCAGCTACATTTGCTATCACACTGAGATGAAGAAAGAAAGCGAAAAAATGTAAGAAAGTATTTCAAATATGACAATAATAAACAACGCATTGAAACTATAGGCTGCTACTATTGAACGAGTATTTCAAAATATTTAAGGCATGATAATGAACATTCTTAATCCATCAAAGTAAACAATCGATGTGTCCTTCACTCACCTTGCCCTTATTCATTTTTAATTTTCCATTCGTTGAAATATCACTAATTCCATCACCGTTGTGCTTATTCCTATTTCTAGATGACGAAAAGATGTTGCGTCGAAGTTTCGACATTTTCTTCACAAAATGCGTGCTTGATATATATTGTTTTCGGTCACAGCCTCTCACTTTTTGCACTTTCAATTTGATGATTAATTTACTTTGACGTGGAACAATTGAACAAGTGTTCGCAAAATAAAAATAAAAAATCAAACGAAAAATTAAAACGAAAAAATCATAAAACTTTTTATGCCGTCGACGTCAACAATACGCTCTTGTTTAGGAAACCACATGAATACAATTTATTCCGTATTTACTTTACGGGCAACCATTACTCATTAGTTTTCACACACTGAGCACATTGAGCCACTCTCATTTTGACATTTCGAAAATTCGAAAAAGCTACAAAGCTTAGTCTCCAAACATTTTTTTCCTCTGCAAATATTCATTAGGACAATTTATGCATGTGCATTCATCACATTTTGGATATTTTGAATATTGATTGTATTATTAACATGTATGAAAGATGGCCATAAAATGTCGTTTTAATTTTTAATTCATTTGCATCTTATGGAATCTATTTTCGATTCTATGTGAAATCAATTTTGTTTTGAGCAAAATGACACATTCTAGCTGTCAAATATATAGTCAAAGCTTTGCATGCTGCTATTTGTAATCAAATCTATCGAATATATGTATGTGTTTTTTGTCTTTCACATACATCTTCTCTAGCATGACGTAAAGTGTATTTTATTTCATCGTGAGATGATCACAAACGTGTACTGCCGAATTAAATTAGTATTTGTTTAGGTGCGTGAATGTTTGGATTATAGCGAGAGAGCAAAAAGCGTTGGATGAAGTAAAATCATGCTTTAAAACAAAACCGAAACAAACCAACGCAAACCAATTCTAAGTGGTACAGTCGAAGTGAATCATTCCAATTTTGTGTAATTTTCGGAGAAGTTTTTTTCTTCTTCAAAAGATAGTGAACGTGATAATACAAAAATAAGCAGATTTGAAATGTTTGGAATACGAAAATTATCGAAGTTAACGCAACAATTAATCAAAACGAATTCAACGATTGCAGCAATAACTAATACAAATGCAACGGTATCGCTACACACACTGTCAAACCAGTCTGTTATCAGTCACGTAAAAGATACACAAACGGCATGCATCGCTTATCGTCATTTCACGCATTCGACTGTTAGGCACACTGACAAATCATCAACAAACGCAACAAATAACACACCAAACATTGGCGAATATGATACATTGACCGAATATCATGCATATGATATGATACATAAATTAAGCGATAATGAGCGGGCATCCTTGTCGAAGGCATTGAACAAATACGATTCTGACAAAATTAAATCGAAGTTTCAAGGTATAGTTTTTACGGTCTAGCTACTTTGGTTGGCATACAGACAAAATTTAAGATATTTTTTTCCCTAAAAGTACGGGTATCTATGATGTACGCGCACTATGAACAATAGCTTCGGATCCGAGGGAGAGTGGTAGTTTCAAAAAAACTTCTCAAAAAGGGGCAATTTTATTTTTTATATCGGAAAAGTATGAGGGTTTGTCTGATCCCTCGGACCCTGGTCAAAAGCTATGATTATGAATGCATTTAATTATATAGAAATGCAGGTTCAAGTGTAAAATATCGATCAGCTGTTATGGCAATAACAATTAAAATGTTGTTCAATGTTAATGACTAATAGTGGATCTGTTTGTTGTGTTGATGCATATTTTCAATGACAGGAAAGCTTGCATCATCTAATTGGCGCCTAAAATTCGGACGCCGAACTAATGAACAGCTTGGGTCTGTGGATCCAACAGGATCCTTCTGTGCTATGCCCGATGATTGGATTAAAAAAAAACTGGCGGAAGCTGCCATCAAACCATCAAATGATGCATTATTCAAAAGTGAGCATTTTTTAAATATTTTTTTACCGCTCATTTTTGTTATTTAATATTTTTTTTTATTTCTAAATGTTTTTTTTTTCACTTATAGCATTCATGGTGAGTGGGGTGCCATTTGTGGGATTTGGATTTTTGGATAATTTCTTTATGATTATCGCTGGCGATTACATTGAAAGTTTGATTGGTGTATACATTTGTATATCAACAATGGCAGCTGCTGCGCTGGGAAACACGATCAGTGATGTATTTGGATTAGGTCTCGCCAGTTATGTAGAACAATTTTGCACATTTATCGGCATTGTGGCACCAGAATTAACACCAACACAACAAAATATGGCAGTTACTCAACGAGCTGGAAGTTTGGTAAGTGTGACCCTTTTATTGGGTCCAAATCATAATATCAATTTTAATTGTTCTTTTTTTTCTTATAGGGTCGTGTGTTTGGCATAACAATTGGTTGTTTACTTGGAATGTTCCCACTTCTGCTGATGAAGAAAGAATCAAAACCTGAAACAAATAAAATAAATTAAATCGATGTGAAACATGTGAAACTGAATCGTAGGAGAATCAAACTCAACTGTCCTAGCTTATGTCGTCATTATTTTATTTATTAGTTGCATTTCTTCGACTCGAACTGATTTTATTTACGCATGTGTCTTACTCTCACTACCTGATGAACTGTTTTAAATTCGTTTTGCACCGATGTCTTCTATTGAATCAATGTAGATAGCACAAATCTTTTTTATCTTACACTATATAAACTCTGTATAAACTAGTAATTTATTGTTTTTAAGCTACGTGTATACATGATTCGAATTTATTGTAAGCTTAGCAGCCAGTCTCAATATAACATTTTATCGAATTTTAATTGACTTCCAATGGCAAACTCTATCGCCTCTACGTGCAATCAAAAACTAAATACAAATATTGACGAAATAAATGAAAGCAATTATAGATTGAAGCAAATGAATTTTTATTTATATCGAACATTCTCATCGGTTTTAATATCAAAAATGCGTATCTCTTTTTCCATTTTTGTTTCAGTTGTGAACGCTTCTTTGATTTTTTCTCTAAGGCATTCCAATCCGTTTCGGGCATGTATTTGCATATGTAAATCGGGATCATTTTTGGATATACTCTTCAAATTGCGGTAAATCGGAAGTAAAAACTCTTGATATTGCTCCAAATTCTGCATTCCTTTCAGTAGATCTGTAAGCACCAAAGCGGCTGCTCGACGTGTTGGCAAATATTTGTCCAATTGCAGCGTATTTTGAATTAATATCATCACCTGTAATAGAAAAAGTCAATGAGTCTCTTCAGTAAAATGGAGAAAATTTAATAAACAATGTACCTCTTCGAAGAAATGATGAACCTGATAGGATAAAATGCGCATGATAACTCCCAAATTTGACATGTTTGACGTTCGAAACTCAACATTTCGATTGTAGGCACCACGTAAGAAGCAATTTATCAACACCGCTTTGTATTTATAGCACATTTCACCAAGTCCTTGACAAGTCTTGACAATCGTCTCGCCGATCTTCAGCTTGAAATCAATGTCAGCCAAATCATTATCAATATCAAAATGATATTCGGCTATCAATGCCACAATAACTGTATCTTCCAATATTTCGACTAGCGTAATCAGCAGTTTGATACAGTTCAGGAATATATAACTATCTTCTTCTCTCAGCAACTTCAGAGCCAATGCCAAAATGACATGGGCATTCAGGCATGTTTCTTCGTCTTTTGCATTCACTAATTTCACCATATTCATGATGGCATAGACTTTGGTATACGGTTCCGAATGGGTTTCACTTAAAATGGCTTTGGCCTCTAAGAACAGTGAATTTTCGTCGTGATTCTGCGAAGAACCCAACATGGTATCCAACTTTTTCATGACCGTATTCATGTCTTGGCCGACTAGAAGAGTGCGCAACTTTTTAAGCGTCCATTCCAATTGTGCTTTGAGTTCATCGTTTTGTATGCGTTGCATAAAATCTCCGACGATCGATAAGATGACAATTAAAATTTCGTCAAAATCTTCGGTTGCTATTTTTTTATTTATTCTCTGGAACGTTTCAATTTGTTCGATTTGTTGATTGAGCATCTTATTCAGCATTTCAACAATATCTTGTTGATTTTCCGCAAATTGTCCGTGGAATGGTTTGAATAAAATCAATTCGTTTAATGCATGAATTACGGAATATTTTCGCTTGAATTTTCTTTCGATAGCCGTTTTCAGTTCACTTTCACCGCCAAGCAATTCACTGCTGCTAGGCGATTGCACGATTTTCGATGCAGATCCAAAGCTATCCGAAAACATTTGAAGCAAATGCAAAAACACATTGTAGATCAATGTATTGTGATTGCATTGTTTAAGCACATTCACCAGTGACACCGATGGCTCCAAGAATGAATTAATGTCCAAATCATTTTGGTCCGTTTCAAGGGCGACAACAGTGAAAGAAATATTATCGTCGTTGATTTGTTTCATTTTTAAACGTGGATGGAGACATTTCACACCTTCGTCATATTCTTCGTATAAAATCCATTCAACAATTCGATTTAGGTCGCCTTTTTCTCGATTCGATAAGCATCGCACAATTATGGCCAGAATTTCATTTTTTAGTGTCATATTCGTTGACTCGTTTAGCAAATGATGAATTTGAATGAACATCGGCATGAATGGTGTTAAAATTTCCGAAGCTAATGTGTCGTCCGATGGACCCGTTGCACAGAACGTCAAATGTACCAAGTGAATGGCATCAATAAACTCATTCGATTCACAAACAACAGCACCAGTGATCATATCACATGGCAATGCCAAGTTATCAAACGTTCGCAGCAGAATATCGGTAATATGACGTCGGATAAATCCCAGTTGAAGCGAATATAATTTACTCAAACACTGAACGCCAACGTCAACAAAATAAATTTGATGTGATTTGTTGCTTTGAATAAAACTCAGCAAATGCTGAGTTATTTCGTCGATTATCTGATGATAGAATTCTTTTTTGTGTCCACGCTTACCTACGATCGATGATATCACAGCACAACAATGCAAGCGTTTCTTTACGATTTCTTCGTCTTGATCCAAACTGGTAATTGACGGAAGCAAAGCCTCACACAATGCTTTAAAACTGCCTGCTTGTCGAAGTGACTGCATTAGCTGTTTACACGTGATTTGTTGTATGGACGCTTCTGCTCGATTTTGATTGCTGCCTTGTATCAGAAATAGAATCTTAAAGTAATCACCGTGTGACAGTCGTGATCGTAAATCGAGCAAATGTTGCTCAAACTGTGTTTTTATTTCATCGCTTCCATTGCAAATTATGGTAAATATGCTACTTAACAGATCGGTGTATATAAGATGTTGATCACTTCGTGTACATATGAGCGGGAAAAATTTGTCCTTCGAAATGTTCAACAGAATTTTGGTGCTCGCAATAATATATGGTAGTCGATAATCAATCGGCGTTGCAACCCCCAATAGAAATGGTTTTAAACCATATTCGATGGCCTTGCGAATGCCAATGTGAACCTTTTTCGTTTCGGTCACTGATATTGGAAGTTCATCACTTTTGTCGAGTTCCGCACAGATCTCTAGCAATATTTCAAAAACACTTGTTGCGTACACCCAAACCGGTGACTCAGATGAATTTGGTTGTGGACACTTGATTTCATCGTACAGAATTTTTTGATACAGTGTTGACTCTTCTGTGCTTCTTGAGTTTTGAAATGAACTCAACTCATTTGCGGCCTTTTCATCCAATTTGGCGCGAATCGAAACTGTAAATATATTGTTAAAGAGCGCAGTGAATATTATTTCCCTTTAATAAGAACAACATTCAATACGAACCATTACAAGAGTAATTCTCTTCGTCTGCTATCAATTTTATCAGTGATTTCAATCGATTTGTATTCGACATTCTGCGTACTTCTTAGCTGAAACGCACATTCGATTTGGAATACAAATAGTAAGTTCAAGAGAAGTTGTCAAACAAAGCACATTGACAGAATATATGACAGATTGGTGCGTTCACAACAAAAGTGGTCAGGGTGCGTTCACATTTATTCCATAAATGAATTTATTATTTAAAACCTTTTCAAAACAAGCGATGCAATAAAATTAAATAAAATTGATAAAAAGCGATGCATTTATTTAAAAAAAGCGAAAAAAAAATGTTTATAAAAATGTGAAAATAACAAATAGACCTAAAAAGTCTTCAAGTTAAAACTTGTATCAAACTGGTTTATTTTGCGTACTGCGATGTTGACTATGTCGATGATATTCATGTTTTTATTCAGCAGCAATTAAATTAGTTTTATTGTCGTTTGTGACAAGACGAATCAATGAGCCATTTTTTGGTCGATCTTTTCCTTCGGTCCATTTGGCAAACGTTCTGAAACAATAAATATTTCCTTTTAGATAAAAAGTCTCTTGATAAAATATTTAATTTGTAATGTAGACATACTCGGCAATGAAATCCAATGGGGTCCATTTGGAGAAGTCGGCGTTAGCCATCCATTTTCGGTTCATTGGTGTATCAAGTGTAATTGGCAAGATGGAGACAACAAGAGAATTGTCGGGCAATCCAGATTTCTCCTCAGCCAAAGATTTTGTTAGTTGATGCACGGCGGCCTTTGCAAGCCCGTATCCAATCATACCGGGTGTACCTTTTAATGCAGCATCGGCACCAGTCAAAGTCAACACACCGCCGGGTTTCAAAAAACGTGAACCAATCGTGGCTGAGATTGTTGATGACCAAACACTTTGCTTCCACATTAAGTCGGCATTTTTTGCCAAGTCTTTGCTTGCATTTCCACCGGCCCAACCACCTGAATAAATTACAAAAATACAACTCTTTTTTTTACTTCGAACAAATTTTTTTTTTTAAAAAAAAAAAAAAAAAAAAAAACTTCTGAATAATTTACCTGCAACACAAATAACAGCATCCAATTGATTGGTGTTAAGCAGACCTTGAAGTTGATCAAGTATAGCTGATTCCTGTTCAGTCCATCCGGCTTCTTTGTCCACAATGATATTTGCATCAGCTTGATCGTTTGCGGTTAAATCAATATTGCCTACCCACTAGAAAAAAACAACGAAATTCACAAGTAAGTGTAATGCACAAACGAAAGTGCCAAGACATGAATGACTGCCTGCCTTTCGAATCGAGGTCAAGTGTGAAAATCAATAAAATTGTCGGCGCAAGTATTTGATTTGAGTTGCTCAAGAAATTTTGTAAAACCAAATAAATGGCATCCCGTATAAGTGACCTTTCATAAGATATTGACGTACTGTTTCTACTAAGACGGAAGAAATCCATTCAATTCACATTTAAAATGTGAAAATCATTTGCTTATTAATTGTTCGAGCGGATTGGATGAGATTTTGGAATGTTAACTATGCATGACATTATTAACAAATAGAACAGATAATATTTCAACTATAAGAATATTTCAGCAACAAGGTAATGAATCACACACCACAACGATAAAAACCTGTTTCTTACCCAGTTCAACTCTTTGAATTTCGAAACACAGGCAGAACCTAATGCTCCACGTCCACCGTAAACCAATACTTTTTTCGCTGACATTTCCGACAATTTTTTACAACAATTATTTCCGATTGAGATTCGTTGTAATATAAATGTGAGCTATATCTCGTTGAAGTTTTTTGTTTTCATTCACAACGAAGAAAAACAGGCAGCGAACAAAAAACGAGAGTCAAGACGATAAATGAAACGAATGATTATGCGAGATTGTGAGCGGCAGCAACTTGTTGGAATGCTTTTGCAAACTGATTGAAAACAGAATGAAAAGAATCAACATTCGTTGGAAATGGTTCTGCGCGCTTACCGTCACTCTTCACTCAAGGCCACACTCTAATCGCGCAAAGAGGGGCATTTATCCCCTATCGGAAACCATCCAAATTGAGCAAAATTCTAGTTTTTTCGCGAAGAAAAAATCGTTTCATCGAAATTATGAATATTTTTATAGTTAAATTGATGAAAATATGTACAAAAACTGTCGATAAACCGTGAAAAATTCGGATCATTTCCGGATCGACAGAGCATAAGAATCATTTGTTGTGCTTGCTAGATGTAATCAAAACGAACTTTGTTTTCGAACTTCAGCGATGGCAACCCATTAAACAACTGTCAAATATAAAGCAATCAGTCAAACAAGCATAGGCTGTAAAAGTAAATGTGTCATTTATAAACGTATTGGCAAAAATTGAAGAAACTTTTGAAAGTATTTGGATACGGTGCTAGAAAAAACTTAAGTTCGAAGCAATTAAAGTGAGATTTAAGGTAAATTTTTCATTATTCATAAGTTCAGTAAATTAAATTGGTGTTTTTTGTGTTATTATTGTTATTTGTTTGTAAATACACTTCATAAGGTTATGTTGCGACAGTAATGCGATGCAGTACAATGCATTGAAGCATTTATTGTTCCCATAATTGTTTCATTTTTCAAACAAAACATTTCCACATGTTATCTTTGTTTGCTGTGATTGTTGTTCGTTGAGCCAAAGTGTGCTTGCTTACCTTTGAAATAACTAACACATTTCATGTTTTCAGTTTTTAGACATCTTTTTTTCTTGTGTTTAGTTTGTGATTATAATTTACGCACGCACACACATACACATAGAAACACACATCAAAGAAACATTTATGCACTGATCAAAAATAAAACATTCTAACATTATTAGGTAAATAAGCAACATTAACTATATCTCGATCCAATGGAAACTTGAAATTCATTTTTTTTTCTTGCTTTTGTTACAGGTTTTGTGAAAACTCGCTTGCTTAAAATATCTCTTCAAAATGTCTATGTCCAAAACGACAAACACGTACAATCGTCAGAACTGGGAAGATTCTGAGTTTCCAATTTTGTGTCAGACATGCTTGGGCGATAATCCATATGTGCGTATGATCAAAGAGCGTTATGGCAAAGAATGCAAGATTTGTACGCGCCCATTCACAATTTTCAGATGGTGTCCCGGTGCACGAATGCGTTTCAAGAAGACCGAAATCTGCCAAACTTGCGCCAAATTGAAAAATGTATGTCAAACGTGTCTGCTGGACTTGGAGTATGGTCTGCCCATCCAAGTGCGTGATGCAGCCTTGAAAATTGTTGATAAACTACCGCAAAGTGATGTCAACAAGGAGTACTACATACAGAAAATCGAAGCCGAACTGCAGAATGACGATGGAACGTCGGCGGCTGGAACAGTGGGTAAATCGCTGACTGCAAGCGAAATGTTGACAAAATTGGCGCGAACTCAACCCTATTACAAACGAAATCAACCGCATATCTGTTCGTTCTGGGTGAAAGGTGAATGTAAACGAGGCGAAGAATGTCCGTACCGGCATGACAAACCAAATGAACCAGACGATCCACTGTCAGAGCAGAACATTAAGGACCGGTACTATGGCCGAAATGATCCAGTTGCCGATAAAATTATGAAACGAGCCGCTCAATTACCAACACTTGATCCACCAGAAGAAAAAAGTATAACGACTCTATATGTAGGCAACATTTCAGAACACTTATCCGAAAAGGATATTCGCGATAATTTCTATCAGTACGGTGAAATAAGAAACATTACAATGGTGGCACGACAACAATGCGCATTCGTGCAATACACAAAAAGATCGTCGGCAGAATTGGCGGCCGAAAGTACATTCAATAAATTAGTGTTGGGTGGTCAAAAACTGGGAATAAAATGGGCACATTCTCAGGCTAAACAAACGACTGCAACGAAAACAAATCGTAATTTTGACAGTGCACCGCCACCGCAACAAATGCCTATACCCGCCAATGACTATTTCAATTTAACACCGAATGATGTCAATGTAATGCCACCCGGTTTGAAATTGAACCAGCTGCCGCCGTCTATGATGTCGAGCTCGGCATATCAGGCATTGTATCAAAATAATGCATACCCAGCACCATATTCATCGATTCCATTACCATCGAATATGCCACCAAATGCTGATAACATGCAAATTCCACCACCACCAATAAACGAAAGCTTGCACTATCCCAGTCAGGATCCGAATCGCTTGGGAGCTATTAAAAAATAATTTATTTTGAAATTAGCATCTGTTTCGGGATTTTTTTAATAAGAATTTTTTTTGTCATAATTTCTCGGTCTCAACTCATTTTGAGTGAAAGACCAACAACTGAAAATAAGGGAAATATGCATAGAATTTTTGGTAAAAATAAACTGTCAATAAAAAATTGATTTGTATTGATCCAAACTGCTTTGTTTCCTTGTTTAATGTGTTTTCATTATCGAAGCATTCTTCTCATCTAAATTTCAGCCTTTCAGAATTTCCAGCAAATCTAAGCAATCTAAAATGTTTCCATTGTTCATGTTTTATTTTCAGATGGATGTCAACCATTTAGGATCGTGGAAAATTGCGTCGGCTCAACCATTTTATCCGATTGGTGTGGGATGCATTGAGTTCGATGACAAAAGTGGTGCTGTAGCAACATACACCGCGCAAACAATCAATACATTTATATTTCAAAATTTTGGCGATGGCATCGAAAACGATAAACCGGCAAACAAAAGTTATTTACACAAATCATTTTTCCCAGAACGTATTAGAGATGCGGTGATTACCAGTGAGTCGGTGATTTTGCTTGAAAATGGCCAGATCAAGTATTTTGCATCATCGAAAGATTTAGTAACCGTTGAGTATTTGTCTGGCGTTCAAACGATTTGTTCGACACAACATGGTTTTGCATTGATCAAAATATCGTCGGATGGCACAAAATTTTTTATTGAATTTCATCCGCGAATATTCCATCGACACAGCAGACCAGAAAGCAATGAATACGATATTAGTTTTAGCAAAATAATGGAGCTACAAAATACATGGCGGCAATGTCACTTCAAAGTAAAAGAATTGTGCATTAAGAATTACAGCGAAAATCAATTTTTGAAAAAATTAATATCGGATGATATTGGAGTGAATGCGAACGATGATTTTTACATATTTCTATCGATTGACAATAGTTTATGTTCGATACATATCGTGGACGAACAGTCGTATGTGAATCCAATTGTTATGTGTACGACGAAAATCGTTGATTTTTGGGCAGCCAAAGACGGTAATTACATAATTTTATTGCTTGAGAATGGCACACTTGAAGCCCATTATTTAACGAGCATTGACAACAGCATCAATAAGAAAACCTTTTACTTTGGCAATGAAATTCAAACATACCACTATCATGGTCATGACGGCATTTTCATGTTTTCAAATGGAGTCAACGTTGAATATGGTATGATCGAATTTAATGTCGAATTGGATTCATTTAAATTCAAACGAAAGGCGTTTAATTTGCCCGGAATCGTTGCCATGACTTATTTGCCGGGGTACAAGTTGATTTTGTGCGTTAGTGAAAATTGCCACTTTTACAAAATTGCGGTTCGGATTCAAGAGCCGGTACGCATTAACGACGAATGGATTGAATTGGATCAAAATATACAATCGCAACTATCGAATGTAAAATATCAATTGATCGAGCTAACCGATGCGTATGAAAATTTGGTGAATCAACAGGAGCAACAGCGTAAAGTGTTGAACGTAATTAAATTCAGGCGAAACGATTTGGATGACACTGAAAATGATATCGGTAAAATTGGATATCGTTTTGTTGGTGCTTGTTCGGTGACGCAAATGCCGCCAATTCAACAACACCATATAAATTCAAAAAATAACTTAATTTATGTATCAAATTCAATGGTTTACGATCGAATAACATCATTTTTTGTCACTATAAAAATATCAACAACCGTTAAATATGCAAATGAATTCGGTGAGGATTTATGGTACTTATCTTGTAGATGGTTAAACGATAAACACGAAAATTTGTATGCGAGTATCAAGTTAAACGAGGGCCGACTAGCCGATACAATACCAATAACGCTCATAATTCATTTACAACAAACACATTTGCCATGCTTTACTGTTGACATTTCAACGCGTGTAGCATGTGGACGAGCACCGGCAAATCGGTCGCTCTGTTTGAATTTTCCGGTACGTTTAGATCAGCCGGACTATTGTGAAATGATGCATGTCTCATCGGTTCTATCTCAGGTTAACGAGATATCGGACGATAAAAGTCTAATGTGCAGCATTTTAGCGCCAAAAACGGTACCACTCAATGATATCATTTCGGAAATGATGGACTTGGAACAACGAACACAAGCCATGGATTTAAAATGTGGAAGTAATCAAAAAGTATACGAATTCTATTTGTTGGGCAAAACATTGACGGCAATTCATTTTCCTGATACCGAAACATTACGACTCGTATCTATTGATGCCGACTTTATGCAGTCATTCAAACAGCATTTACACCGAAAAATCGAGACCAAATTATCTAATCTTGGCCTTGAATTTGATGTCAAAGTGTCGACGGATGCCCTGAAGGAATATTGTGTTAGTATTTAATTAAACTTGTCTTTTCTTATTTAAACGTATCTCGTTGAAACTATTTCAATTTGGTCACGTAAATTTATTAATTCTTATCGGTTTTTGTTTTGTTTTGTTTACAGAGCGCAGATAATTTTTTGAATGCCATTCTAAATGCATCGGATATTACGAATAAAACGAACGAAATGTTGCACTGTATGAGAAAAGTTCGACAAATAAAGTTTTTGTCGCCGTTTTCGTGAATCCAAAAAAAACTGGTATCTATGGAAAATTTCATTCGATTTGTTTGTTAAATTTGATGTGAGCACATTAAAAACCAAATGGATATCTCATTTCGCTGCAGTACATAGAATTCGGTATTTTTAACATATTTCCATCAAGGAGATGCTGCCATTTGATTTCCTTACCTTGTACGAAAATTCAATGGAACAAACACAAAAACGTCCCGAAAATAAACCTCAAATAATAAATTCAACATTTTAAGAACAAAACGAAAGTTGTAAATTTTATTGGAATCTCTTTCTTTTTCTCTTAATTTTATTCGTGCGTTAAAACAAAATGCGAAATATTTTTTTTTTCGCGTTTGGTATATAATGGAGAAATTACGAAGTCGCCGATCGTGAGATCAATTTCGAAGAAGAGTAAAGAATCTGATAAAGTTCAAAAGATGGAATCCAATTAAAGTCATTGAACTCATACCGAAATATAAGCTAATTTTATCTGTTGTATATAAATTCTGCCTGTTAACTTATCAACGCGCCGTATACAGTGGTCTTCTGGTTGCCTGAGCTTAATTCCTCCAGGGTAAGCTAACGAAATAAAGAAGAGACGTATAACCTGTAAGAGCAACTTTCATTTTATTCCTGTCCATTCGAAATAAGAATAAAAAAATAATCCGTAGGATCCATCAAAAAAAAAAAAAATTGAAATTATGGCCATAAATAAGACCAATTGAAACACTAAATTTTTCCATAATTTTTTATGATTTCTCAATTATGAGTTCATTAGAGATAGGCAGGAGAAAAAAAATAGACACAATTTTCGTCACACCAACGATTAAAACAGTCAAATGCAAATGAAGGCTTGGCCAGCGATATTTGTATTGATTGATGATTCATTCGGTCTGATGAACAAGAATTACCCCCAACGTCTCTTTTCATTTCATTTATTTATTTTTTATGTTCGATTTTGGTATTCTGCCAAACGCAAAGCCAATTATTATTGGACAATATGCAGATGGGGCCTTAAAAAAGAAATGACAGGCTGTTCTCTTTCTTCTACAAAAATCGACTGAAAATATATCGAATGAAACAAACAAGTTTGTTAATTTGTACATAGTGAAGATTATGCACAAAATTTTTGTGCGTCGATATACATATTAAGTGTGTATTATTTTTGTGTGTTTGTCATTTTGATGCGGCGAGATTTTATTTCGTTAAATTTCAATTCATGTTTATTTCGAATGAAGAGCCGAAACGAGTCACCGATGAAGAGAGAAATATCGTTGGCCGAAAATTCAATAAGCTAAAAGATAGTATGAAGATAAACTCCGATGAACCGTGTTACCGAAGGCAAAAGACAAAGAAAAAAAAAACAAACAGTATTTATTGATAAAATTTGTGGTTGTTGTTGTTCACTTTTTTTCGCTCTTCTTTTCAGATGTTCGTTTTTTGTTGAAGCGAATGAGACTCGAATATCGATTAAAACTGTCTTGGAAGTAGTAAAACGAAACTCAGGCAATGAGCGAGCGAGCGAGCGCACAGAACGCATATATAAAAGAAGACGACCGGAGTTTATCGGAAATAGTTCTACACGACGACTCCAATCGGTCAAGTCACAACAACGGTGTGTCCGGAAAGCGTACACACTCTCTTAGAATTTCTCGTTGAAATCATTTCGGCTTAAGTTTGAAATTGAAAAAAAAAAAAAAAAATCGTACTCAGAACGCGAGTGTATCTTTTTTTTTGTATAAAATTACATTTGTACGGCTAGAAAACTGTGTGAAATTTTTGGGACTTTATTATTTAAATAGATGGAATAATTTCGTAATTGGATAAGTGGTAGGTATTTTTTTTTGCATTATTTGACTTACGCAGTTATGGGCAGCTATTTTTGACACCAAAAAAAAAAAATTTAATCGCCTATTTCCTAAAAAGAAATGATTTTAAGAAATTAAATCAACGATTTCGTGTGACTGAAATTAATGAATGTTCTTTTAAGTGCAATAAAAAAAATCCGAAAAACATTCCAGGGTGACTGAACAAAATTTAAGGAATTCCATTGTTTTCTCGACTTTGTTTTAGATGTTTGATTTGTTAGCAGTGCTAATTTAGCACAAAAAAATGTTTTTTTTTTTTCAACAAATTGACCGTGTTTTTGATTGAGCGGGTATATTTTTAAGGGTAAATGTTCAAAATAAAAACGTACCGTCCGTGCATTAATATTTAAAATAAATGTGTCTTCAAACCAAAACTCGACGAGATAATTTCAATAAAAATCGGTTACATTGAGCGTAGGTCCGAATATAGAAGTTAACCCCTACAGTCATGAATGCAACTGGCATACAAATGTATTTTAATTTATTTTATTTTTTTTCGTGATTTTTGCCGTATTGTCTCAAATTATGTGAGCGAAAAAAAAATGCCGACACACGCACACAACATTCGTACATGTTAAAGAAGCATTTTTACGATTATTGACATAATGTCGCACACGAAACGATCTCATCGATATGGCAACGCATTTATTTGTGGACGTTATTCAATTGTTTTAGTTTGTTGTCTTCTTCAAGCGCTCTTCAATGCATTGTGTTTGATTGTGGCCATCGGACCTTCGCTCATTCATGCGTTTCATATGTTATTGGATCAGTTTAATATTTATTCAGACAGTGTACTCACTGTTGACTGTCACACTTAACAAATACACGAAAACAAAACGATTTTTGTTGTTGTTCAACTGTTGTTATTGCATCGTAATTCGTAACGCTAACCAGTATCATTTGCGCTCTTTTTTTCTCTTTCAATTTGAATACTTTGGAGAATACGTGTTTTATACGTGCCCAATGCAAATGGTATTGATGTAGTTGACGTTTTTCTTTACGATTCGTACGTTCCAGATCAGATTCTATTTCAATTGATTTGTTTAGCGAAAATTGTGTCAACTGGCAAAGACAATAGACGTACGAGGGGAAAACGCGTAAACAAAATATTGACAAAAAACTTGGCTGTGATACGATTACAAATGACCAATTATTTTCCTACCGCATTCTGACCAGTCAGTCATTTATCGAGAAACCATACTCCTTTAAATAAAAAAAAGACTATGAATTATTCATCAATATAAATATAAGTGAAATAAAAAAAAGAGATTCAATGAATCGCTTCGATCGCAAATATGTATCAAGTTAAAAAAAGAGGGAAGAATGAATCATTACAAAGTACAGTATGAACTTGATTTATTTTTAATTTTATTGTTATTGACATAATTATGATTGATAATTATCAATATCATTTGATCTTTCTTCATTTTCTGTCAATAATTGTGAAAATAGAACTGAATTTAAAGTGTTTTTTCTTTTTTCTAAAAATTTGCGAAAATTCACTTGCTGACATAGCTTCTTTACGGTTGATTTGAGGCAATTAATTTCCAAAAAATGTATTTGATGCACATATTTGAACTTTTATATCGATAAAAATAAAAACAAAGATAAATCAAACATCATCATTTTTCTTTTATTATTGCTAAACGATTTAAATTTTCTTGGTGAAAGATTTAATTACACAATCAATTAGATCGTATTCCACTGCATACATTGCATTTGAACTTAAACAATGCAATTATCATGTTTGTTTCCACGCAATGCCGCTTAGCATTTGAAAATTGATAGTCGTCGTGTTTAACATCGTCCGACGAAGCAAGTAAACATTCATTCAGAAAACGTGCAAAATATCCAATTTAAAGGCGAGAAAATGGAATTTTTGACGGAAAAAAATATGCACGGAAAAAGTTGTAGCCAATCATATCATTTAATTAAATTTTACCTTCAAATGCTTCATTAAAATTCTCGAAACAATTTCCATTCTTAAAACAATTTTGATTCTTTTTCAACATCAGAACTGATCAGTGAATCGTATTTTCCTGTATAATACAGAAGCATGACGCGAAATCGGGCAGCATTTAGTCTGGTAAGGAATCAAAAACATAAAATAGAATTGAATGTTACAAAAATAGAATGCAATTTGTGAAATAATACAATCTGTGATATTTCAGCTCCTAGTCTGCCTTCTAAATGTGATAAATGCTCAACATCAGCCGTCACAAGGTGTGCCGACATTTTTGCGATCATCGGTTGAGAGTATTCCACTTGGTTCTGATCAGAAAAATGAAGCTCTAACATCGGTTGTGTACGGTGAAACGAATTTACCGCTACGAATTGCTGTCGAAAGTATACCATCCGTTCGGTAAGTCTTTCGTTTGATATATGACAAGGCAATCAAAAGTTTACAAAAAAAAATGTGTACGCACAGGGAGTCACCTGGAAAATCGTTTGATCGTGAATCCGTGGAGTTTCGTCCACAAATCGAAACACTTCGATATGAAGAAGAACTGAAAGTTGAAGCAAGTAACGTAAACCCAACGTATCAACAAACTTTGATGAATGCGTATGAGGCATATTTCATACCGAAAACATACGATCCATTAAATCCGCAGCCCTTTCGTGCCGAGTCACCCTATCAACAGCTCATAGACACGCGAACGGTTCAAGAAAATATATTGACACGATATCGTCGACCGGGACCAGTTAAACAAATTGATGCAAATGATAAAAAGGTTCTCTGCTACATCACTAATTGGTCATTTTATCGCGTTAAAGATGGAAAATTCATACCGGAAATGCTTGATTCCAAACTGTGCTCACACATTATTTACTCTTTCGGTTCGCTTGATCCGTCTACATTGACTGTGAAAGAATTTGATAAATGGGCTGACATCGATAATGATTTATACCGACGAACCGTATCACTTTCAAAAGATACACCTGTTCTATTGGCGATCGGTGGTTGGGCAGATAGCAGCGGTTAGTAGCATGTGTTTTTTGTTTGTCTTTTAAAGACATTTCATCATTATATCTTGATTTTTCCTATATAGGTGATAAATATTCGCGAATGATTAGTGAAAGTTCGGCTCGACGAAATTTCATTCGAAAATTGGTACCATATTTACAACAATACGGTTTCCAAGGTATTCATTTCGATTGGAATTATCCAAGGTGCTGGCAAAGTGATTGTCGCAAGGGGCCGGATGGTGACCGACCGAACTTCACAAAATTAATCAAAGAAATTTCGGCCGAATTTAAAAAGCATGAATTAATTTTGGGCGTTGGCATTTCTGGATACAAAGAAATTATCTTTAAAGCATACGAAATCGATGATTTATCAAATGCTGCTGATTTCTTAACCGTCATGACATACGACTATCACGGTATGTCATTTTTGAGCAAATTTCATTTCTTTTTAACATTTTGAACAATTTTTTAAAGATTTTTTTTTTTTTCAAATCAAAATAGGAGCATGGGAAAAGAAAACTGGTCATGTAAGCCCATTGTATGGCAAACCCGAGGACAAATATCCCCAATACAATACAGATTACACAATACAATTGTTGATTCGTGAAGGTGCCGACCCACGTAAAATCATAGTTGGTGTTCCATTCTATGGACAATCTTTTACACTTACCGAAAAATCATCCCGTTTGATTGGTGAAGGAATTGCAGCGCGTGGTCCTGGAAAATCGGGCGAATTCACAAGACAGCCAGGTGCATGTTTATGGTTGCTTCTGTGAAGTTAAAATAATTTGAAGTTTGAATAATTGCTTAAACAGTTATTCATGTTATTCATCATCAATGAAATTACTATGTTGCAGGAATGCTGGCCTACTATGAAATTTGCGATCGCATCAAGAATCGAGCATGGCGTAAAGGAAGAGATTCATCGCAAAAATCTGGACCATTTGCAATGCTTGACGATCAATGGGTTGGATTTGAAGACGTAAATTCCGTGGCCAACAAAGCACAATATGTTTTGGATTCAGGTTTGGGCGGTATTGCGGCATGGACGGTCGATTTGGATGATTTTTCAAATCGGTGCTGCTTGGAAGCATTCCCATTGTTGAGTTCAATCAATCGCATTTTCAGTCGGCTCAAGACTCCAAAACCAACGAATGGAAATTGTCAAAGACCAGCAGAACCAGTTACACCACCGGGTAAGTATTTTTTTAATGTCAAACACCGTATTCAAAAAAGGTTTAAAATCAAATGTATCGCTTTTAGCTCCAGTAACAACAACGGTCGGTCCGGACGGTATCCCTGGTCCAGCCTATATTGAACACACAACATGGCCAAATGGCGGTTGGAATCCGAGTTCGACAACATCAAAACCACCATCAGAATTCACATGGTGGCCAACACAATCAACGACAACTGCATCGTATACCACGACAGTGCGTACTACAAAAAGAACAACAACAACAACAACAACAACCGAAGCAACAACTGTCGAACCTGAAGAAGAGTATATACCTGTTCCCGTAAATACAATGCCTATATCGGGTGGTGCTTGCCCAGTTGATGGAGAATATAAGCGTCATCCACATCTTTGTTCTAAATACTTCCAATGTGTGTACGGTGAATATATTGAATACAGTTGCGCTGGAGGTTTGCAATGGCATGAAAAAGGTCACCGTTGCGATTGGCCGTCATCGGCTAAATGCCAAGAAATTCCACAATCTGATGAAATTATAACGAAAAAACCAATCGTTTCAACGACCACCGAACACATGGATGATGAGTATACAACACGAAGAACCACTCGAAAACCCATCACAATCACCAGAAGAACGACTAAAAAAGAGATCACAACACTCAAACCTACAACACCCAAACCATATACCAAACCGTCTTCATCATCAGATCCATGCGAAAACGGTGCATATAAAGAAAATGTCGACGACTGCGAAAGCTATTTCATTTGTGTGAATCAAAAGTGGATTCGACAAGATTGTGGCTATGGATTCCAATTCGATCAAACGTCATTGCAGTGTGACTACGCGTCGAAAGTACGGTGCATACCGGCGAGTCGGTACTTAAAATTTGTTGGAAAATTAACAAAAGTACAAGTGGACGATCCATGCGAAGGTGCCGATTATGTACCATATCCAGGTAATTGTCAAGACTATTTATTGTGTTTGCATGGAACAATGCAAGCGGGCAGCTGTGCAAGCGGTTTACACTGGAATGCACAACAGAACATTTGTGATTGGCCGGAAAATGCGAATTGCGACGAGGAAACCGGAAATAGACCAGTTTTAACGGAAACAGGAGAAAATGAAGTTGGCGGTTACATTCCAATTTCAACAACATCAGCACCAACAACAACAAAGAAACCAAAACCAAGCGTACCACGGCCACCGATCAAAGAGTTTTCGGGTGATTTTAAATTGGTCTGCTACTTCACAAATTGGGTAAGTGCAAATTACTTTCGATGGTTTTTTTTTGCGAGAATTACAAATCTATTTTTTTATCATTGAAAGGCATGGTATCGAAAGGGAATTGCAAAATACACACCCGACGACATTGATTCACGACTTTGTACACACATTGTTTACGGTTTTGCTGTTTTGGATTATTCAGAACTTACGATTAGTAAGCAATTTTAAGTGGGTTTTTTTTGTCATCGACGGATTTTAATTTTGTTGACTTTTCTACAGAAACCCATGACTCGTGGGCTGATATTGATAATAAATTTTACGAAAGAGTTGCCGAATATAAAAATAAAGGCGTCAAAGTTACAGTAGCCATTGGAGGTAATTTGTCAGAAGAATTCATTTAAATTAAAAAGAACTTTTGACGAATGTTTTTAATAATACTAATCGTATGTAGGTTGGAATGATAGCGCCGGAGATAAATATTCACGTTTGGTTCGTAATGCAGCAGCACGTGCTCGATTCATTAAGCATGTGATTGAATTTATCGAAAAGAATAATTTCGATGGTTTAGATTTGGATTGGGAGGTGAGCTTAATTATTACTAATTCAATTAGATCGAAATATATCGCTTTCACGATGTGGTTAGCACATAACTGTATTGACACTATGCTACGTTTAGCTTCAAAAACTTGAGAAGAAAAATGAAGAGCAATAAGGCGTCTTCCAAAGAGTGAACTTTCAAAACTTCAAAAAGTTTCAAAATTTATAATTAGGGGTCACATCCATTTTTCATGTAGGGAGTCGTTGGACCCTTGGTCAGAACCATTGTAGCATAGTGTAAGAGAGCGATGTATATGCACCAATAATCACTGCTTTAATGATATCTTTTAACAATATTCTTCTTTTTTTCTTCCCGCATGAACAGTATCCAGGTAAATAAGACTGAAAACAATTGAAAATAATCATAATAATATTGAAACAATTTCAACTATACCATTTCTTATAGTATGTTGGCAAACTGAGTGTAACAAAGGTCATGCCGATGAGAAGCAATACTTCGCTCAATTTGTACGTGAATTGTCTGAAGCGTTCAAGCCAAAAGGTTTGCTCCTCTCATCAGCCGTATCGCCAAGTAAAACCGTCATCGATGCCGGGTACAACGTACCAAAATTGGCGAAATACTTCGATTGGATTGCTGTTATGACCTACGACTTCCACGGTCAATGGGACAAAAAGACTGGACACGTAGCTCCATTATACCATCATCCAGAGGATGAAGTTGATTTCTTCAATTCGGTAAATTGGTTTATATCAAGTGGACTTTTCTAATAAAAAATTGACATTAATAAACATTTTTCTTATAAAATGTTTCAGAATTATTCGATTAACTATTGGATTCAAAAGGGAGCACCGCCAAAGAAGCTTGTGATGGGTGTACCACTGTATGGTCAATCATTTACACTGTCTGATCCAAAGAATAACGGTTTGAATGCGAGAGCACCTGGACCAGGACAAGCGGGCGAATACACACGAGCAGCCGGATTTCTTGCTTATTATGAAGTAAATAATAAGCCCCTTTTTTCATCATCATTTCTTTTTGTAACTTATTCAGTCTTATTACTCCATTTACTTAGATTTGTGATCGTATCAATAACAAAGGATGGACAGTTGTTCAAGATCGAAAACATCGCATTGGACCATACGCTTACAAAGGAAACCAATGGGTTTCATTCGATGACAAAGCGATGATTCGCCGTAAAGCTAAATTTATGCGACGACTTGGCCTAGGTGGTGGAATGATTTGGGCACTCGACTTAGACGATTTCAAGGATCATTGTGGTGAAGGTGTACATCCCCTCCTTACAGAATTGCAATCAGTTTTGGCAGAACCATCAAGTCAAACCGATGAACGTCCAGATACAGCTGTGATTGAACCAACAACGGAAGGCCCGAAACCAGATACCGAAGCCGAAATTATCGAAGAAAATCCAAACGAAGGTTCGGATATTGAAATGATAAGCGGCGAACTAAATATCCCATCATCACAAGATTCTGATTTCAAAGTCGTTTGCTACTTCACAAATTGGGTAAGTAAAAAAGCGCCTTTTAAATAACGTCCATTACAATTGTAATTCAAATCAAAATAGGCATGGTATCGTCAAGGCGGTGGAAAATATCTACCAGAAGATATTGATGCAAAATTGTGCACACATATCGTATATGGTTTTGCTGTACTCGATCGTGATTCATTAACAATCAAGCCACACGATACATGGGCCGATTTCGATAATCACTTCTACGAACGAGTCGTTGCGTATAAAAAGAAAGGTGTTAAAGTTACAGTGGCTATTGGAGGTGAGACTTTTGATGGTAATTCTATGTGGAAATGTCGGTATTAATTTAAGATTTTGCTCCGAATCGTATATAGGTTGGAATGACAGTGCTGGTGATAAATATTCACGTTTGGTTCGTGATGCAGCAGCACGTGCTCGATTCATTAAGCGTGTGGTTGAATTTATTGAAAAGCACAATTTCGATGGATTGGATCTGGATTGGGAGGTAGGCAACAGTCATACCAATTATAAACAATGATTTTTTTTTTAATTTGATTTTTTTCCCATTTTTTCATTGTTTTACTTCATCTAGTACCCAGGTAAATAAAAATAATTTTATCAACATTATTTGTTAGAAGATTAAACCATAATTTCTATATAATTTCTTAGTCTGTTGGCAAGTCGAGTGTAACAAAGGTCATGCCGATGAAAAGCAATACTTTGCTCAATTTGTACGTGAATTGTCAGAAGCATTCAAACCAAGAGGCTTGCTCCTCTCATCGGCCGTATCGCCAAGTAAAACCGTCATCGATGCTGGCTACGAAGTACCAACATTATCGCAGTATTTCGATTGGATTGCTGTTATGGCTTACGATTATCATGGTCAATGGGATAAAATAACTGGTACGAATTCCAATTTGAATATTGTTCGTTTCAATTTAAATATCGTTTTATTTTGTTCAATTAGGTCATGTCGCACCAATGTATTCCCATCCATTGGATGTCACACCAAATTTCAATGCAAATTTCACAATCAACTACTGGATTGAAAAGGGTGCCGATCCAAGGAAATTGGTACTCGGCATGCCAACGTATGGTCAATCATTCTCATTGGCTGAAAATAAACGTCATGGATTGAATTCACCAACATACGGCGGTGGCGAAGCTGGCGAGGCCACACGCGCACGTGGCTTTTTATCGTACTATGAAATTTGTGAACGAATTCAAAAGAATGGCTGGCATGTTGTTCGTGATCGTAAAGGCCGTATGGGACCATATGCTTACAAAAAAGATCAGTGGGTGTCGTTCGACGATGCTCTAATGATCCGGCACAAGAGTGAATTTGTTAAAGCAATGAACTTGGGCGGGGCCATGATCTGGGCGCTAGATTTGGATGATTTCAAGAATTACTGTGGCTGCGAAGAATATCCACTTTTGAGAACAATTAATCGGGTGTTGAGAAATTATCCGGGACCACATCCAAAGTGTCAATTAGAAAAACAACCAGAAGGTTTGTTTTCTATTTCACAATCTGTCTTCTGCATTATTTTTCAACTTTTTCATATAAAATTTCCAATTTATAGCTGAAGACGAAAAGCCGCCGAATGATAATGATGGGGTTGTTATCGAAATAGCTACAACAACAATCAAGCCGAGTACAAGCCTGAAACCAATTACTACTAAGAAACCTTTAACAACTACCATTAAACCTTTAACAACTACCATTAAACCAAGCACAATTGACTATATTCCGACTGATGTAGAAGAGCCATCATCATGTTCCGAGCAATTTAGCCCACACTTATCCGATTGCAACAAGTACTATTTGTGCGACAATGGACGACCTCTTTTGCAATCATGTCCACATGGATTGTATTGGAATCGGGATTCGAACAATTGCGACTGGCCACGAAATGTTAAATGTGAAGCAAGCGAATTTGACGCCGATCCAAACAGACCCACCACATCGCCAAGACCAACGACAACGACCACAAGAAAACCACGTCCACCACCGCCAACGAATATTTCTATTCCACTTGAAGATGATGATGGCAAATTTAAAGTCGTTTGCTACTTTACGAACTGGGTAACATATTTGTGGAAATTTAAAAGAAAAATTGTATTATTTTTTTTTTATTTATACTGTGGTTGTATTTTCTATCTCTAAAATAGGCATGGTATCGTCCTGGAGAAGGCAAATATTTGCCAGAAAACATTGACGAAAACTTATGTACACACATTGTGTACGGATTCGCTGTTTTAGATGGCTCTACATTGACAATCAAAACGCATGATTCATGGGCCGATATTGATAACAATTTCTATGAACGTGTGACCGCCTATCGAAAGAAGGGAATCAAAGTTTTGGTTGCTATTGGAGGTATATTCATTTAAATATTGGCGTTAAAAAATAATTTGAATTTTCACGAAATTAACAAAAACCTTTTCTAAAAAAGAAAAAGTAATCGAAAATGTGATTTCGTGTAAATTCTGCTTATTTCATGATATTATTTTATAAAACAAATAATTTTTTGTAATTTTCGGAAATTTAGGTTGGAACGATTCGCTCGGCGACAAATACAGGTAAATAAAGATATTCACAGTTTTCGAAATATCAGTTAAAAGATTTTGTATTTCAACATTTGTATGAACTTCATGATAGCACTGAGAAGAAATAGTATTGAAAAATCCCACATATATTTGATAGAGAGAATGACTAAATTCAATTTGGAAATAACAAAGAAAAAAGGGGTTTTCTATTGAAATTATTTCTGAGGTCAAAGTTTGGGGATTTTGTATATACTTATTTTACATGTGATAAGAGTATTAGAAACGACTTTTTATAAGAAAACCCCATTTGAATATATGCGTCATGTGCCATTGTTTTTGTCATCATAAGCGTAAATGTATTGATAACAAAATAAAGTCTATAATGACGGTTTGATGTGACACTAACCAACCAGACAAAAAGGTCAATGGGTTTTTTGTGCAATTTTCTATTTGATATATGACAAATCATTCAATAGAAATGAATAATCAAAGAAACCTATTGAGATCTTATGTGTGCTCCAATTAATTGTCTCCATTCTATTTTCTCCAATATAGTCGACTAGTTTTGAATGAAAATGCACGATACAACTTCATCACAAATGTCATTGAATTCATTGAAAAATACGATTTCGAAGGATTGGATCTTGATTGGGAAGTAAGTGTTATTGTTTTTTTGCATGTGTTTTTATTCATTCTAATTCAAATTTAATCTAATCTATTCTCCATCACGATAGTATCCTGTATGTTGGCAAGTCGAATGCCACAAAGGAAAACCACAAGAAAAAGAAGGTTTTGCGCAATTCGTAAAGGAACTATCGGAAGAGTTCAAGCCCCGTGGTTGGTTGTTGTCGGCTGCCGTATCGCCCAGCAAAATGGTCATTGATGCTGGATATGACATCCCAAAATTGGCGAAATACTTTGATTGGATTGCTGTTATGACCTATGACTTCCATGGAAATTGGGATCGTCAAACTGGTCATGTTGCGCCGCTCTATTACTATCCAGGCGACAAATGGGACTATTTCAATGCAAACTTTACCATAAACTATTGGATTCAAGGTGGTGCTCCATCGCGTAAGATAGTAATGGGTGTACCTTGCTATGGTCAATCATTTGTATTGTCAAGCGCTTCGAATTACGGTTTGAATGCACCATCATATGGCCCAGGCGAATCTGGAAAATACACACGCGCAGGAGGGTTTTTATCGTACTATGAAATTTGTGATAAAACAAATCGTGATGGATGGTCTGTAGTACGAGATGAACAACATCGAATCGGACCATATGCACACAAAGGAAATCAATGGGTGTCGTACGACGATGTGGAAAATGTTCGCGTTAAAGCGAAATTCATGCGTGAATTGAATCTTGGCGGTGGTATGATCTGGGCGCTAGATTTGGATGACTTCTCCGGCTCATGTGGATGCGGCAAATATCCATTGTTAACCACATTGAATCAAGAACTACGCAGTATTGGCGGTCCAAAAATTGAAAATTGCACATAAATTTGATAAAATGCAAAAAAAAATTACTATAATTATTAGAAATGAATTTAAAGAAAAACAAACACATTTTAATTGCTTAAATTGCAATAATATGCCATATTTCTCACATTTAGTTTAAGAACTGAAATTCAATGAATATTGCGCAGGAATTTCGATGAATCTCTTTTATTGTAAAGATTTTATTAGAATATGTCAATAACATTTTGAAGAACATTATTTGGAATGTATACAATAATAAAAGTTGTTGTTTCTTTTTTGTTTGAAGTCTGAATTGGATATAGTCAAAATTGTAAGTAAAATTAATTAAGCCGCTCATTAAACGGCTCATTGACACTGATTTATGATAAGAACAATGAAAATTCTCAACAATTTTATTTATTCAATAGTTCTATTATTCGTTGAGTATTGTTAATCTTAAAAATATGTAGAAATTATTATTGGATTTTCGGGTTCATGATTTTTCCTGAGAAAATTAAAGTGCCAGTAGTTTCATCTTCGATTAAAAACAAAAATAGACGGTTGGCGTTGAATTCAATGGTTGCACCGAATTTATTGACCAGTGAAACAACCAGTGATGAGCACATTAGCTGGCTAATTTGCCATCACTGTGTACACCGGCTAACGAATGCGTAAGCCAGCACTAACACACGTCAGGAGAATTGGACGTTTTCACACGCATACTATCATACACAGTCACACAGACAGTTAGCTGGCTAACGATTGGTGTACACCAAATGTTGGTATACACCGAGGCTAAGACAACGCTGGCTAACGCAAAACCATCACTGGAAACAACAGTAGCTGCATATGCGGTGCTTCCTTTTTCGTTAATTTCAATGCCAGTCTTTTGTAAAACACTTGACACTTGTAAGCGATCTTGTACAGCAGTTCCTCGAACGAGTTGGCCGAACGACGCTTGATATGTGAACATTTTACTAATTCCAAGCTAAAAAAAAAAATAAAAAATTATTTATTATTTGATGATAACGGCGGTATCGAGTACAAGATATTGATAATTACAGCCTTTAAAATCTCGTTTAGTTTGACAGTGTTGGTAAATTTGAATTTCGGTAATGACACTTTAACCTCGACCTTTTCCATTAGGAATTGGGCACGATGAATGCTGTCTATCTTCGATATGAGCTCATTTAATCCATCGTCTTTGTATGGCAAAACGATATACATGGCGAATTTATTGCCCTGCAAAAGAAAGGAATAAAATCATTCAATATTCACAGACCACATTCCGTAAATTAAAGAAAAAAATCCGAAAATTCAAGAGCAACGGATTTGGACGAAGAAAAATTGAAGACCTAAAAAGGGCCTTCATTCTTATAATTCAGTGAAATAATTTTAGATCCCTTGGACCTCCGCAACAGGAGGTATGATTGAATTCAAAATAATGGCCTCACACAAATACTCACTTTATATGGCAAACGTAAAACTTGTGCTTCCAAATCAGGTGATTCAGAATAATAGAAATCATCGGTCTTGGTCATAAAACTCACTGGCACCGAAGTTTTTGCGTCAATCAAGAAATTTTGTTGGACAGTTTCATTTTCAGCAAATGGTTTACTCCAATATCCATTAAAGTAAATTGTATTTATCAACAACATCACAGCCCGTGCAACATCGCCTGTGTGTAAACAAATAAGTCATATATGTAAATACTACTTGTAAAAAAACTGGTAATTCCCCAATTGCGACGAATGGAATGTACTGAAAAAAAAAAAAAAAATACAAGTACACATACCAGAAGACACAATGTCAGTGATGTGATTCTTTGTTGCGTTGGCACACCAAGCATTAATAATATTAGCGGCTTCTTCAGACCTATATGCGAAGCAAATATGTAAATTAATCATATCAAATCTGTTGTTACGGTGTTTTTTCTTTCTGGTTTTGTGACGTTACCTATCAAAGTTGAGTCGTTCCACATCTATTCAATACAAAAAAAATACTTGAATATTTATAATTTGAACAAATTATAGAAACAAACTTACCAGAATGATAGATTGCCTTAATAATTGCTGAGAATTTTTGGTTTGGGTGAATAAAGTCGTCAACAAATAACCTGGCACCCAAATTCAATTGGTAGTCGGTACTCTCTTTCTATTAATTGAAAATAGACAAAAAAAATTTATTGATTTCGAATTAAATGAAAAAAAAAATGTTGTGCGTCATCATTGATTAAATTTACCAATAGCGAGCCAAATGCACGAGCATATAGCTCACGGGTTTGGTTTTCAGTACGAATGCTTGGCAAAACTGTTAACAATTCGCGATGTGTAATTGTGTCTTGTCCGGCTGCTTCAGCTAACATTGATAGCAACAATTTGACTAAAAATGGCGACACAACGGTATTCTTTTGTTCACCTGCAAACAACACTTTCTACGAAAAAAATTATCTCATGTTATTTCAAGTCTTTATATCAACATCGTTATGGCAATAATCTCGTACTAAATTTAAATACCTTTGTTAAACTGTAATCGAATTCGTCGTGTCGAGGTTCACGATATGGCACAAAAAAATCATCGACTACCTCAGTGTTCGATTCTTGTGATGATTCGGTTGGCGACAGATTTGGTGGATTGACGTGAAACAATTTTTGCACGTCTATTTCTGCTTTTGCACAACCAAGAATTACAATCCAGCTCACTGAACAAAATAGATGTATATTACAAATTCAATTTAAAATGATAAAATTTAATGATCTGATACATACCAATTAAAAATAGTATTTTGGCCATTTTGACGACCAGCTAAAAAAAGAGACAATAAATACCAATATTATGTAATAATTTACAGGTTTATATGCGTATTTCTAAAGAATTTCGCTGTTTTGTCATCACACTGTGCGGTGCTCGTGTCAAGGTCATTAGGCTATGCACGAAGATATGAAATATTGAAAATCAAGTCTTTATATAGATCTGTATTTATCTGATGTTGAAATGTCCCGACTTGAATGAGTTAAATATGACAGATTGCATTAATTACGATTCGATAAACGTTTTGCTCGTAATGAAAGATCAATATTTCTTATCGCCTATGTTTTTGTGTCATTTCTTAGAAACATTTTTTTTTCAATAATATTATAACGAAATTTTTGATGTTTCTCTCACTTTTTCAATATAAATGTTGCGAAAAATAAATTTAAAAAGAAGATGCTCACTTAGGTTTGTCTCTTTGTGTCTTTGTAACAAATAAGAACCGGTAATTCTTCAGTCTTCCTGGCCGTATTCTTGACAATAAAAAATTGTTCACGTTTTCAACACTAAACGACAACTAAATCGACAAAGGTCTCGACGATGTCTTGTACGAGCCAATAACAATATAGTGTATATACATACAGAAATCAAAGAGCATACAACGACGAAAGCAATCACAAACACATTTGTATTTCAATGGCAATGATGCAGTGTTGTGTGTGACAAAAAGTGTAAGGCAATTTGACAACACTCAACACATAAACGAGATTTCAAATTGAATAATCTCTAATGGATTTTTTTAATTTACGTACACTACAGACTACACTATAGCCTATATTGGCAAATATTTAAATGTGTTAGCGAATTTGATTATAAAAATAAAGCGAATCGTCATTGGTATTTCGAGGTGGGGATCAAGTGTGACTGGAAAAACCGATAACAGCATAGAATCAGTATAAATACGTGTTCTGAATTTCATTGTACCGTATACATTCATTTGGGATGAAATTCAACGATTCTTCGACTCTTGGCAAAGTCGATTTTTTTTGTTTATTTCATGTTATTTGAGCACAATCAAAATTAACAAACTTGGTTTGATAAGAATTTCGCTCTAAAATTCCAAGTTGACCTCCGAACACATTTTCTACGAAATAAAACCGGAAATATGTACGGAACAACTCCAAATTAATTTAGTATGGCCCAGTTTTCGTATGTTATGTGCATTGTACATCGAATTGATGACTGTTGAAATTCGAGTGCCATTTAGACTGGTGAGCTGAACAAGTCATCCCAAAAAACGGTATACGCATGTACGTGTGCGATTGAATTGCTAACAGAAAGAGGAACAGAAAAAAGACTTGACACTTGCGAAATGCTATGCCACAATGCATTGTTCTATATAAATCATATGTTTCGTCAGTTTTTTTTTTTTCATATTCGCATATTATTTTCAATAGGTTTGAAACAAAAACATGGGCTCATCATTGAGGTGAGGAAAGACTTTCGAAAAATAACGTAAATATAATGCGGTTGTCGTGTTTTTTTTTCATATGTTTCTTCAATGAAAAAGAGTACGATCAAGCGGGAGAGAGTGCAAAACAGAGAGGAAAGGCAATGATTGTTTTTTCGTGTTTTTCTGCTTTTTTTTGCTGCTCATTCGATTCATTCTTTTTTTTCTCGCTCGCCTCTTCTTGGATTTCTTAATTTCTGGTTTTCTAAAATAGCTGTGCTTTTTTTTTACATATATTCAGTATACCGTCGCATTTACTCTATTCATCATTCGTCTCGTCATCAATATTTGAATCTAATATATCTAAATTGTTCTTGAAAGAGAAAGAATCTTGACGATTAAATTGCGTTCCACACATTTACCCGCGATTGTAAATGGAATTATTTTCATTTGATGAACTTTCGTGATCCAAAATACCATGAAAGCAGATACATACATCAAATTGCACTTGTTTAGAATCAAAATGCCTAGATAGTCTTCACTATTGAAAACCTTCCGTTTCTTGATTCTATTACAGAATATGTTCACATAAATGGAAAATAATTTAAATCAATTATTTATGATGAAAAGATATGTAAAATTCAAAACGTAATCCAATAAATTAATGAGCGAAAGATACATAGAAATGTGCAGTTATCGCAATTTCATTTTCTGAGTTTTAAAATACGAATTACCGCTAATCTGTAATTAAATGAGCTGCGATTTAGTTGAAATGCAACATGCGAGCATTGAATATTTTCTAGAATTCTAAACGAACGAAATTGAAAAGATCTGACTTGCAAAGTGTTCGAAGAAAAAAAAAACACCGATACCAAAGCGGAGAGAAGAAGACACGCACGCTGCTTTACTTCATCTTCATGAGACATTATATACGAAATCGAATCTTTGAGTGTTTGTCAAGTTATATGGTCACGAATCATTGAAGTAAGCCAAAACGTTGACCCACTTAAAATGGTACACAAATTCATTGATTCGGTCGGTTTTTTCGATTTCACACATATTTTTGTGCATCCTTTTATTGGGTCAATCTTGACGCATGTATCACGAAAATGAAGAAGAGAATTAACAGAAACCGTTGCGAAAAAAAAAACTATATGTAACACGCATAGCCACATATATTTGTATTATTCAAAATGTTCTGTATGCTTTTACATTGAATTGAGAACGATTCGGTAATGTTTTATTCTTCTTCGGTTGGCCTCAATGGCACGGTACTGTGATTTAATTCATCATCAAAATTAAGCACTTGACGTATCATTTTCAGAAAGTACTTACATAATATATCTATTTTTCTTGCGTCTTCAATTCTTGATGGCATTCCATTATTAACAAAGATACATAATGTAAAGAATCAATTAGCGCAAAACAAATGCAATTTGCATTATTGTGACATGTGTGCAATTTTATCAATTCCGCCGTAGATAAGCATATCCATCTCAGAGATCTATAGAGTGTGTTTCGTTTTATCTTTTTCCAGCGTCGTTAGGTAAACACGAGCTGTAGTGTACGATGGCACATATTCCCCTTTCTGGTGTTTCATTCTTATTTTTCTTCTTTCGTTTCGGTAAAGACGGAAAGAGTGAAAAGCACAAAATACCAACAACAGCAAAGTCAGCAGAAAGATTTTACCACCTTTGTGCCTTTGGTTATATTCTTAGTGTTGTACTCACTGCCAATGATGATGATGATGATGATCTGACCAAGTCTTCTTCAGTTCATGTCTAACCATCAAGCAGATAAGTTGTGCTACGGAGAAAAGAGAATTATTTCTGTTTTTCATAAAATTTGTGAGTTGCGACAACAAACAGTCGTCAATACGTATTCAAATCAAGCAGAACAAACAAAATTTTAAGTGAAGTGAAAATAAAGGAAGAAAAAAAAATTAAACGTAGCGGTAATTGAATAAGAAAAATAAATTTCGAACAGAGAAAAGATCGAAGAGAATATAGAAATAAAATATAGAATAATAATAGAGTTTGTGGTTCTGTGTCATGTTATTTCATCAACATACTTCTTTCTGACCATTTTTATTTGCATTAAACTTAACGGATATTGCGAATAGAGCAACGGAGATCAGGAAAAAGAACGAAAAAATATTTTATAGACATACCGATATCGATAACACGATTCGATTTTAAAACGAACGAAAAAAATCTTAGAGAACTTTTACGAACAAAACGAACCATGTGATAACGTTATACGAAAAACAAAAATCATTTCAAATCCAGACAAATTCACCGTTAATATCATTTGAATAACCAAAATACATAAAAAAAAATACACAAAATCAGTGAGTATTCATTTGCTATCAGAGTGATCAACAGTTTATATATTCAGATTAAATTCTTAATTTTATTGTAGATGGATTTATTTTTATTTTTGCTTTGTTGACGCTGGAAATGATTATGTGCACGACAGAACATTTAAATTGCGGATAATTTTAATGTGTAAATGACATTCAAAATGTATACGTAAACGTTGATCTTTTCTCTTTGCGTCTGAAATGATCGCCGCGAGAAAAGTTTATCATCACGATATGTGCAATTGTGCATTCTTTTCATCATCGTCTTATTCTTATTTACTTTTCTTCTGGCTTTTTTTTCTCAAAATGAGAGGCAAAAAAATTGAAATGAAGTACAACAAAACAAAGACAAAAAGAAACCAATTCAAAAACATACAATTTCATTCATTTGTTATATGTTGAGCTTGCATGGTATATTTTATATGATAATTAATTTATTTGTTTGTTGATGCATTGTTGCGATCGAGGAGAAAGAGATTGTCAGCACGATCAAAATCAGTATACTTTTAGTTCCGTAAAAGAGTGCCATACTTATGCACCGCCTGAATTATGTTAATTTCTTTATTTTGTGCAAAGCTCGCCGTTTTTTATTTTCTCGTCAAATTTTCACGTGTGTCAGATGATGTAGATTGCTTTTTTTCTGCACACTTCATATATGCACTTGTAGAGAGTTTAGCTTTTGCAACTGGGCCAAAGTTCATGAATTAAGGTTACAGATATGCATTGTATTCAATCATCTTTCATATGCGAACCATTTCTAACGTTATATTGTACGTTTACGTTTTGTTTCTAGTTTTTTTTTTCCTTTCAATTTGTTCTGTGCACCTTTGTTTTGCTATGCTTCCATGTGTGAACATGGAATCTAATTAATTTAATTCCATGACGTTTTGTTGATGAATTTCGAAAAAATTCATCGTGATAAAAAGAGAATATGATGTCGTGTGTTTGCATTTTATTGTTCTATTGGAAATTTGGAGAGAGAGAGAGAGAGAGAGAGAGAGAGAGAGAGAGAGAGAGAGGAAGAGATAGAGCCAGAGTGAGATATTTTCCAAAGTAGTTGTCAATGTTCAAGTTTTTTTTTATGCTAAGAAAAATCTTGTAATAGGTCAGTTATGTGCGTATAAAATCAAAGATGTTTACTTAAACTCGAGCATTTGCACAAGTTTATATGTGAGCAACAGTTAGTTGATGAAATGTCCAGAATGTTCTCTGTAACATACTTGATTCTTGCTCTTAGAAATGTGTGTTTCACGTAAATCGACCTCATTGAGGTTTGAATAACGACATCATAGCAATTTTATGGCATAAATTCATCTAATACAAACATCGACATCTGTCACTGAAATACCTTACCGTATCATAAATTATTCGCATTATTCGTTGCGAAAGATCGCATGAAAAGAAAATTTATGATTTTTTTTTCCTGGATTCCACCGTGTTATTCATAAGTCTAAATTTCATCATAAACACAATAACAGCAGCAAATCGATTTTTAAACGAATAATATGTAGAATATATTCATAAATCACAGTTGTTGGTCTGAAATTCGAAATCTTAATCGCACATTTTGTATAGAATAATGTGTGCTTTTGGCAAGTTAAGCAATTTCAAATAAAAAGTATAAAACTCGCTTCAAGATGAGTACTGTATAAGTTCAAGTTAAGCATATTATATTAAATGTGTGTGTATGCGCATTGCGCACACAGCATACGAGTAAGGTTCAAAGAGAGCACACACAGGCATGTGTTAATAAGAAAAGAATCTATTCAATCGTAAGGAAAAATAGTACATCATAATGAGTGTGGAATAGAATTAACCAAAGAAAACAAAGAAAGAGAGAGAGACAGAGAAAGAGAAAAAAAGAAATAGTTATGAAGCTACTTTTGCCATTTCTGTTATTTTTACGTATAACCAGTTTATGTTATTTAGCCGACAGCTATGTTTAGAATTTTCCACTTGATATTCAACCGACAGCGATCATTGACGTGCTCTTGCATCAGCGCGTCGGAAGCGACAGCCAGTTTTTCATCACACTCTCATTTATCATGCACACAGATGAAAATGGCAAACGTATGCATGACAAATACACACATTCATCTGCGTCTTATTAATTTTGTTGATTGCCAACGCTTATAATAGAAGTCTTACCAATTTCAAGTAGTTTCTTTTTTTTTCATCATTTGTCTGTATACTGGAATGGTTAAGAAACCATCATCAGTTATTAAATCGTCATAAAGTGAGAGAGTGATCATTATGGGTAATTTTCAGAACCACTATGTTTGGTATGTTGCTTTTGTTTTTCATTGCAACGTTATTTTACTGCCATTATTATTATTGTTGTTATTCTATTCGTCTGAAGTTCATCGGTATCATTCACCTGTTATAAAATCTTAATTACACGTTTTTTTTATATTTACAATTTTTCCAGTTTCATTCTCCTTTTTTTACATAATTCAACTGAAATCAATCATTACTTTCCTAATAATCGTATGAGTAATTGTTGCCGTATTTGTTTTGTACGATACTTGGCGTACATGTTTAAAATAGGATTGAAGATAAGAAAAAACAAACAGAATTTAATTATTTTTAAAATGATAGTTCGCATTAGTGTTTGTTGCAAGGCTGATTATAATAATTATTCACTTTAGACTTTCTTTTGCTTTGTTTGAGTTTCAGAATGATGTGTCTTTTTACCGTTTCTAAAATGTTTTAAAAAATTTCAGACAAAAAAAAAACAGATTTCGAATAAACGGAAGAATTGGAAAGAGACGAACCAAAAATGCGAACGAAACTTGTATTGATGATAGCTATTGTGAGCGTTTGGCCAAATAAAGCGTTTTCAACGCTAAATGAGAAGAATCCAGCGACACCATTACCACAAATCGAAAGTGTAACCAATGACGGTGATGAATACGACAGTGAATCGGCTAGAAAAATCATTGGATCGAGGTAACATTTTAAAAATCAATCGATTCATGCAATAATGTGACAGAAAAAACCCAGAGAAAACCGATTTTTAACGCACCTCACCTTATTTGGATCATTTTACGAAAATACACAATATACTTTAAATAGATACAACAATCTGTAATTAACGATCGAAATCTATAAGACAAAGAAAAAAATCCAATTCTCTATGTATTCTTTGCTATTCCCATTTCTTCGAAACTGTTATTCTTTTGGTAATTAACCTGACTGAACTCTGTTATGGTATCTGTTTAAAGTACAGTTTTTATTCCGTATCCATATCGCATGTTTTCTATGCTTTATTTTCGCTTTTTCTCGTTCGTCTAACACGATTTTCCGTTTTCTTAAGCTTTTTCCTAACTAGAGGTATCTGTCTAATGATTGTTTTTTTTATGTTTCATTTGTTTTTCTGTTTTTTAAGAGTTGTGACTTCTGTATCGGTTGTTATGAATGGAAAAGAGCCACAATTTGCCGATGCAGTTGGCAATTATATACCAAGACCTTTGGTACCACCGCGTGTTGCGAGTCCCGTAAGCTTACTCGATCCCGATCGTTATGAATTTTACACGTTCAACGATGACGGTGAACTGGTCAAACGTTTAATGACAATGGAGGAAATTCAAAGCATAGTTGCGAATGGTGACAGTGAACAACAAGCACTAGCCAAAAATCCAGCTGGAAATCCAATTTTAGATAATGAGGCCAGCATTCGTGACATCGTTAATAATGTGCAAAAAGTTTTACACTCGGAAATGGCCAATAACAATTTCACCGCCAGTTTGTCACACAATAAATTGGACACACCAGACACATCGTCATCGTGGAGTTCAATATTGCCGGCAATTTTCGGAAATACCGGCGAATCAATTGTAGCACAAAAGATACCGGTGACAACAGGAAGTACGGCTGATTCGATTATTATGCAGTCAACAACAACGCACAAAAAACCCGCTACTCATAAACCATCAACGTCCATTTCGAAAACAACCGTGCCACCGAAAACAACGCCAAGTAAATTGACAAAACAAAAGCCTAAGCCATCACGGCCTGCATCATCTTCATCGGTTACAGCCACCAGACCAAACACTACGGTTACACAAAAGACGAAACCAACGTCAGCCGCACAAACAACGCAACATATCAAAAATACACAAACAAATAAAGTTACTTATTCACAACAAAGCACAAGTGGCACATTGAAGCCAACAAAAGCGGCTACAGCTGGAAAGCCAAGCAGTAGCTCATTGAAACCGTCAACGGCCTATGTTCAAAAAATAGCACAAACAACCCATAGGGTGACATATCCGCCAAGTAAAACGGCATCAACTGCAGCCGATACGACGCCAACGAAAAAAACAACAACATCAAAACGTCCGGTTACACAAACAAAATACGCATCGAGCTCATTGAAAACATCCCCATCATCCGCCTCAAGCAGCATTCAAACGACTAAATTACCATTGACGATACAATTTACGCCGACAAAAAAGATTAATAATAAGATACCATCAGATGTGGGAACCAATTCACCAATTGTACAACATACGTATATCACAACTATTCCAACTAAAAAGAAAATCAGCCCAACAACACCAAGTTATAAAACAACAAAAATTGTAACCGAATCATACACACCGAAAGAGAATTGGGCTTCAACGGTAAAATACCCAAGTAAACCATCTGTTACAACACGTCGAACCGTTACTAGCCCGATTCAACCAACAACACGATCACCACCGCAAACCATCAGTTCAGAAACAATTTTTGAACCCGAACCGGACAATGTCTTCGACTCAGAACTGAGTTTGAATCAAATTATTGAGAGCTTAAAGGGTCTTGAGGGCACAACGATGCCGTATGCCTCGAATTACATGGACTTTGTCGATTTGACAACACTTGAGCCAAATTCAATGCCACCGTTAGATCGAATTAATACGGATTCCGTGACAATCATGAATAATGGACAAAATTTAAATTCTCAAACTTATGCTGAGAAAGAGGATGCCGAATTTAAACAATCGGTCAATAGCGTTTCATACATTCCACAAACAACATTTGAATATCCTGACTATTCACCAACAACAATAACAACAACAACGAATAAAATGAAAAATCGTACAAATAGCGCATCGCAACGTCCCATGACATTGATTGAACACAAAGAAAGTGACGATGAAATGGAAATGGTGTTGGATATGGATGATGAAAAAACGACCTATGCTACTGTTGGCACCACAACAACAATATCATATACCACCACGCCGGATAGTTTAAGTAAACAATCTACGAATAGTATGGACACAATGCTGCGAGAATCATTTGATAGCGTATTATCGCAAGTGCAAAATGAGGTAATGTCGACAACGATTGATTTTAATGATGTTGAAACAACAACTTATCCGCAAATACAACAAGATGTGATTACAATAAAATCAAATGATCGGAAAAAAGTTGTTGTTAAGCCAACGCCATACATTTCGTTTGAAGTGCTTGAAGGCGGTGGGGCTACCGAATCAATGAAATACTTTGAAGCGGTCATTAAGCACTATGAACAAGAGAAAAATAAAAATGAATCGATTAACGGTACAAATTCATCGATACAAGCGGACCTTACAACTCAAACAACAATCGATGATATGAAAACTACAGAAAAACCATTCGAAATGGATCGAGTCGGAACAACCACTGTTGATTCGGATTCATTGGAAATGACAACCGAAAATTTTACCGAAGAAGAAAAGTCGGGAATTCAGACACAAGAAACATTTAAATCATCCGAAAGTAGTTCGTATTCCGAGGAAAATTTAACAACAACAGAGGTTGCAACCGAAGAAATGCCATTGAATTTATTGCGAACTGAAAATGATGAAAATTTTATCAGCAACGAAGAATCAACGCAATCCATTACAATTGAGCCAGAAGAAATGTCAACCATTCAATTTATCAAAGATTCAACCGAAAAATTGAAGAGTGTTTCAATAACCGAAAAAAATAACAATGATGATGTTTCCACTAGTTTGGATGCAGACATCACAACAATTGGTTCGACATTTGATGATGATGATAGTGTAACTACAACGGATGGTGAGAGTTTTGATCAATCAACTGTTTCATCCGATTTCAATCAAGAACCGGACGAAAATCAAACACAATATGAAATGATAAAATTGATTGAGAACATAATGAAAAACGAAAAGACGAACAACAATGCACAACCGAATATAACAAATAATTTAGTGGAACGCAAAGAAGATGCCAACGAAATGACAAACAAAAAAATTGACAATGGCACAACGGAAAACTATACAACGCAACGAGATGAAATTGAATTCTCCGATTTGGGTGAAACAACGACCATCACGAGTGTGAATGTTGTAGCAACGGAAAAACATAAATATGAAACAAAAACGAAAACCCAAACGAAAATAAAAACCAAACCTGAATCTAAGCCGAGCCCAACATCGTCTGTAAAATCACCATTGAATAAATTAAAACTACCAACATTGGCACCAATTTTAAACAATCTGAAAATGAAAGTTGTGAACGCTCTTAAAAATACAAACACAATCAATTTAGAACCGGCACCAAAGCAAGCTCTCGGCTTGGAAGAAAGTACGGCCCACGCCAGCGAAGACATTTTGGAATTTACAAAATTCTGCAATGAGGTCGCTTTCAATTTCTGGACAGCTTTAAATAATGAAGGCATCAGTTCGGCCAGAAGTTTAACCATTTCACCATTCGCACTAACATCGATGTTGGCTATGTTTTTCTTAGGCGCACGCGGACGTACATCGGGCGAAATAAATGATATGCTTCACTTGGACGATATTGTCACATTCAATCCGCACGCAATGCTACGCAATATAAGCGATTCGGTGGAAGAGAAAAAGGACGGTTTTGTCTATAGCAATGCATTCGTACGCGAATTGTTGAGCGAACGAAGCAAAGGAAAGATACTACCATTTTTCAAAGAGAAAGTTAGCCAATTCTATTCGGGTTATGTGGAAGAGATAAATTTTAATACAGTCAACGATGTCATCAGACGCCGAACAAATTTGCTAATTAAACGTTATACCGGCGGCAAAGTAAATGAATATCTAAAAACCAGTAATGTTTGGGTGAAACCACCACTGGCCGGAATAAGTGCAAATATTTTTGAAACTGATTGTTCGAGAGCATCGAAAGTGGAACGGGATGGTGAAATGTTTTTCCAGGTGTTGCCAGCAATTCGACAACGTCGTTTGGTACCAATTCCGGCTGTTGTATGGAAAAGTGGATTTACAGCTGGTTATGATCCAGAATTAGATGCGACCGCCGTTGCTATCGGTCTGAGCGGTGACATTATAAGCACGATTTTTGTAATGCCCGGTCAACAAGGTCATTCGGCACCTGGCGATAATCTGGAACGTCTTGAATCGGTGTTAATGGTTAACGCGGTCTCACAAAATGCTTGGCGACGTTTGTTAGCTACATTAATGGAACGACCCGGTTTAGAGGTGCAAATACCACGTTTCACACATCGTTCGTTTGTTAACACAACGAATGCACTAAAAAAATTGGGTCTTGAAACACTTTTCGACCAAAATTTGGCTGACCTACGTGGCATAACTGGTTCAATTGGTCGTGATGTGTTCGTGTCCGATTTGATTCAAATCAACACATTTAGCACATGCGGTGAAGATAAATTGGCCGAAGAACATCATGTGGAAATGTACCCAGCACCGCCGAATAAACATCGTAATATCGACTATACTTCGACCACATCGTCATCATCATCATCGGCAGCAGCAAAACCAATTGCCGTTGATTATGAAAATGAACGGGCATTTGCTTCGGATCCGATTTATGACTCAAGATACCTAAGTCTACCGCTCCCACTACGACCGAGACAAGCAAGAATTCCAGAAAATCCACGGCTTCGATTTGATAAACCATTCATTTACTTTGTTCGTCACAATCCAACCGGAATGGTATTGTACTTTAAAAATTACTTATTAATTATTATTGATTGTTTTACGACTATTTTGATTATTTTAAATTAATTCTTTTCTTTTGTGATTCTCCCCTTAGGTATTGTACTTTGGACGATTCAATCCGCGATTATTGCCGTAGTTCTTTACGCTTCTTCTTAAACAAAATGAAATTAAAAAAAAATTATGTTATTTAAAAAATTAGTTTAAAGCCTTCGTAAAGTTCGCATTTCTCTCGTAAAGATATTTGATGGTGTGTTTGACATCGATAATGAACCAATACACCGGGAGACACGGCGACAAATAATAGTATTTTATTATTATTTTAAGTGTATTTCTAAATAAAAACAGCAACATTTTTTTTTTTTAAATTTTTTAAGAGAATATGTGACAATTTCGGGTGCGAAAGAAAAAGAAAAACATATTTCTCTACCTAATCATTAGCAATCTCTTATTTATTGTATCATTTAATTGACATGATTTTCAAACAAATAAAGATGCAAGAAATGAAGAGGATAAAGAGGATAAGGAGTAAAAAGAAAGCTGAACACGACCTGTTCACATTGATATAGGGATAATAAGTTAGAATTACGTTTAATTCTCAATTTTTAATAATGATAATAATAATAATACAATAATAAAATTAATTAGTTAGGCGTTTATAGGATTCAAATGTATAAATCCATCCAATTGATATATCATGTTTTTCATTTGCTTTCATTTTTTGCTTTTAATGATTTTCGTTTAATATTATTTTTTTTAACCTTGTGAAATTGAGGAATATAGAGGAATAGAAATAAAAATGCAACAATATTTCAAATACATAATAATACAATAAAGGATAACACATTTAAATTTATACAATTCCTTATTCGTCTGAAATTCTCTATTCAGTCCTAAATGCATAGGGCATAGAAATCGTTCATCATTTAATACAATCATGTATTTTCATTCATCAACATTCTAATTACAATTATTCAAAAAAACAAATTAATCTTTTCAATATAAGGAATCGTTATCATTGGCATAAAACATTAGTGATTTGTGTATTGTGTGTATGTGTGTGTCACATTGAAGTATTTTTTGTTTTTCTCCTTTTCAAATTATTCGATTTGATTCTAGCGTCGGTTTGCTTTTTGTGAAGCACGTCGAAAGCCCGAAGGTAAACTAAACGGAGCAGAAGCGAAAGGATCTTCATTGGATGCCTCTTCTTTTTCTTCCTGCGATAGTTGAGGAGGCAATGGAGGTGGTGCTTCAGATGGTGGACCATTCAATGACACCGACGAGGAAGAGGTTTGAGAACCCTGCGATATGGGCGATGATAGATCTTGCGGTGGAAATACTTTGCTTGTATTTCGTATCGGTGAATTGATTTCACCTTTTGGCGCTATAAATACGAAAAACAATTAGTTTTGCGCTTAATAATAAACTATAAAAATGTGACATACCATTGGGTCGATCTCTTAAAGCATCAAATTCAGCTTCATAGATGTGATCTTCTGTCATTTGATTGAAAGGCGTTGGATCTTCAAATGGATTCCATTGCGATAATCCCGTCGATGAATTTGGTTTATTACTATTTTTGTCATTTGTTGTTGGCAATTCGGCACTTGAAATCGACGATCTCAATTGTACATTTGAAAATTGCTCACTAATCTCAGCAGTTTCTATAGGAAAAACCAACCAATATTAATAAATCTATTTGTTTCTAATAGAATACCCAGAATTCCAACGAATATTAAAACATGTCGACCGAAAATATCGCAAAACCGAAAGATTAAAGAAACGAAATGGTGGCAAACGTTTGTTTGAGTGTTTTTGGTATGTTTCGGTCATGTTTTAATGCACGTCAGTAATTCTGGTACTTTGGTTTACTGATTCGTCGTTTTATCAAACGCATTGTTAAGAACAATGTGTACCTAAAGTATGAGGAATGGAAGATGGTCCGAATGACAAGTTCACTCGCGCCTTATGAGATGCTTCATACGGCGCTAAGAACTCATTGGTTTCATTTGCGAATGTTCTGAAATATAAAGATGAATTCAATATAATAGTCATAGTGTCTCTCGAATGAAAAGAAAATATTTGCCATACTTGTTAAATGCAGAGGTGTCACTCATGTTCCTGCGATGACCACCAGCCATTACCTTAGGAGCATTCAATAATTGTTGATGCATTGGAGAAGTAGGCGATTGAATATCTTTTTTCGAACCGCTCAATGGTGGTTGCGGTAAATTCGTTGTATCACTGAAACTGTCGGCAAATTTTGCTTCAAATAATTGTTCATTTGCGCTCGATTTAGTTGGTGTCTTTAGGTCATTTGCTTTGGATTTCAATGCATACGGTGAAACTGGTGTTTGAGAAATACTGCTTGATTTATCGCATGCATCGAAATTTGGATCCGTACTCTGTAAAACTTGTGGTGACGGTGAAGCAATTGTATTTCTCGGCGATGGGCTCGACGGTAATACCAGAGGTAAATTTTGCGAAGACACATTGCCTTTGGGACGTTGTCTGGGCGCAACGCTGGTCCCAAGCTCGGCGACTTGTTGCTTCGGAGCAATCGTTGTTTTTTGAACGGACGCTCGTTTTAATTCACTTTCAAATGGTGGACATGATAGGTTCTCTAGAACTGGGGCTTCCGATTTCTAAAAGTAAATCAAATCGTTTGAAAAAGACTGTACAAATGATTGGTGTTGCATTAAACTTACTTGAATGTTTGTAACAGGATTATCTTTCGATTGAATTTTGAATGCGATCTCACAAACTTGCCAAATGTTTGGTCGTAGATCTTGATTTGGTTCTAGCATATATTTAACAAGCTTATGTAGGCCAATCGAGTATTGTGAATTGTCTGGAATGGAGAATGTCCCATTTTGGATGGCTAAAACTGATTCGCCAAAGGGCAATGTAAAATACATCAATTTATATAGTAAACAGCCCATTGCCCAAATATCTGCTTTGGTCGTTATATTCTTTTCGGCATATAAATCAACCATTTCGGGTGCTCGATACGACAGAGTCGTAAATTTTCGAATTTCATCTTCGACATTTGAAATGCCGTGCGTTTTAGCATTTAATACACGCGCTGTGGCCGAACCAAAATCACATAGAACAAAATCACCACTTTCGGCTTGTAAAATATTCTCCACTTTTAGATCACGATGGATGATTGGCGTTTGACAGTGATGCAGTCGGGACACAGCTTCAGCAATATCACAAAATATCTGTAAAACTTCGATTTCCGTAAATCCAGCGGCCAATTTTGCATTCATCATTGACAAAACATTCGTTTTGCAATACGGCATCAGCATAAGCACTTCGAACACACCACCAGGGTGTGGTGTTATGCTCGAATCAATGTAACCAATTATATTTTTGTGCCCTGATAAGTTGCTCTGAAAATACAAGGAAACATGAAAAATTCATTGAAAAAAAAAACGATTTTAATTGAATTTTGGTAACATCTGATAACAGAATTCCAATGGCCAATTGTAAATTATCAATGATAAGGTTATATCAGAAAAACACTTACAGCGATTTGAATTTCTCTTTTGGCCGCATTCAAATCCACTTGATTGTTAACATAGAGCCGTTTCAGTGCGTATCGAATATTATTGCTGCTACTACTCCCATTTGGTTTTGTTAAAAACACTACGGCAAATCCACCTATTATTTCAATGAAAAAAAAAAAACACAAATTACACATCAGAAAACATACGAACATACGAACATACAAACGAATAGATAAAAACATACAAGTACGTGATTCTGATAAGACCATATAAATGGAGTATTGTGAAATTCAATGAAATGATTAAATTTTGTGAGTGAATGGAGTGTCGATGATATTTGACACATGTACTAATAATTCGGTGCAAATTGACTAACCTTCAGCTAAAATGTCCTCGACCGTAACTATCGTTCGACCCACTGTAAAAACTTTTCCAATAAAACAACTCCCATCACGTTGGTTTGATGCAGTGTTGCTATTATCCATTCGCTCATTTTTATCGAATTTTGATAGAATTTTTTTCATATTTCTATTCAATTCACAAACGAATGTTTGATTGCAATTCGGATTGAATGAATTCGAAATGAACAATTCGAATGGAATTCACCCACGAATAAACTACAAATCGAACGACAATTCAATTAAAAATGTAACTCTATTGTTAACCACAAATCGATTAGCATAAATGAGCTGATTGTATAGCGTACACTAATCGTCTTCGATGTAATTTCCAATTGAATTGAAAATTAAATGTGGCTCACAGTGGCTCCGATGAGCTTCCGAACTATATTCGACACTGGTAGCTCCCTTTAATTTTCGCTTTGATGCCAACTTTCAGTAGTTCTGTTTATTTTTATTTATCAAATGCATCTGTAGTTGTTCAACAGCGCACTGACAGTTCGCGTCAAATGATTATACGTGTGCCGTTTTTGTTTCACTAAAATTAATCGAATTGTGTGTATTCAAAACTATTTCTCTCTCATTTGTTAATCGTCTCTTTTGATTGAATTTTCAGCAAAAAAAATCTCGTTTAGTAATTTTTATGGAATTGGACTTTATTCGACACTCTTTTCCATTTAAATGACGTTTTTGATTCAATGGTATTATTAATTCCACAGAAATAATTATACTACAATGTTATTGCGAACAAAATTCTTGTTGGTAGTTTTTTTTGTTGTTGTTTGAAATAAAAACAAAACTACGAAGAAAACTGCACATAGTTTTCCTTGACTTTAGTTTGCTTACTGAAAATGTAACATTGAAATTATTTGACAGTTCGGAATTTCCCTTTTCACTCATACTTGTATGCATACAGTCAAACCATTACAAACTCAACATTCACATTTGCGTCAAATGTGTCAGATTCAAGGGGATTTTTGAATCAATATTTTGCATGTTTATAAAATGAAATTAATTTTGGATATTTTTAATGATTACACACACCAAATGATAAATAAAGATCGAACAAAAATCCGTAAAAAGTGGTATTTCGAATCGTTTTGGGGTTACTATATTCAGCACCTCTACATTGCCCGATGTGAATTCAGTGTGATATGCAAAATGTCAAATCAGAGCATGAATCAGATTTTGAACGACCAAGTGTCATTTGATAACGGTTTATCGGATATATAATTTGTATTCAGCATGAAATAAACTCATATGTTTTATTTGACCAAATCAATTTATTCAATTTTTATTTTCAATGGGAAAATGTTTTACTTAAACAATCTACATGTTACAAATATTTGTACATTAACAGCTTAAACGAAATAAGGTAGCGTGATGTTGTAGTCATTGTAATAAAAACGATGGTAAAAAAACAACCTATTCTAATGTTAACTAATTAGCCCAAATGTCAGCAAATTGTTTAATTTTCCGCATGCTCAATACACGGTTCCAACAAAAAAAATGTGTCACTTGATGCTACCAAGAATGTTGCTCTTTACCAATGATGTCGGCCAATGATTTCTTGATTTGAATGAATCGTCGTTTGAACTCAATGCCGTCACCTTTTGAAAGTCGAAAATCGACTAAAATAACATTGTTCATTTCAATGAGATTAATTTTGAAAACCAAATTAATTTTTCGTCGATCAATCGTTGACACAGTAATATGATTGATGTCTGTCTTTTTCCATGTATATCCCATTGTTGAAACAGTATCAATAATTCGTTTGACTGTATCGTCTGTGGTGGTTGTTACACTGAACCGTGTCATACGCTTAACAAGACGATGGAACGGATTTTGGGTGTTTTGTGTGGGATTCATTTGTGTACACAATATAAGATCTTCCATAAGTGTTGGCTGTGAGAAACAGAAATCATTTCGTTGATCATCGCCGGCCACATTCTTCAGCTCTACCGTTTGTGGCACGGGCTGTGATAGATTAACGGGCTTATCGACATTCATGAAGTCATTCGGTCGGAAGCGTTTGGCCCGTGGCGTTTCTCGATCATTTTCTACAGTTTCTTTTAAATTGAAAAATGAAAAACAAATCAATCATTTTATTTTATACGAATTACAATTTTATGACTAAACAAAATTAATGGCAAACAAAGCAAATCGACGAAAAATGAAAAATTAAATTAAATGATGACGAACAAAATAGAAATTGTAAATCAAATTGAACTGAAATATACATATGCGTAAATAAAGGCCATCAGGCTTTTGGTGGTAAAACTATATGATTTCATACAACAACATACAGCTTAAACCACCAAAGACATGATAACCGGTAAACAAAAGATTGATTGAACAAAAGCGAAACGAGCAAATAATAAAGGCAAACCTGTTTGGCAGTGGAAGAGGGGAAGGTAAGGGGGTGTTAGAAGAAATTGTGTTTTTTTTGTTAGTTTATTTAGGTTCCGTATTTATGAATTTCGCGTTGACATTATCCAGCGCTTTAATGCTTTGGTAATCTAGCTTTATGAAATATTGTTACTCTATCATACAGCTAAAGCGCCAAAGCATGCAAATGCCTTCATGTAGTCAATCGTCTTCGGATATATATATTTTTTTTACATGTTATGGTCGTTATACAAAATATGATTTTGTTCGGTCGTCACAAGTCGTTGATGGTGTAAATAGTAAGAAGATTCGGACCAGAGACGCGATAGTTAAAAATCTTCCTGACCAGCCACTTAAGTGCTCTCAGACTTTAAACGATCCACTGAGAGTCACTCAGTACCTGATCAAGCAAATCCAATATTGTCTGATTGTCTTCGGATCGTGTTTTGAAAAGTACACCACCAGCTGATTTTTATTATATTCAATGGTGTAAAAAGAAGTTCACAAGAAACATATATATGAAACTCATCATCGAAAGCATAGCACATACCACTTAATTTACACCATTTATGTTCAATAATTTCCTTAACAGTGATTCGCTTTCCTGAATCCGGTTCAAGTAATTTCCGGAGCAATGATAACGCTAGTGTTTCCAATTTACTCCACGGTGTTATTGTCATCCAAGAGTTGTCACCCTTCCATTTGACAAATTCAGCACAACCCGTTGTCGGTTCATCCCATGGCAACTCTGTGAACGCAATGTGAAAATGTAAAAAATTAATTATAAAAATTATTATCGTATAGAATTAAATGCGCACAAAAACGATTTAAAAAAAAACTGAACGATTTTACAACAAGCTAAAGTATACAGGGTGGGCCAGAATAACTGCAATTTTTTTTCGCACCTATGTAGATACTACTATAATAACTTTCCAGTCACTCTTTTGTTTACCGTTATGTTTATTCATGTTTTGGTTATCCACTGTGATGATGCACATTATTGCGCAGTTCTTGTTTACTTTGCTACAATAATGGATGTGAAACGTCAACTCGTTTTGAATTTGCATAAAAAAGGTTTGCGACAAATTGATATTTTTCGGAAGCTTCAGATCGACAATATCAGTTTGAATTTTATTCATCGCACCATAAAACGATACAAGGAGCGTGGAACTGTCGATGTGAAGCGAAAAACGGGCAGAAAAAGATCTGTACGAACAAAAGGTCTGGTCCAAAAGGTACGAAAGAAAATTCTTCGAAATAACAAAAGAAGCGCCAGAATATTAGCTCGTGAGCACAATATCAGTCGATCTTCAATGCGACGAGTGTTGAGAGAAGATTTGGGAATGAAACCATTCAAAAAAAACCGAAAACATGGTTTGACAAAAAAAATAAGCAAGATAGAAAGCGAAAATCCAAAGAGCTGCTAAGCCGAGCCGCAACCTCAAACATCGTTTTCTCCGACGAGAAGTTGTTCCTTTTGCAGCCAAGTCTCAATGCGCAAAATGATCGTGTTTACGCAGCGACAATTGAGGACATTCCTGAAGATGATTTAGTCGTTGAACGATATCAAAATGTGTCAAGTGTCATGGTTTGGGGCGCCGTTTCGGCCGACCACAAATTTCCCCTTGTTTTCGTTGAAAGTGGCGTTAAAATCAATGCAGCTGTGTATGAAGAAGAAATATTGCGCAAAAAATTGTTGCCACACGCCAAAAAAGTGTTTGGTAATGAACCATGGGTGTTTCAACAAGATGGGGCACCGTCACATCGAGCAAACAGAGTGCAACAGTGGTTAAAGGAAAATGTGCCTGATTTTATTGATAAAGACGAATGGCCGCCATCGTCTCCAGACTTGAATCCATTGGATTATTTTGTGTGGGGCTACATGCAATCAAAGTTAAATGATCTGAAGATTACGAAAACCACAAAATTGGATGCATTTAAAAAGAAAATCGTCAAGATTTGGAACGATATTCCCATCGAAATGGTGCGGTCCGCGTGCAAATCGTTTTTACGACGTTTGCGTTTGGTGATCCGTGCAAACGGAGGAAGAATCAAAACCAAAACATGAATTTAAAATTTTGGACCCTATTCTAAATCCCAATAAAGTTTTCATTCAATTTTAGTAAAAAACAATACTTTTTCTGAGCACATATAAAAATTGCAGTTATTCTGGCCCACCCTGTATATGCCGAGTAAATGTTATCAATATACATGTAAGGTATCCGGTTAATCGCTATTGTAATATATATATAATTTTTTATGGTTGTTAGTATTTTTTGGTGGATATATACACAGAAAATGAGTGGTAAATGTACAAGTAAATGTTTAAGGTTTCAATTAAAAATAATGTATCGAAAGGAATTCATTGGGTGTTTATGCTTTTAATCAGTGAATGGTTATATATGCATGTTCCATGTACACAGTCAATATTTACATATGTGTGTGTGGTGTATATTTTTATTTATTTATTTTTTTGGTATGTATGGTGATGTGCAGCAAGCAATTTTCGTAAGACCTCTGGTATTAAAGCTTTAGATACAAAAATTGAAAAACAATCTACAGCTAGAATACCAAAGAGCTCAGCAAAAATATAATTTATACATATAAGACATGTGGGTGTTTGCGTGTACAAATAGGATGATATTCACAAAATCTCAAATTCACAAGTTTATTTTGTTTATAAATGGTAGCAGCATGGCTGTTGTGATATTTTATACTATGTGTGTGTGTGTGTGTGTGTGTGTGTGTGTGTATGTTGGTGAGTAAGTAAATATGTGTATAAATATTTGCTATTTGAATTTGTTAAAAAAAATGGCGGTGGCCGTGTGAGTGGTATCAAATAAATGAATCAAGTTAATACAACATAAGTTTTTGATTACAAAATTTTCATATATGCAATACACAGGGCACATTTGTTTTGATAAATGTGATTTGATATCATTTCATATTATTTCTGTCTCATCAAAAAAAAAAAATGTTTTCCAAATGAAATATGTTGACCCATGTGAAAGTGAAACACAAACGATAACACGGCTGCATAATAATAAAATGGAAATGTTCTTACCGCCAGATAACATGGCCACCAAAATAACGCCACAAGACCAAATATCGGCTGCTGTTGCATTGTATGGCCTCACAAGAATTTCTGGAGCAACATATGGCAGTGTTCCGCATCGTTTATCGAGTAAACGCTCTTTGCCCTTTATTCTACACAAATTTCAATGAAAATAAAACCCGAAAAAATATAAAAAATATTCAGAACTGGTGACGTTAGTGGAAAATGATTGAATGTTTTGACAAACTAATTATTATTATACCTATTAATACCTGAACATAGTGGCCATGCCGAAATCCGATATTTTTAAATTGTCGTGTTCGTCAAGCAATAGATTTTCGGGCTTCAAATAATTAGAGAAATTTAAACCAAAGCACAAATTATCGTATTATATTGTACAAAAATAAGTATGTATGAGAATAATATGCAACCCTTAAAATAATTCGATTGCAGCAATGTGTAGTGTACCCACCTTTAAGTCACGATGCGCAACCCCCTTTCCATGCAAATAATTCACACCATCCATTAACTGATTAAAAAAATGTCTTGCCTCATTCGCTCGCATTCCAATGTCCGGCTCTATTTCAACGATGACAGTACATTAAGTGAAATTAAATATGTTGAATGGTTTCTATACGATGGTGTTAGAGCATTGCAAAAACACAATATTTATATTACATACCGATTCGATCAAACAGTTCACCGCCGGCAGCATATTCCAAGAATATATACTCGATTTCGTTTTGTCGTCGCGTCCCAAAATATCGTAGTATGTGTGTATGTTGTAAGAATTTTTGAATGCATACTTCCTTTTTTACCGATGCAGATGCATCGGGATGCTTACGCGTATCGACCATTTTCATTGCAACCGCCTCACCGGTTTGTTTGTTCAGCAATAATTTAACTCTAGATAGACAAAGAGAAATATCAACAAAACGAACGAAATCAACACATTTGAAATAAAAAGCAAACACACCATTTGTGAATAATGAATTTTCATTCATTTGGTGCAGTAAAAATGTTACATTTTCTCTTTTTATTATCATTATTAATTTATAATGATATTATTATTGGCACTCCCCAAAAATTGATTATTTAACAGTTCAATGCAGTATCTGCTTTTAAACAAATGAAAGAGAGAAAAAATTGTGTGTGCGAGCGAAAAAAAAATCCGTACGTAAATTCATCACTATAAATCACTCGATTATTTTTCTGGATAAGCCACAAGAATATTGTTATGCACATTTTTATTATGAAATGTAATTTTATACAATGTAGAACAATTTGCTTCGAGGCACGATTGCATTTGTAATGGAAACTATGTGTGCTACAAATGTAACGCAGATGTAATTTTATGTGATTTTTCATATGTATATTACTCAATGGATAAAGGTGGATGTGACCGGTTGAACAGTTGATGCCAAACATATACAAAACGGGGTGAATAATATAGCCGTTTTCCGTTCAAAATGTGCTCTCGATAGAGACTCTTTATTAGAGAAAAAGAGCGAAAAGAACCCCAAAGTACTCTAATCTATTAAATGCGCTTACATATATCACGAATTTCATTTCCATTTGATTTGTAATTTAATTTTTAACTTCTGAACTTTTACGTTAAATGTTTTCTCCATTGAATTTAATCGCATGTAAAAAATCAAGAAATCATTACACACATACTAATCTTTTTTTGTCTACTACGTTAAACACAAGCAATGCGAACAAAAAAAAACCTTTCAGCATCCAATGGCGTACGGAGAGAAAATGAACAAAATCGTATGGATCGAAATTTGATGTGGTTACTTACTCGCCATATGCACCCTCTCCAAGAGTCTGCGCAAGAGTCCAACCTTCAACGAATTCTTCTCGATTACCATTTTGGGATGCCATTTTGACTGAGAGAGCGATGAGACGTTTGATGTCTGTGTTACGATTCTTGCACCGTTCCTTTGGACACTGTATTCGATATCAACATATCGTGCATCCAAATGGAAAATTTCACACGTATTTTTTTTGTGATGCGTACATAAATGAGAAATAAATGGAAGCGATAACATAAAATCGATTTAATAATTTTGGTTTAGCTTAAATTAATCATAATGCGAAAAAAAAATTGAACATTCCGATCTGTCTTCATAAGTTAAATTTTTTAATCTTTAATTCATACTTTGGGAAAAATTAACGATTTTTATACGCACATATTTTTTTGTTGTTTCATTTTATTTTTGTTAGAAAAAAACTAATTTAATTGCAATATTGAAATAATAAAATGGATTTAATGTGGATATAAATCTTTATGTTTCTTTGCGCGACGAATGAATTTAAAGCGGTCGGTGGGTTCAAATACACAATTCTACACGCTCAGTAACACACACATACATACATGCATGCGAAACAGTTTGATGACAATTTTTATTGATTTTTTTGCAGAATGAATTTTAAGCTTTCTGAAAAAAACAGTACATAAAATGCTAAAAAATAAAAAATCGACGCTAACCATTGCAATTGCTGATTCAATAAATAAAATTTCATCATTTTCAATTTATGTCACATTTTTATATCTCTGTGTAGTGGTGAAAGAGAAAAAATTTACCGTTTTCGGAATTTTTCCTTTGCGAAAACAAAATTTTTCGACAAAAAGAAGAACGTTTCCTTCAAAAATTGTTCTATATTCATGTGAATCAAGAATGTTTAATTTTAAAATTGCGCCACTTTGTAAAAAATCTCGAAATTTTGATTTGTATTTTGCAGCTATTGTGATAATGACTTTGCGATGCCATTGCGAATATCGAATATATATCGTGATTTAGAGAATTGCATGCGACCGGCAAGTTAGTCTTGGTTTAAACAACTGACATTGATATTGTGTGTTATGCATACAAATATATGCGGAAAACGAACAGGCGAGAAACATGTTCAGCTTGGTAAATGCTGTTCTGCGAATTGAAATGCACAGCCGTAGCGCAGCATTGATAGCCCGTTCATTCAAATTGAACCACACTGGTTGGTGTATAGACGAGACTGTTACAAACGTGCAGGCATCATGGTGTGTGTATGAGAGAGATAGAGCGAGAGAGAGAGTGGACGTGAATCTATGTGCTGATATATTTGAAAGTTGAACGCGAGAATTTCGATGTGGTCGTAAGGGTATGCGTATAATGAAGCACACATATACATGCCAAAATTCAACCGTACTAGTGTGCAGAAAATGTAATTTTTGAGGTAAGAAGCGCACAAGCACATTTTCGATTGGTGGTCTTCAATGTATTCATGAAATAGGAGAATCAACCGACTAAAGACAAAAAGAAATCAACGAAAATGCACAAAACTAAATGCGAAAATGTTGTTGTTGGCTGGATTCAATAATGGAGAAGAAAAGAAGCACAAAAAAAAACGGCTTGTAAAAACGAACGACGAAATATGAACCGAAAGGAAAGAGGTAGACGAAAAATAGGAACATAAAACTGAACTGAGCCTTTTTTTCTCTGTTGAGCAACAAAAGCGGCACTTGCCAATCGATTGGCATAGCAACATAACGATATATGTATATATGTATATTTCTTTTTTGCACAATCCAAGCCTTGTTGCAGCCTCCATTGTATGTGTTGCAAAATATAACCAAATGTGGTATCACCATGACCGCTATTGGCAAGTCCGAAATCAAATCCAATACAGCTGTATGCCATAGTTTCGAACTGATTTTTTTTTTTAATTTAAATACGGTACACATTTTGAGATGATGAGCGATACGAGAGGAAAAATCCAGTTTTTATTTTACCGGCTTTTTTGAATTTATAACATTTATCATTGATTTCGTTTCGCTCAACACAACTACGCAACAGCTAAATGGTGTAGCGACAACATTTTCAATTAAAAAAAAAACTATAGATAAAAATTGCATTTGGTGGTAACTTATAACTTGACAAACGTTTTTTTGGAGATAGAGAGAATGGAATATGGTTTTGCTCATTTATATTTGTTGCGTCTCTTTTCATCTGATTCGCATATACGCACCAAGTTGTATGGAGAAACGAAAATCAGAGAATAAAACTGAAGAAATAAGAGAAATAAAGAGAGAGAGAGAAGGAAGAAAAAAACGAAATGATCCGGTTTGGGAGAAACGCAAAAGATCCGAAAAAACTGTAATCTACCACTAATTCGCATAAAAGTTTTTTCTTCTTCCCTTTTCTCTTTCTCTTTTTTTCTCTCTCTTTCACTCTCTTGAAAGAGACTCTGTCTTCTGGCGAACATGATGAAAAGAAGAGCAAATCTGTTAGAAAAGTGAAGTTTGTGTATGACTTACGTTTTTTTTGCACGGTATAAAATGAATGGCCAATTTAATTCTCCAAACAATTGAAACACTACAGCAGTTCGATTATCGTAATGTTCGACGATAAAAAAAGCATTATTTCATGTTGTTTCACACTAACAAAATCTCAAACGATGGCTAAATTTTTGTTGAACCATAATGAGTGTACATGCACACGCGCGTTGCATATATTAAAAAAAAAAAAAAAATCAAGTGCCGAAAATGATACACATGCTCATTCGAACGAGAGCAAACAATGACTGCTGAACATTGATGACACACGGCATTTTCATTCTTGACTCTCTTATACATACCGCATGTTACAGCAAGAGTCGGCAATTTTGCGCTTGTCTGAAATTCGTACAAGTTGATGATATGATGCTGTCGTGGAGAATTTTTGCACACTTTGTAGAGATTTTCGGTTTTGTCTTTCCTCTCTTCAGTTACAATTCATTTCTCCGGAATCCTGCAATAATTAATGCATTTTTTTCATTTCGAAATAAAATCTTCGATTCAAAGAATGAGTCGAATGAATTTTTGATGGTGCAGAAAAAAAAAATTCGAATCGAAAACATTTGAAATTGTTTAATATTCACCAATTGCAATTTTAAATTCAACATAGATGCAAATGTCATACGTAAACGTAAACGTCAAATTGGTCGGCGCTAAAATAAATGTCAAACGCCAATTGTATATACCATCGTTTCGTCGCAAATTTAATTGTAACAATTTTTTTACCTATATCGAAACGAACAAAATCGAAAAATAAAAAATCTAGTCTGTGTAAAAATTATTTGACAGATACAAAACGACAATTTCAAGCAAAGTATTATCTTTTTTTCTTTAATTTGTTTTTTAAATTTAAATTGAAAATCATTCAATTTTGCTGAATCACCGAAGAAAGTTAACCTTATTTTTTGTATGTTCGTCTAATTTAAGGTCAGTGTTTATTGATTGCATTTATTGGAATAGCAATAAACCATGAGTTTAGACGATTATAAATTGAATGCTGAATTACTGGGGCATTCAGGTGATGTTCGAGCATTGGCAACAGCCGATAGCTATATTGTTTCCGGCTCGCGTGATGCAACCGCCAAAGTCTGGCAATACAATGGGTAAGACATCATGGGTTATCATTTTTCATCCGTTGACATCGCTATCATTTTCCTTGTGAAACAGAACATCATATGATGAACAATCAACGTTGACAAACCATAAACATTATGTAACCAGCATTTGTATTTTGGAAGACGACAATTGGATTTGTACAGGTAGCCATGACTCGACAATTTGTGTATATGCCGCCGGTACATTGGTACCATTCACCGTACTAAAAAATCACAAAGAGAACGGTATGTCAAATGGTATGTTTAACGATATAATTAAAATTTAACTTCTTTCTTCTTTTGTCGGAAAAAATGATAGTAAGTGCAATGGCACCGGGGAATGAAAAAAGAACATTCATAAGCGGTAGTTGGGATAAAACGGCAATCGTATGGAAAATTGGCGCCAATGGTGAGTCTGAAGCACCGCTTAAATTAGAAGGTCATGAAGCGACCGTATGGTCAGTTTGCGTTCTAAAATCTGGAAAATTTGTAACGGGGTCAGCCGATCGAACGATCGTCTATTGGAATAGTCGAGGTGAAAAGCTTAAAGTATTAAAAGGCCATACGGATTGTGTTCGTGGTCTGTTGGCTTTGCCAGACGATTCAATAATTAGCGCTTCAAATGATGCAAACATTAAGTTTTGGAATGCCGACGGCGAATGCATTAAAACATTATCTGGACATACAAGCTTCATTTATGATATGGCATTCGTATATGGCTTAGGCGAAAATGTTTTTATAACATGTGGTGAAGATTCAACAATACGAATGTGGAATTTCGATGGACAGCTAGGTGAAGAGAAAACACTACCGGCTAATTCAGTGTGGACCGTCGCATGCATGAAAAATGGTGATATTGTTACTGGCACTAGTGACAGTGTGGTGCGAGTTTTCACAAAAGATCCAAGTCGAATGGCCAATGAAACGATATTGGAGACATTCAAAGCAAATGTTGATGTTCGCATTCGTGATATAAAAAAGACGATAGGTGATGTGCACGTTAATACGCTACCCGGTGAAGATGAATTAAAGAAAAAAGGAAAATATGAGGGACATACGATAATGATTCGACAAGCAGACGGTATAATCAAGGCCCACAAGTGGGTTGAAGGTAAATGGGAAGATCAAGGTGAGGTCACCGGAGGACAAGGTGGCGCCACCATATCGAGGAGTGCAATGTACGAAGGAAAAGAATATGATTTTGTGTTTTCGGTTGATATTGCTGAAGGTATGCCAGCTTTGAAATTACCGTACAATCGAGGCGAAGATCCATGGATGGCCGCACAGAAATTCATTCACAAAAACGATCTACCGCAAGTATATTTGGATCAAGTTGCAAACTTTGTTATCCAAAATTCCGGTAATGCTCCAGTTGTTGAAAGTCTTGCATCGACCAGTGCATATCAAGATCCATTCACAGGGGGTGGCCGTTACATTCCAGGATCTGGTAGCGGTTTTAATACGAGCGCTGGAAATGTTGATCCATTCACCGGCGCTTCAAGTTATACAACACAAAGTGCATCGGTTCCGGTGAATTTTGTTCCACGATCGACCGGACAAAATTTGGATCCATTTACAGGTGCCAGCAGTCATACAACGACATCATCCACTGCTGTTAAGCATTTTCCATACAGTGAATATACTGCCCTTACTACTTGCGATCCAACGAAAGTCTTGGCTAAACTAAAGTGAGCACCAATTTATTACAAATCTCTTGCGCATTTTTAATTGATTATTTTCATTTTCAGAGAATTTAATAATATGGTAGATGAAACGTTGAAAGTATCAGATAAAGAATTGGAAGAAGTTATTAAACTTGCCCAAAATGTATGCATTTTTTGTGTTTTTAAACGATTTTTTTCGGGTTTTAATCATATACCTTCTCGTTTCTTCTCAGGATTTTTCATCTTCTGAATCGATTGTCGTAATGAAGAAGCTTCTTCTATGGCCGAATGGTAATTTGAACAATGACTTTCTAGCGTGTACTCAATGACTGTACATTTTTCTGTTTGACCAATTGCAGAAAGACTGTTTCCCGTTTTGGATATTTTCCGTTTGGCTGTTTGCGATGAAACTAGTTGTACCGAATTGATTACACCAGATGTTTTGAATATTATCATTCAGAATGTTGGCATTCCACCAGCTAATCAACTGATGTCAATTCGCGCACTATCAAATATGTTAGGTAAATATCTAGATTGTTCCAACACAACTTCACAAAAAACTTCAAATAATATTTTAATAAATTTCGGATTGATTAGGTCATTCATATGGTCGTAGTCACATTGACAGTTGTTTGGCCAATGTCTTGGTTGCGGTGAGCACCACAAAAAAGGGAAGCGCAAATCTACAAATTGCCATTGCAACATTGTTGCTAAATTTAACAATCGTTCAGATGGCTCACGCAGATCAAACTCAATGTCAACACATTACCGAAACAATCATCGATTTTTTGCTGTGGAATGCAGATGCTGAAGCATTGTATCGCACATATCGTGCAATTGGCAATCTTTTGAATACGCCACATGCCACAATCATAAGTGCATTTATCATCAGTGCGGATCAAATTATGGATCAAATGCGTAGCAATATGAGTGTGCAACAACAATATGGATTCGAGAAAATCAACGACATCGCCAAAGCAGTTATAAGCGCAATGTAAACATTTCGAATCACATTCTCTACTAATACAAAACTCACGCAAAAAAAACAACACTATTCATTTAAAAATCACATTCAGATGGATATAATCGGTTTCGGTTGATTCTGATCAAAATCTAACTTTATACAGAATCGCCACTAATATGATATTATTCCATCGAAATTGCATCAGTTTTTTTTGTGTATAGCATATAACATACATTTCATACCCATTGTTGATATCACATCATGATTAAATCATAAAAAAAGGAGGAAAAAATGCATTTTAAAAAAATAAAAGACAAAAGTCGCCTAAACATTAATGATTTAGTTTTGTTTTTATTTCCTTCTCATGAAAATAGATTTTGCTTTTTTTAATGACAAGAATCAACGTTTATATTACTATTATTACAACAAAACAAAAGTGTGCGCAAGTGATAAGCACAACGAGCGGATTTTCAATTGGTTTCCAATAATGGAGTCAACCGGAGTCAACACACAGGTTTTTTTTTTTATTAAAAAAAGACAAAATATTTTATCGAATCTATCAGACCGCAGAAAGAGCTAGCAATTTTTTTTTATATTTTCATTTAAACTGATGTTGCATCGGTTTGCGAGTGGAATTGACTAATATTTGTTGGAGCTATAAATCATGTGGCCCAATAAATAAGTTACATTTTAAGTTTTTTGTCTTTGAACCGCGTAAGAGTCTAGCACAGAGACTCAGAAAACTCGAGTTTTCGAAATTCCTTTCAATTTGGTTGCGTTCGCAATTTCAGGCATCGTAGAATTCATTATTAAAATGCCTAGTTAATATATATACAACACATTCGTAAGTAGACATCATAATCGCCGTGTTTGGAATTTGGCGAACTAGCTGCGTTGCAAGACCTCTGCAAGAAAAGAAAATCAAATTCACATTCAGACTTATTGATGTAGGCACTATATTAAAATAGTGGGTAATACTAACCGGTAGAGACCGGCTTTGCCTTCTTCACGCCAAACCAAAAATAGCGTCTGCCAAAATGAACGGTATTTATTACCTTCTTCACGTAGTCGAGTTCGTGCTACCTCATGCGGATAGGCAATACACGAAGCCACCGTTTTTGAAACGGCACCAGCTCCCATAAATTCTACAAAATCACGAGAAGTCTTACCATCGGCCGGATGTGTTCGTCGCAGATTATTCTAAATGCGAAGAAAAAAAAACAATAATAATTGATAAAATAAATTGGCTTCCTATCTTTGAAACTCTAAGAATAATAATAATAATAATATTTTATTATTATTATTAATAGAAAAAAGGAAAAACAACTTACAATTTTAGCCTTAATTGCTTCATAGATAACAAAATGGATGACTGTTTCTGATACTCCCACATAGCTAGCTGTAATTCCTTTGTAAAATCCAATAATGCCTGATGTGCGATAAATTTTTCTCACACATTCTCTGAGTGTCATTTTTACCTCCGAATTGTGATCGAGTTGAAGACGCGTTTTTACAAACCATATTGGATTTGTTGCCTGTAATATTTTATTCATTAATGACAGTTTTTTTTTAAATTTCAATTTCGTGAATGATTACCGTGGCCGCAGCAAAACCAGCACAAGATGCAGATAAAATATGAACGATTGGTGAATCGACTGATAAATTGCTAAAAAAGCAACAAAAATTAAAATATTAAATTAAAATTTAAATGATAAACAAAGTGATTGTTAAGGATGAATTTGATACACTACTGTAAAGAGCTAAGTGACGTTTTTGTTTGGGAGTAGGCACAGAAGTATATGGCCCGACTCGGGGCAACGCCAACAATATTTGGACCGAGTCCCTGAAATAAAATACCAATCGTATCTATTATAACTTGCATAATTTGATGATGAAATATTTTTTGTTTACCTTAAATAAAGCTCGCGAGCCTTCCGTATTGACTATGTATCTGAAAAATAATAAATAAGATCATGTGATTTTAAATTTGTATAGCTGAGAATGAAAGTGATTTAACGATAACGAATCTCTGGCTTACAGAAAAGTCCCAATACGTGAGTGCAGAAAGTGAAATTCGTTAAATCATTTTCATTTTCAGTTATTCATCCGACATCATATGAAGAATATCAAAAGTCATGGCAATAAAATTGTCTTTATCTTGAGTTTGAGTACAATCGTAAAATTCACTTACTTTAAACATTGCCAAATACTAATCGATTGTGAACTAGAAGATATTCCGCACTGCGATATGGTTAAAATCTGTGAAATATACAGCGAAGAAAAAATATGAATTTATTATCTGATCAATGGTGAAAAATCGAATAACATAAATGTACTGACACTGACTTGTGAGCGTTTTCGCAGAATAGATGTGCAAATGTCGCGTTTTTGCGATGTTCCTTTGAATTGTGCAGCATTTGTGGTTACTTTTTGTGCAGCGTCTAATATAGGCGATGGATAAAATGGTGATGAGCTTTGCAACCGAGTTTTGACTACCTCAAGTGGACAAGTCACAATTGCTCCAACTGTACCAGCAAATCTATTCGATCAATATGAACATACAAATGTGATTTATTTACGTAATCGTATTTATAGCACACCCGGTGCATTCAAAACAATCGCAATCATTTTTTTTAGGTTAGTCACCGACACACAGTACACGAGTTCATCCATACAAAAGTCGTGACGTACAAACGATGTTATTTCACGTTATTTCACGTTATTTCATATGGATGAAATACATGCTTAATCCGATAAAACTTACCCTCCGGCAAGCAAGTGAATGATTGTATCACGTTCACGTTGTGTCATAATTTATATTCTTCAAATTGTGCAATGCAATCATTTAAAATTGTGTCCTATTTTGTAAAACCAAATCGCAGTCAGTATTTATTTGCGGTTGTTGTTGTCTTGATCGCTGCTGTCGTTGTCGTTGCTGCTGTTATGTCTTTCTCACTTTTACCAAATTGTATACTATTTTTTTATATTCTCTTCTCATGGATTTTCAATGTTTAAAATTGTTTCTTTTTCGTCATATTGTTTAGATCCAAAGTAAGATGTGTAATAAGTGTCAACAAATCACTTTCATTTGTTTTTATGTTCGTAAGGTAATTTACATAGACTTTGCACTCGACACAGAATTTTCTTCAAAAAATGTGTTTATCATGAGCAGTGAAATAGTTTCTACTTATAAAATCGGCACATTCTTTTTATTCCTTATATGCATCCCAAAGTTTTACGACTAATTCACCTTTGGCAATGCAAAATAAATCTACAAAACAAAACAACGATGAAAGGAAAAATGAAAATATGATGAAATTTATTGCACACATACACATGACACACAAAAAAAATGTTTTACTCACTCACACTCTCACTCTTTCTTTCTTTCTCTCCCTCGGCCTCTGTCAATTGAGATGAAAAAGCTCAGAAAATAAAAATATTGCAACTAAGAATGAACAAATAATTTCATTTACGTAACATGATGTGCTGCGAATTGAGCACCATCGATCAAAAACATTATTCATCTATTTTTGAATATCAATTCACTCTACACTCGACTTAATTTTTTTTTCGCAACAATTTTGACAGAAGAACAGAGGGAAAAAACCTAACACACACAATCGTAACGAAATTTCTTTTCCATCTCAAAAATTCAACTTTTTTTTTTGTGGTTATAAACAGAGATTTAGCGGCTTTGAAATATCAAACAATGTCCAATGCTAATATTGTGTTTATGCGTTGAAAGTAAAAAAAATTTCAATTTAAATCAAAATCTTTGCGAATAATTTCGTTCTCGTGCGATGCAATCAACACTATTACGTACACAAGGGACAAGTAAACAACAGACGTTCTTTTTGCGATTTGCGAATGAACAAAAAAAAACGTTGTCGATGCTTAGAATTGGCTATCGTACGACTATGGCTCAATATGTATTTGTATATTTTTGCTTATTTTCTTTTTTATCATTCGTCGTTCGCAGATCACTTATTCGTAGCACTAATCACGTACATCGGTTTGAAATAAAAAAAAAGCGAAATAACGCATACCATTACATTTTTCCACTTGTCATTCGTCTAGCTGTCAAAATTACTGCGATGTTTACAAATTCTAAACGATTAAAGCAACAGTAGTGGTAACAACAACGACTGACGTAGACTGACAACATTCTGATGTATTCTTTTTTTTCTGTATATGAGTTTTTGACGACAAAATTAAACTGAATCAGCGAAATTTCAAGCAAAAAAAAACACCAAAATCGTTATGTTTTGTTGAATTTTAATGTTATTTTTGTTTTAAAAAAAATCCATTCAACTATCGCAAACAGAGAATAACAGTTTGTTCTAATTATAAATCAATTAATTATGAAATAAATTTGGTACTTTATCCACCAAAAATGTATGTATAAATTTGTAAAACCTTTAACATTGTGCGCGCTGAATATGGACAATATGGATAATGTTTATAACACAGTTCAAACGACTTCACCGAACTTTTGCCACGAGTATATGCTAATTCGATTTCTTTTGGCACGCCCGTCGTCATTGCGTATCTGAAATAGATGATTTCACTCTCTTTTTTGTTGCATCTTTACAAGTGTGTTTTCAATTACAACTTACTCTACTAAATGATTTATTATTATGGCATCTTCGTTGGTCTTTTCAGTTCCAGCTACTATTTGACAAATTAACGATCGGGCACATTTCAATGGGTCATTGTTTAGTACTCGATCCCAGTCGATTTCAAATTTTTCGACCTTGAAAATAGAAAAATAAAATTGCATTAAACAAAAGTAAAATGAACGCCTCGCTTGTTCCGTCTGGACGGGCAGTTTATTGAACTTGCAATCGTAATTATGTCCGTCGCGCAAAAGAAACCACAAAAATAGTGGCAACATGTATCTAATTTTAGTATACGTTTGGCGTATCGTGTCATTCAATCTATGAACAGAGCTCTTTTTCCATTCGAGTAGGTTGATAATCTTGACGGTTACGAAGTGTGTAGAAAGTGCAGTAAGTAGCAATGCTGCAATTCATGTAGTAACACTTGAATGTAAGAAAATCACATTTTGCCGACGGCGCTACACACTGAATACTGAACATCTTTACAACGGCTAACATTGCTATTATTATACTAATCAACATAATATTGATTGATCGATTCGCCGACGATTTATGCGATCTTTTTATGTTGATTTTGAACTTCACCTATATTAACACTAATTTACTTAATTGGTAATTGAACTCTTTACATGATATTGGATTCGTAACCGTTTTAATTCCGCGAAAAATATATAATGATATGGCTCACCGCGTCCAAGTCTCTTTTCGATAGAAGAAATTTCGCAAGTTTAGCAGCTGGTTTTCGAATTTTCATGTAATCTTGTGCTAATAAATGTAATAAATACAATGCACCCAATCCCATAGCGGCTAACATCAAAACTCTAAAAATACAATCAAAAAAAAAATCAAGAAAATTTTATTTCGAAAAGGATAAAAGAAGTTTTACTTGAAATGGCCCATCTTAAATATGCTTGATTAAAAATGTACGAGACAATAATTCGAATTGACTTGCATCAAACGCTCAAATTACAATAATCATGGTGTGTTGTGTTTACCTTTATCGCATCGCTGCATTTGTACATCTAATGTTGTTTTCGGGGGAACCGATTGAGCCAATAAAGCTTCAATTTTCAACCGATGCACACTGATTTGTTGCTGTTACGTCATTTGGATTTGTATTTTGTCCACATAAAATTGCATCCATTTCATGCCATACCATAAAAATGCGTTTGATTTCACTAGGAACTAACGCAAATGGTCAATCAATTCCACACGCAAAGCTGATTCATTTCGTTGTGTGTATCAGATACAGGTAGCAAAATTTACATTTCAGGAAAGTCAATGTATCTACAATTTACTTCCATTCAATAAAGATTGCGTATTAGCGTTAAAGGCATTAGATCTCGTTGAAAATGAGCATGTAACTACAAAGTTTCAATTGCATAGTCGTGGTCTCGGCATTCAATATTTTTCATGTTTGGGAGATGCATAGCTAACAAGATGCATCGACAGCTTGCAAACTCAAGTCAATGCATTTAATGCTATAGTGAAAATGCCATAAATTATTGAACAAGCATCAACATAAAAACTGGTTGCAATTGACCGAACTGAAAGTGTTCGTATACATGCATTTTGTCTGCTTCGTTGTCGCATATTTGTACGTTCTCTTTCGCGGTCCCATGTCAATTAGGTTGAATGTGACTTTCTTGTGCATTTGTGCAGCCATGGAGGGCACATATCTTTTTGTGTTCTGTGCCTTTGAATATGTTTTGGCTTTGTCTATCGTCACGATATTTTGAAGTCATTTCGTTTTTTTTTTTCATTTGGATAAGTGTAGTAAGGAAACGGAGAATTTTTTTTTTTCTGAATTAAAAAACGCTGTAGACTCTTTGATCATAGCAATAGAAGCATCTTGAGAATATTAAACGATTGGTGGTTCGATTGTTACAAAATATCATTGCAACATCATTTGGTTTTAATTAATTATCGTTATTAATTGAATTTTTTGTTCGCCAAAGCAAAGTCGTCTTACCTTAAATTTGTTAACCATACCGTGATGCAAATATCCTCGAATACCATTCAAATGATGAAATTAAATAGTGTATTTAAATGAGACACTATTTACTGCATTTTCTATGGACACGAATTTGGGCCAGAGCTTAAAACAAGGAGTTTGTGCATTTCGATGACAATGCAAGGTATTTAATGCTTATGAGAGAAGAAAAAAACTTTATTTTCCAACAAATTACACATTTTATCTTAAATGGATAGAATACGTCGAAGCGAATACGAAATAAAAACGATTTACTTTGTAAAATTGCAGTTGCTATAGTCCGTAGCACCATTTTTTGATTTCTGTATTGAAGTGCGACTGTTAAAATTATTCAGACATTCATAATGTGGATTTTGATGGCAACAAGTTGTTTCAACAAAATTTTCGCCACGCTCATAGCCGCCAACTTGTGAATAATGATGATCTGGAAATGCCATCGTCGCCTGCAAAGGATATCGATTGCTAGATGCACTGTACATGCCCGGTTGATGATACATTCCCCTGTGATAGCCATTGTTGCGATCAAGGGTTGCTGCTGCGGCAGCTGCAACAGCCGTATGTATTCCATCTGTACAATCATAATTTTTATAATTGGATGAAAACGGTTGATCAAATGAATGACGTGAAACATTGTGATGTTCCAAAAATTTCGGCGGTTCATTATAATGATCGAGTGATTTTGAATGTGGAATCGATGAATGATATTGATTGCAATATTTCATCGCACCACAATTATTCGAACAATTTGCAACGGACGGTGAACAAAATGCACTACAAGCTGATTTTGATGTTAGCGATGACACTACATGACGCTGATTATTACAATGTGCAATTTGACTATGTGCCGATGATGTGGCATTACATATTGAACTATATACTGGTTGGGTGAGCGGCGTAGGTGCCGGCGGTGCTATATTTGAATACGCACTCTCTGATTTATGATAAAGTATACAAAATGAATGAAATGCAAATTGTGAATGGTTTTGTTATGGTAATGCACATGAAAGTTCTAGTTCAGATATAAATGGTTTTACTTTTATCAACAGTTCATACCGTATTGCCTATCTTTTCGATGACGTCGCTTTTCAATTGTATATGCCATTGCTTTTATTGCTTGAGATGCAGTACCTGGAAATTTAAACCACATGATTTTGTTTATTTGAACCGCTTAGAATAAAAGTAGTGAATGAGAAAAAGTGAAAATAAAAGTCGAACATAAAGTTTTTTTTGTATGGATTTTGTCTATATAAAAAAAACTTTATGTTCGACTTTTATTTTCACTTTTTCTCATTCACTACTTTTATTATAAGCGATTCATTTCTTTATACCAGAGCTGTTATTATAGGCGCCACAGAGGTGCGGGCACTCAAATTTTATGGAATACTATTGAGTGCTTGGACTTCTTCGGTGCCATTAGCAGCTCGGCTTTATACTCCAACGGTTTTGAATTTACCTGTATGGGTTTCACGGAACTCGAATATTTCTTGCCATGTTGTTTGTACTTGCATTGCAATCAAACCTTGAAATATTTGCTTCATTATCTGAGAAGTGAAGTTGGATTAAGTCAACATAGGAAGAATGTTGTGAAAAAATTCGATAAATTACTTGGCATTCGACATAAGCAGTCATTGCATCTCTAGACACATTGGTTACTTGATCCGGACAAATCGGACCTTCCAAAATTAAAGTGTGATTTGGCAACAAATTATATCCCATCGCTTCGAACATTTTCTCTGCATCAATTAGATTGGCCTTCACTTCATGGTGATAATATCCCGAATACAACTGCACACACAAAACGAAATACGAATTTATTACATTACACAATACACTCTGAATTAAGATTGTGATTTTACTTTGATGCATCTATACTCCTTCCTCCACGGTTTCCGAAAGAGATTATTTGCATACTGACTAATTGCTTCGAATCCGATTAGAGCCTTATAGGCGGAAAACTGACCCAATTGTAGAACGGATTGCTTGAAGACGTGTGCCGTTTCGGTCAGGAAGAATTTTCGATCATGTTGAACGATGCTCAAGAACTCCTTCAATTCGTCTGTATGAAATAAATGGGTTTATTTTGTGCCAGGTCGCAAATATCGACAATACCATACCTTCTAGTTTGCGTCTCATTTTTAATTTTTCCATATTTTCCTCTGTATCTAAATAGTCCCAATGGAGTCGCAGTAAATCGTCCCAGATTTCCTCCATCGTTTTAAATTCGTTTGAAATAATATAGTCGGCCATTTCGTCTAACTCATTTGATGAATTGCACGTAAATAAAAAAAAATAAGAGCAAGTTGTCGTTTGTTGGCTTATCACAAAAAATACATTTGCACAAAGTCCAGCAGAAATGATTGAGGCCCGGGCAATACTTCAAATACTGGTCATTAGTTTGGTTTACACCTGTTTGGTGTTGTTGCTTTTTGTTTTGTATTTGTGTTGATGACCTTATTAAAAAAATACTCTAAAGGGCATCAAACCATTGGCTTGTATTAGATTTGCTGAGCATTGTAAAGCGAACAAACAAAAACAAAAACACTGTACTGCTGTTTTGACACATTTATGGACTATTTTTAGTATGTCAAAAGCGAAAAATGGCTTTGTCAATACCAAATGGTCTGCGTGAGGCAAAAATCAATCTTTGTTAGACGGTTTGGAATAGGTCAATTGATTAATAGATTGTAAATGGTTTCGCTTTTGGATTTTAAATGAAAAATACTGTTTTACTTTTTAAAAAAATGTATTCTCTACAGATTGATTAGGATGAGCAATTTTGATAGTGTATAGTGGTGTACGTAAGTGACGAACTGTCACAATAATAAATGTCAATGGTTACGTATTGAATGGTTTCGTTTTACGATTCTTCATACGTTAAAAAACGATGCATTTTTTAAATCTCACCATTGTTATGAACTTATTTTGGGTGTCTTTGTCTTGAGCATCTATAAAAAATATAAATAAGATTGTTTTTTGGCTTTTTTTTTGCATTGATGTATTTTCTTTACTTTTCTTAATTTTTGTATAAAAATCAATTTTGGAAATGTTTACATTTCATTTCAGTAAAAAAAATAAAATTATAAATCATTTTGATTTTTTGACGACTAAATAACGATGCAATTGCAAGTTTGTCTTTCTTTTTTTATATATATATATACATATAGTACATTTGTTTCATGGGCATTTGTAAAAAAAAATACAGCACATCGAATCGATACGTATAAAATCATGGAATTATTAACTTTTGACAATTGTACAAATACATATGTGTATAGAAATTTGAGTGAAAAATGTTCAATTAATTAAATTTAATTATTATTAATGATCTGATGCAAATTAAGTTGCAGCCACATAATTATTTGGAATAACTCTCGTTCTTGATCGATTTCGACTCAACTGTGCACGTCGTTCTGCGCCAGCTGGCCGTTGTCCACGTTGTCGACGTTGATCTCTATTTCCAAATGCTGAGCCGGATTGTAAAGCTGCTAAGAGATGATCCATCACGCCTTCTTGTGTTTGTGCCGAATCCATATCGACGAGAGCAACTTTTCGTTGCTGTCGATCCTGTACATGACGTTGTGACTGTTCACGTGCCTCACGAATTCGTCGAGCTTTCTCTTCTTCTTCGCGAATTTTCACATTATCCTTATACGCTTGCATGAATAGCTCCTTAAACGTTTTGATATCAGAGAAGAATTCTTCCATTGGATATTTGTTCGTGTCAAATGCAAAATATTCGCCAACCTCTTTGTAGTGACTTTCCATTTTGTTCTTCATTTTAACTAATACTTCGACTTGATCGTTACACTGGGTGGCAAAATCACCCATTACGTCAACAAATTTATCATCGGCCGACTGTGGCACTTTGCTATTCTCCAAATCGGACTTTAAGTTTTTCAATGAGGTAGTCATTTGATGCATTGTCTTTTGAATATTTTCCAAACTAACACGTGCAGCTCGCTCTGCGTGCGGTAATTCTTCGCCAAAATTCAATAGTTCTGGAAATTTGTTCTCAATCGTTTCGACCATATAGTGTAAAAGTGTGTGCTTGTTGTCCAGATCTTTTGTATTCGTTAATTTTGTTAAAAAGGAAATTTCAAAACCAAATGCCTGACCATTTTTCGATCCCGAATTCATGTAGTTGCCGAATAACAATATTAATTCCAGAATTTTTGCAAACTTTTTACTCGTTTTCACCTCTTCACAGGCCGCTGTGCCGGCTACGATATCTGGTTTAACATCTTGAACCATATCACCGACACTTAACTTAAAATTGATGCTATGCAAACGCGGCACAAGTCTCTTGATCTCACCAAGTGTGGCCGCAAATTTTTCGGCACCCGACAATTCGTCGCCCGTATTTTTGATCTCTTGTAATTTCTTCAGCTGATCCGGTGGTGGTAGATACTGAATGAGCTGCTGGATTATGTTTGAGTTTAGAATTGATGTATCACAACGAAGTATGCATTGTTTGATTTGATCATGTGATAAATGCTTTAGGGAGCCGCCCAATAAAATTAAAATATTTTGAGCCGATTTTCCATCGAGAACGCGTAAGTCAATTATGTTCTTTTTGGCATTGTTTGGCTTGTCGACGGAGTCTTTGTCGGCTTTTTTGATCGGTTTCGATGAGAATCGCGATGCTAGACCAGCAAATATATCTTCAGATGCCAGTTTATCTTCTTGACACTTGACCCAGAATGCTTTTTCCGATAATTTTTGTGGAATGATTGCCTTCCAGTTTGCACGTTTCATCGGACCATCGGCATCGAATTTCTTTTTCGGCTTTAGATAATGTGGCAATGTATTTACTTGTGGAGCATTTGGCATTCGAAGCATTGGCGGTGGTGGAGGTCCCATTCCCTGTAGCAAAATCAATGAAAATAAGAAAGTTAGATATTGTCATAGAAAGTGTTGGTTCACATAATGTTTGCTGTAACCGTAGTGCACTTACAGGCATTGGGGGCGGTGGAGGGGCATTTCCAGCTGGAGGTCGCAAGGCTCCCATACCCTGAAATAATAATACAACTTAATCTTTTCATGCATATTCAGCATACCTTATAGACACCAAAAAATATCTATTCATTCAATTCACACTCTTTTAATTTCAAATTTCACGTCAATACATATTCTTCTGGTTTCATATGAAAAATTTCCATAAAGAGTGTGAATTCAAGTGCTACGAACAATTGATTTTTGCTAAATAAATATACTTACCGGCATAGGAGGTGGCGGCGGAGGTGGAGCAGCCGATCCATTCATGCCAGGCATTGGTGGCGGTGGTGGCGGCATAGCAGATCCTTTTTTATATAAAGAGAAACAAACCATAATTCTTCCATTCAACGATGTCAAATAGCTAGATATCTTACCTGGTGCAGCTTTCATTCCGGGCATCGGTGGTGGCGGTGGAATGTTGACTTGTGGTAATTTGGATGTTTTCTGAGGCATAACACCGGTTGCCTCATATTCTCGTATTTTCTCTTCGAGATTTTGTGCACGGGCTTCAGCTTCTTGTCGAGCCGTTTCAAGCACTTCCAATTTCTTATCGTACCTAGAGTTAATCAGAAAAAGAAAAAATGGAAAAAGAATCGATAGAATGGATCAGAATTGTACACCAGAATGGAATCTATTTCTTATTATTACTCTTCGATTTTCATTGTTTCTTTTGCTCGTGATCTTTCCACAAGGTCGTCCAATAATACCGATGTATCGATATGAAAATCTCGACTCTCAAAATTCGGATCACATCCGGCTTTATGCAAAACAATTTGCGAAACGCATTCTTCGATCAATTGAAAATACGCTGGCCGATAAAGATGATCGTCACGAATGTACAACAAATGTTGTAGAATTGATAGTAAATATGGTTCGGCGCTGGTCTCAACCACAAGATTCTTAAGAACTTCAAAACAATCATTCATGTCATCCATTTCTAATCTCACATTGTCGAATCGCTGACTGAACTCTTCGAAGTCATCCTCTCGAATCTCATTGAATAGATTGAAATGTTTTGTGAGATTTTCATTATTGCTCGTATTCACGATTTGAGTTAATAAATCGAGTCGTTCATACAATCCCATTCGCATTATTTCACATCTTAAATGCAACCGAAAATTCAAGTCACTTGGTGTATTTGTAAGCGTATTTATGAAGATAAGCGTGTGACAGCACAGTTCACGTTTTGGATCCGAATTCTCATATTCGGCAAATAGACCATCAACGATTGGCTTGAAACGTGTACCATTTTTAAATGCTCCATCATGCGCCATTGAAATGGCTCGTAACACTTTTTCATATCCATTACGTTCCGATATCAAACAGAAACCGGCAAGTAATCGCACTGCTTCGCACATTGTTTGAGATTTTTTCGGATCGATACATTTTGCGAGCAGAAATATGGCCGCATGTGACTCTGGCTTCAGTATCAAATTCAATCCCCATGTATTATTGACTATGGCCTTCAGGCATCGAATGCATTCATATTCGATCTTTTCGTAATGTCGATTTTGTTTACTGGTTTGCAATAGGATTACGATCTCATTTATTCCGTCTTCACCAAACTCTTTCATCCAACTCAATGGATTTGAGGTGAGTGCAACACGCAGACTCTCCAAACAACTGTGAATTTTTGTCGCACTATGATCTCTATCACGTAAATAGTCGATGTAGTCTTGTGGCTTTTCAAATCTCGAATTACCCCGATGTTCCAGCGACGATTTTCCTATAATTTAAAAAAGAAGAAAAAAAACAAGTAACGTTTAAAACATCGTATTCAAAGCGATATCAAAATCTTTAACAGAGCAGAACTTATCAGAGCTCCAGATTAATTTTTATTGCAGTCATAATACAAGCATTACAACATGCAACAAAAACACGTTTAAATTAAACAATCGTGGAATAATATGAACTACATAAGATATGATTGTGATTTTTTGTTTTTTTAAAAAAAGACACTATTTACTACTTGTTTTATGGAGAAAAATTCGGGCCAGAGCCCGAATACAAGACATTTGTGCATTTTCGTTATTAACCGATCGACATACTTCAATTCGTGGTTTTGCATTCTTAATGAATCCATGTTTCAATAGATCACTTGTGCCACTCGGCAACGATGCAACATATTCGCGGCTGTTTTTTTACGCCAGTAGATTCACTTTCGACGATTGAAACAGCACGTAAGCCACCGTTCTTTCTTTCTTGCTGCTCATTCACCGGTGATTGGATTGCCTTTATTGCCATTCACATTGCTCGAATCAGCGCTTGATGATATCTTTACATTAAATCGACCAATTTTTCTACATAATTTTTTTTATACGCTTTGGAGTTTATGATTACCCTTATTAATCAAACAATTTGATGAAATTGTCTTTTCATTTGAATAGATAAAATGCACTACAAGATGTACAATTTTTTTCCTCTGTCACTGTGTTTGGTGTACGTTTGCGTCGTAAAGAAAGTAAATATGATGAGCTTTTTAAATTAAACAAGCTGGTTAGATATTTTAACTGAGATTAAATTGCAAACAAACTGTGAACATCTCAGCACTTCGAACAGTAAATTCCAAATCAAGGCTAAATAGAGCTGAACATGAAAACGGTTGCAAGAGTAAATCTAATTTAAACAAATAAAAGTGGAATAAAGTCAATGAATTCGATCGGTTCTCCAAATGATAGTGGCGATTTAAAGCACCTGCCGTAATACCCAATGACTGATGTGATGATCAGTGAACATACTTATTGCCATTTTCTTATTTTCGTATTAAAGAGTTTTTTTGGAATGAGAAACCCTAATCTAATATTTGGTAATAAAACTTAATTTCAACTCATTTCCCGAGATAAAGTTGATTAACATATGTGTATAAATCACAGTTTGGAAAAGTTCGTCTTACTGCAATAAGACTCTTTTTTTTTTTGTGATTGTAAAATTAGTATGAGCAAAAAATTAACACCCGCAATTGGCAATGAAATTGTTTTTGTTAAAATGATCAAGAAAATCACAAACCACAAGTGATAATATAATATTGCCAAAAGCTTACGTCAGTGAAAATTTCAATACGTGTACAATACCTTATTTGTACAATAAAAAATAATATAATATTAAAGTGACCGTCTTTTAATATTATAAGTCCAAAATTAGAATCTATAAAATCTGAAACAAAATTCTGGCAAAAAACAACTCCATCGCCGATAATACATGACTAATATTGCGCTAAGTAGATGCATATGCCAAAACCTTGGCGCTATTTTTGGTGAGAATCGTTTCAACGGTAGAAAAAAGAACATATTTCAAGTAAAGTTTACCGATATTACCGTCTGTAAATAAATTGTCGTCACATGTATATATGATTTGTGTGTATTTTATTTATTTGACCATGCAAAATTGAAAAAGTGATAATATTTTCTTTACTTCTAAAGAGGCATTGAGTTCGAATTTATGAATTGCACGTTTTCACACAGACATATATATATGTATACATATCCGTACGCGATAACGAGTTCACATCATAATAATAATGTAGCGTATTTATCGCGAGCTCGGCACATTCTTTACAATGAAAAACTTGAATAAAAAAATGGTTCATCAAGATATTAAAAGTCGAAGAATGGAAGAGAGTGTATTTGTACGACAAGCTATAATCATTATGGATTGTACACAATGAAAACCAACGACACGTACAACAGTCAATTGCTGCAAAGAAGAAACAAATAATTTACCACAATCAAGTGGACACTTGAATATGTCGTTTTAAACGAGAATCATGTATTGCCGTAATACAAAACATAGTTGAATGTAAGCGAATGTCTTTCTTTTTTTTTTGGCTTTTCAATTTAAAAATGTGAACTAATAAGAATTTGGTGTCAAATACACATGGAAATTTGATGCTCATATAAATTCATGTCAATTGAATAAATATATACACAATACAAGAGGCATCGTGCAGTCTACACGGTGTTTACACCAACAACACACATTTGATAATATATATTCTTTTATGGCACCGCACGCACACATTAAGAAACATACGCAGATTGATTCAAACCAGCCATAGAAAATAAAAACGATTTTTAACATGAATCAGAAGCACAATAAAAGAAAATGACGTCACCAAAGACATTCCAGGCGCCCGAACAAAGGTGGAATACATATATAGAATTGATGTGATCGCGCACAACACAAATTCGTTGATGCATCAAATGAATTTCATTTTTTTCACTATTGATATTTGTCGACGCAAAAATAATAAAGTCAAATGCAAAGAAATGAGGCGTATCACGTCATATTTTTGGCGCGTATAAATCACATACGCAACGCGTTAACCGTATATTATACTTATATAGTAGCATTATTGCTTCCTCATCTCTTTCTATGGTTAACATTGAATTGTACCACATAAATAAATATAAACACGACGCATACACGACCACTAACCAAAAATGGCAATTTACCTTTGAAATGCATTAAGATCATATCACGTTTTTCGTCGAGTGACTTTTCCAAAAGCGGTTGACGTTTGTCCTTCGGAATGTTCATGTCCTCAAGAATGTCCACAAATTTTTCGTCGACCTCATCGTGTGGTAGTCTCATAATTGCATTATATAAGTCTTGTGGATCGGCCAATGAATCGGAATCGGCCGATATTGGTCGTCCACCATTCGATGTATAACTTCTTCCTTTTGTTTTTGGTCGTCCGAACACCATATCAAATAATCCACTGCTCATTTTCGTTTTATCGTGTTTCGACATTGTGATGTGTATGTCTATTTACTATTGTACACTCTTTTTATTACTATTCAACGCGTTCCGCACTGTTAACCACACGCATGAATTTTTGTTTTCATTGGATTCTTTTTAATTATTATTTTTATTTGTAGGGGAATATAAATTCCGTTTCTTTCCGTTTCTTCCCGTTTCTTCCCGTTTTGTTTTGATGATATAAAATATGCAGCGTAGCGCGCATGTAATATTCACTTAAATATATACGTCTTGTCATTCAATCAATGCGATATATATTTTGTATATGTCTCAAGTACGCTCTGCTGTTTTGTGTATGGAATTTTTTCAAATTTTGTTATTCACATTTTTTTTTCATTCGATTCAGCACTAAAAATAATTCCACTTAACTAAGGAGCGAACGCTTATTTCGTTGACAATCCGGTTTTTTTTGTCTATTGTCGTTAGCGAATTTTGTTCTTGTGAATTTTACAGCAGCTTGAAAATACGACATGCAACAACAAAATAAGACACAAGCAAACTAAAAAACTGTTTTCAAAACACTTGTTGGAGTTTCGAAATGTATAGTTTGGCGTGAAGTTGTTTCCAAATATACGCTTCGATTATGAGTAAACCAACGTGAAATTGGTTGACCCGCAACTTATTCTGCATGAGATATGAGAAGGAGCACATGTGCTTAAAAACAATAATATGGAAACAACGCATTTTTAAATGACACATTTTATGAATGAATCATTATTTTAATTTATTTCGTGCTTGATAATTCGATAAAAAAGATTGTAAAACTATTGGCAAAATTAATGATACTATTTTTAATTCAATTGTTGGAAGTCATCGTATGCACTCTCAAATGTTGTTATTGTGTGATCGCACACTTTTTCCAAATCCACCAAACCTCTCCGGAGAACATCAACAGCACGCACATTCTTTGACGCCTGAATTCGTAAATGCATTTTTGTATCAGCTGGATGAGGCACGGTATAACCACAGAAATTTACATCTGGACTGTGGAAATGGTAATCAATGAACATCAATATTGGAAAAATATGAAAATGTTTTTTTTTTCACTTACTATCGACAAATAATCGCCTTCAAAACGTTGCCAAGTGTGTGACCCTCATTTTCAAATACAAAAGTACATGACGATTCGTTGTCATCTGCATTTTCCAGCTGAAAGTGAAATCACATTTTTACTGAACACATTTTTATGGTAATGTCAAGTGGTTTTAAATTGTAAAAAAAAAACTTCTGGTACTTACAACAGCAATTGATGGCATTTTGAATTTTTTTATGAGTAAATTATAATATTTTCGTATAAAATCGATTGTCAATGTTACTCCAGTGCTGTGGGAGGCTTTAAAATGTTTCCTTTTGTTATGACAGCTTCAAAGATAGCGGTTTACCGCTGTTTTACAACCAAACAACAACAACAACAACAATGACAGATTCAACATTTCATTCACCAACCGAACACCAGAGTTCCAAGCACAAACGACAAAAGCAAAACTAGACGTAACAAATTTATGCGAAGTAGATATTCTCATAATTTGCCTTAGTTTATTGAAAATTTGATAAAAATTCGTGTGTACAATTTGTATCCGTGATTTTATAGTAAAAAACATTTCCAATGTAAATATCGTTGTTTGAGGGAATTGTACATGTACAGTTTTTCTGTGTGAAAATTTATAAACACAAATATATATGTATAGATAGATGACAGATGTGTATACAATGACAGTGAACGGTGTTTGATGCAAAACGAGGCATCTTTGGACTGAGACACCGATTTAAAATTGGAAAATCATATTTACTGCATGAAAATCCCGAAATTAGTGAAGAAAAAATATTCAAATAGATAATGATAGATGCATCTGAAAATAGTGGCTAAAACTCAAAATTCCACTTTAAACGAGTGTCTAAAGTACTGAAGACAGAAGAAAGAATTGGTGTTCTGGACTTTTCGTCAATGAAAAAAAAATTTACTTAACCTCAATCGAAAAAATAATAATATTATAAATTCCAAAATAAACATAGATCGCTTCACTATGCTGATATGTGGAGTAGTTCTACGAATACTACACTTTTCCGCCCGTTTCTAATGAAGTAATCAAATCTGTCATCAAACACACAGATATTGTTCAAGAAGAAGTGACAGTGGAAATGTTTTGTAAACATAAATTAAAAAAAATCTCCGCTTAATTATAAGGCGATGAGATTTTGTAGTGATTTCATTTCGAATGAGAAATAAATAATTTATTAATATAAAACGATAATCGCTAAATTTATTCAAAAATGACGACTGTACAACACTATGTTAATGGACTCAAGTCACGTAATCGTGATGAGCAGAACAAAGCTGCCGCCGATTTAATTCTGTATGTTAAGACCGAGCTACGGGAAATGCCACAAGAAGAACTGGCACTATTTCTCGATGAATTTAATCATCATATCTTTGACATGGTGTCCAGTTCCGATGCCAGCGAGAAAAAAGGAGGCGTTCTTGCCATAAGTATGTTCGATTCCGGATTTGTTTATTTCTTTCTCCGTTACAGAAATTAATTCAGTGATTTTTCTTTTATCATTTGTACAGAATGTCTCATCAGCGGTGATGTAGTGAATACAGCAAGTAGAATACCACGTTATTCGAATATTTTACGAAATCTTCTGCCATCGAATGATGTGTCAGTCATGGAAATAGCTGCAAAAACATTGGTAAAATTGGCTTTGTTGCCTGGTTCCAAAGGAGCTGAATCATTCGATTTTGATTTAAAACGAGCCTTCGAATGGCTCTCAGAAGAGCGAAATGAGGTAAAAATGAAAATCTTTTATAAATTATACTAAAAATACTAAATCATAATGAGTAAATTGTAGGGAAAACGACATGCAGCCGTCTTAGTTCTACGTGAATTGGCAGTTGCAATGCCCACCTATTTCTATCAGCAAGTAAATGGATTTTTCGAACATATTTTTACCGCAATTCGCGATCCAAAACCAATTATACGAGAAGGAGCCGGTCAGGCATTGCGAGCAGCTTTAGTTGTTACGTCGCAGCGTGAAAGTTCGAAACAACTGAACAAACCACAATGGTATAAGTTAGGGGCAAATCACTTAAAAATTACTTATTAATTACGATTATTTTAAATTTTATTCTTTTCTTTCTCCCCTTAGGTATAAGTTGTGTTTCGACGAATCCATGATTTGTTTCGCCGAGGTGCCGATGAAAGAAAAGGGTTGTACCAAAGACGATCGAGTTCATAGTGCGCTAATCATTTTGGACGAATTGTTGCGATGTTCAAACGCAAATTGGGAACGCAAATACAATTCGTTGCGATTTTTGGAACCGGAACGGAAAAAGCATCGTTCAGATGAATATGGAACGTTATTGCCTCGCTTTAAAGCACCATTCATTGAGAAATTGGCTCATCATTCTAGTTCATCGAATACCTCTTATCTCTATGATTTGGATTGTAATTTAAAGTATTGCGGTAATTTCCAAGAATCGACGGTGTGTCGTCAAATTATCATTGAAAATTACGACGATATTTGTCAACGTATTATGGAGCAACGTTCAGTAAAATCGTCCTATGTGCAACAGTCACTGTTTTCCATTTTACCCCGTCTCGTTGCATTCAATCGCGAGGTATTTGTTCGTGAACATCTCAATTCCACCGTTACTTATTTATTGAATACATTGCGTGGCAAAGAGAAGGATCGAAATCAAGCCTATGTGACACTTGGCTACATTGCTGTTGCTGTTAATGATGAAATCGAATCGTATCTACCGACTGTTTTTGAAATAATCAAGGCAGCATTACCGTCAAAGGATGCGCCCGCTAAACGAAAATCAACTCCCGATCCATCTGTGTTTTTGTGCATCACACTCTTGGGCCATGCCATTAAGAATGAAACATTAATTACCGATTACATAAAAGATTTATTAGAGCCGATGAAATCGACCGGTGTAAGCCCAGCACTAACCATATGTTTTCGTGAGTTGGCCGAACAAGTTCCACGCTTACGAAATATCATATCGGATGGTTTATTGAATATGTTATCGCAAGTTCTTATGAGCAAACCATTGACGCAACTGGGTACACCAAAACATAATATAACAGCACAATTTGCTTCGCTCACCACCACCGACGCCCAATGTGATACAGCCACAATTGTTCTTGCACTTAAAACACTGGGCACTTTTAATTTTGGTGTATTCGACTTACTTGAATTTGTCCAAAGATGTGCCGATCACTTTTTACAACACGAACAACAAGAAATTCGATTGGAAGCGGTTGAAACGTGCAGCCGTTTACTGAAAATAACGATTCATCAAGATGAAGCCGATCAAGTAACCATCGATATGGTAAATCATTGTTTGAATCAATTGCTCAACGTCGGCATTACTGATCTCGATGCAAATGTACGCTTAAGAGTGCTTAAATCATTGGACGAAACATTCGATAATCAATTGGCACAGCCGGGCTCATTGGGCGCTTTGTTGATGACATTGAACGATGAAGTGTTTGAAATACGCGAATTGGCCATTCAAACTATTGGTCGGTTGTCAGCGAAAAATCCGGCTTTTGTAATGCCCAGTTTACGCAAAACATTAGTTCAACTATTGACGGAAATTGAGCATTCTGGAATGAGTCGAAATAAAGAGCAAAGTGCTCGTATGTTGGACCATTTGATTGTTAGCACACCACGTCTCATCACTGCATATATGAAGCCGATACTTACAAAACTTGTACCGAAATTAAAAGAACAATCGAATCCGGGCGTTATATTGAATGTGTTGCGAGCAATTGGCGATTTGGCTGAAGTGAATGGAGGAAGCAACGAAATGGAACGATGGGCTGACGAACTTTTGGCAATTTTATTGGAAATGCTTGGCGATGCTGGATCACCAGAGAAACGTAATGTTGTACTATGGACACTTGGTCAATTGATCGGTAAGAGAAATCATGAAATTCTGGATGTAAAACATGTTTAAAATTCGTTTTGTTTGTTTTAGGCGCAACGGGTCGATGTGTAACACCATACTACAAATATCCATTTTTAATTGATATATTGATAAATTTCTTGAAAACTGAGCAACATCGCGATATTCGCCGCGAAACAATTCGTGTTTTGGGTTTGCTGGGCGCAATGGATCCGTACAAACACAAAATGAATAAGGGACTGATCGATAGTCAAAATGATGCTATTCTTATCTCAATGTCCGATTTAAAGACCGATGAACATTTGGATTTATCGACAGCAGAGACTCTCGTCAATATGGGAAATGTGCTTGAAGAATACTATCCTGCAATTGCGATTTCAACGTTAATGCGCATTTTACGCGATCCAACACTATCACAACATCATACCAGTGTTGTTCAAGCGATTACCTTTGTTTTCCAAAGTTTGGGCATCAAATCAATTCCGTATCTATCGCAAGTGTTGCCAAGTCTATTGAGCAACATACGGACGGCTGATTTAAATTTAAAGGATTTTTTATTCCAACAGCTGTCAACTTTAATCGAAATTGTGAAACAACATGTGATTTCGTATATGAATGATATTTTCAAATTGATTCGTGAATTTTGGACGATAAATACGCCACTGCATGGTACTTTGATTAATTTGATTGAAAAGATTGCCATTGCTCTGGGTTGCGAGTTCAAAGTCTATTTGTCGCAGATCATGCCACAAATGTTACGGCTTCTGGCACACGATAGCTCCAAAGATCGTATTGTCACAATAAAACTATTGCAAGCCCTGCAAAGTTTTGGAGCCAATCTAGATGATTATTTGCATTTGATTATACCGCCGGTGGTGAAATTATTCGAACCAGTCGATTTGCCGTTGGCTGTTTGTATTTGTGCCCTTGAAACGGTTCATCATTTAGCAGAAATTTTGGATTTAACCGACTTTGCGACACGCATTATTCATCCCATTGTTCGTGTACTGGATAACAGTCCCGATCTTCGAGTGCCGGCCATGCAAACCCTCTGCTCAATGGTGGTACAATTGAATAAGAAATTTAAAGTGTTCATACCGCTAGTGCAAAAAGTGATTGCACGACATCGAATAAATTGTATCGAATATGAAAAATTACTGCCACAAATTCAAAGCAATACAACGGTCGTGTTGGACGATGAATCCAGACGATCATTGAAAACGAAAAAACGGGACGCACCGTTTTGTCCTGAAATGAGTACAATGAAAAAAATGCAACCAGTTGAATCGCAATTACGTTTGGCTTGCCAAGCATCGCGTCGTGTATCGAAAGACGATTGGGTCGAATGGTTGCGACGGCTTAGCGTCGGCTTATTGAAGAATTCACAATCGCCAGCATTGCGATCATGCCAAGCATTGGCACAAAATTATCCGACATTGTTAAGAGATCTATTTAACGCCGCATTTGTATCGTGTTGGACAGAGTTGAGTGATGAAATGAACGAAGAGCTGGCAGCTAGTTTGAGACAAGCCCTTGAAGTGCAAGACATGCCAGAAATTACACAAACCATTCTCAATTTGGCTGAATTTATGGAACATTGCGATAAAGACCAACTTCGAAAGAAAACCTTGAAAATTGATCCGAAAGTTTTGGGGCGCCGTGCAATGGAGTGCAGAGCGTATGTTTCAACAACATAAAAAAGTCCACATTTTCCGTTTTTTTTTAACTTTATTTTTCTATTTTTCTTCTTCTGCAGGTATGCAAAGGCGCTGCATTACAAAGAACAAGAATTCCATGAAGATAAGAGTCCACAAGTGCTCGAGGCGCTAATTCTCATCAATAATAAACTTCAACAAAAAGAAGCGGCCGAAGGATTACTTGAATATGTTATGGCATGCCGGAATGGAGAGGAGGAACCAAAGGTAAAATCTAATCTTTAACACATCACTGTTCGCTTACTTTAATGATGGTTTTGTCGTGTTTCCATCCAAATAGGTTCAAGTTCGATGGTATGAAAAATTACACAGTTGGGAGAAGGCGTTAAATTTGTACAAGCATCGTTTGGACAATAATCAAAGTGATATGGACTCAAAGCTCGGATATATGCGTTGTTTGGAAGCACTAGGCGAATGGAATGAACTCGGCAGCTATGCCAAAGAGCAGTGGCCCACATTGGGAGATGGAAAAAGTCGTGCCGGTCGGTTGGCTGCAGTGGCTGCATGGGGTCTGCAGGATTTTGAGCAAATGCGAGAATATGTGCGATGTATTCCAGAAGATACACAAGATAGTTCATTCTATCGATCGGTGCTTGCCATTCGTGACGGTGATTTTCATATGGCACAAAGTTTGATTGATGAAACTCGTGATTTGCTAGATACTGAATTGACTTCAATGGCCGGTGAATCGTATGAACGTGCTTATGGTGCAATGGTCTGTGTTCAAATGTTATCCGAATTGGAGGAGGTCATTCAATATAAATTGATACCCGAACGACGTGGAACCATCCACCAGATGTGGTGGAAACGACTACAAGGCGGCCAAAAATTAGTTGAAGATTGGCAACGAATCATTCAAGTGCATTCATTGGTTTTGTCGCCACACGAAGATGTGCATACATGGCTCAAATATGCATCATTGTGTCGTAAGAGTGGATCATTGAAATTATCCCATAAAACATTGGTGATGTTGTTAGGCGTCGATCCATCCGAAAGTCCGGAACATCAATTGCCGACAGATAAACCACTGGTATCATTTGCATATTGCAAACATTTATGGATGTGTAAAGATCAGGAACGAGCTTACAATCAACTTGATCGATTTGTGAATACATTTAGTATGCAAAGCTTACAAACGAACCCAATGCCGGATGATATGCGCGATGAAAACAGACGTCTCTTGTCCAGATGCTATATGCGCTTGGGATTGTGGCAAAATAAATTGGGCGGCATTACAGATGATTCAATTCAAGGTATTTTAGGATGTTATGAAAAGGCAACACAACACGATCCAAATTGGTATAAAGCATGGCACTCATGGGCATACATGAACTTTAAAGTTGTCCAAGCACAGAAACAAACACAAGAGAATAGCGCAAATAACGGTGACTTTTCGCGAATGAATGATAAACGTTTCGAAAAGAATCTGATTACAACGTATGCCGTACCAGCCGTACATGGTTTCTTCCGTTCGATAAATTTGCTTCAAGGAAATTCGCTTCAAGATACACTTCGTTTGCTAACACTTTGGTTTGAATACGGTCAATATACGGAAGTATATGATGCTTTGGTTGAGGGCATGAAATTGATTGAAATAAATACATGGCTTCAAGTAATACCGCAGCTTATTGCACGAATCGACACGCATCGCAGCTTAGTTGGTCAATTGGTACATCAATTGCTCATCGACATTGGAAAGCAACATCCACAAGCATTAGTTTATCCATTGACGGTCGCATCGAAATCGGCATCGTTACCGCGCAAAAATGCAGCGCACAAAATTTTGAATTCAATGAGCGATCATTCACCGACACTTGTACAACAGGCATTAATGTGCAGTGAAGAGCTAATTCGTGTTGCAATTCTATGGCATGAACAATGGCACGAGGGCCTCGAAGAAGCTTCACGATTGTATTTTGGTGAAATGAATGTGAACGGCATGTTCGATACATTGCAACCATTGCATGCTATGCTGGAGAGAGGACCACAAACACTGAAAGAAACGTCTTTCTATCAAGCATATGCACGTGATTTGAATGAAGCATTAGAATGGTGCCAACACTATAAGGTTTGTGTTTCATTTTCTGAGAGAAAAAATTCAAAACAAATTGAAAAAAATATTTCAATGTCATTTCGTTTCATATAGGCATCAGGTAAAATTCGTGATTTAAATCAAGCATGGGACTTATATTATCATGTATTTCGTAAAATATCACGACAATTACCACAATTAACATCGTTAGAATTACAATATGTTAGTCCAAAACTATTGGCGTGCAAAGATTTGGAATTGGCCGTACCCGGCAGCTATACACCTGGCCAGGAATTAATCCGCATTAGTAGTATACATCAGAATCTGCAGGTAAAAATTGATTACCAATTTTTTTATCAGTACTATATAGCTAACGCATTGTTTGCACGTTTTTCGCAGGTGATCACATCAAAGCAGCGACCAAGAAAACTGTGCATTCGCGGTTCGAATGGAAAGGATTATATGTTCTTGTTGAAAGGACACGAAGATTTGCGTCAAGATGAACGTGTTATGCAGTTGTTTGGTCTAGTAAATACATTACTCCAACATGAGCCAGATACATTTAGACGTAATTTAACAATTCAACGATACGCAGTCATCCCGTTGAGTACCAATTCCGGTTTGATTGGATGGGTTCCACATTGTGACACACTACACACATTGATTCGAGACTATCGTGACAAACGTGGAAAATTGTTGAATTCCGAACATCGTGAAATGTTAAAAATGGCACCAGATTATGATCATCTAACACTTTTACAAAAGGTTGAAGTGTTTGAGTATGCGTTGAAGCAAACCAAAGGAAATGATTTGGCAAAACTTCTCTGGCTAAAGAGTCCATCGTCAGAGGTTTGGTTCGATCGAAGGACAAATTATACACGATCATTGGCAGTGATGTCAATGGTGGGATACATTCTTGGATTGGGTGACCGGCATCCGTCAAACTTAATGTTGGATCGATTAAGTGGAAAAATTTTGCATATTGATTTTGGTGATTGTTTTGAAGTGGCCATGACCCGTGAAAAATTCCCCGAAAAAATCCCATTCAGATTAACACGGATGCTAATAAATGCCATGGAAGTCACTGGCATCGAAGGAACATATCGTCGAACATGCGAAAGTGTAATGCATGTATTGCGACGCAATAAAGACAGCTTAATGGCCGTGCTCGAAGCATTTGTTTATGATCCGCTGTTGAATTGGCGTCTCCTAGATACCACCACGGACAAGAATCATAGATCAAAAACAACCGATGGCAATGCTACAACTGGAGCAAGCCTTTCAAATAGCGCTGAAGACTCGGTGGATTTATTGAGTATTCAACAGCAAAATCGATTGAAAGGACATCAGTTCAATCAGGTCGATGGAAAAAATGTTGCGATCGGCGAAAGTGTTAATGCCGTTCATAATCCCACCGAAGTCACCAATATGAAAGCAAGATTGATTGTAGATCGTGTTAAACAGAAATTGACTGGTAACGATTTCAATACAACCGAAGAAATAAGCGTTCAACGTCAAGTTGATTTACTGATACAACAGGCGACGAACAATGAATTTTTGAGCCAATGCTATATTGGGTGGTGCCCTTTCTGGTAAAAATGGCCGGCATCAGGTGTTATCAAGGAAACGAACCGTTTGACTTGATTTGATTTTTGTTTAATCTGTGAAGCGAAAATGTTCTAAATTTTAAAATAAGTTTTCATTTTTATACAGACGGTTTCACCTAGATTATTTAATGAATTTCAATCACTATGCTTTTTTTAATACATTTTTGTGCATTTAAAAAATTTCAAACTGTACATTACAAAATACACCGTAAAATATGTTATGTAGATTTTTTTAAGTTCAGTAGAATAATGCTATTCCTACTGCTATAAAGAAGGAATTACTATTGGAATAAATAGAATATTAATAAACAAAAGCTGGATCTTAGCTAGAAATAGCCGTAAAACATTTGTTTTTTCTTATCAATTTGTCTCTTTCAATTAATGTTCACAATGACTGAACTCTGTTTATGAAGGCGTTTTTGGTTTATTCAATTTGTTGCTGCGTTAAATTGAGAAAGGAGATATCATTGAAATAGTCAACAATAGTTAAGTTTAAATGAGCCTTTTTGAGCTTGAATAGCACATGATCATAGCTATCAGTTCCATGCGTATTTGTTGATTAAAACCAATCCTAAGTTTTGCATTTAATAGAATCCTTTCTTTTGATATCTTATTGATTTTATTAGTTCATCTTTTGAAAACATTGCGGATCTTAGTCTTTATATTTATCTTTATCGACATTCGTTGTATTGTTAAGATCTTAATAAAATCGCAATTATTCAATATAATGCTTCATTCCTAACATAGTTATAAAAAATAACTGTTTCAAATTAAAACCATATTTTTGAGAAATGGTTTTTCGTTATGTTGAAGCACGTATTTTAAGGAAAGAATACTTTTTTAAATTACAAAAGTATTTATTTATTGCGATTGAAATTTCTATTGACGTCAATTCAACTATTGCCTGTTCCATTAGGTTTGTATTTAAAGTCAGACGCATTCGATAAATGCTAGCGCAAGTGTTCAATAGTGTTGAAATTAAAACTAAATTAAAAAATAGAATCCAATTTTCTATGCTGGTTTTTTTATCGAAGAAAATGTTCAATTGTAAAATGTTCGCTGTGTACTGTGAATATGAACTTAATATACATTTGTAAATTCGGAACGTTGCTTCATTGCCTCAGCATGAACTCAAAGTAAAAAGGAGAGAATTTCAGCAACGTTCCGAATATACAAATGTATATTAAGTTTATATTCACAGTACACAGAAAATATATCTACCAACTATTTTCGTCACAAAATTGATATCAGAAATTTTGTGTTTCAAATTTTGGTTTCGTCACTCGTTCTTCACCTCGATAGAGGTTTTTAATTTGATTTATTTTACGAAAATACCCGCAATTTCTTTACATTACATCAAAACTGGTTGCTTTGGTTATTTTTTCATGGTCAATTCTTCGAGCTGTTCTGCAGTTTTAATGGTCGCATTGGTTATACGCATGCCTGGCTCAATTTTCTTAACGAATTCCTTAAACTTGGGCTTCTTATTTGGCAACAATTTGTACAGTTTTTCCAGGTATTTCATTTTTTTCTTTGGCATACCTAAGGGGGGAATCACAAAAGAAAAGAATACAATTAATTTAAAATAATCGACAAATAATCAAAAAAGAATCAATAACTTTGGCATACCACGTGTTTTATACTGAACGGCCAGATGAAAGTGTGCGTTTAGGTCATTTGGTCTTATTTCGAGAACACGAAGAAACAACTTTTCGCTTCTCGCGAATCCAAAGCCGTGTTGAACAAGTAACTGTGCGACAGTAGTCAATCTTAGTATGTTCATTGATTTATAGAAATCCAAAGCGTCAATTGTTTTCTCGACCATTTCCCTGGGACCATAATCAAAATAAAACATAATCAGATTATAATGCGCCAGATCTGATGTTGGATTACATTCTATGCTTTTACGGAAGTAGGCTTCACCCTCTGCGAATCTTCCCATTCGTAAATACTGCAGATGGAATTAAAAAAAAAAAAAAACAGGAAATTAGCTCGGAATTAGTTTTTGTGGTATCATATTGCATCTTACCAAAGTGCCCAAGTTGTACATAATTACTTCGTTGTTCGGATGCAAACTGGCTGCTTTGTGATAGGCTGCCTCCGCTTTCTCAAAATCTTGCGTCAATCCATAAGCTATGGCCAAATTCATCCAAGCACGTGCATAAGCCGGACTGGTAGTGAAAAAGATGTTTGAAGCAAATATTAAAAATGGATCGGAGAGCAAATCAAATTGCATAAAACTAAACTCACTCCAATTCGATTGTTCTTCGGAGAGTTGTGATGGCTTGATCATAATCGCCAAGAGCTCGATACGCATTGCCCATTGCCATCATTGCAAAAATATTAGCTGGATCTTTTTGGTGTGCAACCATACTAAATTCAAGCGCAGCGGGAAAATCTTGACTCAGATGGCTTATTTGAGCAAGATTAAAGTAAATCTTTGAATTATTCGGACAAATTCGCAGCGCTGATGTGAATAACGTTTTACTGTCTTGCCAATCCCAAGATCTTTCAATGGTTCGACCAGCAAAAATCAGCAATAGGACAAATATAGCCATTCTAATCGCTTTCGGATAAAGCTCGTGCCCCCGACTGTATGCAATTGCAATACAGATACAGTACCCTATTGAAGGAATGTACAAAATTCGATCAGCCAACACAAAGCCGACGGTAATGATATGTGAGGATGGTAAATATGAGATGATCGCCCATGCAACTGCTATCTGCACTTCTCTGTATAAACAGTTATGAAAATGAATGATAACCTTAGCGAATGACATCTATGCTAGATCTTACTTTACACCACTTTGATAGAGACCACCGCAAACATAGAATGCCAAAAACGTTGGTATTAATCGATAATCCGTCCATGATTCAATTAGATCGAGTGAGCCGTATGACCAATCGCAGCATAGCCACGATGGAAAAATCAGAAGCCACCCATTTAGCGCAGCAACGTAAAGTGACGACATAAACTACAGACAAAGAATGACACTCAATTAATTCAACGACAAAGAAGTTCAGACTTCCAGTTAGGGCGATTTTACTGCACTTTGACTTACTCTAACAAATAGATCCGGATGAGCAGCTGTTTAATTGCAAATTGGACAAAACATAAATAAATTATTCATTGCTGTTAAGCGATTCCGCCAAACACAAACTTACCCAGTGGATTTTCACGAGGTGAAAAATTCGGCAAACTGAAAATTCCGTTTATTTTTGGTTTAATGTCAACAAGATGGTCTTCGATTAAAAAAATTGTAGAAAAAACTAGGAGGAGACACGGACTTTAGTATTGCTAATTTTTCCAAAAATTTTTTTCAGTTAATCGCATATAACGTGTTAATTTGAAGGACCTAATAAGTCCTAATTTTTCTTGGTTTTCTTAGTTTTTCAGTCTGTGTCCACACCCTAGAGAAAAAAGCAATGAATTTGGATGATAGAGTGTTATTGAACCAACCTGAATAGTCCTGAAAATCCACGAATTAGCATCAATGCGATTGTCATCACAATCAATATCAAAAAACGCGTTTGAAGCTTCGGATTTCTCTCCACCCACAATCGCCAATTGTACCAATTTCTCGCAACGTAACGTTGATTGCGCACACATTCTGGCGGTTTTGTGTTGTTCAAGACGTCGTACACAGCACAAAATGGCTGAAATTTTTTTTTGTCTTATTAGGAATAAATTGCTTGTAAATGTTTTGCATGAATCAAATGTGATTTAGAAAATCATACCAAAACTGTTATTCCAAGCTCTTTACTGAGCAAAGCACCTACTGCACAGGTAAATAAAGAAATGTATTTCACCGCATGAATTGCACCCGAATTTTTGTTTGCTGCAGCGGCTCCCGGCGCCAAGTTTCTTGGATGTTTTTTCTTTTTTTTCTGACCTGCACCATTTTTCTTTTCCTTTTCGTCGTATTCAACTCCATGTTCATCGTCTTCTGCCTCAGCTGAAGTAGAAATGGAGTCAATTTATTTTCAAATTGGGTTTTAGATCAAGAGCGACGACGAAATAGCGAATAAGATATATTCATACAGTTAGGTACCAACCTTCAAGTATATACAAATATTGAAGTACGGCCAGCAGATAAAAAAACGTGCATAAGATATCCGCACGACCAACCACGGAGAAAATAACTTCGACATGAATGGGATGAGCGGCGAAAAGTAGCGACGCATACACTGGCAACCAATAGCCTCTTACACCCTTTTCGAACATTTTCTTCAGTGTAAAATACAGCGTAATACTTGTACACCCGTGCAACACTGCGTTCACAATTTTCATTCGGGTCGCCAACATAAAAGATTTGCACCATTGCCGAAATTCATACGCATACATTAGACTAGATTAGTTACCAACGGCCGAAATGATTTGTGACTATTCGGATGATTAATATCCTGACCCCAAAAATCATGACTGAAAACTGATTGAATTGTTTCAAATGCCGATCGAGAGATGTTTGTTACGTCGGCATTTTGTTCAACGGCCACTTCATCATCGTATACAAATTCATGTTTGTAAACCAAATTCGGCGTAAAACATATTAAGCACGTCACGATAATCAGAAACACCTACGAATGTATCGAAAATTTAAAATATAACGATTTAGTTGACAAATACATATTCAAGAGAACAATCGACCTGAGGGGAGAATATCGAATTTGTGATTGGTTTATTTACCGGTAAAATATCTTCGTGCACCATATCGTATATCGTACGCTATTTTTTCTAGACTAGAAATACGTTCGATGTAGTCACACCTTTTAAAGTATAAATATGAAATTAAAATGTTCACTAGACACAAAATTGACTATTGATTTGGACAAACACAGTTTAACATAGCAATTCACGTATTTTACAAGCACTTAGCGGATTTTTTCTGGCACATTGCTCCAGCACATGTGTTCTTATCACAGAATCAACAGCTATTATGAAAATCTATTCCTGTGCATTTTTGGTTTATCTAATTCGTTCTCAATCAGAATATGCACACTGTTATCTGTCAATGTCATTGTCATTTTTATACCAATAAGATAAACATCATTGTATGTGTAGTGCCATTCGTTTTGCACAGCTGTTCAATCAGAACACAACACCAATACATAGACGCAGAACGCACGCATGTTCACTGACACACGAGTTGTTAGGAAATGATAAACTCAAACTTGTGTATTCGCGCAAATTATATGCGACAGCTTCATATTCGGGCTACATTTTTTTGTACAGAAAATGCATAGAAATAATGATTAAAGTACCAATTCTTCATTTCGTGGATTGTTTTCATGCGAGTGTAGATTCTATACACTTCGGTTGTACGACTGGTTTGACAATTGTATTTGCAGCTGATGCACAGGGGCTAAACGAGGCACATTGTGCACTTTACATAAAGGTTTGTTTTGTCTATTTGAATGCACACAAATACAATCAGCTGAACCAAACATATGACAAATATCTCCATATTTGGCGAATTAATTAATTAATTTATTTTTTATATTGTATTGTAGCTTAAAAGTGAGAGCAAGTTTATTCGATGTTCTTCACATGAAGTGTTTGCAAAAATGAATTTATGATTATATCATAAAAATATTCTTTACGTGTTTTTGAAATATTTTTGCCAAACTTCAATATTTTTTGTATAATTTTTTTTTTCCAGAAAAACAATAACCAGATAAAATTATTCATCATTTATTCATTTCATTTTATCAAATTTTCGAACCATTTTAATCGTTTATAGAATTTTCATAGATATTTTTATATTTTATTGACATCAGCGACTTTGACTTTCTTTTTAATTAAACCTGGATTCCCAATGCAACATGTTGAAGGAAAATTTCTGTCATAAAAGTGTTGCGTGTGTATTTTCTTGTTATAGTCTCCATCATTGATTAATACAAAGCCTTGTTTAGTCTTAACACAATATTCAGTCCAGGATACTGGTGTCCCTAAATCTCTACAGCAACTGCAACATTTAGCTTTATCTACTTGTTCCCAATTCATTGCTTGATTTGCTGCTACAGCGCTATTAAAGTCATTTTCACTTCCAAACATTTTGATTGTTACTTTTCGAAATTTTTCATCTGGTTTCCCTTTGCTTCCAACATAAACTTCCACAGATCTTCCACAAATGAAGGTTAAACTCCATGCCAGATTACATTGAACTAAAATCAATTAAAGTAAAATATTCGAACTTTTTAATATATTTTTATTATTTTTTGAATAATCAACTAAAACTTACCGATTAATAGGAGAAATAATGAAAAGAATCGCGTATTCAACTCCATTGAAAAGTATTTGGTATCTTCAGAGAAAACTAACTCACAACTGAATTGAAAACGCCTGGGCACTAGAGTTTTATAGTCATTGGTAAACAAGTCAAAATTGATAAATTGTGGAAATATTTTTAATTTAAATGATAAATTTTTTACATTTGTTACAATTATTTTTTTTCGTTAAGTTCAGAAAAAAGCAAACAATTTGAATATAATTGAGTAAATATTTGGTTCTCAATAACATCACTGACTCAATTTGTTGTTTGGGAAACATAGGTGGAGAGACTTTTTTCGCAGGAGGAGGGGCAAATGGTATGCGGCCGAAGGAAGGGGGAGTCAACCAAAAAAACACGATGTTTTTTCGTTTCGTTAAATGATTGAAATGAATAAATTTGCTTGGTGAAATAGAACATTGTTAGGAAATTTTTCTCTGTGACTTTGGTTTTTGAATCAAATGCGTTGTCACTTTCGTACAAGAGTAAGTCTTCATAGCTTTGAAATCCGAGACAGAGGAGGGCAAATCGCATTTTTTGTTTTTGTAAGGGGGTAATTTTCAATTTTTGCAGACCGGGGCAAATACCGCACGTGTGTGTGACAGTGGGGGGCAAAACACGGAAACCTCCCTCTCCCCACCTATGTTTGGGAAACCTATAAAAAAAAAATTATATTATACGTCAGATAATAAAACAAATCTAGGAATTATTTTGGCGACATAGAGTCGTATTTCTAGCAGTAATTAATCAAATTATTAGCCTATTATATCAAATATTTTAATGATTACTTAATTATATGAAGAAATGCAAATGAAGTTAATAATACATATGCAATCAAATTTAATCGAAAAAAAAAACATCTTAAATTGTAAACTTTTTCTTCGCATTAAAAAAACAGTTATAATATACATAATAATGAGATTAACACATATGCTCTCAGAAAAATCAATGCTGGATGATTTGGATTATCACTCTAGAAGAAGAAGCTAGTGCGGACAAATGTGATTTTGCCAAGAAGTCGAGTTAGCTACCGAAATGGGGCATTGTGAAATAGTTATTTTTCTCTTGAATTCAGCTTATTCATGGTCATAGTGTGTGTGTCATGCAAGAATTTTTCATTTTTTCTGTGTCCGTTTGTGTCCACACAAGGAAATATTCTGTAAATTTACATTTTCCACGATCATAAATATTCATAACGGGCATTCCGTCATGAAAACAAACAAGAAAAAAATTATATGGCGTCTCCACGGTGCGTTTGACAGTTACCTAAGAGTTGATCAGAAGAAAAGAATGGAAAAAATGGAAATTAATCAATGCGTAATGGATCGGAATGGAAAATGAAACTATAGATGAAAGTATATACTTTATAGTTAAGTAAAGTAAATACTTATAAAATCAATGACCACAACAACAACATTGCTTTAATTTGGGATTTCATTGTAGCAGTAGTAGTGTTGAGATCGTTGATCACTGTGAAAAGAGAAAAATTAATATGCTTACTATTTCTAGTACTTGTTAGCATCGTCCACTACTACGTCTTGGTATCATTGTTTGAAACAATGAGATTCCCATTGTGAGAATGTTCGCGTAGACGTCCGTGCTTATAATTTTATTTTTGATTTTAATTGTAGTAATAATGGAGTTGATGCCTGAATGGTCGAAAACAATTTGGCATCGGCAGATGATTCAACATGTACAATCCTTTCTTAATCATATTTCTCGCTGCATTTATGTCGCGATTGAATATAACTGTTGTTTTCGGTTCCAACTGCTTCTGGTATCTCTTTTTCTTTTGTCTTGGTTGTGGATTTGGATTTGCTTCTGCTTCTGGAACCGGTCGATGGAATGTACATATGGAACGGTATTTCCATTCTTGATGTTTCTTTTTGAAAGTACGATGAACTCTGCCTGTCCATTGAATTGGATCGTGAAAAACGCCATCTTCGACCGGTTTACAGTTGGGGCAAACTAGAAAACTGGAGAAAAGAAAATACAATCAATAATAATAATAATAATAATGTCATTCATTGGCAATGGTCTTACCGGTCTTTTGATTGACGTTCTGGTACACTTCTTCGTTTCTTCAGCTTACGTCCTGATCGACTACACTTCTGCGATGTGTTGTGTTCGTTGATTGGCAAAACGAATACATATTCACGTGCCATTTGTTGCAATGCACGATGCGGACACCGTAGATATCCTTTGATGGGTGAGTTTGATGCAAATTTTGCACCACCAAATGCCAATATCACTGTTTTCTCAGCATCCGACATTCTACGATCGACTTTTGTCATTTGCTTTACCAACACATGCAATGCTACCTGCGTACGTGTATATGCATCAAACTTTAAACGAACCACACGTTTTTGATACTTTATCTATATAAATTAAGAATGAATGACACACACACATCAATAACATGAAATCAAATTAAATCAACTCAAAAGAGAGAAAAAATAAATAAATACCTCGCATGATTCATTGAATACATCCAGCTGGTAATCCAGATAGGTACGGTAGTCGGCACTTTTCTTCGATGGCATTTCCTCATAGATTTCACGATTTTCACGCAGCTTACGACATTTTTTCTCAAATGCACCCGTAAATCGCTTTAGTTTGTATTGGCGTTCGAAAAAACCGGTCATATGGTGCCACTCTTTCGATGATTTCAGAAAATTTTCTTCATTGTCGGTCGCTAAATCTTTGCGTACGACCCCCACAAATTCTCTGTAGCCCGGATCACAACCGATAATTCTCTCAATTTGTCCTGAATCGTAAGCACGTTGAATGATTGGCGGCACTGGATCCGGTTGTCCTGGATTCGGAACTGCATCATCATTGTTGTTGTTATTGTTGGTGTTAACGTTCTTGGATCGCCGAATCATTTTCAAATGGGCTGAACATCCATCGGTGGTGAATGAAAAGTCAAACTGTTGACTCGGCTTATTGATTTTGTCCAAGTTTACAAATCGACGCCAATTTAATAGTTTTAATTATTCATACCTTTTGGTTCGTGTTGCTACAAAATTTGAATTTGATTTTGACTTTTTTTCCGTTGAAAATTGGTCTCTCGTTTCGTACTGGCTTTGACCAATTTCAATCACTGTAATTTGCTGTGACAAACGAACGGAAAAAAACTTCAGGAAATGCGAGTGTTCGATGCTAAAAAAATTTCGTGTTGTGAGCACACTTTAAACAAAACTTTTGTGTCGATGATTTTCACCGAATAATAAATATTTCAAAACTAAACTGTATCGACGGATTGAGAAGACGAAATATTGTATGCGTCCGATCACTTCGATTGTTGTTCACTGTCTGCGGCTGATGCGTGTCTCTCTTTGAATCGACATGCAATGGCTACTAGATCTGTATAGTTATATTTTCATGTTTGCACATGCAAAAAGCCGTTAACGGTATTTTGTTTTGTTCGAAAGTATGGTTAGCACTAATGCGTAGTACTGCAACAAATTGATCACAAATTAATTCATATATCACTTTGAATATCAACAAAATTATGACAAATTTAATATTTTTAATTATTCATACCTTTTGGTTCGTGTTGCTACAAAATTTGAATTTGATTTTGACTTTTTTTCCCGTTGAATTCATGCGCAATTCGAAAATTGGTCTCCCGTTTCACACTGGCTTTGACCAATTTCAATCACTGTAATTTGCTGTGACAAACGAACGGAAAAAAACTTCAAGAAATGCGAGCGTTCGATGCTAAAAAAATTTTGTGTTGTGAGCACACTTTAAACAAAACTTTTGTGTCGATGATTTTCACCGAATAATAAATGTTTTAAAATCAGACTGTATCAACGGATTGAGAAGACAAAATAATGTATGCGTCCGATCACTTCAATTGTTGTTCAATGTCTGCGGCTGATGCGTATTTCACTTTGCAATGGCTACTAGCACTGTCTAGTTTCATGTTTGCACATGCCAAAAGCCGGTAACGGTATGTTGTTTTGCTCAATCTAGAAAGTAATCGAACGTTGTCGTTGTACCTTGGTGAGTGAGTGAGTGTGTGTGTGTGTGTGATGCCATTTCATTTGTTAAAATTTCAATCCTTTTGCGGCAAACTGTACACATCTTGTTTTCAACTGGCTGGCTAAAATAATATACATACAAATTTATCAAACATCATCACCACTGCAGTATTCAAATCTACTCACTAAAATGTGTCTCTCTCTCTCTCTCTCTCTCTCTTTGTGTGTGTTTGTCTGGCCGAATGAATGCATGAGTGAGTGAGTGAGTTGAGAAACCATTGGGAATGTAAGAAACAATATAGTCTGAACACACACAAACACACACTCTGTGTTTCTATCTCACATATATTTCTGTTTCCATTATCATCATCGTCGCATCGACATTGTCATTTGAAAAATCGCATTGCACATAGTATAGAATTAATGTAAATGACGATAATGGAACAGAATCGAAGGAATGCATCAGGAATTGTAGAGTAATGAAATACATATAGTACATACACAACGTAGTTTGTTGTCGACAGACAGAATCCCATGGTCATAGATTGGCACCGAATCGATCCGCTTCCTTAATTTTTTCATCATCTTTTTTCCCTTTGATTGCCTATCGATTTACCAAAATCAATTCGACATGCATTCCAAGTCAAATTCTCCGACAGTGCTAGCGGCCTATAAATAATACACAAATCAATCAATCAATCGCGCTATAAAATGATGAATTGAACACTGCTGCACTTACGGTTGAAAGATCTCACCGTAGGTGATGCCATGAATAACATAATCAATGGCTGATTCCACCGAAATATCCATGGATTGTGCCATTTTTATTATTGAAATATGAAAACAACGTTTTTATTATTCACATAGGCTTTGATGTCAATTGTTTATGTTTATTTTTCGATTTCACTTTGACGCGCTTTGACGTAAAAACATATGAGCACATACAAATGTCAATGTTTAAATTGTTGACAATGTTCAAATACAGCATGTAATGGAACAGAATCGAAAATGAATCGAAGGAATGGATCAGGAATGGTAGAGTAATGGAATAGTAATTTTTAAGTAAGTATGCCTCGCAGTTACCAGGTACGTATTGTTATTATTTGATTTTTATTTGGAATATTCAAAATGAATAGAAAAATAGTTCAAGTTTTATTCATTTTCATTTAAATCGGCAATAATTCTAAATCAAACATTCGATCGAATAGCAAAAAACCAATCTATTCAAGAGGATGCTGAGTTAGCATATGTACGACGTGCACTAGAAATTGAAATCGAAAGTTTCGATAGTAAAGATGGGGTCTATAGAAAATATCCAATTCTTTCAATTAATTCACTTTTTGCGCCAAGTGCTTATGTGATTTCATTTGATATAATCTTGAAACAAAAGAAGCCACATTTAGGACAACATTCACAGCTGACGTGTGATATTAATAGAATACTACACGAATGTCGTCCTCTTGCCATGTTTCGGGCACATATTGGCCTTATGCAAAAAAGCAAAAAAAAAAAAAAAAAAAAAGCAAGATTAGTTCCGATTATTTCTGGTTATTCGAATTGCGCTGATGGCTATTTCGATGCTCCTAGACCTAACAATAGTAGTTTTGTGGGTTGTATAGAAAGGAAAGAGACGAAATGTATTCCGCCGAGGTTGATGTACATACAGGATAGCGAATATTCATACTTTGATAATACAGCGCCGAGAAAAATTGTAACTTTAAATGCCTTGGGGACTAAATGAAAATCGCGAGATTTGAAGTTGAACGATTTTTCGATAAACCTCTTTCTTTAACAGAGGCCACGTGTTTCATCTGGAGTAAAGACGTCACAACTATATGATGATCTTTAAATTTATTAAAATATAGCACCGGAGTACAACGGTCTTTTTGTTTAGTTTAAGCAGCTCTTGGTCTATGAAATAAAATATCGAAAAACTTGAAAGGTTACTTTATTATGTTCAATTTATTTTTATTTAAATTAAAATACTACCCTATGTAAAAAGATGTTGAAAGAAAATCAAAATGATCCATTAAAAAAAACTGATGAAATTCCAATTGAGAAATGATAGTAAATTATGTGCTGTCGGAATTCTGTTTTTCTTTGCTCTTCCGGCTGGATTTATTCAGTGAATTTGCGTATCGCCACATCGTCGCTTTTGGAATGTTATACAGTTTTGCAGCTTGATATTGTGACATTCCATTGCGACATTTCTCCAAGGCCATCTCCAGACGTTGGCCGTATTCTGAATTTTCGGTACGATCTTTGACGCGAAATGATTCCGGAAGTTTGCCCTCAACCGATAGTTTTTTCTTGTCACGATGCAATGTTGTCAATGGTATGCCTGTAAAATAAAAATGTACAATCAAAATTCTGAATAATAATTTTCAATTGTGTGTAATGACCATACCATATTTGGCACTGATACTCGTCAAACTTTTCCCCAACAAAATTTCGTGTTGTGCATTTTGTCTTTCAGCGGTGACTTCTTTGGTTGACGGTTGATATTGTTCATTCTTTCTAACTTCACGCCAAATCGCTGTTTTTGGTACTTTAAAACGATCGGCCGCTGTTTTCAAACTTAGTCGTTCATGCAATACGGCCTGCACGGCACTGTCCAAATTCGATTTCCGTTCGAGTCGATAGTTTTGTTTTAAATGTTTGCTATTACGAAACCGATGATACAACGTGGATCTTGGTAAATTATATTCAACCGATAGCCGGTGTATGGTTTTGCCATTGGTGACTTCATTCAATGCTTTGTCAATTTGTGAACTTGTGCTGCGTGCACCTTGTCGATTTACATACCGTTGATTTTTGTTGCTTCCACCGCATTCTTTGGACACATTTGAAACGTCTTCCTCTGTTTTTTCAATTTCGAATGAAATGAATTCGCCAACTTGTTGATTTTCATCATATTCACTTTCAATCAATATCGAATCATCTTTTACATCCATTAACATCGTATCATCTTCCAAATACTCTTCTAAATAATCTTGTTCGGTGTTATCTTCTTCGCTATTCACACTCTGCGTTGGTTCAACCTCCAAATATTCTTCACCCGAACAACTTTCACTTGAATTATAGTACAATTTTTCATTTATATCCGTTTCTTTTTCGTTATTCACTGTTTTCACTTCGTTCCCATTCAATGGTGTGATGAAACCATTTGCAACACATCCTTTAACACTCAATAAATTACAGAATTCCAAAAATGTTGTTAAATACTCGGATGCAATGCTGGTCTCACCAATATAAATGAAACGAAGTATCGCATCCAGTATGCATGAATCGATGTCGGGTATATAAATGGTTGGTGGTTCGGGCAATGGTGGTAATTCACTCAATATTTTTCGAAAAAAATCACTTGACGACGATAGAACAACCTGATGCGCTTGACTTCGAGTTCCTTGGGCTGTTATTATAATGCAATCATATTCCAAGTTATTGTCAAACAAATAATGTTGCTGTTTTAATATTTCACTTTTATTGTTCCATGCGAATCGATGTGATACTGCCGGCGACGAATCCATTTTGTCAACTATCTTTTGATGTCGAATTTTTCATCAATTTATACAGTCGAATTCTCAAAAGAAAAATGTTTTAACAAAAATGCCCTTGTTTGTTCACAGCGTTGTGTAGTTTGTTATGAGGGATTCAAATAAATGAATAAATTGACAGATGTCGACGGAAAAACTCATTGATTTTCAGTTTTATAGCAGTGGTATTATAAGGGTTACCATAGTATGGTGAATTTACCACTATGTTCAATTTCACTTTTAATCGAAATTTTATTTGAATAATTTTTTGATACGTATTTTTTTTAATTAAAAAAAAAAACTGAAAATCCATGATTAAAATAAATGAAAAATATAATTAGTAATATTATAAGAAATTTTACAAATCTACTGTTTCTGTAATTAGTGTTGCCACTTAAGAAAGATCCATACATTGACAAATGATTTTGACACACGTCAGACGACTATTAATTTGTAATTAGGTGTATTTTCATGTTTTTTTTCCTCTTTCGCTAAATTAGTATTTTTTCGTCACTTGAATAAGGTAATTTTAAATGAAACTTTCAATTATCGAGAATTTCGGGAACACTTTTTGATTTTGATATTGATTTCGAATAGATAAAAATGTCGTCACCGCCAGTAGACCCACGAAGACAAGATAAAATTCGGTCATTTAAGGTATCGCCAAATGGCCAGACCGAAGACTTTTTACCCGATTATTTCAACATTTTGGGAATGATCTTTTCAATGTGCGGCCTAATGATGAAACTCAAATGGTGTGGTAAGTTGACTTGGCAAAATATATTTGACTCGGCCAAATTCGCGACCAAAGCTCACAGAAATTACATCAATGAACCTTGTGCTAATATCAAATTAATCTTTCTTTTTTCAGCTTGGTTGGCCTTGTATTGTAAGTATAAAAAAATACTCCAATACTTCTATTTGTCTCGTATTGACCATAATGTGATCATTTTTTTTATAGGTTCCTGCATAAGTTTTGCGAACTCAAGAGCTAGCGATGATGCAAAACAGGTAATAATCCGATGAAATATTTGTACATCCAATAAATAATGTGCGATTTATTCCAGGTGCTGTCGTCATTTATGTTGAGCGTGAGTGCCGTTGTCATGTCATATATGCAAAATCCAGCTCCAATGACGCCACCATGGGCTGCTTGAAAATAAATCTACTGTAATTAAGTCCAAATCGAAATCGGAAGAATTAAAAGAGTTCAAAGTAAATCAAAAGACATGCATTTTTTTATTCACTCCACGGTATTTATTGTGATGATGACTTGCCAATGTGTAAAATCATTACAAATTAAATAAAGAAATATAGACATAATAAAAACTTGTAAAATCATTGATATATGATATTTATTATCAGCTTCAGTTGGTTGGCAATGGTACGAATGAAAATGGAAGCAACGATTTGATCGAAGTCACAAGAACTCGGCAAGGTGATGGTTTGGCAACATAAACTGGAATATCTTCCTTTGTAAATTCGGACAATACTTGACGACATACTCCGCACTTGAAAGTTAAATAAAAAAAAATTAAAGAAAATTCAAAAAGACTTTGAATAAATAAAATTACCGGAGTAGTGAATGAATCTTCTTGGTATGCGACAACAGCGACCGCTTTAAATTCGGAATGGCCCATACTGATGGCTTTGCATACTGCAGTCCTTTCTGCACAAATTGATGGACCATAGGCGGCATTCTCAACGTTACATCCACCAATTATGGTTCCATCCATTGTTCGAATTGCAGAACCCACTTTGAACTTACTGTACGGGCTGTTTTGTATTAAAATCAACGAATTAGTGCTAAATACTTTGGCAAAGCAATTTAATGTACCTATATGAAAATTTTCTCGCTTCAATGGCTGCATTTATGAGCTCCTGTGCATCCGATTCTAATTTCAATCGAATGTGTATTTGAGAAAAGATGATTCATATTAGAAAATTTTGAAAATATCCTACCCAGTTCAGAGAAATCTCGAACACTTTCATGTTTTCCATTCACTTCGTGAACATTCATTGTGGCAACACCTTGAAAAGCAGACAGATGATTTAAAACTGATCAAATATTGAATTCAATGCACGGAGAATATTCGCGATTTTCGAGATAAGAAATTTCTGTTTTTCGCTTTTATTATATGTTTTACACAGATGAATTTTCCAAAGTGAACTTAGTGTATTATGGTTTTGAAATGTTTACTTCTACGCTTTCTTTTTTAAATTTAATATTTGGATGGTAAAATTCTGTGTACTTGTGAAATTATTTCAAATCATCTAAAATGTGTATGCATAGAAGACGCGTCATCTACTTTCAATACACACAATAAAGGAAGACGCAATAAAAAGTAATTTATTCACAAGTGTTTGCTTTAAGACTTAGATTTAACAATTGCTCCAGAAAAACGTAAAACGAACGTTGTTACGAGAGTAAAAGGAAATTACGCAAATGTTACACTGTGCCCTATTCTTACTAAATTTGAATCGTAAAATGTCTCATAATTAATCCGCTATCATATTTCAAATCACCATTGTCAACACTATAGTGCTTTTTTCATCTATGATACATACATCCATCACACATTCCTTTCATAGTTCAATGCAATGATGTTTCTTCTTTCAAAATCTACCTACAAAAATGTCAAAATCAGCTGATCTGTATTCATCTCTACATTGAATGAAAGAAATAGCGAACATAACCAAAATCGTCGATTGAACGAGATATAATCACAGAACAAAAAAAAAACTAAGCGATACAGAAAATTCATAATAAATTTTCACACATCAGTCTTGATGTGAATGTGAATGTGCAAAGTGAACTATGATTAAATCGGTGCAAAAGAGCGACAGCGAGTGGGCTCAGCTTGTGTGTGTGCATGTGAGTGTGAGTGCGTGTATGTCTGCAGTACATGTGTGAGTGCGTGAAACTGCTCAAGTATATGTTTTCACAATACGTGCGATTTCGATGAGAGTCTGACATGTCTCGATACATTCATTGCAGCATTTACCATTGACAATGACAGTCTCTACTGACTTCCACCATATTAGTTTCTAAAGAACAATCTGTCTATGAAGTTCATTCCGTACACTACATGCAAAGAGCGAGATAGGAACACCAATATAATAAAAAAAAGACTCATTCTGTTGCATATATTATTCAGTAACTACATATATACCATATATATTTGATTTTAAAAAAAAGTGAATCATGATTTCGCGTAGTAGATAAAAAAAAGTCGACGACAACCATACGACGACGACGACGACTACGACAACGACGGGGAAAAACTCATTCACGTTAACAGTTCTCTTTTTTTGTTATTTGTATCTATTTAACATGAAAAACATAAAAATTACGGATTAATTGAAAGTCAAAACTGAAATAAAACAAGGACAGCGATCAATTTTAACTTTATTTTCGTTTTGTTTTGTTGTTGCTGTTCGAAAAGAGCAAAAGTCAAATCGAAAAGAAAGAAAGAAAAAAAAAATCGTGCCATAGATGATGACGAGCAGTGAAAATAATTTCTTTGTATGTGTATTGTGTGTATTGACTCTTGTTGATTTGCAAATGCTGAAAATTCCATCGTGAACAGCAACAAATTGAAAACAACAAAATACAATACAATTCAAAGTTGTGAATCATTTTAAAAACCACATAATATTCATCGAAAATCAACAACAACAAAATGGATTTTAAAGAAGGCTGAAGTAAAACAAAAAAATTAATTCGAAATTGAATAGTCTGGTGACTGTTTGGTATTGCAGCTAAAAACCTGTGAAATTTATTTGGATGTACGTGTTTTTTTTTCATTAATTATACGAATTGTCGCAAATAGTTCCAATCAATGTGTCAGTGTATTCGTATACATATATACCTATATGTTTAATATGTCAATTTCTATCATCTGAAAGAAATCAAATTGTAAAGAACACGAAATAATTTAATAATTCCGTACACGATACACATTTATGAAAGAAAAAATAAATTGAAGAAGAACAGAAAAAGGCAATAACAACAACAACGAGGACGACGACAGCAGCAGAAGCAATAATAATAACAACAACAACAACTATTGTGAAAAGACAAACACAGAAGAGTGAAAAAAAGAGAATAAGAACAATAAATAAGAAGAAGCGAATTGAAGTAAAAATCGTACGCTCGTATTTCCCATTTAATATTATAATTTATGAACTGTAGACACTTATTACGACGAAGGTTTCGCAAAGAATCTGTTCACTTTTTTTTGCTCAGTGTTTGGTGTACAATATATATTTTTGCTGCTTCTTCTTCTTCTTCTTTTTCTGTGCTATTACAATACAATTCGATGTGAACTAGATGTCGCATGTTCTGATAAAGAAGTTGTTTAAACACATTTGAATACGACGTGATCGCATGTATGGATCAGACCAGACCAATGAACGAACCAAAACAGTGTGTGTATTTGTACATAGCAAATGAATAAATAAATAAAAAAAATATAAAAAAATATCGGATGTCAAACTTGAATAAAACGAACAATAAATTGCGTTTTGCAATTGTACTAAATACTCACGGCTACTGAGAGTCCGTGTCTTTGAGTGCTTAATTTTGTATCGGTGTATTTGTTGTACTCTCTCTGTAATATACATATATCAGTGAATAAATTTCGACTCAACGATACAAACATACGTTAACCACATACTCATTAGCACGTAAATACACAGAGATTTAAATTATTCTCTCATTCGTTCATCATATTCTCTCTCTCTCTCTATCGTTCATACACAACGTTTATGGTGCTTTTGTTTTTGTTTTAAAACGTATATGATAAATCCGTAACATCATTCGAACCATACATCGTACTTGCATTTTGACTGACTACAATCCAGATCAATCGAGAGAGACTACAGCTACAGCGGACATTCCAATTGACGAGATTTTTCATGTGTTGATTTATTCGATTCAAGTAAATTGTGAGTTGAATTTTTTCCACATTATGACTGTATCATTATTTGAAGATGTTTGCATAATTTACTGTTTTTCTTTATGTCTTTTTTTCTCTTGTTCCTGTGGGTGTTTTACCACTTTCACTTTAAAAAAAACGTCAAACAGTTTAATCGAAGAGATAAAAGGAAATATGGCATATTCGCAATCACCGCGTGAGAGTGGTGAAGAATCGGAAGAAGATGAAATGATTGAGGAGAGTCCATGTGGGCGTTGGTCGAAGCGGCTGGAAGTGGTTGATCAACGCGATGTGCCCGGTATCGCTGGTGCATATTTGGCAATGGACAACGAGGAGGGCGTCGAAGTTGTATGGAATGAATTGTTATTTACAAGTGCACGACATTTAAAAAACGATGAAGCCAAATACCGTGAAATGTTTGATTGTATGTCACAATTGGAGCATCCAAATATAGTAAAATTTCATCGATATTGGTCGGATGTACACGATGAAAAGCCTAGAATAGTATTTATAACAGAATACATGTCGTCCGGATCATGGAAACAATTCCTAAAACGAACCAAACGTAATGTTAAAAAATTATCGTTACACGCATGGAAGCGATGGTGTACACAAATATTGTCGGCGCTGGGCTATTTACATTCATCAAAGCCGCCAATTGTACACGCCAACCTCACCTGTGATACAATATTTATTCAGCATAATGGTTTAGTGAAAATTGGTAGTGTATCGCCGGAATCAATTCATCACTATGTGATAACGTCGCCGGAATATAAGCAACATCATTCAAATGTTCGTATTTTGGAATATGGTCCAACACCAACCGAAGCAATGGACGTCTACTCATTTGGTTTATGTTCATTGGAAATGGCGGCGGTTGATATGCAAGGTGACGACGATGCTGGTAAACTAGTCTCTGAAAAACAAATTCAACAAACCATTGCCAGTTTAGAGGATGCAAACCAAAGGGATTTTTTACAAAAATGTCTACACGAAGATCCATCAAAGCGTAGCACCGTTCGTGAGCTATTGTTTCATCCATTGTTGTTTGAGGTGCCGTCGCTAAAACTCCTGTCGGCCCATTCAATTGTCAATTCATCGCCCATATTCTCAGATACAATAATTGATGAACGTATGCAACCGTTGTACAAAAGTGATTCAATATTGGCCTATATACAACGGGCCGATCAACCGGTTGAAGTGAGATTACGTGATGTGCCGCCCGTTGAAAAATTGGAAAAACTTATTGAAGATGTAAAATATGGTATTTATCCGTTAACTGTATTCGCACCAAAACGTATGGCAAACATTCGAATTCGGGCATTGTCACCGGATGCAGCCGAATCGGTGAAATCAACAACACCCGAACCCGTTGACATTGAAACACGCGAAATCGTTAATATGATGTGCAGCGTTAAACCAAGAGAAACGGCAACTAATGATTTAATTATGACACTGCTATTGCGAATGGATGATAAAATGAACAGGCAATTAACGTGTCAAATATCGCAGGACGATTCAGCCACAACATTAACCAATGAGCTTGTACATTTAGGTTTTATACATGAAAATGATCGCGAAAAAATCGTCACATTAATAGATAATACATTGAGGTCATACATGCAAAATCCATCTCAGCAGCAGCAACAGCAGCAGCAACAGCAGCAGCCTCAGATGCCATCGCAATCCCAATCACAATCGATTCAAACAAGCAATCCACAGCACGCTGATATTAAACAAAATCCGTTGCACTGATTAACCATAATTTACATACGAAGAAATACCAACAACCACATGTTTAGCTGTCGTTCTTATGCTTCCTAACTATTTTATTTCTTTCATTTGTTTTTTTGTTTGTTCTAGAATCATTCAATTAAAAAATAAATCAACTAAGCGACACAACTAGTAAAGAAGAAGAGAAAAAAACACTACTCTATGCTAATTATTTACAAAACCAGAAGTGAGAAAATAAAGCATTATTCATTTATTTAAACAGCCATTATAATTACAGTACACATATACCGAATATTTGGATTATCCAAGTTACAATTCATAGCAACAGGTCCATAGGAAGTCATAGAGCTATACAAAAACAGTTCCTAGACGTATCGAAATGAAATGAAATGATGATTGAATTGAAGCTAGGGCACAACTAAACGAGTGCATTCCTCAAATGATCATTTGAGTTTGAAAACTCCACATCAGTTTTATATTAGAGGTGAATATTAAATGTAATAAAACACACACGCTTCATATATTTATATATAAAAAAAAACAAGAAGAAATTATGAGAATTAATGAAAAATAAAAATGTGATGCAAGCACATAAACCAATAAACGACATAAAAATTTGATAATAGAAATGTAAATAAAATGAAATTGTATTTAAGGAAAAAAAATGTAAACAATTATTAATTATGAATGATGATGGTGATGAGTGTGTGATGGTGATTATGCAATTATCATGCCAGCAAAATGTTTGATCGATATTATATCGCTCATAATTCGTTAATACTGTACTGTATAATCCATTATAATTGATATCTGCTTTTGTGCTGCGTTTGTCGAATGGTGTTTAACCGAATGATTGCTCTGCAATGCATGCCAATATGCCAATTGCTTGCTGTCAAGTATCATCTATATACCCCCGCACAGGGCAGGCAAACAGATCAAATACCATTTATGCAAATACACTAATTACAAATATATCAAAGAGAATTTTAATTACTTTTATGCAAAAGACGGAGAAAATACAAATAATTAAACAAATAATTGAACACGATTACGAATTGCAGACTACACATATGTTTATAAACTCTTCAGTACATTTGATATGGAACTTAAAGTGAAATAAATGTAGAAACACAAAACAACCGAAATAGATTGGATCAAAGTAAAAAAAAGAGAAAGAAACATAGTCAAAGTGAGACCTTTGTATCAAGACAATTCTTTTTGCAATCTTTTTTTTATTTATATATCAAATAAATTCATGTCAACAAATAAAAATGCAAAAACACAAATAGCCTCAATGTCATTTTCGATTTCAGAAATGTGAAAAAAAAAATTATGAGAAAGAAAGGTAAACAAATATTTTGAAAATTTCCGTTTTTAAAACGAAATCATAGCAAACAAATAAAATGAAGACAAAAAAATGATTAAAAAAATTGGTAAATGTTCGTTACTGTCAATGACATCAATTCTTTATTTTCTTGAAATTAGTAAGTCTATCTATTTACATATAATTTGACTGCTTTTATTCATTTTGAATTAGTTCGTTTTTTTGGCCCATCTTATGCTTGCAGCTAAATGCTAATCACTAACAAACAAAAACGAAAAAAAAAATTATTATTTATTTGAAAACATAGCGATCTCTGTCACTGTCTCGTGTATATCAATTGAAATAAAAAAAGAGAGAATAAAATGAAAATTTGCAATGCATTTTAAATATGTATATTTAATCGATTTTATAATCATTCCATTGTGTAAAATTTTATCAATAATAAAAATGTTTCTGTATGTATAATATTATTGTGTTCGAAAAGCGTTGATCAGAGCAAATGCAACGGAAAATGCATAATCCATTTTTTTTCATGAGCTTCTTCCTTTACAATATAATAAATATATACATTAAAGAATGATATTTATATCAGATCAAGATTGTGAAAATGTGAGCATTTTCCGTCTTATACTTAAAAATGAACCATTTAAATATTATTGTATAGAAGTATCTAGCTCATTCAATCAGTATTTCCATTTTCTTTTAAATAAATTTTGTACAATTTTTTTTGCTCCACATTTCGCTTGAAATAATATATAATTTACAGTGGCATCAAAGTTTATGACGAGTAATTAGACCTTGATCACGTTTTTTTTTTTTTTTTTTAATCAAATCAAATTTTGACCATTTGCTCTGGTCATATGCCAATCTCTTCACGTTCACATTTTCTTTTCAAAGTGGTTTTTGTGTTAGGATGAAATTTTAAAAATTAATATTGCTACCGCTTGAGCATAAAACCAGTTGTACCGTCGGGACCTCTGGGTAAACGAATTAAATTTTCATCGATGCGACGCATTTCGGGTGGAATTTGAAATGCAAGCTGTTGGTATGGTAGCGTTGGTGGTGGTGGCTGTTGATGATGATGTGATGGCTGATACGATTGATATTGCTGTTGCTGAGGATTACGAACAAAGTTTACTCTAGACGAATTACCTACTGAATTTATTTGATTCATCGCATTCCTATTTGAATAACCGTTTATATTATTTTGGTTGGTCGTTCCGTTTCTATTATCCACATTTGTCGACGGTGGTCTGCAATTTTGGAAAGGCAAACACAAAATTAGTTTGAAAAAGTTATTCATGGTCAAAAAAAACTACTTACACTTCTATATCTTCTTCTTCGCTCCTGGCCGATCCCAGTATCCGAAGCCGTGCTTCGGCATATTCTTGTTCACGTTGTTGAAGCGTTTTAATTGGTGCCTTCGGCTTTTGTTCAGCTAATAATTGTTGATTATTTTTGTCGTTGGTAGGACGCTTAAGAATTTTAACGGTCGGCTCTGGCGGTACATATTGTGTACGCATGCAATCATCATCATTCAGTAACATTGCCGCAAATGGTCGATTACATTCGGTTCCAGATATCGTTTGACTGTTTGTGGCATTTTTCTTAATTTGGTTGACTTTTGTGGTTAACTAAACAACAGATGATTGTGAAAATCATGAATTAATAAATTTATCCTCGTTTTAATCACATTTTCATAAAAATGTCATGTTGTATGGTAAAAAAAAGTGGTTCGTTCTATGAAATTTGCACAATCACACTTTACAGTTTCTGGTGTTAATTGACAAACATTTTTATTCTCCTTTTCAGACATTCACATCTGTCAGAATGTTTTTTTTTTTCACTTGATAAAAACTAGGACGTTTGAAAATTGTCACAATTATTTGTAATTTTCAGATAGAAACTATCGAATAATTTGATAATAAAAATCAAAATTTTTATGTGTTAATTTAATAAAAATGAATATATTTCGATTAAACTTGATTGCACTTACTTCAGAATCATCAATACACTCCCAGTCGTCCACCACATTTTCATTTTTTGTCGACATTTTTGTTGTTGGTCTTTTAAAATGAATTTTTTCATACACGAAATGCAATATTTCGCAAAATTAAATTTTGAAATTTTTAAACGAAAAAATAAACGGAAAATTTCAACACTAATTATTAAAAAAAATGCCAACAAACAAGAATTTCTTTCTATTTTTCAGCCATCCAATGAACGAGGTATCACTTTGATGAAGAATTTTGGCATGTCGCTGACTTAGCTTTTGTTACCACCACAAATGAATCATTTTCACACACCATACATACCACACAGTAACACACGAACTACTATTCTGTGTGCGCTACACTTAGTTGTTTGGTGTGTTTTGTGTATTGATGTAAATTGCAACTTAATCACAGTAGATGGCGCAATGAATACATTTTCTTGACTTTTCTACAAAAAACCTTATAGAATAAGGTGTTTTTGTTGTCACCGTCATAATCCAAATGTACGGGTTTAATGGTAAAGCATAACTAATTTGAGTAAAATTGAGAGAAATTTTTCTGTGAGTAATTAATAATAAATGCTAGAAAATTTATATACCACGCAAACACACGGCCACCAAATAATGAAGTTTTACTCAAATTAGTTATGCTTTAACATTAAACCCGTACATTTGGATTATGACGGTGACAACAAAAACACCTTATTCTATACGGTCTTTTGTAGAAAAGTCAAAAAAATGTATTTGTTGCGCCATCTACTGTGATTGAGTCGCAATTTACATCAATACACAAAAAACACCAAACAACTAAGTGTAGCGCACACAGAGAAGGAGTTCGTGTGTTACTGTGTAATACATAGACAATCATTTGAAGTTTTTTCTCTCTGTGTCTCTCTCTCTCTCTCTCTCTCTCTCTCTCTCTCTATCTCACTGCTTTAAAACCTTATTTTTTCGATTTTCGACTAAGAATTCAATACGAATGTAAAGTGACAGTTCGGCTTTTACACAAACATACATACTACGTACAGAGTTTTCCATTTGTGTGAAAATAGATTGTATGAAAATTCACCTCTACTGTTTTGTAAATGTCAGTCGAAAAATTCTTTTTTAAATGCCATTGAATTATAGCACAAAAATAATTGAAAAGATGCTTATATAGATGCTCGCAGTTGTTCATTTCAATCTTTGTACAATTTTTATGATGTCAATACTATAGAAAAGCGATCAATATTGATAGAAATTTTGAGAAAAGGGGAAACGTGCTTGTGGTGGATATATATCCATATGGTGTGAAAAAATATGGTTGATTTTACGGCTTTAAATCCCATCGAGTACAAACAGCTTGTAAAAGGAAACGCAGAGGCGGCTTATAAAATAAAACGTCACACATTATAGATCAAATCATTATCTTCTTTTTGTCAAGAAAGAAGCGTTGACGTTCTATCATAACATCTGTCGTGGGCTGTGAGTTAAAAATATTCAATTTTGTGTGATCTTTTTTTTGTTTCGCGAACTGCGTGTGTTGAAAAGCACACTCATCGAATATCTTCACAACAACAATACATAGAGTTTTTATTGATTTTTCAACAATATCGTTTGTTCTTATCAATGCCAGTGTACTGCAGAACATTCATTCGAAGCAATCGATAATTTATTGCTTCACATTAAAAAAAAAAAAAAACTTTTTCAACTGAACGGAATATTTTTTGTCTGATAGTTCTTTTCATTGTGACATTTCTTTTATAGACCAAAATAGAATTGAGATAGAAAAAAAAATGGATCTGAGTGGATTTAATAATGGAAATCTTACTCAACAACAAATTGCTCAATTGCATCAGCAGCAATTGGAACAAATGATGCAAATGCCACAACACATGCAGCAGCAGCAACAGCAGCAAAACATTGAGCAACAAAAGCAAAATCAAAGCCAAAATCGTCGTCGAATTCGTAAGCAGAAAAATAGTGCGTCACAATCGACGGTACCATCTGAAGGTGGAGAAGAGAATCAAGGCGAAAAAAGATCGGCAAAGAAAAAGAATGTCGACGAAAATGTGTCCATCGAGGAAGCATTGAAGGCACTAACATTGACACCGGAAGGAGCCAACAACGCTATGAAAACACCAGTGTCAGTGCTTCAAGAATTACTGAGTCGCCGTGGCATCACTCCAACATATGATCTCGTGCAAATCGAAGGAGCAATACATGAGCCGACTTTTCGCTATCGCGTCACTTATGGAAACAAAGGTAAACTTTAATATAATTTTCGATAAAAAAAAGATAGAAATAAAAATATTATTTTTTTATATTAGATGCCATGGGAGCTGGAAAATCCAAAAAAGAAGCCAAACATCAAGCTGCTCGTAATTTAATCGATAAATTGACCGGCGTGCAAATTGCTGACCAAATCTTACCACCTACATCGAACGGGAACAAAGAGTGAGTTAAGCCTTATGAAATAAGTGTTGGTGTTCTTTTAAGAAAAGATAAATTTACAATTTTATAATTGCAGTGCGGACGGAAAAGTCAATGGCAATCCAATTGGATGGTTGCAAGAGCTTTGCATGGCACGACGTTGGCCACCACCATTCTATGAAACTCAATCCGAAGTTGGTTTACCACATGAAAGACAATTTACGATTGCTTGTCATGTATCGACTTATTCAGAAACAGGTAACATTCAATCAGATCTATTTGCAATGAGGAAGTTTTTAATCGAATCATTACAATAGGACGTGGCAAAAGTAAGAAAGAGGCCAAGCGTTTGGCAGCTCATCAAATGTGGCAACGTTTACAAGATTTACCCGTTGACAACCAAGACGATGTAACTGACGACGTAAGTAAAACTCTCCTTTCGGTATACAACTTACTGTAGGCAATATTGTATTGGCAAACTACGGTATTTGATAGTGACGTCACTGAAATGAGAAAAATTTCCAAACGACTTTTTTCCAAATGAATAATTCCCCGAAAAATTCTTTTCTCGATTCCTTTGTCATTCGATTAATGTTAGATAAAATATGTGGGTAGACAGAGAATACAAGACCTTTACTCGCGATCGCGAAAAAGTTAATTGATCAATTGTTCATTTGGGAAGCTGACTTTTATGAAATTAAATTTTCGGAAGAAAAAAATTGTTCGAGAAATCTTCCGGCATTCGTTTAGGATAAGTTTCCATATTGATTACATTTCGATTACATTCGTCGGCTCAATCACAAGGAAAGAATCTTTTTGGCAATTTTCTTTTATCTCCTCTATCAAACGCACTGGTTTTGAGTATTTTCTAATGCTTTGCATCACAATAAATTGCCTTGATTGAATTATTGCATTCCAAATGAAGTTGCATGTTGATTTTTACAAGTTCACACAATTTCAAATTTATATTTTCAAAGTGTACAGATTGGAAAGAAAGAAAACTAAAAAGAAGATTCTTCAACGTGTTGGTTTCAAGTACCTTAATAACTGAGCTCTGTGCTAAGATTTTCTAAGAAAAAGTAATGATTTAATGAAATCGAAACGAAAAAATGCTCAGACAGTAAATTGAAACCACCAAAAGTTATTTGTTTGTCATTTTTACATATAAATTCCAAAATTCGATTCGGTGTAAATTTAAAATTGTGTGTATTTGTAGATCAATCAAGCAAACGTAACCAATCGTTACGCTGATTTGAAGGAGAAACGTATTGCAACATTGACCAATCAGCACAGTTTCAAAGTATCCCAGTTCCATAAAACATTAAAGGCCAATTGTGGCCAAAATTTGAGCAAACTTCAAGTAAGTACGCCGATGAACAATGCGAAGTTGATTTGAAACATTTCTGTTGAGAAATTCAAAATCAATTTTTAAATATATGATTTTTATGTTTTTTTTTTCAGTCTACTTGCTTGAATGATCCGAATGTCAACTTTGTACAATTTTTGCAAGAAATTGCAACCGAACAGAATTTTGAGGTGACTTTTGTTGACATCGAGGAAAAAACATATTCGGGCCATTTCCAGTGTTTGGTCCAACTATCTACTTTACCAGTAGCTGTATGTCAAGGCTCTGGTAAAACATCTAAAGTCGCCCAAACTTGTGCTGCACGCAATGCATTGGAGTACTTGAAAATAATGACAAAAGTTTAAATGCAAAATTGTAAGTAAATTCTCCAAAACCTTGAAATTTTAATAATGTTTCTGTCGACGAGCAAGGGAATAGCTCGAACAGCAGTTTTTGTATGTATTTGTTATACGTCATTGTTTCTTTTTCTCTGATTCTAGGACTGACGTGGACCGCATGCTCGAATCAAGTAATTCTAGAGAAAAAACGCCAATTTCTCTCTCTCTCTATATATATCGGATTGTGCTGAGAAATATTGATTGATTTATTAATAATGAAATTGTATTACTTTTACCGATTCGACAAAATAATCGCTCCATTGGACTTGGATTAAACAGAATAAAAATCTTACACAACTATGAATTAAGTAAGTGATGTCGAGATATGTTTATTGCAGAAACTAGTATATTTCATGTTCATCTAATAGGACATCCCTTTTGAAACTATATTCGTATTTGATTATATATTGTTGCATCATTTTATTGTATTGCATTGCATTGCAATCATGTGCAGAAAACTAGAAAAGGAAGAAAAAAACACTAAAAGACCGAATAATACTGATAATATTAATATATGCCCAATTCATGGATTTTAATAAATTTGAAAAGAAACGTACATTTCTCCTTCGGTCGTGAATTAAGAAGAAAATGCCGCAGTTGAAAACATTTAATTCACAATTGAAAGAGAATATAAGAAAAACATACGTTTTACACACTAATAAAAATGATATTGATAATTGGTTTTGGATGCAAATTAAATATAATAATACATCACTTATTGTAATCATAGAATTAAAGAAAAAATCACTTAAACGAAGTCTCAATAAGATAAAATGTGGTGTTTTTGGTGCAAGTTCTACATCAAAGCACACGCACAACTTACTAAATGCATAAATAACTAGTATAATCGGACGCATTTTGCGACGAATAGCAATAGTTCCAAAATTAACACACCTTTTTGCGTTTACAGCATATAACAATATTAGAATGGATTGTATATTTCTTTTTGACTTTGATGATTTTCAATTGTTTCACATGTTATTCGTTTATACTAATCGCTGTAATTTATTATTCAAGTTATTTATGGATGTAGTACAATATAAACGAATTGAATGGAGTGCATAAATTTTTTTAAAGCAAACAAAAACACGCAAAGATTCAAAATGGCCAAAAAATACCGAAACAGATACACACATACGTGTGTACACAAAAAAAAATCAGTGTATTCTGTTTTAAACGGTCCCGATTGGTTTGGTTTGCACATTTAAAAAATAACAATAGCGATTGTAATTTTATTGTTTACAAAATTACTGCATCGCCCCAAAATAATCGCGTACAAGTTATACTTTGCATTGTTTTATTGCGACGAACTTTTTTTTACAATCATTTTTTCAATATCACTAAATTCATATCCCTTCGATTGGCATTGATTTTAGTTATTGAGAAAGTTTCGAGAGTAAAATAATTCGAGAGAGTAATTTCGATGCAAAGTATGGAGGTTGTACGACATTTTACGTATTTTACGTATTTTCAATAAAAATATCTATTTAACTAATTATATATAATTAATCAATAACCATTTACAATGAAATATGAATTAGAAATGAAATTGTATTTGCTACTGTGGACATTATTTTTATTTTTTTTGCCGAAATATATGCTTTTTTTTGGATTTGATTCATGTGTTCAAAATAAATTTTGATTTGATTCTATAAAAAAAAATAAAGCGTGGTTTTATTCCGAGTCGGAAGGTGTACAGTTTCATTCCCCTAATAGCAGAAAATGCGGAAAATATGAAAGTCCGGCCCTTTTGCACATTGAATATGTACGCAATGTGAATCTGTGCAAACTTACATCCAAATTACTGATTACCGCCGATATATTTTATATTTTCATTGGTGTACGGTGCAGAAGTTTTCGGTCAAAATATATACGCTGGAATTTTGACAAGAATCGTTACGCAAAAAAAAAAAATTACACCTACAAAAAGGGATTTGTCGACAGACCCAAATCCAATACTGTTGTAATCGCAATCACCACAAACATTTACAACAACAATCAAATGCAGCACGCGCTGTGTTAAACTGCGCCAATGGTATATATACATGGTGTTGCGCCTGTAGGTGAAGCACAAAATAAGAGAGAAACACGTCGAAACGACCATTTGATATAAACGAAAGCGAAGGAGTTGTAGAACAAATGTGTGTACAAAATTTAGGCCCCGCCAAAGAGTTTTAGCTTCCCTCTATTCTATTAGGAGAACAGAAGTGACAACAAACATACGCAACATACATGTATTGCATGCGAAATGATCAGACATATAGCAACAACGTAAAATGAAGCGTATTCATTTGGTAACACAGTGGGTGTGTTTGTGCCATACGCAAGTATTGTAATGTGGCACAGGCTGTGTGTATGTATATATGATGTCCGCACGGTGTGTGAGTGCTGGCTTCTAAGAAACGGGGAAAAATGAATGAGTACTATACAATGATTTTATGTTGAAATTTGGTTCTAATTTTATCAATAAATTACTGAAGAAATACGAATATTTATAGAATTTGATTTAAAAGAAAATGATGGTAAAAAATTCGATAACATTTTCAATAATTTGTCAACAAAATGCGTAATATTAGTAATCACGTTCGCGAGGGAGGGTTATGCAGCGATGGAAGGCATGGATTTCGTTTTTCACACTGAACTATAGCGAACAAATTCTTCGACTCGAAGCTTCGAAGTCTTATTGGGCCCTTCTCTCTCTCCCTCGCGCTCTCCTTCTCACTCACATGCAACATTCTGTTGTTATATATATTCATGTATACAATGATTGTGAGCTAAAACCAGCATTCAATGCCTGTGAATAACAGTCGGCCACAAACACTGCGACATTCACAAATACACACTTCAACGAATACAGCGTTGATAAGTGCTCAAGTAAAAAAAAAAACAGATAATAAATGATGATGATCGAATAAAATGGTTGTTGCTAATGATATTTTAATGACACCTATAGTTTTTTCATCAAAATTTATCTAAAAAAATAAATCAAATGGCTGGTATGATATAAAAATAAAAATTCAACACTCTTACTTTTTTATTTTTCGGTAAATTGTTGAATTTCTTGTCGATTATCATATAAAAAATAAGTTTCGAAAAACTCGTTGATGATATAAAATGTGATAGATTATTAGTAAAACGTCAGTGGAATTACTGAAATGATGCTCGTCATTTCTCTAAACTGATGTATTTTAATGCGGCTCGCATAAATTCAAGCACATATAATCATTCGTGCTCGTCCACATTTACCGTGTTGTGTATGTCTCTCCACATATACACTCACTTTGGGATCTCCATTCCTACCTGCTGCATTTATTGGTAAGTTGTAAGTTTGTCAGCGTCGAATGCGAACGCCGCTGTGTGAGTGTGTGACGACTGTGCGTTTTCTTGCGGTTAAATTTTCTAATAACAATCATTGTGGGTTGTAGCTTGGTGTGTAGTCAAGTAGTTGAAGCAAGCGGTGTGAACACAGGAAACAAGTGGAAAAATTAATAGCCTGTTGCATTATTGTGGGCGTACGATAAACCCGAGTGTATGAATGAACAGGAGATCATATGCAGGCAGACATTGCTTTTCACACTCACTTTCGGACATATTTTACACCAGTCGCACTTTAGATAGCAACACTTTGACTACTAACGGAATTTCGGAATGAAATAGTTGGATTTTAATTGATTTTAGTTTTTAATTTTCGGTTTTTTTTTTACAAAACCTTAATAAAATGATGGAAATTTTCTTCAGATTAAAAAAAGTAACAATTAAAAATAATGCGCAATGTAAAATAAGCGAAATCACTGATGATTCACTATCGTTTAATCTTGTGCGAGTAAAAATATTTGGAGAATTCCAAAATTGAAATGCTATGTCATTTTTAATAAGAGCGCAGCAACCGGCGAATGTTTAATCTGAATTGCATGCCATTCCCCATTGTATCACGCAGATATATGAATTGGTGAATGAATGAATGAACAATGAAAAAAAAAATAACACAACTTATTAAAACAACATAAACTGATGAAGATTTTCGATTTTTTTCTCTCTCCCTTCATAATATTTGCATTTCATTTGTCAATGAAACGACATTTGTCGATTGGATCATTTTTTTTTTCATACACGATGTAGTATACGATTAATGAAAGCGAAAAACGTGCAGCATTTTCCCATATACCAGTTCATTCCCCATATTCATCGGCCATGACGCAAACTCGTCAATGTAATATGTGCGCGGTATTATGAGAGCCTGTTCATCGTCGATTAGTTTGCCGATTCAGTTAATCATTCGGTTTGTTCAGCTCATTTTCAAAGTTGTATAATTGATAAAGCTATGTAATCTCTCCGATTCGTTGTACAACACATCTTTTCTGTTAGAGAAAAGTACGCGGAGTTCAAAACAAGCGGGGAGCAAAAAAAGCAACGAACAGCAGTTCGAATTTCTTCTAAGCAGTTTCTAATACATTTTCTAATTCAGTCGACATTTCAGTATAACGGGCAAACACAGCTCATCACACGGTTGTATCTTGCATAGTTGGAATACCAGCTAGACAGCTGCTATAGCTCACTGACTCCATGGTGTAGTTGTGTGTCTGTGTTTCTTCACTTCTACTTGTCTATGATAGAGCACTTTGTCTAGTTTCACATAGTATATGCTGTATCGATGAACGACAATGGTGTTTGTGTATTTTGTACACTCTACCATACATGTGCAATACGTGGCTTCAGTACGATTCAGTACTACGCACCCGTGTTATGAGCGCCTGGTAAAATTGTTGCTTAGAATTATCCTCATTTTAAAATTGTATTGTGCGGCTCGATTTCAAGCTCATCCGTCCATTCGTGCCAGTAGTAATATTAAACACGTTACTCAACAATATCGCATTCGCATTGAGAATTTATAGTGTTGCGTAGCTTTTTTCGCCGTATACAAAGCCATATAAATTCATTTAAACGTGTGCGAGAGATACACGTTCACTGCAGCAAATAAGATTGTGTGTAAGCGTTATATTGGTAACCGACGGAACGGCATTTTAATAAATCTACTATGTTTTTATGTTCGCCTGCTCGCCTGTGGAATATTAGAACTAAATAGGACATATAAGTGAACAGACAGCTGCAAACGGCAAAATAAGTGAAAGCGATCATCGTCAGTTTGTTTGTTTGGTGTCGTTGCGTTTGAGTTGTTGCGCGCCGCACTATACGTAAACAACTTATGTTGTTGAATGATATTTTTTTTATTACGCTCTATTGGAATGAATTTTAATGCACTTCCACCGGATCAATGCCGGACATTTTTGGAATATGAATTTTTGCATTGTTTTCCAGATATTTTAAGACGATTGCAAACGAAATTGTATTCATCACAAATCAAGATGCGTTTATTATATCGGGAGACTGAACTTGAGATTCCGGTTGTTGTTGTTGTTGTTGTTTTTTTTTTTTGTAATCTCTCTTCGTTAGTAAGTTGAAGGTTTTGTATTCATGCTGATTTTAATAGACCGTGTACGCGGTAGTATGTTTCAAGTTCATGTGATTTCCATTTATTCAAAAGATATACATGTGTGACTCGTGTGAATGGATCGACCAAAGTAAAAGACCAAAAAAATCAACTATAAAGAATGCGTTACGTTGTGCGAATATAAATTTGGCAAAATCTGTATGGGTCGATAGCGACGACAGATACGACAAACTAAGAGATAGAAACAAAGACAGACTGAGAGAGAGGGAACGCTAAATTGTGTACACGGCATTGTGTAAATATTGCATATATTTTTATAGTATATCGCGTCGTATTTTGTATGTCGCAAAAAATACTTGGGCTGTACGATTTAATTTTATATTTCGTGAATGATATACATATATATTTATATAGCTTCAGCTGCTCAAGCTCATGTTCGCTTGTTACGGAGAGGATTGTCGAGGACAATGTTGGAAGAAAACATTGACACACGCATGTGCAGACATTTCGCATCATTTAAATTTTTAAACGAAATTAAATTAAAATTCATCGTTCGCCACTATAGTTCATACACATCGAATTAGAAATAAAATCCACATCATCCATGCGTATTACAAATGGCGAATGATGAAATTTGTTTTCAAATTATTTTTTGGTTTTTGGCGTACTAGCACGTAACAATTTGGCAAATCATCTTCGTTTAGACAGACAATACGTCACTGAACCTCAGCGGCACGTGTATGTTTCACAAGGTGATTGAACTTAAGATAAACATACGCAATACCGTCAAAAGTAATGAATATTAACTATCACTTGAGTTAAACATCGCTTTTCATATGTGATAGACATAGATTCTTTATTCCGGCATAAATAAATCAAAAATCTCATACATTCTCTGATTTGTAAACCGCCTCCAATATATAGACGAATATGATATAATATCACTATGGTGAAAATTATGTATTATTCTATTACTTTGGCCTTTGAAAACAATAACTATACTAACTTATTTACTAATAAAAAAAGATAAGTGCAATTTACAATACGCAATTTAAATATATGCAATATCTCTGTGGTTTAAATGGAATGAAATAAAATTCTAAGAAAATATACAAAAATAAAACCAAAATTTGGCGTAGAAAATTCTAACACAGTAAGCTAATGTTCCCGCTATCACCTCCTACCAGTAGCATGCGATTTAGTGGAAGTACAGCCATGCTTGTAAGAACGCCCTTAAAACTTTCTGCTCGTAATTTGGTGATTGAGTAGGTTGATTCGGGTGAAACATTCCCAAAAACGCCAATTTTATTTGATGGCGTTCCGAATATCAATTCATTCTGATTATTTCGCAGCACATGAATCGGTTCATTTGGACTCCTGTTAATGATTCAAATATATATTTTCACTGTTGAATTTTGAACTGTTTTTTTTTTAAAGAATTTAATTGAATTTAAAAGTATCTTACTTGATATAATACAAAAGTGAACCATCGAAGGCACTCCATACGCAAATGCTGTGATCCAAACTGGTGCTAATCAGTTGTTCATCGTTGATAGCAAGCAATTGTAGTAGTTCACCATCGGTTGCCTTCCACGATGCGATTACAATTCCAGTCCGGCCATCACATAAAATCAATTGGCCCGAACTCAAACCGACGGCAATCCATAGACCAGATGGTGATACTGATATGCATCGAACACTGCCACTTGTTTGATTCAATGAGAATTTCCATTCGTTTACATATGAAACTGTTCTAGCATCAATAATTTTCAAGGTCGATTCACTGGTGCCGCATAATATCAAAGAGCTTGGTGACGAGAATGTACGTACGATGCTAACGGGTGTCAATCGATGTGAATCAAGTTGCCCGATTTCACCACCAACAAACGGATCCCAAATGTGAACACCCGAATCACAAGACACCGTCAAACGAAGCGATTCCAAAAAGGCAAGAGAGTGCACGGATTTTCGGTGATTTGCATAGGTAAATTGGCACGACGATATTTTCGAACCATCGCCTTCACTTCGTAACGACCACAGTTTGACTGTTTTATCTTTTGACGCACTCATGAAACTATTTTCATTGTCCAAACAGAGTATTGAGCGTACAGCATTTGTGTGACTTGCGAAAGTTTGTAATTTAATTTGTTTGAAATTGAAATGATACTTTTCCGGTCGACCGATTTCATGCTATAAATAAAATAAATAAAAATTTCGAAAACATTTAAGAAATAAAAAAATAAAATAAAACTTACCTCCCAAAATGCGCTCCAGTTGCCCCGCAAATGACGTGTTGTATTGATTTGATCGCATTTATGAGCCACAAGATCCAACAGTTCCATTGGTCCAATTTCATTCTTTTCATTTTCCTTATACACCTCAATACGGTTGCCAATCATTGCTTTGCCAAAACTACTTGACGGAAAACCGTCCGTCACCGATTCTTCGTTGGGAGTTTTATCAGTTGAGTCCTTGCGATAACTATATCCAAGCGATGCGTATTCTGGTTGCTCAAATTCATGACACAAATTCAAAATGAGTGATAAATTTCGAACATTTTGCTTCATTGCCGTATCGCCCAAATATTTCAAAAACGGTACATATGCAACATGCGCCAATTGTGGTGTAAACACTTCTCTTATTTCTTCCAATGCTTTCTCGCGACAATTATTTGTCGTTGTCGGTTCGGTAGCCTCTTGCTGTTTTGGTGGCGTTATATTATCGAGTGAATTGTCTTCTTTTGATCGAGCGGTCATGATTTGTATGGGTGAACCTTTTACCAACCACTCTTTTGTGCCACCATCACGACGAATTTCCACAAAATTCTCTTCAAACGTTGGACTGTTGCGAGATTCTTCATTCAAATCGTTGCTGAAATTATCACTAATGCCATGTGCTTTATCAAAAATTAAGAAAAACCTACAAAACAATGTTTTATTAATACTTGAAACTTTTCTGAAACAAATTAATTGTGAGTGTTCATACCTTTGAAGCGCCGGAACGCATATATGATTTTTCGTCATCTCTGGACCAATTCTAACGGCAAGTACGTAAATTGTGTCGAGCAATTTTCTGGCCAATACACCGCGTGCCAGGAATCCGTTTGGCATTAGGAAACGTGTTGACGCAATTAATCTTATAATTGGGTGTATGATGCTTTTCAAGATTGTGTCCTATGTTTTTTTCATCGCGAAAAGAAGAAACACGTGAATTCATATTAAAAAAAAACACACAGCAGATAACACATAAATAAAGTCTTAGCGAAAGTTCTCTTACATGTAATTGATCCATAATAGTTGTATCGTTCAGGCATGGTACCAAATACTTTAGAAGTTGCAACGAACTAATGAGACCACCTTCAAGATTGGCTGTAATACGTTTTTTGCATAGAGCAATCAATTCCGTGATATGTGGAAAGTATTGAAGTAAAATGAAGTGATCGCCATAGATTTGAGCTATAGATGTTAGGCACTCTGTGTTCGAAATAAATAAAAATTGGATGATTGAAGCTTGATTTTGTTACTAAATGTGTTTACCAAGTACTTTAACTGCGCTTCGATCGCCTGAAACCCGGCTATCGGCAATTGTGAAAACCAAAAGATTATCGTGCAGATCTTTAACACTTTCATCATTCATGTCGGGCAAAAGAGTTTCCTGGCCAACGTAGCAGAGCGTAAGCATTTTTAAAAGGTTTCGCGTTAAATGTCGTGCCGTTAAAACGGGACCCAAGCGGTGTGCAAGCCAAATCAAACTTTCGGCACTCATATCACTTATTTGATATTGTGTTTGTTGATCGCTCCAATTAGACGGTCTTGTTGTTGACGATGTAATGCTTGCGATGGTCACCGATTTGTCACGATTTGCTTTTTGTGCCATTGTTGCGTCAAGCATATCTGCATCTTCGGTGCTGATCTTACTGCCGATTTCACAATCAATTGTGTTCAATTGGTTGCGTTTCGATGAAGATGGAATTGCTATTGTCGGAGACATCAAATTGCCGCTTTCTTTAGAGCTGGGCTGTTCAGATGAATTATTTTGTTGAGTACCGTCTTCGTCAAAACTCAATCCAGACAAACCGGATAGCCTCAAATTCGATTCGGATAATGTTGTTTCTTCGGTAACTTCTAACGCATTTGAATGATTTAATCTCAAATCGACCATATGCTCTGAAAATTAATGTGAAAAAAATCATTTTTTTTTTCGAAATAAAACGCAAAGTTTTACTTACCATCATTTGAGTTGGTTTCAAATTGATCAATAATTCGACTGATCGTGTCAATGTCATTGTCACTTGAATCGGTCAAATTAATACTTGCTGCTGCCTTTTGTAAATCATCGCCTTCATTTTCGAATGTGAACATTTCGTCCGATTCGTTGTTGTTGGCATTCTTTTTCGATGCAATTTCTTCGGCCGACGAATTATTATTTGATATTGAACTTTTATTTGATAGTTTTGTTGAGTTCGTATCAGCCGGACTATTATTATCATGATTTTCGTGACAATGATAAAATGAGTGGTGCGTTTGTTCTTTGCATCCGCCAATAGCTTCAATGAGTGGCGGTACAAAATTGTTCAAAAAGCAATTCAATCCAAAGCGAACAATCAAACGTAATAAGAAGCTGTGATGATAGAGTTTGATGGTTTTTCGACTCTTGAACGAAGTTGACATGCACCTCGAGGATGACGAATCAAAACTGTTATTCATAAAGCTAACACGCTCATCATTTTCGGCATCGTACAGCTTAAGAATTGGCTCCAACAAGAACTTTTGTGTTTTTTCCAGCCCCAGCGCCACAGCTAAATTATCGAATAAAAACCATGCAGCCAATATTGACGTATTTTCCGATTTCAGTAAATCAATTATGTGCGGTAAGACGAGTTCAACCACATCGAACTGTTCATATCCGTGCGGAACGAAAAGTCGTTCGATTTGAGCACCACATGCCATCACCTTGCACTCGGCAATTTTGCGCTTGTACAAAGTTCGTTGTTTTGATAATGTGCTGTTTTTCTTGCAGTCTGAGCTTCGATCACATTCAAAATATGTGTAAAGTTCCAGCAACTTATTGGCCGACTCATACTGATACAATGTCTTCAGCAGCGTATACACATTCAAATAGTCAAATGGAAATGGAAACAAGAAATTACTTAAAAATGGTTGTAGCATTTGATGTGCCGACAACTTTGGCATGCCAATATCGGTGATTGTTTGATTTGACGTTCCATCGCCCAAAGAAAACAACAATTTAATTGGATACTGAACGCATTTTGGTAACGCTTCAAATTCCATTTTCAGCACATTTTTACAGGCATCAATGCGATCGGCCAATTTTTGCATCGATCCAACACCCAATGGTCGGAGCTTATTTGCCAAAAATAATTCCACAATGATACAAGCGATCACTTGAAGTTCACGATGACGATGATTGCTAATTAATTGTTTGTAGTTTCGTGTGGAGCTTTGTACGACAAGATTTTTATGGTTTAGATTGTGCAGTCGTTTGGTGTCTTTCATGAGTTTCTCTTCAAAACAGTCGGAAAATATTTTATTCGTAAAGGCATTAATGCCCTCATCATTTGATATGCATGCGGTTTTGGCGGTTGTTGCTGCTGCTGGGGCGGACGATGTAGTCATGTCCACATTTGCACTTTTCACACTTTTATAGAATGTTTTCGATAGAAATACTTCCATATTTTCAACGGCATTTAGTGCCGCAATTGGATTGTAGTCTTTGGGCAGAATGATTTGGTTTTGTGATTTTTGTACGTTGGAATGTAAGCTGGTCGATCGTTCGATAGAAGCACCAGTTGTGGCATCTTCAGGAATATATTGCTGTTGTGTTCGCGTTTTCGACGATGAACGAGATACACGAAATGTTAAATCTTGAGTAGAATTACCACCGACCGATGTTGAATCACTTGTGTCATTATTATCATTTCGATATTTATTTGAAAGATCTTCGGTACTGCGTGACATGCGTTGACGCAACTCATTTTGAGTATATATTCTTGGTGGAGTTTTTGAAGTCCAAATGGTTTGATATTGTTTTGGGGGATGCGGATGATTGAATAGCTGTACAATGCCTCGTCTGCAAATATGCTGATGTTTATCTACTATCGATAGGTAAACATTCTTTGATTTGATTGCAGCGTTTCCAGACAGTTTAAAACTAAACGAAAAAAAGACATTTTTGTTCAAAAGTTACACATTGGACAGTGACGGAAAAATGTATTTACCCGAAATTCAAATCAATCCAATGATGAAGGCGCTCCGAAACAGTTTGGCTTTCAAGAGCTTCGCGATGTCTTGCAACGAAATCTTTGGAAGATAAAAAATATCGATTATTTTAAAAGTTTCTCGTTCAACTCTGATTAGGTTACCTTCTGGGCAACTGGACCAAGCTGGAATCTCTAAATCTGGCAAGTCTTCGTGTATGCTTTTGAAAACGAGTGGGTCGGAAAAAAATTCTGGGATGCATTCGTCTGGTGACCAATCGTATAGCCTCTGTATTGTTGCAGGATACTCGGCCGGCACCCAAATCGGACGCACATGCTTACAAAGCACCGACTTCGGTGTTCTTCTGGCCATATAAACCATATATGTAATTTCTGATAGCGCATCTGATACATGATGTGGAATCATATTTGCGGCTCCGCTTGGTGCAAACATCAAATCCAATTGGGTGTCACCTTTGTTTAGGCGATATTTCGATTTGGTTAAATCTCTCCAATTCATGCCATTTCGTGATATGAAGTCTGTAACCCATGGAAAAATGTGACTTTTTGATGGATCTCCTAAGCGACGACCCGACAAATTGTTTAAAATTGTCAAATAGCTAAAGTTGGAAATTTGGCCATAGCTCCACATTTCACAGTAATCTTTCAACGAATACGACAATTCATCCACTAGTCCAACTGTTGTGCTGGTACCCGTCGCCTGGACTGATGTTGTTGTCACCGTTGTTGTGGCTGATTTTTCATTAATATCTTCGTCAACACTTTGCAATATATTTAAATCGACCTGCGGAATAACTTGAATCCAGAGATTTTGTGTAACAAAAATGTCATCCAGACCGATGTTACCGAGTAATAGTCCACGATCATGTAACGTTTTCATCAAATGCCACAATTGATAGATTATAAACAATGGTTTATTATAAGATTTATCAATGATGGCTGGACTGTACGTGACACAATCGTTCAGTGTATTTTCCACAAAATTTCCGTAGACAAGTGCGAAATGTGTGTTCGTTTCGATTGCAGCTGTTATGGGATACAAATTTGGATGTGGTTCATAACGTCCATATGCTTCATTGGAACGTTTTTTATCCGACGAACGAATGTCATCCTTTTGATTGATTTTATCCGCTTTCATATGCAATACGTTACAGCCATAGGTTCGAACGATAGACTCAAGCAGCACTGTGTCATACGGCACCATGTTTACTGTATTTCGTTCACTTCGGTTGATTGTTTCTTTGAGTGGAACTTTGGCTCGTTGTCCTGAGTATTTGGCAAATGCATCTTTCCACAGATTACGATGATTTGACGCCGATATGTTTTGTAGTAATTGCGAGAAATTCAACACAAAATCCGTATCCGCATTTTCTTTTCGACAATTGGGCAGCGGCACAACTTTATGTGTGAATTTCTTGTAAGTCTATTCGGAGCGAATGGAAAATGGCTTAAAATCGAATCTGTATTTGTTTAAAAAAAAATAAACATTATAATTACCGTGATATATGCCAATGACCAATCTTGACCGATGCATGATTCGTTGTTTGGCCACTCGTCGAAACCGGGGTGTGTTGGAAACTTTGACACTGTAGTTCCTTGAGCCAAACATTTCAGCCAACTTTTATGAGCAACAACAATGAATCGATTCGGACGTTTTGTCTCTTTTATTTGCTTTCTCGGAATACCTAACTCTTGACACAATGCCTCCATATTCTCTTTGTACTCACTAAATCAACGAGAAGGATAGAGACAAATAAAAACCACGCAATTTCTTTATGATATAGCAAACAACATTATCAAATCAAATTCATATCAAATTAATGACGACTCACTCAAATATCTCACTGTGAGAATTACTCCAAGCGTTCATTTAAATTTTAAATATTACTTAAATGATATTTTATTATCAATCACTGAAATAATCAGTTCTATACTAAAGAACGATATTTATTGTGTTCACACCATTCAGTATGAATAATCGAACAACAATATTTAAAAAAAAAAAACGTGAAGGGGAATCCAATATTTTTTCATCACATATCATCAAATCACTTACTTTCCTATTTTCATTTATGACAGCTGACAGCCTAACAAGCTTGTGTGAGTTCTTTCAAACGGACAAGTTTCGTGTCTCATCGTTGCGTGGCGCTGACAAACAATAACAACAAAATTGCATTCATACACATATACATTATTGTATATATGCCGACGAAGGAGAGTCACTTTTTAATTCACAAATGAAAACAGCTGATTTTTGTACACTCTGCACATAATCCACTTTTTTAGCTAAATAAAATAGATTTTTTTTTCGAACTTTGGGTCATCGACACTGCTTTACATGCATATTTTTAATGATGCATTTTCAAACCAAATAATCCATTGAAAAAACTCATTTTGCTGTTACCAAATCATGTTTCTCCGATTCTCAAGCAATTTAATTTGTACTAGCACATATTTTCATGATGAATGTATCAAAGTTCAGTTTTCAATTTGAATATATTTTCATCATCATGTATCGACATTGCTCCCGGTTTACTTGGGCATTTCATGCAATAGTTTGCAATCCAAAATTGTCCGAAAAACACGTTTTTCAATAGAGATTGCATTCCAATAAACAATTTAAAGTCATGAAATCGATGCGGATATTGCATACATTGAAAGTTAATATCTTTGAATCGAATTTGAATAAATTGAGAATAATGCCTATAAATACCGCGCTGATATAAAATATAAAAACAAATAAATGGCACATATTGTGTGATTTAAGAAATAAAATCTGAGCTCAATGTTGATAACATCAAAGGAAGTTATTTCAACAGCCATTGTATATGTATCATTTGTTGCATTTTCCATTTTATCAACAACAAAATACGTGTAAATATTTCAATGACCTCTTTAACTTCGTTTTGTGCGGTGATTTGAATAAATGCAACCAAACAACAGCAGCAGCTGCGCACCGTATGACGTCAATATACTCTAAACGCAATATTCATCGAATATGTATTTGGTGTCGCACACATTTCTTTCTTCTTTCGTTATGTGTATTTGAAATGAAATTGTTTGCATCGTTGCTTCGACTGCGTTTCAAAATTAAAAGATTTTTATCACCAGTTCCGTTAGTTTTCAAATTCGTCGACGAAAATCGTCGCATGACTTTCTAATTGTGCGGATTGAAATGCTGGCTTTAACTAAACTTTCAATTTTATTCTTCTTGTCTGGCCATAGTTAAGATATGTAAATGGCTGTGGAAATTTAATCACTACGAGTTACTTAAACAGTAATTGAATAATGCCATGAAACACCATCAAATAACAAACAAAAAAAATGTGTTGATCTAGTAATTTTTTTTTCTCACTGCATCAAGACCTATTTTTTTCATCCTCGGTCGGCTGTTGTTGTTGCTGCACACACACTTCGTTTTATGGTAATTTATTATGTGATAATTGGCAGACTGACGATGCACGATTCAATCAACGTTCCACAAATAAATAATATTCAGTTGAACGAGTGGAAATTTACGACAGCCCAGAATCGATTGTTTGTAGATACGGATATAAATAATAGTATGCAAAAGAGAGAGAGAGAGAGAGAGAGAGAGAGAGAGAGAGAGAGAGAGAGACGCATGGCAGCAACATAAACAAATTCTTTTTAGCACTCTATTAATTATATTATTCGCATTTGCTGTGATCGCTGGATTCCCTTTTATTTATCTTAAGAAGCAATAAGACCTCTTACGAGTCCTTATAAGCTCAAATAAAAAATATTATTATGGTATGACACATGCTACATCTTTTAATATCATTATTTTTTAATAGATACACTCTATATTCTTTCTGGTGTGCTTTTTGTCGAATTTAAGTGTCATATGTTCAATGTATAAATGTTATTCATTTTATGTTCGGGAAAGGAAAAAAACTCATTTTTTAGTATTACATTAATAAATGTTAGTAACTTTCACATTTTTCTGTTGAAATCTTCAAACACCAAACTGTGATATTATAACCTAGATGTCAAAACTGTTCAAACAAACATAGTCCCTGTCTAAATTGGTTTTATTCACATGTCAATGGATTCAACTGTACAATTGGTTTGTTATTTAGATTCAATGTTTTGGTTCATATTAAATGCAAGTAATTCCCAACCAAAAAAATCGTACTTTACACCAAAACATCACAGACATTTGCCAAACAATTTATGCAAACATTTTGACTCATGTTAAATATGAACCCTCTGGGGTTCACAATGCATTGTATTCCGAATGTAAGTTCAATAAATTTTCCATCGAATAAATTCAAAAGACAAAAGACAATATAAAATAACATGTATGCACAAGTACCGTGTTTTTTGCAAGCGCAATGACCATAAGATCCGAAGAAAGATGTCATAAATATTATCGATATTGGAGAAAACGGCGATCTTTCAATGAAAAGGTCTTATACCTTTGGTATAAACTCGTCATTGCATCTTTGTATATTAAGCGGCACAAAACTGATAAAAAAAACTAAAGCGCTAGACACTCGACGTATTATTTGTTCGTTCGTTCGTTCAACGCATGAAACGGCACGCTTAAGACAACGCCGCACCGAATGCCATTACACAGAGAGTACAAAAAGACATCGCAACGTATAACATGAGGTCTTGTTTTGTGTTACTTATGTTCATGAAGCGTTTCATGCGTTTCGCTTTCCATGTACGTACATTGCTATTTGCGAACGGATCCAGCTCTCATCTTACTTGTTGATCGCGTCTGCGATTCGTATGTATAGTAGCCACAGCAACTGTCTGTATATACAATGCCGTATCATGTTCATTTGGTTCAGTCGTGAGTAATTCATTCATCGAAATCGGACGTCTGTTATGTGCTAAAATCAGAAGTAGTGCAGTTCTTCAAAACGTCAAACAAATATTGTAGAGAGCAAAGAAAAAACAACGAGAAAAATTTCAAATTCATTTCGATAAAATTATGTTATTTGCTTTAATTGGGAGGGAGTTCGACTACTACTGAACATTTCAAGTGCAAACAATAAAAATAGCAGTGAAACAAAAAACACTACCAGAAAACAAAATAGGAACAACGCCACTAGAATTATGTTTAGTTTTTTTTTGTTTAATGTGCAACTCGAATCGAACAAGGAAACAAAAAACAACATTAATCGTATACAACTAGTATAGATGCTGACTGTTGTGAACTTCGAAATCGCTCTTAATATTTCCTTTCAAATCGAATGATTTATATGTCGGATCACTTCAAAAAATAAATCCAATCAAACAAGAAACTGTGCGATTCGATGTTTCACGAATTAAAACAATAATCGTTTAGCAAAAATTATTACAAAGTGCTACAGGCAAATGCGTGTGAATGTAAACAATATTTTCATTGAAATTTGTGACTTGTTAATGCACAGTGAATAGTGTGTCACTTTTTATTTTAACATCGCATCAACTGTGGATAATGACTACCACTTTCATTGATCGTCCGATGGCTTGGAAGTCCAATCAACGCTTGAAATTCACACAGAACGACTGTATCAACTTGAAAACATTGTGGAAAATGCTCATTTTAAATGATAACCATGAAAAAGAAGACATCAAAAGCAACGATGTGAGTTTTTGTTTGTATTTTTTTTTATAATACTGCTTATTAATTCATTATAATGTCGAATGGAGTCAAAATTAACGAGAGAGAGAGAGAGAGAGAGAGAGAGAGAGAGAGAGAATAAAAAAGTCGAATCGAATTGTTTAATAGGCATGTTGTTATTGAAGACCAAAGTGAATACAAAAATTATGCACTGAAAAAACGACATTTGGAAGCTAAGCGATTTAGAAATCGAAATGCGTGCATTTGCGTCATTCGGAGGAATTTATTTCACATTTGAAACTCAATTGGATTACATATTCTAAATAGTTGCATACCAAATCCATGTATAGAATTATGGCTCATGAATAATTCCATTGCGATCCAATCCATACAATTTAGTAATGATTGCTGAACCCATCATTTATTTCCCATGATATTTTGTATTACGCACTGTGCCATATTTTAACTTATATTATGTTGCCGGAACAGATCCACATATTTCGGTGGTTAAATTTCTTTTTCTGTTTCATTTACATTGAAACCATTTTTTAAAAAGGTTACATTGACGTCATTTCACCGTTGGTACCGGAAAGAAGCGCTCTCAAGAGAAAAACCACAGAAGAGCAATCATAAAAAAAAGAAAAACCTACTTTTTTAATCTCACTTGTTGTACACCAAAGCGAGATTCTACAATGTGGAAGCATTGAATGATTTATAACATTGACAGCAATAAAATATAAACAGGAACTACTATTCACAATTAATTTATATCTGCGTTTTTATACATGAGCATTGTTGTAGTGTTTTTGCATCGAAACACATCAGTCGCAGTCAATTTTTCGATTTATTATTTTTCTTTACCTTTATTTGCACATGTTACACTTTACTTCGCAATTTTCATCAAATTAAACATGCATGATTGGCTGCTTAAAGAGCAGTCACGATTTGCTGACATTCACATGTCAATTGATGATTGATCAATCGCAAGCTTTTTTCGCAAAAATTTTGTAAAAACAATCAAAAACTTGACATTGTATAACAAAAGTTCGTATAATTTGACAAACAAAATGCATTCCGTTGAGAAACTGTTGAAATAAAAACTGCGACAGTTTTTATATTGATAACAGAGCACTCATCTGATGAGTGGTTTTTGTAAAATAAATTTACAAAGTTTTAATCGCTTTAAATTAAAAAAAAAATATACATATAATTGATTTTAATAAATTACCTAAATTACAAAATGTAGAATTTATTACATTGCTGCTTGAGATTATCGATTTTTTTTTTGTCATTAAAAGGTATGTTGCATGAATGAGCTCGTCTCTCGAGCAAATTGTGCTTTTCATGTCGCCGCTGATAATGGATATGTTATAAATTTAAAACGATCGCTACTCAAACGTGTTTGAATGATCTGTGACGTATGTGACACGCTTGCATGAATAAATGTCGACAAAAAATCGCATGGTTTTACATTTTGTGTCTTACTTAATGGGACGCTTAAATTATGATCAGCGCATGATTTTCGTTCTTGACCTCGTCAAATTCATTGATGATGTTTCCATATTGATATCATTTATTCAGTTGATGTTCGACAAAATGTAACGATGTTATTTTATTTTTAATTAACGGGAGTGGGAATTTCGAAAGAGAGTAAGCTTTCTACAATAAAACTGCGTCTATCATCGTAACCAATGATTAATTAAATAAACATCCATAATTCCATATGTTATGAGAGCAGATTGTTTAAAAAGAGCAAGGTAAAATGCAGCAAAATGAATGGATTTTTTTTTAACTTAAAGGCTACTCGAATTGCGTCATCGATAAATTTATTTTTTGTGTTCAATAACACACAAAAGCTGAAATGAATCATAAAACAGTATTTTTTTTTTAAATAAAAACTCAAGCCGTTATTTGCAGACAAATTGGCGATTCGGTATATAGTTTGATACATATTCAGATTTACAGAAAGCAAATGAATACAAAATTTAATTATCGACAATTCAACGTGCGGAAATTACCACAAGTCGACTTATATTATTCTGAAAAAAAATATTCCACGTTAATGCTTATTAAATGGTGAGATGGATCAATCACGATTTGAAGTATTTCCACAGTTTTTGGAATTTTTTTGAAAAAGATATGAACGCGTGACTTGGTCATTTTCATTGAAATGTAACACGTCTCTAAAACACTTTCGACACATTAATTATATCTGTATGGATAATTTGTATTGTTTGCATTGCTAAACGACAAACATTTTCAGCACGTTCGTTTTATTGAGATGTAAACATCACATTGACATCATTTGCATACTATTCCACAGTTACCTTCGATGGTATTTTTCTTTACCAAATTCTTGAACAAAGCAAAAATTCTAAATTTCATCGTTCCCTGTGTGTTATTAAACCCCTTTGTGAATCAGATCTTGATGAAATTCTTATTAGAATTTTATTATTCGAAAAATGGATTATCTCTTTGTTAATTATCATTTTAATATGCGAAAATGTCGATGCCATATTGAGATGATTGACATTTTCTCTAATACGCATGTGAAGCCCTTTAAGCACATTTTCATCATTCATATCATATAAACGTATCATATATTCGTATGATTTATTCATTTCAATTTGTTTAACCGGTTTCAAAAAATATTAATGGATGCACACGCCAATAGTGTCAGATTGAAAATATTGCGTGGTGTTTAAAAAAAACTTATGACCACGTCCAAGTATACCACATTGTCATTTGACGTATTCTATTACTTTTCCACACACACCTAGTGTGTAAGGTAAAGTATTGGAATCGGTCGAAAAATTAACACCCATAAAAAATGTGTTTTCTGGGTGTTTTTGAGGCCCGGGAACACGAATCTAGCGTTTTTTTGATGTCCAAATGTATGTGCGTACCCTGTACGCTGTACGCAAAAATTTGTTAACACGATAACTTTCAAACAAGAAAAGTAATTCAAAATCTGACTTCACAGGATGATTGGGGGTGCCGAGGAATAGAAACTATTAGATTTTGAGCGACTTTGGTTGATAGAGTAGAGTGTCATGTCTGGTGTGATGCCCATGGCCATCCATGGGGAAGTTCTAGAAACCAGGCTAAATCCTGAACGTCCACCAATCAGCCAAATTCCACCGGATTTGGATTTCAGGCCAAAAAGTAGTTGGCTGTATGGTGTTCACTTTGTGCCGATTTCCCATCGGAAATGCGAGAAAAATCGACCGGAAGTTTTTTTGTGATTTTGACTGCCTTTCTGCTGTTTTTCGTGTTTCAGTAGTATTTGCTTCTAGTAACACCAATCGAAATATACTGATGAGATACTATACTAATAACTATACTAATAAGATACATGCATCTTATTAGTCTTCTGACTAGTAACATTCTAATAACTATACTTATTACTATACTTATTACACTAATAAGATGACATCTTATTACCAGTTATTAGAAATTATTAGTAATAAGTAATAACTATCTTACTGGTCTGATGTTATTAGTCCCAACTGTACGTAATAAATGCATATTGTGGATCACAGTGCGGAAAAGTTCATCTTACGGATGTAAGACATTTTATTTTCTATTCAAAAGATTTATTTTATTTAAAAAAACATCCTATATTCGTCGATTATCGCCTTTATTCGATAATTTTCAGTGTATTTCAGTATACTGTGTTCCTTATGTAAATTATTTATAAGTTATTCAATTTATTCGGTTTATGAGACGGTTTAAGTCGATTTGCTCAATTTTACCTCGGCTCTTTTATTCATTTTCCACATTTTTGCATGAAAATGAGTGCAAAAATAAACATTTGTGCAACATTACATTTACGTCATTCGACATGACGTACGGATAAGATGTCTGCACGCAACACCTCACTTACTTAAACCAAACCATGCGAAAAAAGAGCTGAAATTTCATTATTGAACGGAGACAAAAAAAAAGCATGAAAAGCTATATGCCATAAGAGGCCACATTGAAGCAAAGATGACACCAATTTGGCTTTCATTTCGTCGCGTTGAAATAAGCGAACAGAAAAAACACACATACAAATTAATGAGTCGTATGTTCATGTAAGCGAATCAGATTTATAGATAATTTTTTCATGTTTGCAAAAACCAAAGCAATTTTTATGTTTTGCATTTGAACGAATCGACTAAAAATTTGCTGAAACGAATTTCTGTATATGCTGTGCGTATAATTGCAATAAAAAATCGGCATGTGAAAAATTAATTGTCTTTCAAAGCGGCGTGAATTTCTTCCATTTGGTGTATCAATGCAATTAAGAAATGATTTTAAATCGACTCGCCGTTAATTTGCACTAATACCAGGATCTCGTAATGAGATACAAATGGATTCATTTGGATTGGCATGCAAGCGTATCTTCGGACTTTGGCTTACATTTGCAAACGAAATCAAGGAACATCACAATAATAGGTGCTTTTGAAATGCACAATGAAAAGATAAAATTGATAGCCTCTCTTGAAAATCACTCAAAAAACCAAGCACAATTATAAAACGATAACACGAAAGTCTAACAATTGATGAATAAATTGCAAGGCTACCAATAAATAAAAGCAAAACGATTAAATTTCATCATGCCACTTTGAACAATTGTTATTTTGTTGAATGGCCTTTGAAAAAGAATCAGCCGCCTGAATGAATTTCATACAAAAAATAGTGTAATCATTTATATATCCACCACTCAAACGCAATCAATCCTTCTTTAATTCACTTAATTTTCATTCAAACGTATGATAATGCGAATATTATTGTCCAGTTTAGTAGTGTTCTTATTGAGCACAAGCATGACGTAGGTTTTCTGCCTTTGGACCCCGATCAAATTTTATGAAAAAGGCCCATATATATATCAAAGTTTTGATCATTAGATGAAGCACATGATATGCGCAAAAAATTGAAATGTCGGTTTCAGATCGCTTGGTAAATTTTGATTTTGTCATTGCCTTTAACCGATCTGTTTTTATTTCAATGTTGCAAAATGAGTCCTCTTTGCAGATACTCTTCGTTTTTTATAACAACTGAAAAGATTAACCTCAATGAACGTTCAACTATTTCCTATGCGTAATTAGCGTTCTGAAACATGTTTCACTAATTATATACCCACAACACACCGCTTTGACGTCGAATTAATCCGAAAAAATATGAGTACCAATCTATTTTTTTTTCAGCGCAGTTAAGAATTGATCGAACGAAAATCTAGTGAGCTAAATAAAATACAATGAAAAAAAAACACACAATAAACATATACATTATGGGTTATTGCTCGCAAACATACACATCCATACACGTGTCGAAGTGCTTTGCGAAAATCATAATATGCTTGGCACTTATTCAGATTATTATGCACACCAGCTCTCAGACGTAAATCTGGATTTTAATACAACGATTAATCGATTTATTCAACTTGTTTGGTGTAATTGTGCTCAGTAGTCAAGCGGCAGTAGAAGCAAACTGTACATGTCATATTGATTTTATTATTCTACTCTTCGTCATCGAGTAAATTACTCGTAGGTACTCTCGCACAGACACAAACTGTTGTCATAATCTAGAATAAACTAATACTTGGCACAAATTCCGTACAAAGTGAACAACCAAAAATATGGTGATTTTCTTACAACATTTAATTTCTAAACAGATCAGTTCTAATTATACTCGATCAATTTAGGAAATGAATGACGCGATCAAACAAATCGTTTATTAATCATAATTAAAAGTAATACACAACTAAATCTTTCGAGTCACAATGGGACGATCAGTAAATATGTAGATTACTAATTTTCTTGTATTGACTTTTTTTCTTGCAGAACTTTGGACTAATTGCGCACACAGTAAATGAGGGGAATTCAGAAAATAATATGTCATTATTAAAATTCTTCGCAATTGTAAGTATTGATTGTAAAATTGTATCATCTGAAAAAAAAAACCGTTTTGCAAGATCAGCTTGAGTAACTAGTCTTGCATGGTATACTAGAATCACAGGCTATAGAAGTCATTTCTGCGTTTCAACTGAAACACATATGGCAAAAAAAATCTACACACATGTATGGGTCATACACACTTGCCTAGCAAAAAAAAAAAAGATTCGAGAACGAAGCAGATAAAACATAATACCAAAACTAGCATAATTATAAATTGTGAACAAGTAGAATGATTTGATCTTTACTGTTTTATAATTTATTTCGTTACAAGCTTTTGTCTTCTTCGACAATAGAACATAAAGTAGTCATTATTCTCACTTCCATCATGATTCGTACAATCGGATATATAATGGCATATAGCAACAGTGGTGTTTTTTCACCACAAATTCAAAAAAAATCGTCTTTTTTCTGAAATCGACGTAATTCGTTCTTTTTTTCTTGTCAAAAGCGAGATGTGCTTTGCGATGTAATTTAAATACGTGAATATCTTTCGACTAATTCGTATTTCTCTTAATGAACAATTCAGATAGAAAAAAAAGTAATAGGCTAACCGTAAGCATTTTGATTGACACTATCATTTCTATCGCATTTTGCCACGGCTATGAAACAACTGACGTCAATTCGATAACATGTTTTTTTGTCTTAAATCTTAAAATTGATTATTTTGTACGTTTTTGCAATCTTTTGATTTATATGAATAAACAATTGCCCTACGGAGGCGTTCATCATGCAATAAATCTTTCACGTGTTACGAAATGATCACGTTGTAACCAGCCCAATTATTCATATTTAATTGTGGTTACAATTAAGATGCACGCTTAAAATGATGTAGGCGTAATATTCAACTGATAAAATTCGTTAACTAAAAACTGAATTACAGAAGCTAGTATGGTCCATTAGTGGCCACTTCAAATGATCATTTTTTTTTTCTTCAAATTAACGAAAAATGTATTGTGCTATTGCTACAAAGGAAATGATAATTTGTGCAGCCACATTGAATATTGAATAACCTCTGAGTAGGTCATCAGGTCAACATCATTTTGTTTATACGCACCCATACGTATACGTATAATATGAAGTTGAACGTTGTCCGGTTGAAGTAAATTGTGAAGTTATTCGACCTTTGTTTCCAAAGATCCGAGTCATGTCGTCAATCCATTTACTTGAATTCAAGACCTGTTGTGGTTGAACGTTACTTTTTTTTTGTTGGTCAAAAATCGAAACAATTGTAATAGAGTATATAAAAGGAAGCCGCAGTCGGTCTCTGCGACAGCGGTAAATAGAGACGTAAACCGTATGTGTCATTGATCGTATGAATGGCAAAAAAACTAACCTAACCACAAATGCCGAGAAAAAGAAATCCCTGAATCATTAGACGGCAATATTAACCATGACCAAAAATGAATTAAGACAATAAAAAAAATGAGCTGAATCGCTTGCCGAGTGAAATTTAGAATATCTATGCGCATATCAATTAGTCAGTTAGTCAGAAGTTGAATAATAATTAGAGCAGAAACGATCTGCCTACGTGACTAACAACACGGTGGTCACTTGTATGAATGAGATCTACACAGATTTCCTTTGGAATTCTGTCTCATATGAAGGTGTCTCGATGCAAGCGAATCAGCATCCATTGTCGGCAAATCATAAAACCGATTTTTTTATTTTTGGAAGGGAGGGAGTGTGTGGAAGTCGATAGCTTATGAAAAAAAAACACATGGCTGGCGTTTTAATTAAGTGAATATACTGTCATAACACCGAATCAAAAGCAATCCCATCCTCATTATATTTATTTAGTTTCAATAAAAAACCAGAATTTAATACACAAGCACAAATAAATTATGCACGGTTGGTGTTTGTTGCAGTCATCAATTGACGTCACACACATTTTCGATCACAATACGTGCTCTGTCTCTCCATTTTTGATCGAATTGAATATAAACATAAAAAAAGGGAAACAAAACAAGACTGTAACCGTAAAGCTGTGAAAGAGTGAGACTGGACAAGAGAAATTCAAAAGAGCAGAAATAGTACATTAGAGAGAGAGAGAGAGAGAGAGAGAGAGAGAGAGAGAGAGAGAGAGAATGAACGTTTTACAAATCTGTCGACGAACAAATGCAAACGAAATCGTAATATCGTTACAACAATATGCTAATAGAAGCAGAACCGCATAAACGTCTCTGCGTCGCTGATAAGAAACATTTAGAATGACTGAACGATAAATAAAACTTGCCTTTCGTTCCGATCTTCTCCTTGTGCTGAAATAAATGATTAAATATATTTTTTTATCTTTTCTTTAAATTCAAATGTTGATTTTTTTTTACTATTTTCCTTCTTTCAGAACGCATTGGAATTAAGTGCGCCAGCCTCACCAGTATTACTGCAACAACAACAAAAAACCATACCATCCGGGTGGCTTCAATTAGCTGGTCATCCAGAAAGGTACAATTTAAAATTGAATTATACATTGAAATCGTCGTTGATAATTGTTTGTTTTGCAATCGTGCACTTTTTCATCGACTCAGCAATGGAAAAATTCGATACACATACAATAACAAAGAAAGAAGAAAAAAACGCGATTTTTTCGTATTGAAACAAGATAAATCAATCAGAGTACTTGTTGTGAGTTAAAATCTAGTTTCAACGATGCACCATAAAAAAACGCAATTTCAAAAGAACTGTACAGATCTCACAACCTGCTGAGAAAAAGTAACCATGACTACTTGCATGCACAATTCAATGGTTAAAATTTATTTTTGTTTAAATATAAACACCAACGTAATTGAATTCTCTTTCAAAATCTTGTCGTTCACAAAATTAATTTTGATAGCATGATATTTGCCTTTGAATTGTCTGATACGTAATTGTCATGTATACTGTTTTTTCCCCTTAAAACAAACAATTACTTTTCAAAATGTATGATGATTTAAACAAGAAAATTGAAAAAAAAAATTCGAATTGGACAAGCATGGAAGTTATTAAAAAATTGATATACAGCTTTACAATGGCGCATTTACATCGAGTATAGGAAGTTGTTTTTATTTAACCGTTTTCATTGAATGTTATCTTGGTGTATCTGCAACAGATAAAAAGAGAAGCATTTTAATCAATATTTCATATCGTAGGCGAACACATGTTGTTTCAAGGAATGTAAGAAAATTAAGAAAAAGATGACAACTACAATGACTTAAAAAAAAAAAAAACAGTAAAATAAAAATGAATCAATAAAAGAAAAGAAAGTTCAGTGTCGTTTACACAGACATAATTCAGTTAATTGCAGCACAAGGCAGAGCAAAAACGGTTTTGATCAACAATAAAATCGAATATTAACCGTCATTCTCGTACCTTTGTAAAAATACAAATGCGAGGAATTTAAGCTTCAACACTTTAAATTAAATACAAATCAATCCGTTTTAAAGATTATATACATTGTGATGTTTTTCATTGATTTCTATCCCTCTCTTTCTGTTTTTCTGTCTCTCTCTGATCTTATTCACCAATATAAATAAATTCGTACAAAAGACTGTCTCGATCAAGAAAAGATATATATTTTTTTGCATAAAATTGTGCGTCATATGAATAAATTTAAAATATTTAATAATTAAATCTACGTATAAAAAATAGTCGTCACAGCCGCTTAGTCGACTTCAAAAAAAAGAAAAGAAGAACGATTCAACATGCATACGTATATACTCAGACAATTTACCGAATAGATTTTTATTTATGTTATGTAAAATTCAATATGTATAGTGTTCGGAGAGACGTTCACAAATACTGATATCAAGAAAAATTACTATTTATAAACAAGAGTGTCGCCTGAGTAAGGAAATCGCATATATGTTTAATGAACACGATACTCTAGCCCAGGAATATTATGATTACTACGACGCTTTTATTGCATTACGATTTATACAATCCGTGCGCGCGGGCACACACGAGGAGATTAGAAATTCATTGTTGTCATCATTATTTTCAGATGATGTACCAAATTGTAAATGCAAAGTTGTAAATTTGCGATTCAAATAGCAAACGCGTTGCAATTCAACAAAACCGCACAATAAACCCAAGCGTACGTAAGCACATGGTTTTCTTTCGTTTTACAATTAGTATGCTGATCTGATTAACTGTTGCAAAAATCAGATTAAAGAATATTTATGCGATCGACCAGGCAATAGAAACTAAACACAAACACACACATACACACACGTTGGCATCATCATGTTGATGTCAAGAGGCAAAACAAGATAATTGCATTGCATTCAATTCGAGCAACCGGATGAAAACAATAAAAAACACAACAACAAATAATAATAAAATAAACATTCAATGGCGTACTTTCTCTGAATTCGTCAAGCAATATTTATATACTCTTCTTTTATAAAAATTATTTTTTCGCTAAATATAGCATAGTCATGCGACAGCAAACGATCAAAATAGACGAGAATAAAAAAGTGTTCAATGAAATCGATTGATTGTAAGTGGTGGAGAGATTAATCCATGTTGCTAATGAATATGGAAAAGTGCGCACAACGCACATACATCTTCACAACACAATCAGATCGATTGTGTAAATGAACTCATCCAATGTGCGTCAATCAAATGATGTGTATTTTTATTCTTCTTATTTTTTTTTGTCATTGTGGCTCTGGTGCCATTCTTTCACTATCACAGTTTTCGTCAAAACATACGGGCCAAAATAAATATTCACACTTTGGAATTTGAGGTTGGAATGTTTGAATAATGACTGTATCCCATATACCAATTTATTAGCACATCGATTTTATTCGGTTAAACAAAACATTAAAACGTAGAAAAAAACATTCACGAAAATATGCCAATTTCAATCGAAAAACGATGAATTCGACAAAATAACTTGAAACGAAACAGAAAAAAAACAGTGCGCACGAACTCTGAAACAAACAATTATATTTTGATTGAAAATAATATACTTTTTGCTCATCAAATTATATCTGCTTTGTTTATTTTTTAGTATTGAACTCTCAGCAAATGGAACGGTTCGAAAGCGTATATCCGGCATTGATGATTCTGAAGCGATTGCATACCGTGGCATTAGCAAAGATTCACATGCATCAAAAATCGTGCCAAGATTTTTAGGCGTAACAGAATCAAATGGCGAAACTTATTTGGAACTTCAAGATTTGCTGCACGGTTTCAAAGATCCAGCTGTAATGGATATCAAAATGGGGCGTCGCACATTTCTTGAGTCCGAAGTGACAAATACGAAGCTTCGTAGCGATTTGTATAAGAAAATGATTTCCGTAGCACCGAATGAGCCCACCGATGAGGAGCATGCCCGCGGCTCAATCACAAAGCTCCGTTATATGCTATTTCGAGAACAAATGTCTAGCTCGAGTTCAAAGGGTTTTCGCATTGAAGCGCTTCGCATGAAAGGTTCATCCCCCATCACCGATCTCAAAACTGTCAAAAGCGACACCGAAGTATATGAAACGATTGCACAATTTTTATGCGACAAAAGACATTTAACGAAGGACCTATTAGAACGACTCAAGCAAATTCGCCAATACATTGAACAATCGAAATTCTTTCAACGTCACGAAATTGTTGGCAGCAGTATATTCATTGTCTACGATGAAGATCACATTGGTGCTTGGCTCATTGATTTTGCCAAATCACGGCAACTTGATGAAAACATTAAAATTGATCATCGACGGAATTGGATTCCGGGTAATTGTGAAGAAGGTCTTCTGTACGGTGTTGATCAACTGATAAATATCCTCGTTGATATCATAGCAGATCAACCAAATTCCGCGTTACCCATTAAACGCCGAAGTTTACGAGAAAAATATTTACACATTTCAAAGTAAAACAATGGAAGAAGCTTATAGAAAGAGGTTAATTAAGATAACGAAATACAAACGCCCAAGGACGGGCAAGATAATAATTTTTGTTTATTATTGACACACTGATTGTTCTTCTATAAATTTTCACGATAAAGAGTAAAACACAAAATGTGTCACCACGAATGAAGACTTTTTTTTTTCATCCAGAAGATTGTAATTCTAATTCATTCATGAAATATTATCTATTAATCACTGTTGTTTAATCAAATATTTTTAATTTGAATTGTTATTAGGTTTTCTTTTTTTAAAAAGATTCTCAAAACATTCGTAGAAAATATATAAGATTAGAATAGTGTTGTGAATTCTAATGTTCTCGAAAGAATTGTGTTGAATTCCTAGGGAAATTAAATCAATTTCTATAAAATCGGAACTCTAATTGAATGTTCCAAACAAACTTGAGACTGATACATCGTAAAGCTTAGAATATCTAAAAATGTAACTTTTATATCGTATTCCATGATTTGTAAACACATAAACATAAAAAGAAACTATTGGCAAAATCTATTCTCGAGCTTTTCATTTCTCTTTTATTAAAAGAGTTTGGTATTTGCATTTTTTATTGACAAGCTGGTAATAAGCTATCGTAAGTACACTTGATGAAATTCGATTAAATTTATTTTTAGGTTCACAAATGTTGACATTAACTTTTAGCAAACACAATATAACTACATTATGAGATTGTATCAATCGTAATCATTTTTTACTTGTTACTAAATTGTATTCGTCTTTTTTCAACCAGTTTTGGTCTCTTTTTATATAGATATTATAGTTTCTTCTTCTTTTTGATTTTTCTTCTACTCATGGAACGACAATATTTTGGATAGATAAATAGTTGACACCAGAATAATATTCATCAGGCATTTTGACGAGTGAAAGCTATTTTTGGGCGACTGAACACTGTTTTAATTTTTTTGCTTCACTTTATTGTAAGAAATCTAAATCTGTGAAATCAGACCTACTTTTAGAGGTAAAAAATGCTCGAGATGTAGCGATGAAAACGAGAATATTTATGTAATATTCTAAGCTTGGATATTTTGTTTTCCACTGTACATTGGTAAGACATCTTAAAGAAAACTGGACCACTTTAAGATAATAATCTCAATTTTTAGACATGCTTGAATTGTTTTTGCAACCCTCTCTTGATTTCATAGTAAAATCATTTTAAAAAGTTGAGAAATCATTAAATAATGTTTTCAAATTTGATGCAAGCTTGGTTTTCTCGATGATTAAAGGCATATTCAATCCTTTTTGCAACTTGGAAACACAATTTCTAAAAAACATGAGAAAATTCATGCCACCGCAGAAACGGTAGATACTTGTGTGAAAAATTAAATATTTCATTTATAAATAAGTACGAAACCGATGCATAATTTCAGGCGTTATTTGAATTTCGGTTAATTTAATAAAATTTCGTTCAAAAAAGAATACGGAGTGCGGCAGGAGAGCGCCCATTCAAAAAGTATATTTTGAATAATTACGATTTGAAACAAACACACCGAAGCGACCAGAGTTAAGAATGAAAATCATATTCCGAATTTGAAAATAGACATATGTATATATGGATTTTTTGTCAAAAGCAAATTCATTGTTTCGTCCTTATTCACTTCATCAGCGTTCTAACTTCTGTATATATTCGTTTTTGAATCAAAGTCTTAAGTAAATCCAAAAGTGGCTGGTAGTTTTCTACGCAAGAACAGCTTTTTATAAATTGTTTCACCGGTCACTGTTTGCTCCAAAAAATCAAATCAATTTGCACAAATTTAATTAATTCCAATCGTTTTAAATTTTATGGTATAAACGTTATAAAATCAAAAGTTCAAAGATTGAATGTGGTTGCGTGCTGCTATTTTCACTACTTCCTCATTTCAGAAATTATTATTTGTGTTACAATGTCATCGTCTGACTATATCTCTCCTTATCACCGTTTAAGTTGTTATCAAATCAAAATATTCCGTTCGGTTTGATATCTATCGATAAAATTGATTATCAATCGGTTGCTCATTTCATTGGGAATGCATTTCAGAAAGAAGGTATGACCATACGATTCTGATATATTTGTAATCAATAATAAAGCGATCGATGGCGTATATGTCAAGTAATACGGTGTTTTTATGAATGTGGTTCGTTTTGTTTTGACTTTAGAATTTCAAGACAGTCAAACGTCAATAATTAGCGCAATCAAGTGGTCATTAAATTATATTGTAAAAAAATTTGGTACAATGTTTGCAAAAAGCCGAAGCTGTATCCGTTCCGAATACGAGCCCATTGATAAGATTACAGGGACAAAAGGTATAATTTTCGTTATTGAGCCCACATGATCTTTTTTTTTTTGGCAAATTGAAGCTTGATTATCATCGATAATACACATTTAGCAAACAGTTGTAACGTAAATCATTGACCTTAATGGGCGAATGTGTAAAAACATTGAAGGAGGGGAATAAACTGTGGGTTGGCACCATGCTCGTGGTCTTTCCAATAGAAATGTGGCTTCTATAAAAAAAAATACAGAACAAGCTGACTGTCAGGTTTTGTCGTTTTTTATACGATAATTTCATCCAAAAAATGAATAAAATAATTTTGAACAAAATGGTTATGAGCAATAATTTATGAAACTCGCCTAATTCAGGTTTAGTTTTTTTGAAACGAAGAGAATCATCCAGACAGTTTTATTTTATTTTATTTTGATATTAATTCCTGTTTTTTAGGAGATTTTATTTTTAAAAAAAACGAATACTATCCTCATAATTGTGTGTGTGGATTGAATGCATAATAAAATAATTTAAATCAACGAAGCAGTTCACGAAGTTACAATTTTATCTTGTATTGTTATTATCCGTAAAACATATTGCCGAGGGAATATTTGATGTAGCGTAATAATAATTTTCAGCACAGTTTTCAGTCGATCGTTAAGGTGAACAGTTGTCAGTGCAATACGATCTTTCGTTCCCGAGCGATTGTATCTCTCTCAATCGCATCGTTCCGATTTTAAGTCAATTACGACTCATCGGATTTGTTTGTTATATTTTATTAAAAGTGAAATCTGAATAAATTTACGAAGTCGAAAACATGTGTGAATTTTTAATAAAATTTTAAGACAATTTAATTCGAACAAATCTATTTTAATTTGTGATACTTTCGTTAACTTTAAGTGAATTTAGTAATAAAAAAACTAATTAGAGAAAATGGTTTCGACATCTCTACAACAACTCATCACGCGATGTACGTGATTTCTCCATATCAATACACATTTTACTCAGAATCGATCATAACAAGTCTATTTCATTCTTTTTATATTTAAAAAATTCAAAGAAAAAGTTGGGAATTTTTGGTAATATTTTGCAAAGTAGCTTTTTTATCTGTTTGATCAACTGGTTCTTGAATCGATTTTTCGATTCAGCGGCATTGCATTCACTTATCGACGGGGTGACCCGTTCATCACGTCATTTGTGCTTCAGAATTTATTTATTGGTCCTTTGTTAAAATGATCATAAACAATGAAATCATTTGATATAAATTGACACTTGACGACAAACAAAAAAGAATAAATGGAATAGCCATCAAATAAATTTATATCGAGACAAAAGCGGCAACATAAATCTAATATGAAATTCTAAGAAGAAAAAAATTGTTATATTCATCATAGTTAGGTTTAAATACATTTTATCGACGTTTTGAGATGTTAAACTCTAGCAATTTAAATATGGAATGAATGCACATCGGAAACTGAAACACTAAACGTCTGACGATATCAAGGTTAATTTGAATAGTTGGAAAATAGTGAAAATGATAACATTAAATTTTGTTCACTATTTTTTTTTCATCTCACTGAACAATGGAGATACCGAGAATTTGAAAACAATCGATGACCGCTAAATTTACTTTTCCATTGCGTTGTACTATGATCAGTACGCACACTCAAGCAAAAAGTAAACAATTGCGCATGCAATCCGTGAATATTTCAATCTCAGACAATCATTCAAATTGTGAAAACCTATTGAATACGCAAAATTCCCTGAGCCCCGGCCATAAGCTATATTTTCACTGTATGCACCCGTACGTTACGAAATATTGTGTTCTGTGAGATTCTCAGTTACGATGAACGTGCACTTGCACATTGAAAATTCAAGTTATTGGGAAAAATTGCTGTAGTCGTGATTCCAAAAAAAAAAAAATTATCAAAATTGTTTGCAAAAAGAAGGTGGCATGTACAAATAAACGGAACTGTGTGCGTAATTTTAAGCTATTGATTGTTTCAGTAAAAAAATTCACATTGGAGAATCGTGCGCACACTGTTACCAAATTGAAAAATATTTAAATCAATACATCTGCTTAGTGTGCATTCACGTGTACCTTATATGAAAATAAAACAGCTTTTTCTAGAGACAGACCGAGAGAGAGAGAGATAGGGAGAGAGGAGCAGACATTGACGTAATTATTCATTTTAAATAGAGCTTTCCACTCAATCTGTTTACTACGTATTGTACAATGGAATGTGCATTATTTGTTTTATCAGACGATTTGGAGTCCGTCTGGTTTGAAGTATATTCATAGATGAATACTGTATAAATGGGTATAAAGTATTCTACTAAATCGAATGCATTCTGTATATCGTAAAAATGTATCAGCCAATCAGAAATATAAAACCTCTGCCTCGGCTGAGTGTATCTTTCCGCTTCCCTCGTTTTGAATTCTTAAATTAAAGCACGCTCCGACATAATTTTCCATTTGCTAACGTTTAATTTGTAGTGAGTCTGCGGTAACAAATGTTATAAACATAATATTGCAATTCATTCCACTTGAAGAGTATCTCAATTGTTGTCATAAAAACGTTATAAAGTGCCAATAAACAAATGTCAATGGAAATAAAATAATTTCGAGTAAAACGCTTTTAAATTGATACCAAAAGTGGATTAATTGATATTGAGTATGAAATTTGTCTTCGAACTTTGTTTTGACTGTAATTCCCTTTTGTTGTACTGGATAAATCAAGATTGAAAATAGCACGCAAAAATGTTGGTTCATCTTATTTTTAGAAATCACATAAAACGAAGACATTTCTAATCTTTATAACATATGATTAAATGGAATTTTCGATGGAAGTCGGGTTTTTGTTTTCGGTGACGTAACATAAATCAAATATTCTTTTTTTTTTTTGTTTCAGGTTTCATTCTGCCTCAAAGAGTGGTTTCGGCATTGATGGCTTTTTCAGCTGTTGCCTTAGCTTATATGCTTCGAATATCGTTGTCATACGCTATAACCCAAATGGTATACAATCCGCATGCACATGAAAACGGTTCGGTTATTGAAAATCCAGATGTTTGTCCACCGTATGAAGATGAATTGATTGCAATTGAAAATGATCAGCCAATACCAACAGTTGTATCGATATCGACCGAACGATATGATTGGTCGCAAGAGCTTCAAGGTGTAATACTCTCCGCATTTTATTGGGGGTACATTACAACGCATATACCGTTCGTATTTCAAAATAATTGTTAACTTAAAAAAATAATTGTTAATTGTTTAACTCATATACCGCAATAAAATATTGTAGTGGCGGAGTGCTGTCAGCTAAAGTGGGTGGAAAATATACACTTTTACTTGGAGTTGTGGTCGCCACCGTTTTTACACTTCTCACACCAATCGCAGTTAAAAACGGTAAGTAAAGGGAAAACAGCATGCAACGAAATAGAATATCAATATTTATTCATCTACCACTGAACAATTTATGCAGGTGGCTCAACGGTATTAATTATTTTCCGAGTCATCGTTGGAATGGGCGAAGGCATTATATTCCCATCGTGTTTGTATTTTTATTTGTTCATCTATGATTTTTTTTTTAAATCAAAAATAGAACATTAAAATAATATGTAATTTAAATTAGGTAATACTTTACTAGCGGCGTGGACACCGCTAAAAGAAAGAAGTATTACGGCAACGGTTGTCTATTCTGGCGGAATGCTGGGCAGCATTTTCGGTTCATCAATTTCTGGTTTACTCATTAGCAATTATGGTTGGACATCGGTATTCTATTGGTTTGGTGGTGCTGCCGTGATTTGGTGCGTAATTTTTGTAAGTAAACATTTTTTTTGTTCGTTTTTTTTTAAATTATAGCAATTTATCAGTAATTGTTTTATTGTAGTATTTTATTTGTTACAATAACCCTGAGAGTCATCCATTTATAACGAAAAGGGAAAAAGACTATTTGAGCCGTGAGCTGGGCGAATTAAAGCGTCGTGATGACTTACCAACGCCATGGCGGAAATTATTTACATCTCCAGCTGTAATTGCATTAATATTTGCACAAATTGGCCACAATTGGGGCTTATTCATTATAATAAATGATCTGCCAAAGTACATGAATGACGTGCTACGATTTTCAATCAAGAAAAATGGCATGTACACTTCATTACCGTATGTTGTGCTATGGATTGTTGCACTTTGTACGGGATTTTTAAGTGATTTTCTTATCAAACGACGATATTTAGGAATAACTTTTTCAAGAAAATTATTTACGTCAATCGGTTAGTATTTACAAGCAACAACAAATCAATCAATTTGGACTATTCAGCGTTGTGACTATTCGAATATAAGAGGAAAAAAGTTTTCAGATCGGTAATGTGTGCAATTTCAGTTTGGGCGTGAAATTGCTATGAAATTTAATTGAAAAGTCATGACGCTTAATAGTCTGAAAAGTCAATAGTCCGAATAATCCAAATGAACTATCTTCTTCACATTTTTTGTTCTTAGCCGCCATTGGACCCGGTGTATTCGTTGTTTTGGCCTCATACGCTGGATGCAATCGCATTGCTGTTGTTGCAATGTTTGTAAGTGTTCATTTTTCGATAAAAAATATCACTGGATAACCAAAATTCAAATATTTTACCCAAAAAAAAAATTTGTAAATTCCTATTAAAGACGCTTGGCATGGGATTCATGGGAACGTTCTATAGTGGTATTAAAGCGAACAGTTTGGATATCGCTCCAAATTATGCCGGGATAATTATGGCGATTGGTGAGTACAAAATGCGCACTGATCGTTGAATATTCTAAATATTGTATTCGATTATTTGCACAGCAAATGGAACAGGAAGCTTAGCTGGCGTTATCGGGCCATACATTGTTGGACTACTTACTCCAAATGTAAGTCATTACAAATGATTACAATTTTATTGGACGGATCATAATTATCTAAATTGTCTTTCATACTTCTAAATGTTGTATCTATCTAATCAAAATGTCTTAACCGTTGCAGTCATACTTAACCGAATGGCGAATTGTCTTTTGGATAACTTTCGTTCTTTTTGTGGTCACCACAATTTTATACGATATATTTGCATCGGGCGAAATTCAGCCTTGGAACGAGCCGCCGAATTCGAATCAACAAAATTTCAAGACAAATGGTACAAGCAATGGAAAAGCAACGAACTATGCTGAGAGAAGCATTTGAAGATTATAAATTTAGGTATATTTAAATGAGAGTTAAGTGCATAGTGCATAGCTGTAAAAATATTAAAAGATTAATGTATTAAAATAAATTGTTTTTTTTTATTAGTGCAACAATGGTTTATATGATTTTATTTGACTTATGTAATTATGAACAAATTTCGAGAAAACAATGGATTTATCGATACAATTAGTTGGTAATAAGACTTACGACCTATATATTGAATTAGACTTATATTTATATTATTTTCCGCATTGAAACGATGTTTGCCACTTGATTTTTGAATTGAATAATTTAGCTCCGATCGGAACTATCAAAATATTTGTGAATGTGGATATCTAAAATACTACACGTTGAAGAGCCAATCGATAAATGTCAAAATTTTTGTCATTTCATATGAACAGTCTGCTCAACGTCTGCAGAGATTCACTAATTACTATGTTGGAACAATTTTTCGATTGTTTTACTCGGATTTAATTCTTTTGAGATTAATTCGAGTTTTTTGTGACATACGTTCAACAGTTCCACTCCATCCAATAGATTCGAATGGCTTCAAAGCAGTGACTTCAACATTTCCATGTTGACAGAAACACATTTCGTTAAGTGATTTGAATTTCGTGCAGTGTGGAAGTATTTCGTCGATTGTAATGTTAATATTCATGGCAAATTTTAGTTTCTCAAGTAATGGCAACGAATTAGCGATTCTTGATACATTTATCCTGGAATTTATAGCATGTTCATGTTTTATTGCATGCAACGTTAAATTCGTTAGATATGGATGTTTTTCAATAAATTCATATGCAAAATTGGTGAGTCTTACATTCATTGCAAACACCAATACTTCAAGTTTATCAATGGCAAATGGAATTTGAAATGATTCTGCGCTTGATTGTATGTAAATCTCAAGCGTTTTCAGATTTTTAAATTGCATCAATTCACCGTTGGATTTTGAATTGAATTCATCGTCCATGCTAAGTCCCAGGAACTCTAAATTTCGTAGACTGTTGTTGACACGTTGAAGAAAATTTGCGTCGAAAAATGAATTATACTGCTTAATGGTTAGCTGTTTCAATTGTGGATTCAAATGAATAGCTGCTGTTAAACTTTGCTTCAATGAACGTGTCTCAATTAGATAGCGATCCGAATGACGAATATGCAATCTTTCCAAGAATGGAAAGTGATTTGCCATAAATTTGAATGAACTTGTAGGATATAGTATCGAATCAGTTATTGACACGAAAAGTTCTTCCGTTCTTGGAAATATAGCATTAAAAGAATTGTTTTCAACCAATTCAGTAAAATCACAATCAACCATTTGAAGCTTTGTTACATGTTTGAATTGTTCTTTTAAATATACCGGTACATTTTTAAGTTTATTAAATTGAATAAGAGCCGAGGATTCAGTACAATATTCATTTAAATATTCAATTGCACGCAGAGTTAGTTCATAATTATTTATGCCAATGTCAACTAGATCGTCATCAATAATTTTATATACACCTTTGTACGAAATTAATATGTTTTTTATGAGATTGCCGAAACAGCGTAGCAAACGTAAGCTTGACATTAAATTACAAAACTCGATACGAGAATTCGGTCGGAACTGTAGTGATCGATTTCCTGGTACGATATTTAAATGAATTAACTTGGTACTATAGCTTCGATGATAAATAAACGAAGCAGCCCGATTTAAACGTTTATTTGAAGCAGCTGCATTCAAAAGATCATCGAATTTTAAATGCTCTAAACAGCTCTCGATGCAATCGATATACATATCGGTGAATTTCATTTTTCGTTTCAACGGAGCACACACATCCCCTGCAAAAAGTAAATTAAAAATTAAAAACTTTTACTATTTTATCGATAAATAGTTATAGGCACTATTAACAAAAGAAGTACATACCTGAAGAAGTAGAAGTTCCTTGCATTTTGTTACGATTTTGTAAATACACTGACTCTTATACTCAATAAATCAATTTTAAGTCAAATAGAACTTTTTATTTTATTTAGTCTCAAGTAAATGTAAAATTATCTTGATAAAAAATGTTTTCAAGTGTTCAGAATAAATGTAAGTCTATGTCATCACACCAGCAACTTTGAAATACAACTGAATAATCAAAAAGATATTTCTCAAGTGGTTCTGATCACTTTTGGATTGTTTAGAAAAAAGAGAGAAACGTTTTCAGTGGGGGTATCATTATCATTAGCAAGTGTGATACTCATTAAGAAAATGTGAGAAAACAGTACCTGCAACTGTCCCATTTGTGTGCACTGCAAAAAAGGACAGAAAAATGGCAGCACTGGGTCACCAAATAGGTAAACTGCCCAACAGTAAAAACATTATCGTGTTCATGTATTGGTTGGACAGTTGGGTGAAAAATAGCAATTTCCAATGCAGTGCTGCAATTTTTCTGTCCTTTTTTGGAGTGCACACAAATGGGACAGTTGCAGGTACTGTTTTCTCACATTTTCTTAATGAGTATCACACTTGCTAATGATAATGATACGTTTCTCTCTTTTTTCTAAACAATCCAAAAGTGATCAGAACCACTTGAGAAATATCTTTTTGATTATTCAGTTGTATTTCAAAGTTGCTGGTGTGATGACATAGACTTACATTTATTCTGAACACTTGAAAACATTTTTTATCAAGATAATTTTACATTTACTTGAGACTAAATAAAATAAAAAGTTCTATTTGACTTAAAATTGATTTATTGAGTATAAGAGTCAGTGTATTTACAAAATCGTAACAAAATGCAAGGAACTTCTACTTCTTCAGGTATGTACTTCTTTTGTTAATAGTGCCTATAACTATTTATCGATAAAATAGTAAAAGTTTTTAATTTTTAATTTACTTTTTGCAGGGGATGTGTGTGCTCCGTTGAAACGAAAAATGAAATTCACCGATATGTATATCGATTGCATCGAGAGCTGTTTAGAGCATTTAAAATTCGATGATCTTTTGAATGCAGCTGCTTCAAATAAACGTTTAAATCGGGCTGCTTCGTTTATTTATCATCGAAGCTATAGTACCAAGTTAATTCATTTAAATATCGTACCAGGAAATCGATCACTACAGTTCCGACCGAATTCTCGTATCGAGTTTTGTAATTTAATGTCAAGCTTACGTTTGCTACGCTGTTTCGGCAATCTCATAAAAAACATATTAATTTCGTACAAAGGTGTATATAAAATTATTGATGACGATCTAGTTGACATTGGCATAAATAATTATGAACTAACTCTGCGTGCAATTGAATATTTAAATGAATATTGTACTGAATCCTCGGCTCTTATTCAATTTAATAAACTTAAAAATGTACCGGTATATTTAAAAGAACAATTCAAACATGTAACAAAGCTTCAAATGGTTGATTGTGATTTTACTGAATTGGTTGAAAACAATTCTTTTAATGCTATATTTCCAAAAACGGAAGAATTTTTCGTGTCAATAACTGATTCGATACTATATCCTACAAGTTCATTCAAATTTATGGCAAATCACTTTCCATTCTTGGAAAGATTGCATATTCGTCATTCGGATCGCTATCTAATTGAGACACGTTCATTGAAGCAAAGTTTAACAGCAGCTATTCATTTGAATCCACAATTGAAACAGCTAACCATTAAGCAGTATAATTCATTTTTCGACGCAAATTTTCTTCAACGTGTCAACAACAGTCTACGAAATTTAGAGTTCCTGGGACTTAGCATGGACGATGAATTCAATTCAAAATCCAACGGTGAATTGATGCAATTTAAAAATCTGAAAACGCTTGAGATTTACATACAATCAAGCGCAGAATCATTTCAAATTCCATTTGCCATTGATAAACTTGAAGTATTGGTGTTTGCAATGAATGTAAGACTCACCAATTTTGCATATGAATTTATTGAAAAACATCCATATCTAACGAATTTAACGTTGCATGCAATAAAACATGAACATGCTATAAATTCCAGGATAAATGTATCAAGAATCGCTAATTCGTTGCCATTACTTGAGAAACTAAAATTTGCCATGAATATTAACATTACAATCGACGAAATACTTCCACACTGCACGAAATTCAAATCACTTAACGAAATGTGTTTCTGTCAACATGGAAATGTTGAAGTCACTGCTTTGAAGCCATTCGAATCTATTGGATGGAGTGGAACTGTTGAACGTATGTCACAAAAAACTCGAATTAATCTCAAAAGAATTAAATCCGAGTAAAACAATCGAAAAATTGTTCCAACATAGTAATTAGTGAATCTCTGCAGACGTTGAGCAGACTGTTCATACGGAATGAGAAAAATTGAGACATTTATCGATTGGCTCTTCAACGTGTAGTATTTTAGATATCCACATTCACAAATATTTTGATAGTTCCGATCGGAGCTAAATTATTCAATTCAAAAATCAAGTGGCAAAAATCGTTTCAATGCGGAAAATAATATAAATATAAGTCTAATTCAATATATAGGTCGTAAGTCTTATTACCTACTAATTGTATCAATAAATCCATTGTTTTCTCGCAATTTGTTCATAATTATATAAGTCAAATAAAATCATATAAACCATTGTTGCACTAATAAAAAAAATAAACAATTTATTTTAATACATTAATATCTTTACAGCTATGCACTATGCACTTAATTCTCAATTAAATATACCTAAATTTATAATTTTCAAATGCTTCTCTCAGCATAGTTCGTTGCTTCTCTTGAAATTTTGTTGATTCGAATTCGGTGGTTAGGCCGTTTGTTAAATGGTTGAGTTTTGACTCAAAAACGAAAGAAAAAAAAAAAAAAACATAATTTGAGCAAAGCGAAGCCCGATCATGGTATAGGATTTCCTATATAAACCTTGTAACTAACAACACCTCTAATGCGTATTCCGAGTACTAATCGAAGTTTGCGACAATATGGCCGTCACAGTTTGGCAAAATCATAATGAATCGATTAAACTGCGTTAAAATGTTAAATTAAAACAGCAGAAATACATATTAATTTTTTACATTTTTGAAAATAAAAAATCTTTTGTTTTTTTAATTTTTTGAGATTTTCTGTACACAATATTCAAAACTATTAAATTAATAAAAATGAATTGGTTGACATAACCTCACTTTTGTGTCACAATCGTGATGAACCGATCAAATAATTACTTAAACGAAAGTGAGGTTATGTCAACCACTTCATTTTTTATTAATTTAATATTTTTGAATATTGTGCAGTAAATCTCACGAAACTGCCGGAAACTACAATACAAAACAAAACAAAGAATTTTTCTTTTTAAAAATGTAAAAAATGAAAATATTTTTATTTCTACTGTTTTAATAATTATTTAATCGATTTATCACCATTGTGACACAAAAGTGAGGTTATGTCAACTAATTCATTTTTATTGATTTAATATTTTTGAATATTGTGGACAGAAAATCTCACAAAATTAAAAAACAAAAGATTTTCAAAAGTGTAAAAAATTAAAATCTATTTTTTTCTACAGTTTAACGCAGTTTAATCGATTCATTATGATTTTGCCAAACTGTGACGGCCATATTGTCGCAAACTTCGATTAGTACTCGGAATACGCATTAGAGGTGTTGTTAGTTACGGGCATGATCAGGCTTCGGAGCAAAGTTTCACATAATTATATATAAGACATCAAGGCAAAAATAAACATTTTGGCAAATATTTGTTGTATCGTAAAACTAACATATTCGGTTTATTTGTACCAAAAAAACTCCCTGATACACATTTTCGCAGTGTGCTGTATCATATCAAATGTTTGAGAATCATGAAACATTTTGACCATTAGATTTAATTTATTCCTGAAATTTGGTATTTTTCATGATTTCAGTCGACGTTTAACGTTTTTACTATTAATCCAAGTTGAATTTTGAATTTGACAGACTGACTGATAGATTTGACAGCTGTATACAATGTCAATATAATCAAATGTCAAACGTTTTGTGTATTCGGGTGGTAAAGCTTATTTACTTGTTCCAAAATGAGTCTTGTGATTTCTGCATCATTGCCACAAAATGGTTCAATCGGTAAATATTTCAATGATATTTCTTCAACCTTTTCGATATAAATAAAATGTATAATATTTTTACTTCAGGCAGAGATGTATTCAAGTGTGATATTTGTGCATATGCCTTTCGTACATCAGACGATTCAGAAGACCGAAAAATACATATTCTGCAGCACTTCCAACAGATGTTTTGTACGGTGTGTCAACAAACGTTGATTCGAATCGGTGACACTTGGTACAGCGAACATTCAGGCCATAATTTAGCAAAAACTGAACCAAATATAGACGATTACAATGAACGCAATGCAGAGCCAATGATAATTTCACATGATTTTAACGCAATTAGTTCAAATGATGGTTCAACTAAATGTCGAAATCAAGAAGCGGGAAATGTATCTGATCCAATATTTTGTGCAGCTGATTGCGATAACAATTCAATAAATCCCGTTGATGTTTTTAAAGAAGAAGAAGAAGAAGAAGTTACATTTTCCGATTTCATTGAACTTAAACCAGAGGAAATTACTCACAATGAGAGCACACATCAAGACGATTCAAACGAGATTGTTGACAATCAAGTTGAAGAGGATAATGAAGCGAGCGTTGACAATCCGATTGAAAAGGACGTTGATGATACTCGTAATAAGCCATTTGGGTGTGCATCATGTGACAAATCATATGCTACCAGACGCACCCTAATCAATCACATCAACAAATACAATCATAGAATGCCGGAAATGTTTTATACCGCGAAATCATGCAAAAGATACACAAAAAGTAGTGCTACTGAAATTCGAAATTGGAAATGCAAGTATTGCAATGTGGATTTTGAATTTGAAATCAGTTTGGCCGAGCATATTATCGCTCAGCATAGAAAAAATAGTAAGGTTCCTTCAGTATTGCGAAACAATTCAACGGCAAGTCGTGGTGAGAACACTTTGGAAAAGAATCAAAGTAGTAGAAGTTCAATAAATCCGGAAGATTTATTTAGTGACGATAGTGACGCCAATTCAAATCACGAAGACGAAGATAAAATCGAGACTGAACAGAAAGCAAAAACTGGAGAAAAAAGGTTGATATGTGACGTATGCAATAAAGAGCTATTTTGTCGGACTGGGTTTAAATATCACATGAATCTACATCTTGGGATAAAACCTTACGCTTGCGATCAGTGTGATAAAGCCTTTACAGGTATAGTGCACTGCTTGCATCATCTCGTTCTAAATTTTATCTATTTCTTTGTTTTTTTTTTCTTTTCAACAGATAAACGTCATTTAAATAAGCACAAAAAATCCCATTTACCCATCACACACGAGCTAAATGATTACCTTGAGGTGGATGGCGTTAAAACCATCTTAACGGAGCATCAACTCAAGCTTCTCGTTTGTCCTATTTGCAATAAAAGATTCTATACTATATCCGGTCTTAAGTGCCACGTCAAAGTCCATGAAACGCCAAAATTCAAGTGCAAAATATGCGATAAAGTATTCAGCGATGTGAGCAATTACAAACGGCATCGAAGCATATCGCACAAGAACGTTGGCCCGGACGAAAATATGGTACAAGAGGAGGTTAGTATAAGAAGTTATGGTGATGTTGTTTTAAATTCAACAATTGCCATCGATTGGATATGCGAATATTGTAACGGAGATTTTGAATTTGAGATTCGATTGGCAAAGCACATAATCAAGGAACACAGCGACGAGAAAACGGAGCATTTATGCAATATTTGTGATTGTAAATTTAGTCAATTAAACAATTTACTTATGCATATGAGGGCACATCCAGAGAGTGTTCAACACAAATGTACATTTGATGGATGCGAACAAGGTTTCGCATACAAATCAAGTCTAATGCTTCACATTGATAAGCATAATCGACTTAACGGTGGCGCCATTCAAAGGAAAACACAACAACAACTGACCGACATAACAAAGCACCATGCCACATTCAAATCAACGACCGAAGATACAAGTTTATACACATGCAATATTTGTTCGAAAGAATGTGCGAATCGTACAGGCTTATTGGCTCACATTCAAGGAGTTCATAGCACAATACGAGTGAAATGTCCAGTATCTAATTGCGACAGAATTTTTAAATCGGACGTCGGTCTTACTTGGCACGTAAAAAAAGCACATCCGGATGCAATGAAGATGTGTGACATTTGCAATAGAAGTTTTTGTTCTGAGGAGAAATTGGCGAAGCATCAATTATGCCATAACCGAACGAAGAAAGCATCATTCATTTGTAATGTGTGTGAGAAAGCATTTGCCACAAAGAGTGATTTGCGATGCCATTTGAGTACACACGAGAAACAGGCTGAATGTAATATTTGTGGGGAGAAATTTTCTTCGGTCACTATAATGCTGCAGCATCGTGAACGACATGGTAAGAAAAAAGTCATCACATGCCGATTCAAGGGATGCAATCAAGTATTTGAAAATCGAAGAGAGTTTATTCAACACACGAACCAACATCCAAGCGACGAAAAGAAAAAATTTATTTGCAGCTACTGCGGCAAGGCAATGGCAAGCATGTCGTATTTAAGGGATCACATTAACATTCACACAGGCAAAAAACCATTTGAGTGTAAAGAATGCAAAAAATGCTTTGCCAAAACGAATTCGTTGCGCCGTCACCTACTCATTCACACAGGTAAACAGTTTAACAGTATGATTTCCAAATTTATTACCAAATCATAGCTTTTGGGATTAATCCGAATTTTTATCTTTTCAGGCGAAAAGCCTTATATATGTGATATTGGACATTGTAATCAGGCGTACCGGGACAGTATTGATTTGAAACGACATAAATTTAGCGCTCATAAAATCTATACGAAAAAGCATATTTGTCCAATTTGCAACAAAGTGTTCTCGGAGCGAAAACTGTTGACCAAACACACTTCCACTGTACATTCCAGCACGTCGTTACAGGGTTAACAAGGCTTACATGTTTTACAATAAATAAAAATAAAAAATATACATGAAACATAAAAATGAAATAAATGTTTGAAATCCATGAATATTCCGGTAAATTCAATGAAATTGTCCAAAATAGTGCATTTTATATTTGATTTAAATCATTTTTAACCTCAAATTTTCATGAAAAATGTTTTAATTACAGCGGAAAAAATTAAAATAAATCTTTATTTTGAATTCTTCTGTGGATAGGCGTTGAGCTTTCATAATTCTTGTTCTGAAAAACCGTTGACAGGTACTGTATAGAATCTGCCAGTTGACAGATTGTATAAATTGACAGAATTGGATAAATGTCAAAACACAAATCAATTCAGTGGGAATATAGCAATTATTTCGGATTTTATTGAGGAGCAGCGAAAATGGCCGTAACAATTTGTGGAAAAAAACAAAAAGATTTTTCAGACGGTAAGATCAATAACATAAAAAAATAAACAAAAAAATACTAAACATGGTTGTATTTTTAGCCAACGATGATTTTGGTTGTGACTTTTGTACGTTGGAATTTTCCAATTCGTTCGAAAGAAACGAACATATTTTGCAGCATTTTCGTCAAACCATTTGTTCGGGTTGCTTGGAAACGTTAATATGTATTGGTGACATATGGTATGGACCGCATACAGGTTCCGGCTGTTGTGTAGCTACAACCGAAGCGACGTTACCCGCTTTTATTGAAGTCAAACATGAAGAAATAATTGATGTTGATGGGAACGAGAACTGCGATGACGATGCTCATGATATATTTATTGAAAGTGATTCAATTGAAAATGTAATCGAAGATGATTCTATTGGGGAGGTGGCCGAGGATGAGATGCCAGTAAGTATAGACGATTAGTATAGGCATACAAAGGAGGACCGTTAGAGTATAAGCATTTGATTATCTCAAATTGCAGCCATACAGTTTGGATCGTTTGAGAGGCATTGGGATAGAAAATTCATTTGTAAGGGAAACAATTGGCGGAATGGAAGCCTCAACGTCTTTGACGAGAAAACAGTTGAACGATCGGAAGTGTCCACTTTGTGGCAAAAGTATTGTCAATAAACAAAATCTGATATGCCACATGAATATTCATAACAATGTATGTTATCTACTCGGATTTAATGCAATAATTGCAAGAATAATTAAATGAATCGAATTTGAATGAATTTAATTTAATTTCTAAATCATTTGTCAATAGGTTAAGCCCTTTCGCTGTAATGTTTGTGAGAAATCGTTTGCGCATATCCGAAATTTGATTCGTCACAGAGAGCAACAGGGCCATTGCGACATGGAATACAAATGCGACTATCGTGGATGCAACAAAAGATTCATGAGCGGGAATAAACTGAATCGTCACATCAAATTGGATCATTTGAACCAACAACCTATTGAATTCGACGTTGAAAAGCCAAGACCATATAAGTGCACACAATGCGATAAATCATTCACATCAAAGGGATTTTTATATAAGCATCAAAAGTGTCATGGCAACGAATAATGACCCGATGAAATTTCAAATTGGAAATAAGCTTGATAGATACATCTCACTGACTGATATACACTCATATTCCATGTGCTAGATCATTTTCGATTTTTTTTCGCAGAATTAATTTTTTACCAAAAGGATAATTACAAAAAATACAAAGTATTGAATAATTCAGTTTCGTGAACACGTTAAGCGTTTGGGGAAATCTGTAGACGTTAACCGAAATCTTTATTCTTCTATAGAATTTTCATCTTAACAGCGATTCTGCCGTCCGTATATTCATCTCATACGTTCTCATGAAGTGTAAGAAAAACTATTCAAAAAAATGAACGATAGAAATAAACTAGAGTTACAAAGAGTAATATTTATTGTGAAATTCTGTGTTATGCTAGCTTATAAAAAAATGTTCTTAATTTAATAAGTTTTATGCTGGATAAATACCATAATAATAATAATAAAGCACCATTTTATGGAATTTCAATTGACTCGAAATATGTGCATGTGTTTGTGTTTCATCAGTAAAATGAGTTATACATCGAGCGTTCGCATGCCTCGTCAATTTTTTTTTGAATTTCAATTTCTTCTTTGGCATTCTTTGAAATTTGGACGATTTCATCAAAATTATCATCATATTCGTCGTCAATTTTCTCCATTTTTTGGATCGGTTCTTCTCCTATGATCAGCCGAATATCATCTGTTAGTTCTTCCATTGTTTTGATTTGTAAATAAATGGCTTCGGCTTTTTCGAGCGACGATTTCAAGTCAATTTGTAATGATAATTCGTTGACATGCTTTAAAATTTCGTTGAATTCATACTTTCGATCGATGAAAATATTTTGTTGATCATCTAAAATAGCGACGCTGACAAACAAATGAAAGTTCATGCACGGCAAATTGGTCCATAGACATTCCCACAGCTCATAAATATCTTCATTTGTGAATTCACGTTTGAACCACACAAGCAACCATCGAAAACAGAAATACATATTTTCCGATTTGTGTTCTTTGAAATACGCATATAGTCGTGGATTGGCGATTGCTAACAATTTGTTCAAATCTTGTAATTGTCGTTTCATTCCCGCTTGATCCATATCAAAATTACTAAACACAACATCCATGAATCCAACAAAGCACCAGAATGCATCCGACTGTAATGAGAAAATTATATTTATTAATGATTTTCAATAGGAACCGTTTTATTTTTCTTCATTGTGTGCTTATGAATCAAAGTAGAAAATGATCATTACCTCATTATCCATGATACATAAAATTGGTGCCAGCAGATCGCTCATCCCTTGTACATAGCCAAGATCAAAATTGTACATCACATACGTCATTAAAATGTCTTGTAAAACGCTTAAATTTGGATTTTCGTCACCGGCAAAGTATTCTTGTGTGCGATCAGTTCGTTTGACATCCTTTTCAATTTGACATTTTCGATCACGATAATCCCCAAAGTTTTTCTCTTGAATTTGTGACATCGACAACCATTGCAATTTCATTTGATAATATTCTTGGCTTTTTCGATTTTTATGCTGGATTTTTTGTTCGGTTGTCATATCCCAATCATAATAATTCAGTAAATATTTCCACACTTCGGAGCGTATGCCGGCATCGATGCCGCCACGAAAAATCACCTCCTTAACCCGTTCAACATCGCTTATGCGACCGTCTTCAGTGATAAATTCGCTCCATTGTTTGGCCGATAACGGTGATCCTCTCGTTACCGTCGGACGTGTTGGCAATTTAAATTGATTGTCCAATTTCGGTGAATTGCTTAGAACCTCGTATTCATCTGTATTTGATGAGAAGCTAACGTTTGAATTGTTTGCATCTGATTTGATCGGCGATGTTTGGGCGCTGCTTTGACCAGCCGCTATGGTGTATACGTCCGACATTTTTGCCAAAAAATCAATCGTTTGTTCCAATGGATTGCGTACAATATTCGATATCCAGCCACCACCTTTTCCCGCTTTAATGTCGTCAATTTTCAATTCGGCAAATGTTTTTTGCAATTTCTCATTATCATACTCAATATTATCGACGATTTCAAATTGATTTTTATTGTGTCGGCTTCGTTGTAAACAATGTGTTGTTTGTAGCATTCGCACAAATCCATCGGCGTTGCCGTTCTGAAAAAAATACTCACTATGCAATTTACCATCCGATCTATTTGTTAATCGAATAATATGACCATTTCGTAACACATCAATATACTTTAAATCACAAATTCGAGCTCGTAATATATTCGTTTTATGATTTTGTGGCGTTGGCTGTCGTTCGGTTGCCGTTCCGTTTGATTCTTTTGATTGAACTGGTGCGGGGCCACTTCCGAAAACATTACACTCACTAGCAGTTCGTTGACGTTTTGTTATCGTATCAACAAATGACCAATCGCCCTGTTCTTGGGTGTCCGCATCAGCAATTAAATAGTGATCGTTCCGTTTCCATTCGATGCACAAATTATTTGATAAATAATGCACCAATGATAAGCTACCAGTTGTTGCTTGGATTATTTCAGTCAAAAATGCAGCCGGACCTTTTTTCAACAAAATTCCATCATTCGTACCGATTTCCTGTTTTTTTTTTTTTTTATCGAAAATGAAATGAAAAGAGGAAAATGTTATAAGCAAATCTGAACTGTTTTGCACTCAAAAGAGATTTGTCAAGCGTGACCTTTAACATTCACAAATTATCTCATTGAAATTTTAGAAGAAGGAGAAGAAACGAAAAGCAACGTAAACAGACAACAAACAATAATGCGATACTGGATGCAAAATTGACGTTGTACTTTTGAATTTATAGCAACAATAAGAAATCGCATGATAATGTCGTCGTTTATCAATTCATGTTTATAATTTAATGGACGACTTTTTTTTTGCAGAGCCACTAACACACTGTCAATGTGTGTAGGTTTTCTTTATTTCAATTTCGTTTATTTACAATTTGCATCCAGATGTGTTTTTCTAACATTTTTTTTTTATTTGTGAACATGGAGTTTCTGTGTTTTTGTCGATCACACTAAATTACGATTTACGCAAAAGTGATTCATCAAATACAACACTTACTTGCCCATTCTCGTACAATTCATTGTCGTCGTCCATGTTTTTCTGAAAATGACTTTTTAAACTTTTAAATAGAAATTATTTATTTTGCATTTACATTCACTTTGCATACGTTATCCACGTAATTGTTTTCTCTTGTGAAGCAAAATGCTTTCAATTTATTTGAAACGATTGAATTTTATTTCGTCGTAGTATTTATCTTTCATTCACTGTTGATCTGTTTAGTATGAATGTTTGTGTGTTTACAATATTTTGACGTTTCTTTGTTTCAAAACGATATGAACATTGACAGCTCACTAGTACGTTATATTTCTCATTTCAGCTTTATCCTCCGTCTGCTCACCAAAATGAATGCTATTTCTTGATATATAAGCTGATCTTGAGGTGAAGAGCAAAATGATATTCAAGTTGATTCATTGATTTTAAATTTTCAATAAAATCCATGTAAAAATCGTGGACTCTCAACGGATGTATTTAATTGTTAAGAAATACACATAATGATCAAAGTATCAAGTGGTGATAAAAATTTATTTGCCGATAAGTGCATCTGGCAAATATATGTCTCACTCCAAAAGAATTTATTTGCATTTTTATGCATTAGCGAGCTCTCTGCATACATATATTGGTGTGGAGAACGCATTTTATTTTCGATACAGCCGTGGAGACTTTTATGCCAAATGAATGAGCGATGATTGGACGTGTGAACCATCTACATAATGCAAATTGAACCGATTAAGTCCCTATGACAACAATATCATGCTGTTATAATGAAATACGACCATTTCACTTTGAAAAGGTACTAGATATCTGTCAATTTTTGAATTATTTTCAGGCAAAGAAACGTCAAAACATTATGTGAATAACAAAATATCATTCCAAGAGATACGTTCCAAGAAAAATGACCACCACTTGCTTGCGTGATTTAAATTTTATGAAAAAATAAACTAGGCATTTGTTGGGGACCAAATAATATAAATGATGTTTTGATGTATGTTCATATGTGGGAAAATTCTCATTTAAAAATAATTGTGTTCCAGTTCGTTATCTATCTCGAGAAAATGTATGATTGGCTTGAATTTTTTATCATAGATTGAAAGAGTACTCAACTCTGAGCTGACATGTACACTTTCAAAGTCCAACATTTCTTTATTTGATGAAAATTGAAAAAGGTGTGAATTTGAGCGACCACCTGTGTTTCCATTGGCACGTATCTCTTGGAATGATATTTTGTTATTCACACAATGTTTTGACGTTTCTTTGTCTCACAATGGTTCAAACATTCAAACATTGACAGATATCTAGTACCTTTTCAATGTGAAATGGTGGTATTTCATTATAACAGCATGATATTGTTGTCAAAGGCACTTAATCGGTTCAATTTGCATTGTATAGATGGTTCACACGTCCCATTCCCCCGCTCATTTCATTTGGCAGAGAAGTCTCCACGGCTGTACCGAAAAGAAAATGCGTTCTCCACACCGATATATGTATGCAGCGGGCTCCGCTGATGACAGTGACATTTGAGAGTTACACACTTTTTTGTTAATATATATAGATATATATATATATATTCTATATGTATAAAAATTCAATTAATTTTTTTTTAGAGTGAAACATATATTTGCTAAATGCACTTATCGGCAAGCAAATTTTCGAATTATTAAAAGTTAATGAAGCTTTTAATTGATTTGGTGATGTACACGGTTCGATGGAAATGATTCTCGTTCGGATATAATTAGTTGTGACAAAAAGCGAAAAACGTGTTGCAATTTTTTTCCCTATTTTACACACATATCAAAAGGCAAGCGACAACAAAGACGATTGAACAACTGTATGTGTGTAAACGAGTAAGTGAGAAAGAGCCACGAAAAAAGAAAACAAACAGCAACAAAAAAGTGTAGCTCGTTTGGCAAATCAACATTTTTAAAATTGCAACAACAACAACAACAATTAAAAGGCGACGACGACGACGACGACGAAATTGAGAAAATTATTTTGGAATAATTTCGTTGAATTTGTAAATGTTTCCTCACAATGGTGTGTAAAGAAGAAGTCGCGCTTTGGTTCAAGGAACTTGAAAGTTATAAGCGGATAGATGCCATGTGTACTTTATTGAATATGTGTCTGCCGTTTGAGCTACGATTTTTGGGCACATGTTTAGAGGAACTGGGCGGACGTGATTCGAAAGAGCTTCGCGGTATCGAATTACGTGTAAATAATTCCAATGAATTGTCACAAGAAATTGCCTCGTCACAATTATGCGATCCATCCGACATAAAAGTTCGACGAAAAATGGCATTGTATTTTGCGTTGATCCGAGCCTGTAATCGACCTTGTGTCAATGAATTGTTCAATATTTTGTGTTCGTGGAGTAATAATGAGTTTTTAAAACGCGCCAAAGCCGATGCACTACAAGAATTACTTCTGGTCTATACAATGGCAGCCAATCATCCGGTGTTTTCGTTTGAACAACGTATGAAATGCGGTGAAATTTATAATAGCATCTTGAGTGGAAATCCAGAAATTTCGTATGCAGATGTTCCAGTTGTTGATAATGTACACACAAAATCCGTTAACGAAGCCAATTCCAGCTCATCATCGAATATTGTGTATTCACAGAAACATGTTCAAGGTGAACAAATTATGCCTATGTTTGCAATTCCAAATCCAAGTGGAAACGTGACTCAGGTGGCTTTTGACCAGAATCGCGGGCCTCAGGTAAGCCAAATTGACTTTCCTTGACAATTAATTGCTCGTTAATAAAAATGTCCATTCGTTTTTCTGTTCGTTTTTTTCTTCTTCTCAAAATAAGATTATACATCGTGAGGTCGTAAACATAGCACCACATCATATTTATGCTGAGGGTGTGCAGCCAGGTTTTCATCATAACATTGCAAATGTATGTCAAACGACTACGCCAAATGTGGCTTCCTTTACTGCATCCCGGTCAAGTCAACAACAACAACAGCAACAGCAGCAGCAGGCACAGGCTGCCACACAACAGCATATTAATACAAGCAGTGCAACGAATCTAACGTATTCACTGCAAAATCTTAGTTTGGTTGATAATAATTTAGTTTATGTACATAGTGATGGAATTCCAATAATGCGCAAATCAGAAAGTGAATCAATTAGTTCAGGTGAATCAATTGAAGACTCCACACCGCCGGATACGCCATTAAATACAGATATATCGAATTCGGGCATAAGTGGCAGTAGTAATAGTAGCAGTAATAAAAAATTTAAAGTTCGTGGTGATCCGAAATTATCGTCGCGACATAAAGTGTCTGCACAGCATCAGCCGCCGCAACAAATACTTTATACACATATAATGCCACAGATACCTGCATCGGCCGCATTAAGTAGCGAAATTGTACTTGCACCGCCGAATGTGTCACAGTCACAATCACAACAAACGATACCACAGTCACAGCCGCCACAACCGACGCCACAAACAATGCAAACCATCAATTCACCTGCACCCATACAGGCAATTGGCATTGCAAGTCCACAAGTTTTATTTCAACAGTATGCACAGCCAACACATCCATTGCAAAAGTCACAAATGAACCAAACATATCCATACACACAACAACATTTACCAATGAATAATCGATCGGCGATACTGTCACCGAATACAACAACGTCGGCAGTACCACAATCGGCGGTACAATCGTATCGATTACCATCATACCATATGCAACCAAATGGTGATGTGATCTATCAACTTCCGTCAACATTTGCGTATATGCCACAAACGGCCTTACCATTAACACGACCCCCATCAACATGCAATCAAACACACACGGTTGTACCAACGATGCAACATTTACCAACGTTAACTAGTCTGTCATCGAAAACAAATCAAAATGCAATGGTTTCACCGTTTTTATTGGCCAACGAAAATGCCAAACCGAATACATCGTGTTTTAATTGTGGTTCGAGCCAACACACTGGACAAGAGTGTCAAGAGGCATCAATGGAAGATGTAACACGTGGAATTTATAAATTGGATTACAATTCAACTCTAGTGAATGATACGCTGAAATCAACCGAATTAGATAATGGAAGTGGTGGTGGAGGCGGCGGCAGCGGTGGCAGTATTGGTGTAAAAACTACAGATTCAATCACACACATGTCATCGTCCGTTGTGAACAAATAATCGTTTCAGAAGATCTACTAGAAATGGGGACTCAGCATACTATGTGTTAGCATAATCATAAATTAAATGAAAATGACATACAATAAGTGTCGTTAAAGCACGTTACAATCGACAAATCACCAAACTGAATCAGCTGGCATACTGTCATTTTGGAACAGGATAAACAGTGGAATAATTAAACAGTGCCATCACTCAATCACAAATTACATTACGGAACATCAGCTGGAATGCGATTTTATAGCGGTATTTTACAAACATAACTCAAACAAATACCCATACAACACACAAACACACACAGAAATTAGGACACTGGTCAAGATACACACAGCAAGAGAGAGAGAGAGAGAGAGAGAGAGAGAGAGAGAGAGAGAGAGAGACAGTTTAAACACACAACACGCCGACATTTTTTTGATAAAACTAAAAACAAGCAACTCTGTTTCAAGCAAAAAACGAATATCTAATATGATTGTATGGAAAATGATAATGACACACAATAAACGTGAGCAAATATTTTAACAGTTTTATAATAAGCAATTGACAAAACAGCGGCCGATATATCTATAAATATGTAAAAGCAATTATAATAGCGAATGTATGCAATGATTGCAAGTGACGGAATCAGCAAATGGAAGACTCAATTATAATTTGCATCAATTTTAAAATCAATTTCAATTTTAGCCTAATACTTAGATCAGTTATACTGTGAACAATAGAAATGTTACAAGACAACCACAACAAAAACGGGAATTTATTCAAAATAATGTGTCATTTTCTACTTGTTTTCACTTATAAAGGAAAATACTACATAATGATGATAAAATAAGCATACACGATTTTTCATATGTCCGGTGATGTGTTAGTTATGAGAGCAGCATAGTCCAAATACCCCTTTCACTTCAACAAATTCTTCTTAAATTGACAATTCCTTCATTTGTTGTTTCTTTCTAGTGTAAATTGAGAGACTCTGATTGATTGAATTTATTTTCTTTGGATTTTCATATTGTGTTTTAATGTTTTTTCATCATCATTGCTTTCAACAAATCATCATATATATTTTTTTCCGTCCACATTTTCATGGACGATCTCTTCATTCAGAAGAAGTAATTAATCTTAAGTTGAATAACTTACCTAAATTCAACACCACAGACTTGATTTTTTTTTTTTTCAATCAATGAATTGTGCTCAATGCTAATAAAAGTTAAAGACCATTTGCTATGAAGAGAATATTGTTATATGAGAGACGACAGAAATCGAATTACCTTTTTGAGCCAAATCTTTCAATCAGATGCTACGTATTTCGTTTCGATGCTACCATAACACTTACCCAACATGGATTTATAAAGTCTTTTTAAACGCAATATGTAGATTGGCCTTTTGTGAATTCGATGTTAATTCTTGAATTCATGCGATCATTTTACTTAGAAAATATTTGGCTTAATTGAGAAAACGCTCAACAATTTTTCATGCATTACTGTTTATCTGCATTGATTAGAATCACTACCGAGCCGAATAATAAATGCTTCTGCTACACACCAAGATTGTTGCAACATCATAAAAATGAAATGAATGTCCTATTTTTATGGCAAATTGAATTCACTATGTAACATAGTTTATTATTTCGTTTATCATTTATTTTATTTCTTTTTTTAGATATTTTTTTGCCTTGTTTGTAAATAGGTATATATATTTTTTACGAAAATATTACTTATTTCGGTGAATATTATTTCTCGTTTTTGTGTGACAAATTGCACATGAAACGTTCTAGGAATTTAGGAGGATTTATTAAAAAGAAAAACAGATAAAATTGAATGACATCAAATTCGTGAAGATATTACATCGCGAATATAAATGAATTAGGAATTCCTATAATAAATTTATTACTAAATTTATAATGTAAAAAATACACATACACAACAACAAAAAATTAATTGAAAAAACAACAATTTAATATTATTAAACTGTGAAAATAACGACTATTATTATTATTATTAGTACGAAAAAAAAAATGTATGAAAATATTTGATAATGTGAAGATGAAGAAATTACATAAATCATTTTTATTTATGTGTTGCATGTGTAAATTAAACAAATTTCTAGGTATAACATATGAATCGAGATAAAGAAAAAAAATACAAAAAATAAAAATTAATCCAGATATTTACTATTATATGTATTTAATAAAATTAAAACCACATACACACAATAATTTCAAATTACAGACAACGGAGAAAGAATTAATCAAACAACGTGTTCTAGAATTAGACATAATTTATCATAAATTTGCATATTACAATAATAAAAATAAACGGAAGAACATTACTACTACAGTAAAAAAAAATGAGAAGAAATGCGTTTAGATAAGGAAAACTTAATACAATATTTAAATGATGATCAACCGAGTTTTTAAATTACAAACAAACAAAAAACACACAAAAAATCAATAAATAAATAAACTGAACATAATTGATCAAATAAAGGCGAGCGTGTGTTTTTTTTTTTCATTTTCAGACATCTTTATTACAGGCTACTCTAGGGGGCTGAATTTAACATTTTCATGATCGTTCCGATTCATTGAAATTTATGATGGAAATATTTCTTCATTCTATTTTGGGCGGAATTTTTGAATTACAAATATTTCGATTACGTTATTTTCCATTATTTGTTGGGAACAACGTCATGAGAAAATTTTAAGTTTACTGAGCATACTTTGCTTGAAATATTTGATAAAGAACAATAATAAACATGATACACATACGTAATCAAATCCGATGACAGCACAAGTGTTACGCATGTGTGATACATACTCGTATATATAAGATTAGTTCACGTTCAGTCAATCAGACGAGAGTTGTTGACTGAGGAGGTATTTTCATTCATTTTGCTGCTAAGATTTGTGTACGACAATTGAATTTAAAAAAAAAATCAAAATCCAAATTAAATCGAAATAAAAAATGGTTTTTGCGAGAGTTTTATGTAATATAAAATCTGGTGTTCCGAAAAATGTTCTACACCATCAACGCCGTATCCTTTTCATAACACCCAAAAAATCGAATTCAATATTTTCCTAATCCAAATTATTGATAAATAATATTTATCCTTAACTAGCTACTTTCTCTTACAGTATTATTCAGTTCATCAGCTGCAAAACGTAAGTTTGAATTTTCATGATACGAATCGTAACTCATGACAAAATTTATAGTCGTATATGTTTATTTATTTAGAAAAAAGGTGTGTTGTCATGTTATTGCCATTAATATTAATGCCACAACAGATTGTTATCAATAAAATGTGATCCATGATTTTTGTGAAACATACGATGCGAAAATATTTTAAGTGTTTAGTAAATAGTCAAGTCAAGTTGTTTATGAAATATACGAATAATCTCATTGAAGTTTATCATGTCTTATCTATCTATGACAAACGTACTGAATATATTATTAAACGTAATTTTATTCGATTAAATTCTTGATATAGATGGTTTTGATTGGCAAGATCCATTTCAATTGGAATCGAATCTGACCGAAGATGAACGATCAATTCGGGATACAATGCGATCGTATTGCCAGGAGAATTTGATGCCCAGAATATTAGAGGCAAATCGAAATGAAGGTAAGATTTTGTTTTTAAATTCTATTCAAAATAATTTATTTTGATTGTTGTCAACTTATTCGATACTTTGAAGTGTTTGATAAGGCAATAATGACTGAATTGGGAAACCTCGGTGTACTTGGAGGCACAATAAAGGGCTATACCTGTGCAGGCATCTCTAGTGTTGCATATGGTTTAATAACTCGTGAGGTCGAGCGAATTGATTCGGCATATCGGTCGGCTGTGAGTGTTCAAAGTTCGCTGGCTATGGGTGCAATCTATGATTTCGGCAGCGAAGACCAAAAGAATAAATATCTACCGAAAATGGGTACAATTACTTTAGTTCCATTGAGTTCCAGCAGCATTGACCGCTAAATTATTTCTTTTTTTCGTAGCCAAAGGTGAATTGATTGGATGTTTCGGATTAACAGAGCCAAATCATGGATCCGACCCTGCCGGCATGGAAACAAACGCCAAATACGACAGCAAAACAAAATCGTACATTTTGAATGGAAGCAAAACATGGATTACAAATGCACCAATATCTGATATTTGCATCGTATGGGCACGCTGTGAAGATAAGAAAGTCCGTGGTTTTATCATTGATAGATTAGAAAATTCAGACGGTTTGTCTACACCGACAATTCATGGAAAATTTTCATTGCGTGCATCGGCCACCGGAATGATATTAATGGAAGATTTGCGTGTACCGGAACAAAATGTTTTGCCCAACGTTGAGGGGCTCAAAGGAGCATTGAGTTGCTTGACAAATGCTCGATATGGAATTGCTTGGGGCGCACTAGGCGCGGCTGAGTCATGTTTACAAATTGCTCGAGATTATACCTTGGACAGAAAACAGTTCAATAAACCATTGGCAGCAAATCAATTGATTCAAAAGAAATTCGCCGATATGATGACAGAAATTGGGCTTGGCCTCAATGGATGTGTCCAGGCTGGTAGACTTAAGGATCAGAAAAAGTAATTTTCCACTTATGATTGCCAAATTTTTGTCACTTATTCGACGCACCCACGTCTCTTTTAGATTAACACCCGAACTTGTATCACTGCTTAAACGGAATAATGCCGGTAAATCATTGGATATTGCACGCAACGCAAGAGACATGCTTGGAGCTAATGGAATTTCAGATGAATATCACATTATTCGTCATCTCATGAATTTGGAATCGGTCAACACATATGAAGGTAAAAACAATCCATAATAATAAACTTTTGCTGTACGTAGTCTAATGAGAATGATAATATTTATTTACAGGAACTCATGATATTCATGCTTTGATTCTTGGCAGAGCCTGCACCGGAATAGCTGCATTTAAATAAATTTTAATTTCTCTTCGAAAAAATTTGCCGTCTGTGAAATAAATGTATGATAATGAAATTGTTGAATAAAAATATGCATTTTAATAGAAAACCAAGTTCAATCACCCTGAAATAAATGACTGTACACATAGACAATGTGATGGAACTAATCTAGTACAACAAAGTAATTGACAGTTCATTTCTCTCCAACAAAAAAATGAATGTCAAAATAGGTGTATTTACAAATGTCATTCACATACATTATGTATTTTGTGAAAAATTGCCTTTTTTCATACTAAAAAAAATATCATATTTCGATTTTCGTACCGTACACCGTAAATTTAGCAGATAAACAAGACAAATCGAAAAATTCAAAATCAATCTAGTTCAGAAACGATGGAAACAAAGGAGACGAATGAAATACCGACCAACGATGACATTGCAGCCGCTCGTCGTGAGGCTCGTCGTCGAAAAATTTTGGAAAATTCCAAAAGCCGCCTTTCACGAATCACTGGCCGGGAGGACACAGATGAAGACGATAAAAAGACAGGTAGGCTCAATTCAAGTTAAAAGAAATGTACAATTCGGAACGACGCGATATTTACCGGGGGTGATTTTTTTTAAATTTTAGACAAGGAAACTGAAACACAACCCAAGGAACAAGTCATTTACCCCGATCCAGAAGTAGAAAGAGACGTCTATGTACCGCAAACCACACCACCATTCCCACCCGAATTGTTCGGTGCTGTTGACGGTATGGGTTCAATCGATGATCGTCAGCAATTTTTCGAGCTGTTCAATACATTACAACAACAAAATTCGGGCCAAGCAAATTCAAATACTTTTGCTGCGTTTGCACAGTTTGGAAATATGGGTGGTGGCGAGGCTGGACCAAATGCATTTTTCGGAAATTTAAACACCAATGAACAACCAAAAGTACCTGAAACACCATTACAAAAATTTCTCAACACAAAAATTCACATCGGTCTATTGGCAGTGTTAACCTATTTATTTATTTTACTGACACCATTTCATTGGAATGTTTTTCTTGTTTTTCTTCTCTGGGAAATTGCTGAAATTTTCATTTTACGTCAGCACGAGTCAAATTCAAATGGTATTATAAATGTTTTGTTCATGTTGGCTGGAATATCGCCGGCGAAAGTAAACATTGTCTTGAAATGGGTTCAATTATTGAATAAGGTATTGCGGGATGTGGCATTGTTTATGTTTTTCTTTGTTCTCACTCATGTGTGCCGCGTATATTGGACCGGATTGAGTCTTGTGCCATTGATTGAACGTAGTGACCAAAGTCAGAGAATACCCGACATCATCGATGGTAATGCCGATGATGAATTCGAACATTTCGAACTATAAATTTTAGCAAACAATTTATACAAAATTTTTATTATCCTCTATGGTCGTCGTTCATAAAATGTTCAAATCGATTGTGGTACTTAATAAAATTTGAAAAGAAATTTATGACAACATTTATTATCTATTAAAAGTGAATTGGAATTCTCATTCGGAATGTTCAATTACGAATATCATGTGTTCATTTTTTCATATTCCAAATAAACATATCAAAAGAAACTCAAGAGACTTATCAGTATCAAAAGACTATATACCAGTCATAAATATAAATGGTGACTTGACGACATTTCAGATAGGAACTGAACATTACACAAAAATTATCATAAAAATCCATTAAAATTTTCCGTTTGAAAATAATTTCTTTTATTGTTTTATAGTTGACCTCTTCAACATTGAGTTCGACATTTCTTCCCCACTTTATGAATATAATCTTTGCAAAAAATTAGCATGCGCAACAACCACCTTCGATTGGCAAACTGTTGCCGTTTATGAATGAACTTTTGTCGCTCAATAAGAAGATTATCGGATCAGAGACTTCATTAAGTTCAGCAAAACGATGCAATGGAATGCGACTCTTCATTTTTTCAGCTTTGGTTGGTTCGCTCCAATTGGGAATGCTCATTGCGGTAAGAACTACTGTTGGATTAACACTATTGACACGTATATTACGTGGTCCCAACTCAAGTGCAAAAGCCCGGGTTAAACCGTCCACAGCGGCTTTCGATGCTGAATAAATTGCATGATTGGCGAACGCACGTAAACCAGCCAATGATGACAGATTAACAATACTGCCTCCATCGTTGAAATTCGGCAGTAGCGTTTGCGTTACATTGAAAACAGCCTTGACATTAACGTTCATCGTACTGTAGAAAAAATGAAGCCAAATAAGTATTGATTGATATGCGAAATGAAGCCATTTAAATAAACTCACTCATCAAAATCCTGTTCACTCAATTCGGTGACTGGTTTGCAAATAGCAATACCAGCATTGTTGACCAAACCATCGATTTTCACACCCTTGAACACATTGACGAGCTCGCTTCGTGATTTTGACCAATCACTTAAATCAAGTGGCACTGTTAATATGCGAGGATTTGTTGCTTTTAATTCGGTCAATGGCCCAGCAGAACGTGAAATCGCATAAACCGTGGCACCAAGCGCATCCAGGCGTTTGCATAGGTCTCTGCCGATTCCTTTGCGAAAATTAATTTATAGAAAAAATCGCGTTACTTATGTGTTATTTTGGTTATCGTGCTATTTTGCGCTGATAAAGCTAAAAATAATCAATGATTAAAGGGTCAATGGGGCGGGTTTTTGAAAACATGTTCTCTGCTCAAAATATAGGATGTAAACAAAAACCATTGTAAATTAATTTAAAAATATTATGACAAATACAAATTTTGCACGAGATTTCCATAAAAGTAATCTGCTTTGAAGCTTGTAGATCAAAAGATACTATTCTAATGCGGTCAAATTTCTAACAGAAAACTGTTTTGAAAAATTATTTTTCACTTTTCGCCAAACTTATAAGAAATTAACTTTGTTTAAAACAATCTATTCTATTCTATTTACTTATCGATTCCATCGAAATGACATTTAATTAATCAAATTACGTTTGGTTTGCCTTAATCTGTGTATTACCTTGTCCGGCGCCAGTAACAACGATTGTTTTGTTTTTAAAGTATTCAGTCATTTTCAGCAATTAAAATTCAAATCAAATACGTAATGGAAAACGTTTTAGTAAAGTGATCTCACAAAAAAAGAAACAATATGCTCTCTCTCCAACGAACGAACGAAGAATGAAAATAAACTGTTCTACTACAAAAAGAGATATTTTCTTATGTCACACACATATGACGATGATTGGGTGTGATCTTTTGACTTTTATAATGTACGTAATATTCATAATCTTTATATGGACGTTGAAATATCAGTAAAATTACCGAATATTATCTAGCATGAAATAAATCAGAGTGAAAAATGGTTGATAATTTATTTAAAAATAAGTTGAAGTAAACAAAAGTTGGCAAGTGTAAAATTGCAAGCGTAGTTTTCACAAATGCATCGTATTTGTTCGAAGCGGGTATAAATTCGTTGAGATTTCATTAAAAATGTTTAGTCTGAATTTCAACCTCTGCTCTCTTCTAAATATAAAATGGATCAGGACTTCAAAGGCAAAACATATGTTATTACTGGTGCCGGTCGTGGTAACTGCGACTTCACAACAACTTTTTGTTTCTGTTTTTTTACTTAATTTTTTTTTTGTGTTTGAAAAGGTATCGGAAGAGAAGTTCTCGAACGTCTCCATTCATATGGAGCCACAGTGTATGCGATTGATATGTCGCCGATGGACGATTTAAAAACATATTCAAATGTCATTACTCTATCGTTAGACCTGAGCAGTTGGAGTTATGCTCGCACACATTTAACAGAAGCTTTTAAAAATGTACAAATCGATGGTTTAGTTAATAATGCAGGAATTACCATTTGCAAACCATTTGAAGAGCTCACAGAAGATGACTATGATAAGTAAGTTGCTTGCCGATTTAGATTTAAAAGAGACAGAAAAAGAAAGAAAATTGTATTATGGCTTCTTTTTAGAGTGATGAATATCAACGTTAAAGCTGTGTTCAATATAACACAAGTTCTATCAAGTTCAATAAAAAACGGCGGTAGCATTGCGAATCTTTCATCGTTGGCTGGATTGCGAGCATTCCCCGAACATTCTTTATATCATATATCCAAGGCTGGCGTTGATGCAATGACCCGTGCTCTGGCACTTGAATTTGGAGCACGAAATATTCGTGTGAATAGTGTTAATCCAACTGCGTGCATGACAGAAATGGGACGCTTCATTTGGAGCGATAAAACTAAGGCTGAAGGACTTTGGAGCAGAATTCCATTGTACCGTTTCGCTGAATTACGTGAAGTTGTCGATCCAATTCTCTTCTTTCTTGGCAACCAATCATCTTTTATAAACGGAGTACAATTGCCAATTGAAGGCGGATTCTCGGCGTGCTAAATATTTCACAACATTATTTGCAATTTAACAATTTCATTGTTTTATTAAACTGTGACGAAAATATAAATAATATTTTATCAAAATTATTCTCATATTTATCTAATTGTTTTGAAGAATGTAAAACAAATTCTTTTTAAAAAAAATTGAAGAGAAGATGATTTTGAGGTAGAATGGCGTCAATGTTGATTTGATATGACAACCGAGACCGCTGCTAAAAAAATTTAAGGTGGTTCTCGCAGCAAATACGTATTTCCAGAAAAATTGCAGTCTAAATACCACTAGATCCGGATACAAAGGAAACGAATTACTGGTTGAGGCTTGGAGTAAAGTACCTGTCTTTGGCCTTGGATTACCTACTCCTGAATATAACTATTGAGATCTTGAATGAATAATGAAAAAAAATACTTTTGATGCAGAGCACACGTATTACATTTATTGTTGAAACATTAATGTTTGCATCAGAATTAACTTCTCCTATCATACTGTCTAATTCATATAAAAGTAGAAAATTGATCATTTCTCATAAAATTAATTTTGGAAATCAATCATTAATTTTCTTCTTTGAAATTAATTTTTAACACAGTAATCACACCAAAAACAGCCATTTCTATTTGAATTTACAATAAAATGTAGATTTTGAAAATGCCATTGAGAAATTTGTAACATCATTCAATAAAACATTTTTCAAAATTAGAATTCATTTTTTTAATCCACGTACGAGATAATTTTTTGAACTCAGAAGCGGAAAATTTCAAAACTACACCTTCAAAATACTGCTGTAAATATATTTGCCATAAAATCTAGTACTGCAATAGTAAATGTGTATAACTTCATTTCTATATAATGCGATATTCTTTGCGTTTGTCATTTCGAATTTGTCAAAGTGAAAAGGTATATACCTAAACAATTTTCATTGTTTTTTCTACTGCGAATATTACTCGAACCACGATTACTCGATTAATCGATTATTGCTAATTTGGAGAAAGCGTAAGTGGCCTTTGCTGTTTTTATTTCAATTTGAACATTTTACATACATTCAACTTGAATAATATGTATCTAAAGCATTTTTGAATACATTTGGCGTCTTTTTCAATGACAATGACACAATCAATTAAAATAGACGCAAAAAATGTCTAAACAAAAAAGTGACTAAAATCGCATGCCAATGAAAGAAAAAATCTCGGTATACATTCAAAATAATAACTTGTTCATGTTATTTCTATGTATGTCATTGAAGTGTGTGCCAAAAATGAAAAAAATTATCTCTAATAAATATTCATATATATAGTATTATAAACAATAGTTCCATCCATTGGACATCTGTGCTATGATGTCATTGTTTTTTTTTTTGCTTCATTTGATATGTATTTGTTTTTCATACCGTTTTCATGTAGAAATAAAGGAAAGCAAAAAGATGCCATCGAACAACGCTGGAAGCTGTTTGGACAAGATTTTGGCTGATGTCAGTAAACAATCGGCGACAAAACAAATCCTAATTGGTGCTGCCTCTGGATGGTAAGTCGTTATATCACCATCGAATGACCTCATACAAATTTTTGTTCAAACCATTTTTTGTCATGTGATATAGGGTAACTGGTTTTGCTTCGGCAAAAGTTGGTCGTTTGGCAGCATTTACAATTGGTGGCGCAATCATTTTGTTAGAAGTAGCAAATGAACAAGGAATCATAAAAATCGATTGGAGCCGACTTTATCGGAAGGTTGATGAAGCCGGTGACAAAGTGCAGGAAAAACTTACGGGAGAGGGACCAAAATGGATGGAAAAGGTGAGCAATGCTTTAAAAGTGACCGAGTCTCTTTGTTTTTTGTTGGCTTGCACAAAGATTAGTTTTTAGTAGAATTTAGAATCTGGAAGTCAGTTTGAAGTGGTAAAACAATGCAATTTTCTGCACATTTCTAGGCTGAATATTATATTAGAAATAATGTACCAACAGCAACCGGATTCTTGGGAGGTTTTTTGTTGGGAATATCATCGTAATATCAATTTTTATCATAACGAGCCAAATTGAGAGCACGCGCGCGCGCCGAGAAAAAGCGTTAACATTGTAGCTGTTTCCATTTCATTTTTAAAAGATTTTTCTGGACTATTAAACCCAACCAAAACGAAACTCAAATTAGAATCAATTGAATTTACCATTTATTTCATGATTGACAATGAGATCATTTCCATCAAACACTTAACTTCTTCAAAGAATCAATTATCCAAACTTATGAATTAAAAATGACTTCATTGCTCAATAAACTGTCTAAGTTTGCTTCTTAATTTGTGTTTTATTATCATTTTATGAATAAAAAATCAATATATTTTATGAGATCTGGTGTCATAAAACTGAAATGTAAATTGTAATTCTCTTTATGCAGGCCGAACGTTATGTTGATCGCAAACTCGACCAAGCCGAAAGCACATTGAAGAAAAACCAGAAGAAAGCTAAGAAATGGTACGCAGCATTCATTGGAGACGACAGTGGGCCGAAAATTAACAATTTGCACATATTTTTGGTTGGGTTTACTGGAGGTGTTGCCATTGGACTGGCTAGTGTTTAAACTTGATTAGTATTCGTGAAGTTCATAAAAACAAGAATGTTTACACAGCGTAGTGACTAACTATATACATTTTACATTTACAATGGATCGTTCAAAATGCACGGCACAACAAATTTTTAAAACAAACCAATATTGGCAATGAGATTGAATGAAATTTTATGGCTGATACTATTTCGAAGATCTGAAGCCCACCACCAAAGCATGTTTCAATTTCAACATATTACTCAAATACTTGCACAATTTGAAATATGCTTTGCTATTGTGTTGGCCATTTTGTGCTTCGCAAATAAAACATAAGTATTATTCTTTAGTCACTTAAATTATAACAACAGACGAATAAAGTATACAATGATGAACATAGAAATGCTTGAAAAATGAAAACCTTATCAATGGAATCATATTTGATATTAATATTTTTGTTTCATTTTTGGAACTTGATGAGGGTGACACTTGATGACTAAAGGTAAGCTCTTTTATAATGCACTCAGATTTTCCAAGATCTTATTCCAAATATCTTAAATTCCAGTGAAAAAATTATCGCTTGGAACGAACTCACTACGTGTCAATAAAGTTTATAGAGACTATCAATAGATTTTTCTACCATGGTTATTGATAAAAGTAGAAAAATAAGCGATGAAGCGTAAACAGTAAAATATTTTCGAAAGATTCTATCATAGCTGTCCACGAACGTTCGTTCGTAGAATATTTTTTTGGTCTTTTTGTTCGTTCGTTCGTTCGTAGAATTGTATTGCGTTCGTTCGTTCGTTCGTAGAAACTGAAATGTTCGGATTGTTCGTTCGTTGTTCGTACGAACAACGAACAACGAACACGTTCGTTCATTCGTAATTTATGAAAATTTATTTTCTCAAAATAAACAAATATTGTGATACTAAATGTAAATTGGAAAAACCTTAAATTGATTTTTCCCGCTTTTCCAATGGGAAATTGTGAAAAATAAGCAAAATATTGACTCTCGTACGAAAAAATTTTTTTCTCACTTTTTTGTGCATTATACCCAGTCTCCGAGAGTTTCATATAAGGTTGCCATGTAACTGCAGAAAGTCAGTCGAAAATATTGAAAAAAAATCTGGACTGACTGGGTCTCAGACTGGGTATAATACAAGAAAAAAGAGAAAAAAATGTTTTCGATATTTTTGTGCACTATACCGAGTCTTCGAGAGTTTCATATAAGCTTGCCATGTAGCAGCACAAAGACGGTCGAAAAGACGAATTTTTTTTTTTTAATATTTTCGACTGTCTTTCTGCTGTCACATGGCAACCTTATATGAAACTCTCGGAGACTGGGTATAATACACAAAAAAAGTGAAATTTTTTTTTCTTACGGGAGTCAATTTTGCTTATTTTCACGATTTCCCATCGGAAAAGCGGGAAAAAAAGATTTAAAGTTTTTCCAATTTACATTTAGTATCACAATATTTGTTTATTTTGAGAAAATAAATTTTCATAAATTACGAACGAACGAACGTGTTCGTTGTTCGTTGTTCGTACGAACAACGAACGAACAATCCGAACATTTCATTTTCTACGAACGAACGAACGAACGCAATACGATTCTACGAACGAACGAACGAACAAAAAGACCAAAAAATATTCTACGAACGAACGAACGGTTCGTTCGTTAGTGTTCGTGGACAGCTATGGATTCTATTTATTTTTTTATTTGCTTGAAAAAAAAAACTTATTTTGAAAAGTTTTGAGGCTATGCATAATATGGCATTATTAAATGGCTACAATTTCATAAATTAAAGTTTCTGCTACTTGAGTGAAGGATTTAAATACTATCGAACCGAAGATGGTCGGAGAACGGTCGGCGTCGTAATGATTTCGTCATCGGATTTTTTCGGAATTCGGTATTGATTGGATGCTCGACGAAATTCGCCAACTTTAAGTTCTGATTGGTTCAGAATAAAAAATCAACTTGGAATTTGAGTCTATAAAAGTGGAACATGGAGTTTTCTACATGATTTATTTCCTGATACAACAACTTCCCATTCATTTTTCATCAGTTCACATAAATTATGTATTAAATTTTGTCCGAGCTCCGAGCACAGAAAGAGTCCGACCACCGATCCGATCCTATCCGAGGTAGTCGGAGAACGGTCGATATCGAATTTAATAGTCTCGACGAAAATTTTAATTTGATCAGCAGTTTTCTCATACATTTGATTGCGCATGGCCTTGTTATCAACATCATCGTTATACAATCATTTCTGGGCACCAAATATTGAATACAATCATTTCTGGGCACGTCTTGATGCGCTTAAGAAATGGAGATTGGTTTGCAATTGTTTTATATGTGCACCAAAAATTCTTATCAAATTGTTTTGATACATAGGAAGATATGCCAGAAAATGCAACAAAACACATAAAATAGAAGATAACACAGAAGATTCATCATCTTCTGCAGAAAATGCATATGGTGTGTGGGTATAAAATGGATTCATGCAAAAAATTTGAAAAAATCGCCATCGGCCGTCTGCATTACCTACCTTAAAAAATCCCATCTGTATTCTAGTGTGACAGTAGTAAAATGTCAATGTCACACAGTATGTCGCACATTTTATTTGACTTGTTTCACACATTGTGTATGTTTTTGTTAAACGTGAATTATGTAGCCTGCTCTTTGCACCGACTTTAAGTTATTTTTGCGACAAATTTTTACGTAGATAAGAATCATAGTTTAAATAAAATGGATTCTAAATATTCGATAATTGATAAAAACAAGTCAAATGTGTCTGAATCTAGCCCATTCAGTTTAAAGCGAAAATTTTCCTATGGCTCTGCAAATGCAGTACCACAAGCAAAGAAACCGCATTTATCAAATGTTCCGAAACTTTCGAATCCATCGCCAAAACAAAACGCCACACAAAATGGAACGGTGACTACCAAGACCGCTGTTGATAATATTCAAACGCAACGCAAACAATTGCCAATATTTGCTGTACGAGAGCAGTATGTATACATAACCACAATCTTGAATTTAATTAGCAAAATATAAAAAACTCAAAATTTGTCTCTTTTTAGATTATTGCGATATTTACAGAAATGTAATACATTAATAGTTATTGGCGAAACTGGATCAGGAAAAACGACACAGATACCTCAATTTCTACTTCAAATCGGACAAGATGCCATTGCTGTGACACAACCACGACGTATTTCGGCTATCAGTATTTCAACACGTGTTAGTAAAGAGCTAAAATGTAAAATTGGCGAAACAGTCGGGTAAATATTGTATTCATTTGCTTTTGGAAATATCCAGGTTGACTGAAGAATTTTTGGGTACTCATTCATACAGATATACGGTGCGTTTCGAAGATGTTACATCGAAAAAAACAAAAATTCGTTTTATGACTGATGGCTCATTGCTGCGAGAGGCTATGTCGGATCGTCTATTACTACAATATAGCACCATAATACTGGACGAAGCTCATGAACGTACAATAAATACGGATATTTTATTTGGTTTAGTAAAAAATGCTCAGCGACAAAGAATAGCATTGAATAAGAATCCATTGAAGGTATTTTCCCATTGGTATTTTTGGGTATTTTAATCGTGTACAAATGTTTTAATGTCGTTCTATTGTGTTTTTTTTTTCGATTTTAGATAATTATTATGTCGGCCACAATGGATGTCGACCATTTTTCCAATTATTTCAACAATTGTAAAACTGTTTACCTCCAGGGCCGAACATTTCCTGTGAAAATTATGCACGTTAAAGAACCACAAAGTGACTATTTGCACGCAGTTCTATCCACAGTTTTCACAATCCATCAGACAGCACCACCAAAGTAATTAATGATCAATATCTCTTTGGGCTATATTTCCAACACTAATGACACATGCAATTCATTTCAGTCATGATATTTTGGTATTTTTAACGGGTCAAGAAGAAATCGAAGGGATGGCACATCAAATTAAGGCAATGATTAAGGTAACACTATAAAATTCAGCATTCATTTGTGTAAAATGTTAATTTTGTTGTTTCGCACAGTCAAATAGTTTAAAAGGTCCGACTTTACGTGTTTATCCATTGTATGCGCAACTGGCGCAAAATCGACAAATGGATGTATTCGTGCCATCAGCGCAAAATCAGCGCAAAATAATTTTGAGTACAAACATAGCCGAAACGTCGTTAACAATTTCGGGCATAAAATATGTAATCGACAGCGGTGTTGTGAAACGACGAGTTTATGATTCAAAAACCGGCATGGATACACTAAAAGTGAAAAAAATTAGCCAAGATCAAGCGTGGCAACGTTGTGGTCGTGCTGGACGAGAATCGGAAGGATTTTGCTACCGAGCATATACATTCAAAGAATTCAAACAAATGCCAACAACAACAACACCGGAAATATTGCGTAGCAACATTGCAACGACTGTGCTACAATTGATGTCGCTCGATATTGATTGTCGAAAATTTGATTTTATTGATTCACCACAACCGCAATCAATTGAACTGGCCTTGAATCAACTGATTGCATTGGGTGCTGTAAGTTCGGGAAAACGAACTGAATTAACTGAAATGGGTAGAAAGATTTGTCGATTACTTATCGATTATTTCCAATTAATTCTTTTCTTTTGTGATTCTCCCCTTAGGTAGAAAGATGGCCAAATTTCCGCTTGATCCAAAATATAGCAAGATCTTACTCACCGCACCATCGTATGGTTGTTTGGAAGAGGCTCTCAGTGTTGTGGCACTTTTATCAGGCGAAGAAATATTCATAAATAACATTCATGACACTGATCGACGTGGTGATGCATTGACCGCTCATGCAAAATTTGAAAATGAATTTGGTGATCACTTGACGCTGTTGAACGTATTCAAAGCATATGTGAAAACTGAACGACCCAAAACATGGTGTCATGAAAATTTCCTGAATACGCGCAACTTAGCCTATGCACAAGAAGTTCGAAATCAACTGAAAGAAATATGCAATCGCTTCGATTTGGAAATCGCAAGTTGTGGCAATAAATTTGATCAGGTAATTTACTAACATTTTCTATATTTTCGAATAAAAAAATGGTAAAAAAACAAACATATATTGAATTCCATCCCGATTTCAGCTAAGAAAGTGTCTTCTATCGGGTCTTTTTATAAACATTGCGGAATTTCAGCAACGTGACAATCATTATTTGACACTAACAAATCGTCAGCGTGCCAAAATTCATCCGTCGAGTGTACTTAGTGGCAAATCAAATGCAGAGTATATATTATTCACCGAATTGGTGGCCACTGGAAAAACGTACATGCGAACTGTTACACAAATCGATCCGGAATGGATCGATGAAGTTATCCCGAACATTCAACAAATTAAAAAACTTTTTAAAATTGCCGACGGTTCGTAAAAATGCCATAAATACGCAATAAATACACGTGAACATAATTTTTTTTATATCATTTTACAAATCAACCGAATGCAATCTTAAAAAGAGATGTGATTATTATCATCATACACGAAACGCTACACAGCCGATAAAAGAAAATATACGAAATGTACTATTTTTTTTTCTTCATAGGAATTTAAAATAAAAACAGATTTATTCTATAATGTTTTAATTATGAGTATGAATCAATTAGTGTTAAAGCGAATATGTAATATATATTAGATTTGCTGCACAGGTTACGAAGGATAATTTTGAATGATGTTTTGAGGAAACATTATTTGGAAACAAATTTAGCTCAAAATAACATTTTTCACGAATCGATTAAAGAAACCGGTTATCCATTCTTTGCCGCAATACACCATTGAGTATTTTTTTATCGAACGATCATCGAGACCAAAATTTTTCCATAACATTTGATCCATGTTGAATAAGTCATCGGCTTCTCGTTCTAAAATCCTTCGATTCATCATATCAATTTGCGCTTCTGACTCCATTTTATTATTGGTAATTTGGGCCGCATTTGTCTGGCGTTTACTTCGATAACTATATACCGTTGGATTTAAACTGCTTGGATAGTAGTAGTTGTAGTTCGGTTGCGATGGTGTATTGGCCAAACTTTGTGGTGGCATTTTAATTCTTTTATTAGCAACTTTTGGTCCAATTTGTGATGTATTTTGCTCAATCTCCAATGGAAACAATATCTTTAGAAGGTTTCTTATCCATTGCACCAAAAAATTGTAAACACGATCAATATGTTTCCTTAATGTGTTATTTCGAAAAAATCGAAAGATACTGGGGTATTGGACGTAAAAATGTTTGACGACACCTTTGAAAAAATGTTTAATTGTCAATTTTAAAATGTAGGATTTTGTTCATGTCACAGCAAAAAAAAATTGACTGAAGACGGACTACGAAAGTAGCTCCAGTAACTTACATTGGCCTAATTTCACTTCTGGAGTGAGCGTCACATAGGTTTTGTACGCTCTTTTTATGTAAGTTCGAACTGGTTCTAGAAAAATAGAAGGTATGGTGCAATCAGTGGGATATGGTGCAAGTAAGACATGGCCTAGAGTTAGTTGATTAGACTAGATACTTACCAAGATAAGGTGCAATAACTGGCTTCAGACTAATCTCTTGAATAACACGTGAAATATGTGGATCGATTGGACTATCCGTATCAAATGGTACACTATTACTTCGTTCGTCGTCGTTTGGCAAAACGCTATGGAAACCAAAGGGAAATTGTATTTTTTTTTTAAACGGCTGATTTATCCCCGATTTCTATTTTATTGATTGCACTGAAACACCTTAACTTACCCATGATAAATTCCAAATAAATCGATGAAGAGATCGATTAGACTTTGTTTGTCCGATTTATTTACTGAAGACGAATTATTTGCTTGCATTTTCAAATCATCGCAATTTATTAGCGATGCAAACACAAGCAATGCAAATATGTAATAGGTAATACGATCCATTGAATATCAGCCAACTTGAATTAAACGACTTACTTGTAAAATATTATCTGTATCGACTAAATTTTGCAAACATGATCAGTGAACTGTTATGGCAAAAATAGCACGAATCCCCACTATCAATTTGGTGTGTACATTACAAAGCAATTAGATAACTATATGGAAGTAACGACGTAAGAGAACCCTAATTGCGTCGAGTATCTTCTTTCGAAAATCGAAAATAACAATAGTATTGCATACTGGTATACCTAATGAGTTACCGTCAATTAAGCCAGGCTTTCTGATTAGATTTCTTTATTTTATTTTCACTTCCGGACCCCGAGTTCAAAGTGTCAAAATAAAAAATGAGTCACACAGATCAATAAAAGGTCATTTAGTATATATCGTTTAATGAGTGTGCGTATATTTTTACAATATTTATATAAATTGCTTTTCGGTTTCAGTTTTAAATTAGAACTTAAGTCTAAATACTGTTAGAGCGAAATTCGAGTTTTCCATAATATTTTGATTGTTTTTCCTTCTCAGTGTGAATAAATTCATATCAAAATGTTGTATACAGCATTAGTATTGAATATACAGAGGAGAATTTAAAAAAAACTCAGGCCGAATTACCTCTTAAAGCTAATATTGGTTCTGACTCTGAATTTACAATTTAAAAAAACTGTTTTTTTTATCTTTTCTTTTTTTTTGGAAAAAAAAACCCAAAGAATACTTTCATATTTCGAGTCCAATTATTTCATGTACGAAATAAATGGTGTGTTCATCTGCAGATTCAAAATAAAAAATTTTTTGGCTACACTTTTCACTTATTTCAACTTAAAAATTATCATAACAAAAATATCTGTATAAAAATAGACAATATTTTTTTTTCTTTAAAAAAACGGTAGATGGTGATAACGCGCAGGTAATTTCCATTTTTGCAAGAGGAAAATGCATATTCCAAATGTGAAAATAACGAATGAGTGAATTGCATAGTTCATATTGAGATAATGTTTTTTTTTCTCTCTCTCTCGTAATTTTATGATATCATCTCGGTTGGTTTCCGGAGACGCAAAAAAAAATATTATCAAAACAAAGATAAAACGATTAGGAATTCGATATATATTGCGTCACTGGCGCTTCTAAATCGTAAGCCGATGCTATAGTCGAGAGCGTGACAATAACAATCAAAATCACGCGGGCTAGACTATTCTCGTATACGGGGGGGTGGTCTATTGGAGCATTAGCGCTGATAGGTTTCGTTTTAGGATTGTGTCTTTCACCGAATTAAAAACCACTTGAATATTCTGCGTGTCGACGGCATTGGTAAAGTGATGATAAATGGCTGTGTGAGTATTTCGTCGAGTGTTCATAAACATTTGGAGTATAAAATTTTGAACGTCTAGTATTGAATGCGGGTTGCCTGTAAATTGTGGATAATACCAACGTATATCAGTCTCTGGATTTCGTACTTTAAGCGCTAGCAAATCGGTTTTATTTAAAAATAATATCGTTGAAATTCCTTTGAACGTTGTATTATTTACAATGGTGTCGAATATATTTTTCGACTCTTCCAGACGATTTGTTTTCCTATTTGAAGACAAGAAAAAACACTGATTAGTTTCGATTGTATTGATGCTACGATAAAAATGGTGACTTACCGATCTTCGGCCAGAACCTGATCAAATTCCGATGTTGACACAAGAAATAATACTGATGTCACCGAACTAAAACATGTTGTCCATTTTTGTCGTTGAGTTCGTTGCCCACCCACATCTACAAACACGAACGGAATGTCCTGTAAATGATACACCAATTTATAGATTAATATTCATTTTCATTCAATCAGTTTCCAATCCCCATTTTCATTTAGATTCAATTTAAATTTACCTTGATCTTAATTGTAAACTCATAAACACCTTTTGTCGCCTTTCGACAATGCAGTATATCTTTTTGGGACGGAACGTAATTTGGTTTTGCTATTCGATCGATTTCATCGAAAAAGTAGCTTACTGAATCACTCTGGAAATTGAAGGGATTTTTTTTTTAAATTATTAATATTAAATCGAACATGAAAAGAAATGACAAAAAGCACATACGATTTGAAATTCTCTTCGACGATCATATGCCCTTCGAATAGCTCTGTCTTGCCATAACATTTTCACTGTGGGTGCATATTCTTCAAAATATTCAGCGTCCAATTCGTTTCCATGGAGAATTTTACGCACACGTTCCGCCGCCAATTCCGATGTTGGATTCTCCCATACAATGTCCAATTTTTCACGGGCATCGACTAATACTTGCATACCTCGTACGATATTTTGATAAATTACATGTTGATATTCTCGCATTAGTTCGGGCTCAAATTTAATGCCATGAATAATTCGCATTTGTTTCAAAAACGTTGACTTTCCAGATTCACCAGCGCCCAGTAACAACAATTTCACCTAAAATAATTTATCATTTTCAATCAAATAAACAAAAAAAAGTTATCTCTCTCGTCGTGTTCACTCGAATTTCATTGACGTGTGAAGAGAAAAAAAAAAGAAGAAAATCAACACAAAAATCAAAAGTACTGTCATATCAGCGAATTCATCTCTACTGTGTCCAAGCAGAGAATGAGTCATATATGAATAATAAAACAAATAAAACAAGAGTGTACTTGCTTTGCAAAAGAAAAAATAATAATAATACAAATCGTTGTGATAAAAGTTATTAATGTGATATTTTTTTTTTCACTTTTCAACATCGCGCGAAATTACAGATGAACAGCGATGATGTGAGAAGAACTAGTTTTTTGTGCGATCAAAAAAAAAAAAAACATGTGACATGCAACTGGTCATACACTTTAATCATGTGTTTATGGTTGATTTCATTTTTTTTTTCGTTGTTGTTTTGTTTCCAACCAAAATAAATAAACACCAAGAGAATGCCAATGAAAAATGAATATCAAAACAACCATATACATATAAGTAGATATCAACCAATGATAGCCACCAGTCAAATGAATGAGAGTGAAATTTTTTTTATAATTGAAGTTGGAAAGTGAGCATGTTAACATACCTGTCGTCGGAATGTATGTTTATCTTTTTCCAAAAATTTGTCGATTTCGCGAGATTTGTATCGTTGTTCCAACTCTTCTGGACTAGCACGAAATCGCATCAAATAGTTGAAGATGTCATTGCAGCATCGCGAACATGAGAATCGATGCATTGATCGTCTGCTATTTTGATTGCCGTTCAAATTACAATTGGTGCTGTGGTTGTTGCTCACAAAACTCATATCACCATTACCGCTATTGCTTGCGACTTGAGCAGCAGCGGCAACGGCGACAGCAGCAGCAATATTCGACTTATTGTTGCTATTGTTAATATCATCGTCAATGGCTTCCGCCATCTTTGCAACATTCGATATGTCACTTTTATTTAGATACTTTTTCTTGCCACAATTCAACATAAATCCTCTTTTCATACGGGCTCCGTAATCGATCAACACACAAATAAAAAAAAAAACACTCTTTCACGTTCCAAATCACTTGTAAACTGTTGTTGCCTTAGCGATATACGTTGTTTTAAAACGTCCCAAATCCGGAACATACACTACATTATCTCTTTCGCTCTCAGTCTTTATGTGATATGATTCAATTGTTGTCAAACTAAACACAATGTGTGTTAAACACAGAGCATTCACATCTATCGTTTTCTGTATAAACAATTCGCTTCTCTTTTGTGCCCGATTTTCGAACAAAATTTTATTATTAATTTTTTTCGTTATTGTTGATTTACAAATCAGTTCTTTCACCAGAATCGATGATACTTATTATTATTGTGCAATTAATGAACCGGAGGATGTAATTGCGTTTGGAATTCGTGCGATAAATTATCATTGTTTGCTCGAGTTTTTTTTCTCTCTTCTTTGATTCAATCACATCGCACTGCTTAACACAACTGATATTATAGCAACAACAACAAAAAAAAATATGTGTAGAGAAAACACCACAGCGAATTTAATTTATGCTCGTAAATTGCTAATAACACAATTCATATAATTAAAAAAGCACACTTTTCCCGTTTCACACTTCTGCCAAATACTCTGCGGCTTTTCCATTCGACAATTTTCGAATAAAAATATTGGACAGAAATTATGGCAAAATAGCAAAAAATAATTTAATTAATTCGATGTGTTTTTTTCCTGTTCTTTATTTTACTGAATTAATTCGGAGCAAAAACAAAAATTCCACTCCCGTCAAAATCATTCGTATGCTCTGAAGTGAATGCTCTGTTGTAATTGCTTAGGTGTATTCGTATTATTTCTTTTTTTCCGTCTCTCACTCACTCGTTCTCTCTCTCGTTCGATCACACTACTCTCTGTTTAATTTACGCTCTGTATTTACATCTTACTATGTGAAATGCACATCACACACCTATTCGAATGTGATGTTTCGCCTATTCTAACGATGTATTGGTGCATGCGTTTTGTTTGACATTCCATTCCAATCTACTACGATAGTTTTGAAATCGCTTCGTCTCTATATTCACACATTTACTTCACATTTATTTTGAACGATCGACCATCAACGATTTTGCAAATAAATACGTAATTCGGAATGTGTTAAATAAAAAAAAAATCAAAATAAACCAAATAGCCATTTCTCATTTACTCACACTCTCTTACAAATTGACAATATATACATAACATGTAGTTTAAATGATATAGACATACGTATACAACGTCAACTTGTCTCCGTGCATGCATCAAAACAAATACTGAAGTTTAAATGTCAAACGAAAAAAAACAAACGATTTGGCCTTTTGCTCTATTTGGGCTGAAATAATTCTTTTCATCGTTTTCCGCATTCATCAGTGTATTCATTATTATATTTCAAATTGATCATTTGTATACATGTCAACAATTCAATTAATTGATCACCTGAACAAAACGGCATCATTGCCGTTGTCAATCTGTTTTGAAACAATTTCATCAACAACAACCCTGACTGCATGTATATATGTGCATTTAACATACTGCCAAATGCGTAATAATAATTCATGTTTAACACATTCAGCGGCGCCAATTTAATTAAGAAAATTGAGCTCACTACATACACCATCGATTGCAAAAATGTTAATAATTAGCCATATCTCTTTTTCGGTTAAGCACGTATGAGTGTTGGGCACTTAAACTGCACATTCAGCAACTGATTCTCTTCAATTTATTTAATTAAATCGTAAAAAGAGTTGACATTAAATTGTTGTTCCGTTGTTATATGTTCCTTCGTTATAATTCGAATAATGCGCCGATTGTCAATTGTTTGACATCAAACTTTTCATTGTCAAACCGATTTTTTGAGGTTATGTCAAGACAGATTATAAATAGACGAAGTTTGACAATTCGACGGTCAATTTTATTCACATTCAATATGTCGAACCTTTCGGTATTACCAAAATTATTAAAATTACGTCCTATCAATCACATGATTCTCTTGAATGTTCGACAATTGACATCTGGCATAAAAAGTGAAAAAATAAATACAATAGTGACACACAATTGTGCTGGAACAAATGGAACAACAATACACCACCGTTCGATTGAAAATTCAGTTTTGGTGAAGCGTTTAGTTCATACCAGCAACCAGCATTGGAAAGACGATGACACAAATAAATCGCATATTGATCAGTTTCGTGCCGACGAGGTCAAAATTGAGCGTGAATATGAAGAGAAACAAAAAAATGAGCAACAAACATCCGCTGACAATGACCATTCAACGACCGAAAATCATGAAAAAATTCAGAAAATTCGCTCCGACATTTTGGATGCATCTCTAAAATTTGTCGCAACAAACGGTTGGAGTCATGAGGCAATTGCACACGGTGCTGAATCGATAAATTATCCAGGTATAGCACACGGTATGTTTCCCAATGGCGCCATCGAATTAATTCATCATTTCTATGCGAAATGTAATCGCGAATTAATTGAACAGTTACAACGTGAAATCACTGAAACTAGTGAAAAAACCGTCGATAATGGAAAAAGGGGCGAACCATTGAGCCCAAGAGATTTTGCAATCAAAGCGATACGGATGCGTCTCGAAATGATAATACCGTACAAAGACAGTTGGGCACAGGCCTGTGCTATAATGACTCTGCCACAAAATGTGCCCACATCATTAGCACATCTCTTAACATTGGTCGATGATATTTGCCATTCCGCCGGTGATCGATCGGTTGACATTGGCTGGTACACAAGACGCATTGGAATTGCTTCTATTTATAAAATGGTCGAATTGTATATGTTACAAGATAAATCACCGGAACATACTGATACGTGGACATTTCTGGAACGTCGCATGGATGAAGGCATTCAAGTACAAGAATTTCTTAGCACATCTGACCAAAAAACACAAACAATGGCCAAAGCACTCGGGTCAGCCTTTCAAACGGCCAGAAATATATTAGGAATTAATTGTGATAAAAGATGAAGCAAAAATTTAGTTCAATAGAAAATGTTCATATTTTCAGGCATAATTTTGTTGATGTTGTTTTAACAGAAATAAAGAAAATAAACTGTATGCAGTTTTGCCAAGCAGAAATATTTTATTTAATTTTATTGAGGTCTTTTGATGTCACATTTGCATTGAAAATTATACGACCCAAAGACACTTACTTACACAATGAGCTTAACTTACTCCAAAGGTCAAGGTCTGAACTTTTTACTATTTTGCATCATTTTAAAGGCTTGAAAGTGCCATAATTTTTACGTTGAAAAACGTACTACTTACGGTTATCTCGATATGCAAAATAAAAAGTTGAAGGTCAAAATAAAAAAAAAGAGAAAATTGTATTTTGAAAATTGAAAAACTTTATTTTCGATATATCAAAGATATGTATTAGTTGACAAAAAAACTCTATAAAAATTCGTACGAAATCTAATAATATGGCTTATATTTGTGTTTCAATTATTAAATTAGTCGTTATTAAATGAATTTCGTGTTGTTTTTCTTATCAATTTGTGATCGAAAATGTCTCTTTGGGATGAGGAATTCAGAGAGGAATGTCATAAAAATGAATGGGATATTTACACAATTTGTTTTTTTTTTTTTTTTCCATTTAAATCTAAACTTACAAAATTAATCTATGCATAAAACGTAGCTCTTTAATATAAAGAAATAAATAAACATACACAAAAATGGGCAAAAAAATTGTTTTAGTATTATGAGCATGAGCAGAATCTTCATTTTATTTAAATATTCCGTTCGTAATATACTTGCACCAAATAGCAAACGTAATTACTGTTTAAATCGTTAAATTTCAGGTGTTAAAATGTGAATGTTACATGGAGCAAAAGTTACATATATGATATATATATAAGTTTATTACTTAATTTGTGTGTGCCACAGCCACACCCAATTATCGAATGCGAATGCAGTCGCGGCCACATCAAGTAAAACAATTTTATGTTGACGTTTATAGTGCGGCCATGAATGAGATGTCTTTTTAAAAATTGGTGCAACGATCGTTGTGGCATCGGCTATTTAGCGAAGGAAATACATTTTATTTTCGTAATTGTTAATTGTTGTGGCTTGTAAGTTGAACGTCTTGAATAGAAATATTCTTATTGATAGAGTATATTTTGTATTATTCTTTTCATCGAATATAAAAGCCTCTTTAAAGCCATCATTCATTGTTTAGCCGAATAATTATCAATGTAACAAATATTTATTTGTTCAATAAATACGGGTAGCTGTATACATATATACGCGATGTGAGACTATTTAGCTCGAATCACAGGGAACGATTAAGCATATTCATAGCCAATATCTATTCGATTATTTCAATTTAATTACTTAAATAATAAAAGTTATCAATGGTTAAAAGAAAACATCTATTGATTTCAATTTGTAAAAGTGGCCAATCAAAAAAATATATTTCGATTGGCATTCGGATTGCTGTTCTTCGATGTGTATAGTTTTCATGTGGGAATTTAACAAATTGTTTCCATTGGCACTTTCGATGCGTTTGTTGTTGTATTAAATGTGTGATTTGTCATAGATTCACCAATTGATGCCAGTCCATTCGATGAGCTTGAATGATGTTGACCATGGGCTGTGTTTAGTTTGGAGCGGCTACTTTTTGGCGAGAAAAATCTTCCGATTGCCGAAAAAACCTTTCAAATTAAAAGACATTCAATTGACAACGTGAATTATGGTTATGGTTTTTTACGACATAATAATAAAATTTACAATATATGTATGTGAAAATCTCACCTGCGGTTGTGATGCGACCACCAAAAAAATCCATACGCCTTGTAGAGCATTTATTGTATCAATTACATACCAGAAATAAAAGGGAACATCTGGGCTTTGATTGGCATTTTTGGGCAACCAAACATTGTGGGCCCAAGATAAAACGTCACCACACCAAGTTATTCCCATGACAACGACCAATTTCATGCAAACACGACCCAATGCAGCTCTACGAATGGATACAACAATAAAAAATGATGTAAACACATAGAAATAAAAGAGTCAAACAAAACGAAAATTCGCATGTCTTGTATAGAGTCAATAAAAATGAATAGAAGAAAAATTGTTGACGTCTGAAATTTACCGCTCGGTAGATGATTTTACGTCGTCCTGTTTCCAAAGGCCGCACATAAGTTGTCTTGTTGTCGATGCAAATAGGCAAATATTTATGAGCAACAGCATACCAACGGGACCAAAGAAGTACACAAAGATTTCCATGTTACCTAAAATGAAACGATGTGAAAATACCAATTTGTATTGCGATGCGTCTTGTGTGCTGTTGAAATATGCACATTCAATTGTTTGATGGCTCGTTTGCTGTTTAAATATCATAAGTGTACTCACCAAAAAACCAGCATGATTTTTCACCGAATCTTGGTCGCAGTACATCTTGTGTATCGGGTAAATTGTCCATAATAGCCGCAATGGCGGTAATAAGAAATGGAAAGCCCCATGCATAGATTTTGTACACTCGTAAACGGATTTTCTCTTGCTTCTTTCCCAACGTTGTCGGACGAAAGTCACTGTGTATGTTATTAAAATTGGCATTTAATTAAAATAATTTTTTTTACTTGAAATGTCATTGGAAATTTAATCTCATTCGAAGTGAAAATTAAGAAATCGAAATTGATAAATGAACGATTTGTTCGCTATATGGAGAAAAATGGGGGAAAAAATATTGGAAGAGCGGTACATTGAATGAGCTGAACCATATATAAACATAAATCGAAAAATTTACATAAAAAAATGTGCCCAGAAAATGAACAAAACGAAGAATGCGACGAAAGATTTGTTGCACGAAATGTGATGAGTGTGTGCTTATGAATGCTGTGTATTATTGTAAAAATCGTTGAATGAAATCGGTAGACGTATATTTTTATGACTCTTTTTGGCTTCGCGTTTCTTTAAATTCATTATATTCTGTACATGAGATTGTAAAAAAAGTGAAAGTGGCCATATAATAGCCGCACATAAACCGAAAATCCGTCTTATTATTTGCTGACGTCAATGATTTTGTAACATTTGGGGTTTTTCGTCTTTTTTTATGTACAATATAAATCGTCCGATTTTTGTATCCGCATGAAGAAACCTATACAATTTCGTTGATGAGTTTGAAAATTAGATCTTAAACGGTTAACCGTTGAGAAAGACGAAGCAGAAGAAAAAAGAAACTAATTTCATTCTATGCTCATTTATGTTGAGCATTTCGTAATGTTTTCGTTTCTCTTTCTAAATAAAAATTATTTCTTAAATTCTTTTTCATCTTCTCGGTGAAGAATTGATCAAACTGAATACAAAGAATGCGAAACGCGCACACTCAATGACGTCAACATCACTAACAAGTGTTTGGTCATAATTTTACGTAGTCCGTTTGAGTTTGATCGAATTGTTTGCTGCGTATATGTGTCTTGCTGCGTGTGTGCCTGTGTGTTAATAATTCAACATAAAAAGTACGAACGCTGGACACATTGACGTTAACATTCCGTTTGTTTATGAAACGATCGTTTTGTTGGTTCTTCTTGTGTAATGTTGCTCAGTTCGAAAAGCAAAAGATCAGAAAAACGGATAAGCGAGAGCACAAAGAACACAAAAAAAAATATATCAAAACAAAGATCTCGCGCTTTGAACAGAACCAGATCAACTTGGTTGTGCAGGTCACACACATTGAATATATGTATAAGAGAGCTGTCAGATCTTTATTCCCATGTGTTCGATTGTTTTCTCTCTTCCATTCCATATTTTCAGTTTCTGTTGACGGCATCGCTGTTGCACCGTCCGTCGCCGTCGTCGACAACAACAATAACGACATCGACGACATTTTCAACGGAGATCTGGTTTTAACAATGTTCACCTATTAAATCAAACGTAATTAACATGTTTCGCAATCGACATAACAATCAACAATACAAAGAATTTTGCACAACCTTTGCATTCCAAAATAATAATAATAATTTGCCTTTGTTCGTGGTGTTGGTGTTCATGTACGGGCAAATTGTTTTTTAAAAACTAGATTATTGTGACAATTCTTACCGGAATGTGAGATAGATGTTCAAGCACATTACGTTGAGCCAAAAGAAGGCAGCAAGGAAGAAGAAGTGCATCGATGTGGCTGAAAAAAAGAGAGAAAAGAATACATTCATAAATCAGGCGATAGCATATTTTTCGACAATGGTTGTGTTTTTTTTTTATTTAAAATTTCTCTTCTTCACTCTTTAGGATTTAAATGAATCTTGATTTCGAAATGGCAAAACACATAAAATATGTAGCTGTGAATTGCATACACACACACACACACAAACACACATCTAATGTGAAAGAATTTATAAACGAGCAGGAAAACGGGAATTAACAATAAACAATAAGCCATTATTATTGGTGCAATGAGTTGCAATCACTCATATTCACGCGGATTTAAAAGCCGCAGAAAAAACAAACAACTAGAACGATTTTGTGGCTTTTTCTTTCCGCAGTTTTCTTTGCATCGCCTTTTTTTTACTCAATTAAAATACAACATTATTATGAACTGAAAACTGCATACGGATAAGATGCAAGCGTACACATGTTGCTCACGGTTTAATGCAAAAAGATAGATGAAAACCGGAGAATAAAACAATAAATAGTGCTGATCTAAACCGCGCAAAATCACAACATTTACAAGAAAAGAGAAAAGAAAAGAAAAGGAAAAGAAAGAAAGATGGAAAATGTGTTGAACCCGATTTGATCATCTCTCTATTCAATGTACATGGTTGTGTGTACTGTGTACAAAACGTTTTTTTAGGCTGACTTGTCTCATTTTAAAATGAAACTCCGTACATCTTCGTCTGGGGATTTAATTCTTCACATTTTTTTGCGCTCGGTCTTTGCTTTTTTTGCGCTGGGTCTTTTGTATTTCGTTTTGGATAACCATAAACGCAATTTTAACAAACGAGCAATATATTTTGCACAAATTTGAGCTATGACATCTTATAGAATGGTGGAAACGCACTGAAAATGCGAACGAACCACACAAATAACAACAAACTAAACAATAAATATACGAATACAAGAGTCGACTTTTTATTTCCACTTCATTTTGTATATGTTGTGTTATTTCCTCTTCTTTTTCTTCTTAGTAAAGTATGAGTGCACCTTGTATGTGTGTGCGAGAAATAATAATGAGAATCAGTAGATGGAAAAAAATAGCAATCATGTCTAAAGAATAAAGCAGCCTCATAACCAATTCATTCTCAATAAAAACTGATGCAAAGTTATAATTGCAAAGGCATATTTCATTTTCTGTTGCAAAATAGCATAGCAAGTAATACATTTTCAGCTGAATGAATTGATTGTGCCGAGAATGAGAGAGAAAATGCGACTTTAATCACTGCATAAATTGCATTCACATCGTAATAAGTTTCTGTGTTGATTAAGCGCATACAAAATAATATGAGTAAAACCGTATTTTGTTACAATTACATGTATTTAAAGCATGCATGTGCACATGGAGAATTCGCATTCATTTTCGGAATTTCGTATTAATTTTCAGCTGGCTGATTTGTATCTTTAAGTCATACCAATGTAGATGAGCTTAGATTTATTACTCATATTATTATCGACGGTGATGAAATCAATAAAAATTGAAATTGGCAATTTCCAACGCCGTCGACACAATGAGTTCATCTTTGATATATCGTTTTAATGTATGCAGAAACAGTGTGAATGAAGACTAAATATATATATTCTCATCTTCATATTTAACTAATATTACGTTGGCGTCAAATAATTGAAACAAATTTCGACTAAATAATTAGTATAGAATTTGTATGGTTCGTCCAATTCGTACTAATACATACATTTATGCGAAATGAAATTACCGTTTTTTAAATTGTAACTTTTCATATCGAATCAAGACTTAAAATAGAATCGCATTTTCGAATGAACTCGTAAACAATGAGAGAGAAATGGTATAAAGAGTACATGGTGAAATGAATAGATGTGTACCGCGTAGCGAAATGTAAATTAGAAATGAATTTCTACTTTTAAATCGTGAGTGAAACTTCAAGATCTATAAGTTTATGACCAATGTTACAACAAATATTCTCATTGCTTCTTCGTCTCTCAATTGATCTCGCCTTTGGATGTGTTTATAGGCTTCAAGCGATATTTTTCTATTACAATTTTTTTTTCATCATTCCACATCTTCTTTTATCCAGATGAATGCACAAGCTGAATGCTATATTGTCAGTATGCCAATTCGAACATAATGAAACTTGTGTACAACCTCAATAGAGTCCAATGTTTTTGATGCTATTCTTATACTGCTTAAAACTCTAATATACATAAATCATTTCAAAGGTTATTCTCACATGCATATGGAATTGCGATTCGATACAACGTGACTTTCTTTCGACAAAGTACGTATTAGACATGAATTTGTGGAGAGAGAGAGAGAGAGAGAGAGAGAGAGAGAGAGAAAAATGATGAAAATTCTTTGCGCTTGACGAGAAAGGTCACTTATTTCACGAACATATAGAAAAATAAGAACGCCGATCGACCGCAAAATTTCATCTAATCTAATCATCTTTCATTCATTCACATACACGATCAATCGAATTTTCCCAAGAAACCACAACTTTTTTTTTAACCATTTTGCTTTGACTTTACAGCTCAATAAGCTCACATCATAAGTATTTTTCTCTGTCTTTTCGGGGCAACGTTCACAAATATAAAAAAATAATATTTGAATTTGCAGGTTTATTGAATGAATACGACTAAATCATCAAAAAATTACGGTATCATTATCCAAAAATGGAGTAAATTCAATTTGAGTGATTCAAAAAGGTTAACTAATTTATCTTTTCATTTCGATCATTGACACAATAATATCTAACAGATCTTCATATTGAATTTGATGAAAATATTAACAAAAATATTCGCTTCATTTAGTCGGTGAACGTTTTAGTAAAATAAATAGAACATTTACAAGTAAAATTCTATAAAAATAAATAATTCCACTTTTATTTCTATCGAATAGTTCAAATTCGTTGCCTCCATTCGAAACTCATATTTAAAACCCATCAAATTCATTGTACCACGCAATTAAGATGAATTCGCATCTATACTTTCTATCAATCATCGGCCTTTCATTTCTTACGATTGTGAAAAGTTTTAATCTAAATTAGTTTTCTGTTAGACGATTAAACCTTTAAAAAAAAACTGTATTTCAGGGCGAAATGACATCAGTGTCCCTCATCAAGAGTAACATTTTACATTTATTTGCGAATGGAGTGCCGGAAGTCACTGTATCAAAAGACCATCATTTAAAGCTGTTAAATAAAGGAAAGCTTGCCGAAACTGATCATGCGCTTGTGTGGAAAGGTATAAATATTCAATCGAAGTTAGGAATAGAGTACATAAACTCTTAACACTTCCAGGAACTTATGACAATAAGGCAGTTGCCTGTAAACTGTTTTGTGATAAAAAGTATATGGATGAGGAAATGAAAATTTTCAAAGCCTTAAATGCAACGAAAAATCTGGATAAGGAACCGCATGAAATACCACGAATCTTTTACCATGGACCAATTCTTGGCAAATATCATGCAATCGCAATGACATTGTTTGATGGAACTTTGTTGGACCGTTACGTAAAACAAGATGAGAAATTATCCGATTTTAGCATTTTACTGATATTTAAGCAGGCGGTTCGTGAGATTTCAATATTACCTAAAAATCGAGAAAAAACGAGAATTTCCTTTAATTTTAGGTCGAAGCATTGGAATTTCTTCACAGCAACAAAGTGTTGCATAATGATATTAAACCAGAAAACATTTTCCTACGCGGTTCGGAAGTTTTCTTTAGCGGTAAGCAATCATCGATAATTTAGTCAAATTTAATGATAATTTTTTTATCATTATTGATTTTAGATTTTCATTTGTCCACTTTAAACGGTTACCAGAAACGTCCATGTTCACCAATGTTTGGATCAGCGTCGTATTATGCCGGTTCTAGCCAAACTAGTTGAATAACAAATGACGGCGGTCATTAACATAGTTTTTTTTTATTATGCAGGATTTGACCGGGACCCAATGGATGATTTTGAATCATTGCTTTATTCAATTTGGTACATAGGAAATGTGCCAATGGGCCGGGTATATGGACGTGATATACCAGAGGGTCGTATTCTTTTGGGTTTAGACGAACAAGAGGCAATATCAAGAATGGTGGTTAGTAATGGAATCTTGATTATACTAAAAAAAAGTTATAAAAAGCGTTGATTTTTACAGGAAAAATCAAAACATTTCAAAGACAAAAATGTTCAGAAAGCGTTTCGTTTCACAAATATGCAAATAATATCTGGAAAAAGCAAGCCCGACTATAAAGAAATCATAAAAAAATTAACAGAAGCCATAGCTGAAGTAAGCAAAACGACGGGCCAAGAGCGGTTTGAGTGGTTAACATTTTGAATATTGTCATCAGAACCGGTTCATATTGGAATTAAACCATTTCGAAATGATCTCAAACGAACTTTGCGCCCGAAAATTTGAAAGAGAAAAATAAAACACACTGAACCAATAAATTATTAAAAACTTATGCATGCCATTGTCTAGACTTGAAAAAAAAAATTCCACGAAATGTACTGCGCAAAAATGAAGTATAACAAAATGAGGTCGGTGAAAACAGATGTTTTCGGCTACTTTCTTAATGCATTCGTAGCTCAAATTATGCCAATTTGTTCACAAATAATTTGATTCTCTGTTTGGGTAGCTCTTTCACCTTTCCAACAAAGTTTTTCCGTCATCATTTCTACTATTACCACGGCGACTATTATTGAATAATTTATGTATTTAAGTTCTTTTTGGCCCATGCAATTTTTATGCTTTGTATATAATTTTGAATGATTTTCGACCATGGTGAATGTTACTTGAATATTACTCGAGTTACTTGAATATTGAAGAAAGACAGCAACGAAGAATGTATCTTGCCGATAATAACCGTTCAGTGTCGGCATAAAATATGAAAGTGCAACTGGGCACAATCTATATTTTCAACATTTATTGGCTATGTTTATTCCTGTTATACTCACGACTCACACCAATTTTCACATTGATTGCAATCGATACTTCTATTTCATTGTTATGTAGTAGTTTATCTCCCTTTTACTAGCGACACTGCGACACACTCCTGGTATATCAAAAGAGTTTGAGTTCAATGCTCTGCTCATCGGAGCTATGGTTGGGCCAAATAACGGATTTTTATGAAAGGGCAAATATTATGATGAAAAATGAATATTTCTGTGGTTTATTCATTGAATGTTTATTTACCTCTCTCTCTTGTGCTCTTTTGCAAAACATCAACATTTTTTTGCTGGGGCCAGGAATGTTTCAGTGAACGAATGTGTACGACGTGCTTTGAATAAAATCTCAAAGCATTTTATTAATTGTAGGCGATGTATGCAAAACTAATTACGTGGTGCATGTTGTGATCGGTTTAAAGAGATAGATGGAATGAGATGATGACGAAAAATATGAAAAACGTTCATTCGATGGCATAATAATTACATATGTACAATGTTTCAACCTACGTGGTAATGCACATAATAATAGCACCAGTTAATAGGATGTTATCATAGCTGATGTAATATTTTCGTTAGTTAAATATCATTTTGAAAATTCGTTTGCGCGTAAATGCACTCCATTTGGTTGGGGCTGTGTGTGTTGTGTACAATTTTCGTATGTTTATTGTGTGTTATGTGTTGGAGAGAGTGTCACAAACAGTAAATATTCTCTCAAACTCCCATTTGGCAAAATGTTGCATTGGCACTCGTACTTTCGCTTGAATGCGCAGCTTGATATAAATTACCTAGGTGTATGCATTTTATAAACACAGCGCCAAATGCAAACATATTAGTGCTATGGTTGTGTGTGTATCTGTCGGTGGACGGGAAAAATGTTGACGACGATTCGAGTATGCATGTTTGCTTGTGTGTGTCTGTGTCTCATTTTCATTTTCATAAATTCGCTAAGTGCACAACACCGAACGAACGATGGCAACTAGACAGCACGTTTTACACAGAGAAAGAGATGAGTAGACATTCGTAGTCAACAAATTTGTACAAGTTTGCAGACCTTTTTCAACCCTCAACAGGATAGATTGTAGCATATATAGTGTAGCCTATGCCATTGAACATTCAAAAGCGAACATATAGAAGACTTTCATTTTTCACCATAAAGACGAATTTATGTGCGATTTTGCCATTTTGATTAAGTAAATGTCTGTGATTCCTTTTTATTCATTTTATCGACCGAAAAACCCCCTACCAATTCCTGCCACCCACACACGCTGTTTGCTGTTGAAGGTACTATTTTGGAGAGTGGATAACGAAAGACAAATTCAATGTAGTAAATTTTATTATGCAAAAATTTCCATCCAGGAAGTGTAGAAGGTTTGATAAACAACAGTCGACCACTTTTGTGGTGTTTTGCATGTGACATAATTCTGTAAATTTTATCAGACTCAAATGTGCCAAAAGTTCATAGTGGTTGCATTGATTTCTATTGACTGACCACCCGAATATTTTATCTAAAACGTTTTCCTCGGAAACCAAACATACACTCTTTGTATAAGTGCATTTGGCAAATAGAATATGCAATTTCCAAAAATAACAACACAGCATCTCTATCACAGCGCAGTACGTACACATCGGGTGGTCATTCAATGGTAAAACGAGATGCTGTTCGATTTGTTTTCGGAATTTTATCTACGAAAAACAGATTTTCATTATGCCATTCAAATCCCATTGCACACATCCGGTATTATAAAATGCATTTCAAAAGGCATTGAGGTCATCACACATTGTATACTCATTTGCGTGAAATCAAAGCCAATCCAAACAGGATTTTGAGTAAATTTAATACGCCGCTTTCGTTTATATCATAGGTTTCCAGTTGAAAAGACAGAAACAATTAAATCATGGTACTTTGTAAATGTAACAAACAGCAGAAAGCACGTGTACAATGCTGATAAGAGCCATACATCATTTTAAACGTTTCAAAACATTGCTACTTACTAATTGCATTTTGAACACGATTAACTTCGGAATTTTAGCTTTAACATCGAATCGAAACACACAAAGGAAAGGAATTTGAATTTAGAATCGAAACACAACCGCTGGGAATACACTTAAGATTTAATGGCACCATTTCAAGTGTGATTATTTATAGCTATGATTTGAACTAGTCAATTAAATGCTATAAAGATGTAATATGGGAGCGTGCATGTGCGTGCGTATTACAAAGAAATCACAACGTGTTTACATTGCACCAGAAAGAGTTTGTAAAACACACAAAAAAAAACAAGAAAACAAACGAAAACTGAATGACTTTGTGTCTGATTTGGTTAATCGTTTGTCTTTGTGTTCGCTATTTAAATTATTGTCTCGGCCCCAGTATTTTATATGGGGTCAAATCAAAATATTATTCAAACCCAAATGCGTTCGGATTGCGTAAAATGTTTCCGATTCAATGACTTTATCTGACTGTGTGAAAGTGTGCACTAACTGAATATGCTCGTTGTCAACGTGAAAGTAGCAACAGTGGCAGATTTAAATGTTAATCCGTACTTATATTTCGTGTTTATTGATTTTGGCTGTTGACACCCGTGTATCAGTGTTAGGATCAACATTATTGTTGTTTAATCATGATTAAGCATTTGAACACATTTATTTGATACGATTTTGGGGCTGAATGAATGTCTATGAATAATATGTATGTGAAATTGTTGTCGAAATTTATAATGCCATTGTGAACTGTTTCTGCTTTATCGAATTCCACTATCTCAATCGAATGCCATTTGGCATTTCGACCGTATTGGAGACTGCATTTTCAAAACCATTATTAATTAACCAAAAAACATGCATATATTTGGAAAATCAATTCAATTGTATACAATTTGGGTAAAATAATATTGACTAATTTATAATCATGTAAATTCCGCAACAACCATCTGCGTTTCATTTGCATGAGAATTTATTAGTTGTAACAAATGCTAAAAAAAGAGGTGTATCTTACCTATGGCTGAGCATAGAATGCCTTTGATGCCTGACCCACCCAGTTGATTAATTGCAAGAAGTAAATCACCAAATAAAAGGTATCCGACATAATAGGTCTGGCATCTGCAATGCAACACATGATGATTTGATGGCAACAAAAATCCAATCGCCAATGTCAATGACAAAAATATCACGGATATAATTAATGCAATTGCATAGATGAGAAAGCGACGATTCTGCAAACGAAAGAATTAAATTAAGTTTATGGTCAATGCAAATATTAATCAATCACCGTCCTACCTCTTCGGTGTTGTCTTCTGATATTTCCTTGCTGGTGACCATGTCATCGCATGCAAATACCATACTTCCATTTTGATTCGTGTGGTCGATACAAAATTCATCGTTGGTTAGAATTTGGCGTGTATTCTTCAAAGTGTATGATCCATTGTCAACGTTTAAATTATGCTCGTGGAATTTATCGGCCATCACATAATTATTATTTCCTGGACCCTTACAAGATGGAAATCCAAATCGAAAATCAATGTTACTTATATTTTTCGTTTCGAATAGTTGTTGTGGTCGTTCATCAGTTGGTACGCAATTTTGTTCACGCGTTAAGTAGATTGAATTGATGCTGCAACATTTTCGAATTTTTGTTGATGTTGTCAGTGAATCAGCACCATTCGGCAAACACACCAAAGCGATATCTTTATCGATACAATAATCATTTCGATCAATAAACGAGTTTCGTTCGCCGAGAAAAAGGGAACCATTCGAGAATAGTGCAATGTTATTTAAAAATAATTCGGGATGTTGACAGTCGGGTCGTTTGGATTCACGGGCGCGCAAAAAACGTGGTGCTTCACCTTGTTTTGGAAAATAGGCCTGTTTTGCAATCATATATATTAGCGGCCACCATTTGTCTGTTCCTCCGATCAAACATTCTTTGTTACGATCGAGAGTTTCGCCATTTCGACAACATTTATTTATTTCCACAGCAGGTGGGGGTTGTCGGCCGGCTCCATTCGTATATCGTATTGCATCGATGACGAGTATTAAAATTAACGATAAAAATGTTCGTTTTAACGAACAACGGATGAAAATCGATCTCATTTTTGTGTGATGTTCTTTTTTCTTCTCTTTTTCTTAACGCAAATGAACACTTAAATTCAGGCTCAAATTGTGTGTACAGTTCTTTGTCATTGTTTTGGTTCAAATCCACTGTGGCACTTTGATCGCAACCTTTTTTTTATTGGTTCTTCTTTCTTTCTTGGTTAAACCGATAGTTTTCAATTTATATTACAATTAAATTCGCCGTTTTAACGTTTTTTTTTTCTCTTCTCTCCGTCTTTTCTTCTTATTCTTCTTTTTCTGACACAAAATGCAATAGCGGAATTTATACAATAGAATATCACACGTCAAGCACGGGATACAAAACTAAAGAGAATACATCATTCGAAGCAATCTCTTAAATGGCAGTGCAATATTTTTTTTAAGTGCGTTGGAATGCCACTTTTCTTAAGTGATCATTAATTCGATGTGATGTCATTTTCTTGAATTTAATTTAGCAACAAACTGCACACAACACTATAAAAAAAGATATCACATTTTATTATTTAGACGCTGCACATAATTGAACATTTCTTGAAACAAATTAAAATTGAATATTTCTTTTGTCGTTCACAATTGCTCTTGTTTACTATGGTTTTTGAGAATCATTTATACTCGAGACGGGGCAACAACAGAAGACCGACAACACACTTGCACACGATTTTGTGGTGAAAAAAAAAAATGTGATGAAATAAATTCAGCACTACCGTTGCTCTTACACAACAAACTAGTTTTTATCTTAACATACATATAAACAATGAACGCAACCTGGTGAAAAATGAAGCAGTTCTTGGTACTCGATTGAACACTGTAAAATGATTATCTCGCGAATATTTATGCCTTCATCCAACATCAAAATCGAATCAAAATTAAAATAAAAGTGTCACATACACACAAAGTAAAAGAGAAAAATGTTATAGGAACTGTTTTAAACAATTAAATTATTCAAAAGTGCGAAATACGACGAAAAAAAAATAATGCTCTTAATATAGAATTGCAGTACGCACGTAACATCGTCCAGTGTCGACGAACAACTGAGGTAAAAGCGAAGCATTGAAAATCGTTGAGCGTTCTCTTATTAGGAGAAACATCGTTACTATTTTTACGCATTGGTTCTCTCTCATCTCATTTCTTTCCCTCTTTCAGTTCACAACAAAGCGAACACAATATTTTATACACGAATATCTATATGTATAGACTGTCGGTGTCTCGTTCTCTCTTTTGTTGTGTGTATTCATTGCTTCATACGATAAGCATTCACCGCTTGTGTTAGGGACTGAGCGCGCGTTTTTATTGTAGTGTGCTGATGGATTCGTGTATTGGTGCATAACCAATGTAGTTATTGTTGTTGCGTCTTTTACACAGAATGCCATATTATTCTCGGTTTTTTGCCGGCTTTGCTAAGTTTTCTGTTGTCTTTCGTTTTGTTGCTCGAGCAAAGAATTCGTTGGTTATTTCTCTTTCGTTGTATTTTTCAGCGCCTTCTCTCCTATTCTTCATTGACTTCTTCAAAAAGACAACAACACAACCAATTCAAATACGTTTGTTTTGTTGTAGATTGCAACATATATATCGTATCCATTGCCTTGGCC